CCTATCCTTTATTTATATCTTTATCTTAATCTTATAAGATACTTTAGGTTCCTTATTAAATCCTTTTCTTTATAAGAACTTAATAGGCCTTACCTCTATAGCCCTTTTCTTATAGATTATTTCTAGAGATCCTAAGGATTCTTTATAGGGTTTATTAATTTCTACTTTATAGGAGGTATCCTTTTAATCTTATAATCCTTTAGGGGCTTATAAGCCTACTTTATTAGCTATTATCTTTTCTAATAGACTAGTTATAATAGATTAAGTATTAAAATTATAAGAATACTAGGTCTTATATATAGAATATAACTAGTATAAAAGAATAGATACTATATAGCTTAGATTTTAAGAATTTAGATAATTAATTAGATTAATACTAGGTTAGGATTCTTCCTTTATAAGGGAGAATTTACCTAACCTACTGCTTAGTAAGGGCTGACTAAGAGATACCCTCGCATAGGCAAGATGGATATCTTCACCATACTATTAGGAGGCCTTACAGTTAGAAGGATGGAATAAGTATAAGGAAGGCTATATAGGTAAAGATAATTAAAATTAGAAAGGCTATAGATAAAAGGGGAAGCTTTCTATAAGATAGGATCTCTTATCTCCTAGAATTCCCTAAGATATAAGCTTTTATCAGTGTAAATAGCTTTAGATTTAATTATTTTATCTATCCAGAGAAATATCTTATCTATAGAGCTTTTCAGTAGAATCTATTAAAGTTAACTCCTATATAAATTACTATGTGTTATGACTTACCTTGATTTTACAGCCAAGCTTACTAGCAGCCCGGATACTTTTGCACCACACCTCCGTAGTTGAGCCTGCTATGTTCAGGCCAGAAGTGCATATACGGCATTCTCCTAGCTCTGGAGGCACCAGTCTTCTTTACGTAGCCCCGCCAATATGACTCTCCCTCATGTAGCGGAAGCAAGCGTACTCAGCTAGACTATATCACTGGCAGTAATTCCTCTTTTATCTAAAACCTTTTATAGTATGCCCTTAACAATAACACGCTTAATAATTCTCATTTTGATGGCATAAGGTGAGTAAAAGATTGATTGTAAAAGAAGTCTGAGGCCTAATATTAGAGTTCTTCCGTAGTGTGGTAGACCGAACAAAGTCGTTACGGCGTCTCGAGATGGCCGACCAAGCTTCATCCGACCAAAGTAAGGAAAGAGAGGCCGTTGTTGGAATCAAAGCCGATGTCAGAACCCTTCAGCAACTCAGCTCTTCGGGTCAAGCTGCCAGGAAGAAACGGGAAGAAAACCAGGTGGAGAAGGGAATGCGGGCGATAGGTGGAGCTATCCAAGCCCATTTGAAACAGGGAGGTGAAAGTCAAGGCTCCTCTTAAAAGGTCGTGTTTGGGAAGAAATTCTGTCACTCCAATTCAGTTTCAAATTCTTTTTGAAGTTGTCTGTCATACTCCTCTTTATCCGACAGTTTGCAACTCGCGATGTGTCCCACATTCTTCTCCCAAAGAAAAGGCATTACCAAATTGAATTCTTCGATATATTCTGTGCAGAATAAGGGTCGGATATGATTCTTAAAAATCCCGAATAGGCCAGAAGGGCTAGAGAGGGCCAGAGTATACCAAAATGTTCCTGCTGTCCACGTTCTATTCATGACTTCTGATAGTAGTGGCATGCTATTCCCTCTGGAAGTGGCCAGTCTGTGTCTATCCTCCTCAACAGTCAGGACGTTCATGAATTCTCTCCGAATTTCATCATACTCTGATGACACTAACTCGTCCACACCCTTGCCCGTTAACCAATGCGGAGGTCTAATCATTTCGATCGGTAAAGAGCAGGCCCACTCCAAATCTACTAGACACGTTACATTCCAATCTGCGTCGACAAATATGTTGCTTTGATGGATGTCCGTTAGAGAGAAGACAAATGGTCCGCGTCGAAACCCTCTTTGGAAAAAGGAACTGGAAACTGTCCGCATTGCTGAGAGTGAAGATAGCTGGAAAACGCAATCTCCAAGATTATTCACCGCATTTGGTTGATACCGAAAACGGTTGTCATGGAACGTAAGGACATCCGCCACGTATGAGTCAACAGTTGAATATGTGTACCCGCGATTTATGCCCGTCGGTATCTGTTCATTCTCCAGCTGTTGAATTTGTATCGAGAGTGGCCGGTTCGCTAAAACCAAAAACCCGTTTTTGTCGATAACAAACGAACCAATTCTGGGGAGCGGATGTCGGCTGATGCTTAAGAGAATGCGGGAGAGGCCACGAAAAAGGTTTGTCCGTAGCTTGACATCGGATTTGCTGTCCATCCACGTATTTGAAAGCATAGTGCCGCGCTTTGGTTCAATGTATTCAAGCAGCAAGTACGAGGAGCGAACGGCGTTCTGGCATCGAACAGGGTGGGGAACATATTCAGAAGGGATTGGATACCCTAGCCATGAGCGAATCCGACGCTGAAGAGATTGTAACCACTGGCGCAAGAGCGGAAAGTTTTCTAACCGAGTAAACTAGACGAATTAGTTAGGTAGAGGAAGGCATGCGTGCATATATGTACAGTTTCACCGGTAGAGAGAGCAAACCCGTATAACTGCGGAATTGGCACGTCGGGGCAGTTCTTTTCGAGCCACGCGTATGTCCCCGCCTCGCATTTGACCTTTTCGTCTCCATTACCGGGCATGAAATCGTCGCCGACGCGGTATGGTAGAGGAAAACGCACAAGCACACGTTTTCCATCACTATTGCTGAGTATAACAGGAATGCAAACGTTGAAGCTACCATACAGCCAGTCCTCCACTTCGGACACGCGGCAGACAGCAGGTGAGCTCAAATTAAGGTGATGCGCAACGATGGTCTTGATCCAGTCCCTGTTGTTGTAGAGGTGTGTAAAAAATCGGGTTTGCTTATCATGGTATTCAAGTTGGTGAAGGATGTTACCCTCCTCTTCCTTGGCAGATGCATAGGTGATCTCCCGTCGAAGAAGGCGTCGGGTCTTTAACATGGTGCTAGGATAAATAGTAGGCTGTCGCTTCAATGGAGATGGCGGTCTTCTAACTCCTTTATATTGTCCCCTGAAACAGTCGGGGATGGAAAAGTGGAATAATTGGCTCTTTCTCCGCCAATAAGGACGCAATAGTTGCGCACAGAATCTGCTCCACTCTTGGTGTACCCACAATAGAGAGACGAGATTCGAACGGTAAATGTGTCATAGTAGAGTTAATATATGGAGCCTAAACCCAAAGCTCGGTAAAGCTAGATCAGCCTTCAAGCTTTGATTAATAGCCTTTGGCGTTGTTGAGGACCTCTTATTTGGTCTTACGTCATATCTTTAGCACAAGGCACAAACGAAACAAATGCTCTCAATTTATCCTAGACCCAAGGCTAACTATGCGGGGCGGTGTACGGCTGTCCCAATTCTGGTTCATAGGGGTTGGGTTATGCGGAGCTCATGGATTCGAATCCCCCAACAGGCATTTCCCGGGGGTAGTGAGCGACTCGCTATGAGTAGTTTCGCAGACATACAAGATAGGAAAGCGAGTCAAGCACTGTGTAGGTTGGGACTTGAGATGACTATAGCTAGCCACATATAGGGCCTATTTGAGGCGAAATTCTTCTCGCAGACATTGGAGACCCATAGTTAGGTAACCCACTACACAACCTGTCATACGCACAAGTATCTGCTGATGATAACAACCCCGAAGCCCACATTTATGCGTCCAGCAACCTCCTTAAGGTCCCAAACAGCTCCCCAACTGTCGAAACCCTCCAAGCAAAAGTTGCAACGGTCACATGGACAACCACAGCTGTGCAGACAGGTCAGGGGTTCTTCTTCTAACTGCCTTAAACAAGAATTATTTCTCGTCACTTCATTCTCACTCCACATCTGTATCAGTTTGTGAACACTTATAATTTCTTCTGTGACTGTTCAAAGGCGCACTACCACGCTGTATGTCTGAATCCACCTCCAGACCCAGGATCAGAGGGCCAACCCCAAAACTTAAAATACTCATTCAACGGCCCACAAGAATTCTAGGAAAGGGATGCCATGGTTACCAGAGGAAGAGGAACTCTTAGTAGAGATAAGAAAGAATTAGGCCTTCCTTAGTTAAAAGTGATAAGATTATTCTCAGATTAATATTAGGGAAGAAGTCAAGGTTCTATTTAGGTATATTAGAGCACAAATCATAAGAGGTATAATGGCTTCCCGCACACTGTTCTCTCCCTTGTTTACAGTATAATTTTCCAACGTAATCAGTCGGAAACCAGGATGCCCGTCAGGATAAAAGATTAATTGATTGACTGTGGGCAGGCAAGCATCCATGCATTGGCATCAAGCAATCTTTCTGTAGCTCGTCAATGGCATTACAAGCAGCCTCAGGATGGGACTCCTGGGTTAGTTCTGGGCGACTAAGATACTCGTAGCGTAGACGAGTGATCATTGTCATACAGAAGCTAAGGAGGGTCAGGAAAGGCCTGACAAGGACATAGATATAGAACATAGATAAGACACAGAACAGATAGAGAGGCTACAAGTAGGGAGGGAACCTGCCAGAGCAAGTAGGGAAGAAATTCAGGGAAGAGACAGATTACATCCTGAAAGCAAGGGGTGGGAATCTCTGTAGTTACAGCCATATGCTGCATACCTGCCACGAGGGTGGCTGGGACAGAGTATGACAATCATCAATTAATCAATCTGGTTGACTGCGGAAGCTGACCACAGATTAGCGCCGCAGTCGCCCTGCTTCGCTGCACGTGATGTCAAATAGCCTTGGCGCAAATGTGACACTACTGTGTGTTTTAGACTTAGCATACAACTGAGCTGATACCCCTTCATAAACCAGCCATGCCAACGCTTGCACCCGCACACGGTAATGCAAACGAGCCAGCTCTACGTCTCGGTTTTCTTTTTTTTATTAATATAAATACTATGAACTCGGCCCACAGGAAAAGCGTTTCTTGAATGAGAGACCTAGGGAGAATTCTGTTGATGCCTTCTTGTAAGGGCGTACTATTGTTTGGGCTTCTAAGCTGCGTCCTCTTCTACCCTCTTCTTCAGCGCCAGGAAATCCGCCTCCTTTTTATTGATCTCCTCTTTCATTGCCGCCCATTCCACATTATACTGGTTTAGCTGCTCCATCTTGCTGTTCAAGAACAGTTCGACTTCAGGGCCGGGAACTGTTGCGAGCTCATCAATGGAAGGTAGAAGCTGTCGAATAGCGGTCCAAGCCCGGCTATCGGGCGATTCGAAGCAAGAGTATATCAACTCATGAAACCAGAATTTTCCGTCCTTCATGGATTCGTCCATGAGAGTCGCCATACTGGGCATTGAGAGACCTTCTGCTCTTTTCTGCTCCTCCTCCTCCAGTACATTAATAAACTTCTTAAGAAGCGAAAGTACTTAGAAATATCCACATCATCCCAATCAAACGGCTTCTTCAGAAGTAGCCACCGCGGGGACGAGTAAAGCATTTGAAATGGCGCTGCATAAGCCCATTCCCAGTCGAGGACCGCGACTATCTTCAGATCCTGTGCGTTGTTGACGAGCAAATTTCCAAGCCGGAAATCGTCGCAAATCAACCTGAACGGACCATGGTCATACTTGCTGTCAACGAAATGGGGTACAATGGCCTTGAATATCTTATTATGGAGATACTTGCGACGAGCATCTTCCATATCATCGACTGAATTAGGTTGGGCCCTCAGATGCTGCATGTCCTGTTCGGCGACATCCTGAAAATAGCTGGTGGCTGAAGAGAATGTCTTGGAAATATGGCCTAATGGTAGGCAATGTCGGCTGGCCAGGCGTTTACTAATTAACTGCAGGGGGTACACACCGCCAACACTAACGCCCCCGTGGCTCTTTATCTCATTCATCTTCAGCGTCAGAGGCCTTGAATAGATGCCGCTGCCAAAATCTGTATATCTTGAAAGCGAACCTATACGCGGAAAAGTATGTGCTGAGAGCTCCAACAGGATATTCGCAATTTGTCGGTATATAATTTCCAGCTCTTCATCACTGATGTCCAACCGTAGCGTGCGAGCTTCTTCCGGGCCAGTACCTTGCCGTAAGATCGTGTCTAACGGTTCCCCCTCAATATATTCCATGATGATGAACGGCCCCAGGCCTAGCGGATTCTCATGACCGAGTCCCCATGCAATAACAGATGGTACAGGGATGTTTGTCTTCTCTTTGACAAACTGCATTGTGGCAGCTTCGTGCCTGATCTTTTCATCACCATCCATTACTCTGCCAGACACTGCAAACCGTACCATCCATTGTATACCATCATTGAATTTTACTCTGCAGCTCCAATTAAACGAACCGCAGTTATCACCGACAACCTCTGAAGGCTGATTATTCCGGAAAGTTGAAACCCAGGTCGCGATAGGAGGCCCACGAGTGCTATTAAACCGTCTAGCCCAAGAAAGAGACTCGGCGTAGTGAGAAGCCTCGGCGCGTTCGTCCCAGTCCATGCCGGGAATCGATTGGAAGAACAATGGATGTGACTCGATTTAAATTAAGCAATAATAATATATAGATGAGTAGCAAGAAGATGTGGGGGCCAACGGACGAGGGACAACAAGCTCCCATTTATTTGGGCAATTTTGGGGCTAATCATGTCACATGACATACAAGTCAGGTTGACTTGTGCTTCAGGCCCCAGTCGGTAGAACTCCGCTCCGTACTCCGCACAGGTACTACTAATGCTACCCAATCACGCCTTCCACCCAGCTGCATATTACCCGCAGTATGCACAGTAAAGTGACGAATCTTGGAAGATTAAGCTCTCAGCGTTGAGAAGCCATCGGTAATGAAGTTTATGTGGGAATAAGTCAGTTAAGATATGCTATTTGATGTTCAGGAGAGCAGACCTACAATAGCTGCATATTCTACTTGCAGACTGCAGATATGTCGACTTCAAGATGGCTATGATGGAAACAACCCAACATTTTCGGCCCCTCTATTTCGCATTTGGATGCGCGGTTACAGTTAAGCATGATTAAGACCGCCACTGTTAATATGTCTCTGCGGCACACCACATGTGAGAGTGAGAGGGGAAGCGACGTCTTGCTTAGAAAGACATGATATATCCTGCATTGTAATTCACCTGGAAGACAGATATATAAAGAAGCATGTTTCCCTCACGCCTCTGTCTTTGATCATTAATAACTCAGACCTACTATTCTTAATAGCAACGTGCCCTGTACATTCCCAATCTCGCCCCAGATTAATTCTTATATATGGCAAATTTCTGAAAGGCAATCACTGCACCTCTGTTGCCATGTCTCCAGATTATGACACCTCCTGGCAGCCCACCTTAGGAGTTGTCCTTGCGGAGCACAGACAAGGATGACCTTAAGCAACTCTTTGTTGATGCTATCCAATAGGTGCTGTCGGATATGGCTGTTGTGTCTGTCTTATCGCCTGAAAAATCCCATCTCACCACTGCCAGCCTGCTGATGGACCTTCTGGAGGTCTTTCAGACCACATTGCCTTCCGCTGCTACTACCAGACACTCGACATCAGCGTCTGTTGGCGTCGAGAAGGACAACTATTTTCAACTGTCTTGTGATAGTAGGGGTGGGACACCACCAAACAGTCCCTGTATGACCCCTTCAGAGCCTGCTGCAATCTTCTAGCTGAAAGAGTCCACTGGTCTCCTCGTTCATACTACCGACAACCTGAGAGTATATTCAGTCTATGCAAAGAAGCCGCGAGCAACTGCAAGCGACTGCAATGTCTTGGGAAGTCCAAAATCGGCAGTGACTCTCAATGATGATGATGTTGCAACTCTTCAAGGCCTTGGACCTGCCAATGGTGGCCAATTGACGCCGAATACGGTCGATACCGCTGCCACAGGTGGACAACGTCTGGCGCCAGGCGCTCGGGTGTCAAATTTGGAGGAGAGAAAAACTTGTGGAGTGTAATTTGTGCTGTTTATTTGTGTGACACATTGCTAATCTCTGATTTAGCTGTGACATAAAGAAAGCCTAATACAAGTGCTCCTCAGCACCTCAGCTTAATGCATATGAGCTTGAGAAGCTGTTGGTGAATGCTACTGACACGAGAGGCCAGGTTGACTTTTCCAATACGGCAGATGCTTTTGGCTCTTGTGAGGCTTGTGAGATCAGATCTGAAGATCTTAGAGGTGAACATCAGGATATTCCCTATTAAGAAAGCTCCCATGCTCCCTCAGAGCCTGTAATAATGAGCTAGTTAAAAGACCTTTTCCAAGCTGTGCTTGAATTCAAACCTTAAACAGCTTCTAATGGCGCAGATAACAGTCCCACTGGACCTGAGAAGAAGGCAGAGACTAATCAGGATAGGGATTACAAAAGGATTCTGGCCTCCAGGATGGAATATAAGACTGTTAATGAAGTGTATGTCCAGCACTGTCTGTATTCTACATCTGCTAATAAGAAGTGCAGCTAGGATTCTAAGATGTATAAGTATAAGATTGTTGGTTCCCCTCCCCCATAGGATGTGGGTGAATTAGATGAATTTGTATTTGTTGTCCGCAAGTGTATCTGTAAGTATGGCTAATTGCTGCAGCTCTTTGACTGGCTGACATGTGTCTAGAGAAACAAATATATGATGTTATTATCTATATGGATATTAAGTCACCAGGCCTGTGAGACATCTTGAGATGCATCCTGAAAGATATTAGAATAGTGGGACTTGAAGCTAACAAACCTGTGGTATAGCTATGCATGATTTATGTAGGCTTTCTTGCTAATAGCAGCATAGGTAGAGCAGAACTTATTATTCTATTTTCTTCCAGAGTTAAGGAGTTTTGGCACTAGCTCTAATGATAATACTATGGAAGGGGATAGTATATAATATCTAAGTCTGCTAATTAAGTACCTAGAGAAAGTATATAAGTTAATAACCAGCTAGATGAACTCACTTCTAACTTATAGGAAGATAATATATAACTTATTATGGGCGTTCTTTAAACCAGGCGCGCTGCTATATATAATATACCCTTCTATAGGTCTGCTCTGGTGTGTTTATTATAGCTGTAGTAAAGAGATAAAGATAGTCTAGAAGGGTGTTTATTTTAAGATCTAGTATTAGTATTTTAATTATGATATAGAAGTATTCAGTGAATCTACTAAGATTTTACAGATTGAAATATTCTCCAAAGCACGCAGAATTAAAAATCTCCTAGTATATCTATTTAAATACCACCCTAACCTGGAAATCTGGTCGCGCCTAGTATTAGCTGGTTAAAAGTTTGTGTTGCTCATTGGCTGTTACTATTAGTAATATAAAGGAAATATATTCATCTAATATAAGGATTAACTAATAAAAGTTCATATCATTAGTAGGATCATGATTAATGCTTAGCAATTCTAGAAGTAGAATCCCAACTACACAAGACTAATAATAAAAAAGCCCCATACTAATATGTTTAGCCAAATTTTGGATTATGAAATTATTAATTATGTCCAGAGTAATGGTATGGATCCTAGTGAGTTAAAGGAGGAAGAGCTAGCTATCTATAGCCTGATGATTCTTAGTTTCTCCCTGAATGAGAAGATTTAGAGTAAGTTAATGCTTGAAGACTAGTGAGCTTAGTTAGCTAATATTACTAGGAGAATTTGCTATAGAAAAGATGGCTATAATCTAATTCTCTAATATGCCCTTTGATATGTTAGTAAGCCCCAAGGACAAAAAAAAGATTATTAAATCTCTTACTAAAAGTTAGGTCCGCGTAATAACTAAGGGAAAATTTAATAATATTATTAAAGAAAAAGGGTAAGGCGTCATCATACTCCTATAGTATGTATCTAAAACTTCTCATAGTGGTTTAAACTACTAACTAGTATAGGAAGCAGTCCTCCTAGTGTGGGGAAGACTTTGACAGTAGAAGCTATCTTAAAATAACTATAATAATTACTCTACTTAGTAATTATGAGCCTGATATCCTCTTAACCACATAAAAGCTAATAAATACAGATTTCTGCTAGAGATCTTAGTGCTTAAGCTAAGGAGCTTAAAGTCTAGCTAATATATACCTTCTGTGTTACTAGTAACTAGAAGGCTGTGCTCCTCCTAGATAAAGTAGATATTTATCTATAGTAATAGGATGACCTATAGTTAGAATATAACCACCTTATTACCATATTCTTGCGCATACTTAAGTATTATCCTAGTATCTTTTTCCTTATAATAAATATGCTCTAGGACTTCAATGCAGCCATCCTTGACAGAATCTAGTTAAAGTTATAGTATTATAATCTGGACTCATCAGCTTAATAAGCTGTCTTCAGACACTTTTCTGCTAAGATAGGAGCAGAAATATTAGAAGATGAGATACGCAATTTAGCTGAGGTCAGCCTGAATGGTCAGCAGGTGAGAGATTTAGTCTATCCCAAGATGTATACATATACTAATAAAATATCTAAGATTAAAAATGTTATCAAGCTTGCACACAACATCGCCATGTCTGAAGGGGTCCCACTGCGTGCAGATCATATTTGATCAGCCCTCAGAGCAAATGGGTATACTATACCTACTCCTGGCTCTAAGGTTGATAACAGTCTCTATGACTATTAGGCGCAGCTTAAGGAATGCAAAAAGGATTTTGGCCACTATTTTATTTTGCCCCCTGTTTCCATCATTGAATATGTCTTTCTGTTCGATATTCGTCCTCTTTTAAGGGCAGGGTTGAATTCAGAAGTGTAGTTACGAGGAATTAATCTGAATTGTGTCTCCATGGTGTCATCTCCTACCAGTCCAGGCATAGAGCGGACATGTCGATCCTCCCTGATGTTAGAGCCATTTCATGGTTGATGTCTTAAATCATTACTTCTAACCTTCAGCTAATGGAGGACAGAGTTCCTCATGGACAAGACGCTGCGAGCGTGTTGTTAAACATCAGTAGCAGAGCGGAGATTGGGTGTCTTTAGAGAAGGCAATATTTAAAGCATTCTGCGGTACTTCGTAGCGGAGAACTTCTTGGAACTCATCATGGAGGGCAGGCCATCTTTGCTCAGATTGTGGCTTCGAAGCCCCTCAGTCCTATGTTTTAGTTACAGAGTAGCGATGACTCATAGCCTAGCTAATGATGGTACCTGCGCGAGTATCATGTGCCTTGCCGCCAGTTGCAGCCAGTCATGCTGAGCTTGGTAACGCGTCATCTCATCTCACTGTTTTAACTGAGGGTTCCTACTTTTGGCAACAATACAGCCAACTAGAAAGCTCTCTCCTGGAGGAAGCAAAAGTGCGGGAACAAGATGATCGACACAGAAGGGCTATACGCTGTATCTAACCTGTAGTCTTTACTGGATCTATCATGCCTTCCACAGTCTTCTCTCGGTCATTGAAAGTTAAAAGACCGTCTCGATATACACCGAGCACAACTGCCACACTCTGGGAAATAGTCTGTTTGTGGGAGGACTATCAGCCGGGCAACAGGCAACCTACCACGTGATTTGCAATTACCTGCAGCTAGCTGAGCAAGATGCACCACTGTTGTTTTCTTCTTGAGTTGCGCTGAAGATATTGGTCGACGGTCTGGTCAGCGCCCGCTGAGGAGTGAGCAAGTTTAGAGATCATGAAGTCTTTGCTGTTGAAGACCAAGCTATCATGTGATTGCTAACCTGGAAGGATGACTTAGGCTCAGCGGAGGTTTCCTAAATAAATGGCGGACTTGGTTACGACATTCTTTAAAACACCCCCGTTAAAGCAGAAGTTGATCCGTTGGAAGACCATCCATGTAATCCGCGCCGCTCGCGTCCTGGCCAGTTCTATATCGTCTGAATAAACTAAAATACCTGTACCGTCCTCATCACTATCGACTATAAGCCATCCCCCAACCAAGCTCAATGAAGGACCCGCGCTATGGCGTGGGATTTTGAGTCAGATGTTGGATCCCCTGCCTTACGGATTGTGCATTGAGATTTCCGGCTGGATAATATTGTGGGATTTGATTTGGAGCCTGCTTCAATCGTTGACCTCCATCGATACAGACTAGGTTATCAGTCAGGGAGGAGAGCGCGTAGCCAATACTAGCTGTCAGAGGCTTGCAGTAACGCTTAAAGATGTATAAATGGAAGCCAGGCATAATTCGCCATAGGGTCAAATCATAGTAGGTCTTTTGCCTCAGTGCGGGATGAGGTCTTGTACAGTCCATGTTCTAGCCTAGGAAGGGGAAATTATGTGGTGTATTATCAATGATATATCTTCATGCTTTGCATTATGACTGTATGTGTTCTTCTCATCCCAAATCTTCTTGCTATCTTTCCCATGAATTGCCTAGACACTCTATTAGCTCTCATATATGAGAGGCTGCCCACATCATAAAGGATCATATTCTTGTTTCCTGTGCGTGGTTGCAGGCAGTCAGTTCCTGATGCTCTGGATGAATATTCACAGTCTCTTTACCACTTAATGTATTTTCTCTCTAACTCATGGACCATAAGAGATAATATGGCCGTGCCCACGCTTCATAAAGTGGTCTGCATTTGGCCTATCTAGCCAAGGGAATCTGCTGATTCGAGCTGCACCAGGACAGCGGATTCTTTGATATTTTTAGATCCAGCGTTATCTAGTGTATTATCAATAAAGAAATCATCTTCTAAAATCTTACAACGATTTACTGCTACTTACATAAAGCTGCGTTGTTAAGGTAGGTAAAAGAACTATTTGCATTAAGCAATATACATCCTTATTCCCTAGTCTGATTCCTCTGACCTCGCAATAAGAAACAATCAATTACATTCGCGTCAGGGGATAAAATATCAGTTGCATGGTGCCGATAGAGAACTGTCTATGGTGTTACTATTCTCTTTCCTCCTTCCAGATGTATCCTCCCAACGGCGTATGATCACACATATGTTGATACCCAGAAATTGGAATGGTGTCATATAGACTTAAGCAGGCGGAACACTCCAACAACATTCAGCACATCCGTATAATACCTTCCAAACAAGTGGAGAAGGTGGGGTTACAGCTTCGATCCTTCACTTTTTGGAGGTTTGGTCTTGGGTTTGTTCCTCTGACAGCCGTTCTAGCTCTTTTGCCTCTTCCACATCTGAGTCTTCCATTTCGGTTTCGTATGCTTTCAGGTGCTCCGGGATCTCCTCATATTTTGCATCGCGGTTGTATAGTTCCTCTAGTTGCCGGGTGATTTCCTCTGGAACATCATAGTTGATGCGGAATAGATGGCCATCCAGGCACAGGACATCTGGCGCGACAGACGGCATGTCTGGGGCTTCATCTCCGGGTTGAGGCAAGCTGTCTTTTGGTGGCATTGCAAGAGTTATTTTTGGTGATCAGAGGAATAAAATTAGTCTTCTGCAGATCTTGTTTTGCTCTCCAGCCTCAAAAATTGGCGATGTGTTATGTTTGTGCGGAGGGAAACAGAGGGAAGGAAGGGTGACAGGAAGGACAAAGAGATTTTCAGCCACAGTAAGCAATTAATGCAACCATCAGCTGACAGGCAGGCAGATATAAACTACTTAGATATAAGCTATTTTAATTATAATAAGAAAGATTTTCTTTAGTAAGACTACTAAGCTCTAAAGGCCCCTATAGAAGGGCCTAAGAAGAAGTAATAAGATAAGGATCCTATAAGTATAAGTATAGCTATAGTAGAGGTAATATCTTTTTAATAAGAATAGATTATTATATAATATATCTACTTATCTATAAAGATTACTCTTCCTAATTAGACTATCCTTAATTATAGGACTCTAGTAGATAATAGAAGTAAAGTTAATCTAGTATTATCTACCCTAGTAAAATAAATAGGTTAGAATAAGCTTCTCTATTAGATATTCTTATAGATAGTAAATAAGAAGAGGCTTCATAATAAGGGTATTATAAAGGTTTAGATTTAACTATAAGATACTAATAGAAAATAGGAGGAATTTCAGATCCTTATAGTAGTATCTCTAGATATTAAAGATATCTATCTAGGGATGCTATAGCTGATATAGTATGCCCTATAGATAGAATAGGATAAGTATATAGTCTACTTCTATAGAGAGGCTATCTAGATAGATATAATCTTTATAGAGTAATTCTAGAAAGAGCTAGAGATAGATCTATAAGGGGCTATATAAATATATATAGTTAAAGTATAAGAGGTAGTATTATTAGAGATATCTATATAATATAATTAATTTATAAATATCTTCTTAGAGAAGGATACTATAAGTATACCTAAATACTATAAAAATATAGACTTAAAGATTAAATTAAAGAAAGAAAAGAAACCCCTATTTAGGCTTTTTTATAGTTACTTCTTATATAAAGCTATAATAATTAGGGAATATATCTAAACTATACTTATAAAAAATTAGATCTAAGAATCTAAGTCCTTTATAAAAATATCTCTACTATATATATCTAAGAAGAATAGAAGTATCTAAATATATATAGACTTTTATAAACTTAATATAATTACTATTAAGAATTAATATCTACTTCTACTTATTAAGGAAATAATTATAAGACTAAGTAGAGTATAGATCTTTACCTAGCTTAACCTCTATAATATATATTACTAAATTTAGGTTACTTATAGGGATAAGTAGAAAATAGTCTTTTATATAAAATATAGAGTATATAAGTACTTAGTTATGCCCTTTAGGCTAACTAATATATCTATAATATTTTAAGGATATATAAACTAGCTATTCTATAACCTATTAGATATCTATGTAGTAGTCTATATTAATAATATTATTATTTTCTTATAAGATCTTAAGGATTATTAGGATTAGGTCTATAAGATAGTATAGTGCCTATAGGAAGTAAGGCTATATTATAAGCTTAGTAAGTATATCTTTATAATACTTAAAATTAACTTTCTAGGATATATAATTACTATAGAAGATATTAAGATAGAACCCTTATAGATAGCTATTATTATTAACTAGTCTATACTAAGGACTATCTATAAGATCCTAGCCTTTATTAGCTTTATTAACTAGTATTAATAGTTTATTATAGGCTATTCTACCTTAATAGCTATATTAATTAATATCCTATATAAATCTTAAGATAGGCCTATACAGATAGTTAAGAGTAAGAAGGATATTATAATTAAGAAGGATTATAAGATATTTCTTAAGATTAAGAAAGCTTTTTATAAGATAATTAAGTTAATATACTAAATAAAGGACTAATAAAGCTAGTTAAAGATAGATATCTTAGGGTTTATCTTATATAATATCCTAACTTAGCTTTATATAAATAATATATAAAGACCAATTACTTTTTTCTTAAGAAAAATAATCCTTATAGAGTATAATTATAAGATTAGTAAGTAAGAATTTCTTATAATAATAAAGTCTTTTAAAGAATAATAATACTATCTAGGAGGATATATATAGGAGATAGAGATAGTTATAGATTATAAGACTTTATATATCTTTTAGTTAAAGAATAAAATACTCTTATAAATATAGATTTATTAATTTTAATTCTTAGTAGGGTTTATCTTTAGAATTATATACTATACTAAAAAGTATAATCCTATAAATAATCTATTAAGAAGGGCTAATTATACTAATTAAGTATATTATAAGAATTAGCTAAAAAGAGAGGAATAAATAAGAGAAAAACTACTTATTTAGATTAAGCTTATATAAGAGCTAATTACTAGGCTAGACTTAATAGCTAAAATCTCTATAGTTATTAATATCTAAGTCCTAGAGGTAGAGATCCTATAAAAAGATATTAACTATATATATAAGTAGGAGAGGCTATATAGATATAATCTCTTATAAAGACTTCTAGAAGTATTATTAGTACTTCTAGAGAAGGATAACCTTATAAAAAAAATTATAAAGAGTCTGTAAGATCCTTTTATTATTATATTATAACTAGATTAAAAGTTAAATAAAATATTATTCTAGAAGCTTTATAATAGTATACTCTATTATAAGAATAAGCTTTATATATTTAATTAGTACTATCTAAGGCTATAAATCCTTATAAAAATATATATTAATCCCTATAATAAATACTTTATATATATGAGGACCTTAGAGCTAGTAAAGTAAAGATTTTAATAGCTATTAATATCTAATTTTATATATTAGTACTATAAGATATATAGAGTATACTAAAGATTATAAATAATCTATAAAAAATAGTAGAGACTACTTTAATCTTTACTAATATTATATAAGATATAGAAATAGATTAGTATAGACTTTATTACTAATTTATCTATAAGTATTTATATAGGGGATTCCTTATAGAAGGTATTTAATACTATCCTAGTTATTATTAATAAGATAAGTAAGATGGCATATTTTATACCTATATAAAAGAATATATCTAATAAGAAACTAATATATATAATAATCTATAAGGTAGTATACCTATATAGGATACCTATAAGTATTATAATAGACTAAGGATTAGTCTTTATAAAGGGGTTCTAATCTAAGATAATATACTATTTATATATTAAGTATATACTAAGTACTACCTATCACCTATAGACTAATAATTAAATAGAGTAGCTAAATAGTATACTTAAGTAATATCTTTAGAGATATATAAACTTCAAATAAGATAATTAGATAGACTACCTACCTATTATAGAGTTTATATATAATAATATATATTAGTTATCTATCTAGAATACCTTATTCTATATAGTTATAGGAGTAGACCTATAGGTGATAGCCCTAAATACCTAAAGGGGGGATAATATTACCCCTAGCTTATATAAGTATATAGAGTATTTATAAAGGATAAGACTAGAAGCTATAAATAGAATTAAGAAAGCCTAGGAGTACTAGTAAAGATATTAAAACTAGAAGAGGATTATAAAGAACTTCTAGATTAGTAATAAAATCTAGGTTAGTACTAAGAACTAGTTATAGATAAGACTAAGTAAGAAGCTTAATTAGTTATAGACTAGTTTACTAAGGGTAATAGAATAGGTAAGAATAAATACTTATTATATAAAACTTTTTATAGATCTAAAGATTTATAATATCTTTTATATTTTTATGCTATAAAGATATAAGGAAATAAAGGGTATAGACTCTATAGAGTATTTCTTAATAAGACTTATAATAAAGGAGACCTATAAGTATTATCTAGAGAAGATCTTAGACTTATATAATAATAGTAGATTAAGGGAATTATTAGTCTAGTAGAAAGGATAGGAACCTAAGAGAGATACTTAAGAATCTATAATAGGCCTATAATATATAGATATTTATAAGGAATATAATTTATAAGTAGGGAGAACTTTAGCTTAATTAAAATAAAAGAGAAAGTAATACTTATAATAGATATAGGTCTATACTATTATATTAAGGCCTTAGGCACCTTATTTATTATATAATCCTAGTCTAGTAAATATATAAACTATAGGAGAAGATATCTATACTAAGGAGTAAGACTATTATTAGAAGGAGGTATCTTAACTTATTAGTAAGTATACTCTTATATAATATAGATAGTTAATATACTTCTACTTAATACCCTTAAAAGTATACTATATAAAGAATAAGATACCTAAAGACTATCCTATTATTACTTAGTAGTACTATATATACTTATAACTATAGGATAGGTAGTAATTAGCATAAGTTATAAGAATAGTCTTATAATATTATATATAGATTACTAGTATTAAGCTAGGAGTAAATCTATAATAGTAAATATATCTTAAGACTAATAAGAATACCTATTAATATTTATAGCTAGATAGAGGCTTAGCACCTATCTATAGGATAAGATCTAGAAGTATAATAGATATCTATATAGTCCTAGAGTTAAACTATATATTAGATAGATATTTAATAAAATAAGTATAAGCCTACTCCTTAATTATTATACCTACTAGAGGTAGTATATCCTAAGCTACCTATATAAATAGGCTATTTAGGATAGGGAGAGGATTCATAATAAATTAATCCTCTAACTAAAATATTTAATATATAACTATAAAGAGTAGTTATAGAGTAGCTTATTTAGTTTACTAGCTAAGGGACTACTTATATTAGAGTTATAGAATCTTAATATAGAGGCTAAATAAGAAGGGAGAGGAACCTAGACCTAGGACCTAGTAGGAGCTAGAGAAGTAGTTATTATTATTACTAAAAGAAGAGAGATTCTATAACTTATAGATTAAGTAAGAAGAGAGGAGGGGTATTAATAGAGATAGATATAAAATTTTATATTTATAAAATCTATAAGTTAACTAAAGTTATTAAAAAAGAAGTATATAGGGGTTTATTTATTTATTTATAAGCTATAGAAATAATCTATAGATAAGAATATTATATAAGATAAGCTTATAATAATACTCTACTTAAAAGATCTTATTATAATTAAGAGATAAGAGAAGAACTACTTATAGATAACTTAGATTACTATCTATAGATATAAAGATATTATATAAGAAGATAGTTATCCCTACTTATAAATAAAGAAATAAAGATACTTAAAATACAAGAAAGATAGATAGAATCTACTTATCTTTAATAATAAATAATAAGTAATAGATAATAGATAATAACTTAAGAAGAGAGAAAAGAAGATTATAAAAGGCTAGAAATATTATTTTTTAAGAGAGGAATATATAATTATCTTAACTAGCTATTTATATAATAAAAATAAGCTATAAAGTCTTTAATTTTAGATCTTTATAAATAATAAGAGCATCTTTTTCCTATATTAGCTATAATTTTTACTCTTATAGAGAGGTTTTTTAGGCTTTTATATAATTTTTTAATAGCTATACTATATAGAGGAGGCTTATAGATTAGGAAGACTATAAGGTACTAAATACTAATTATAAAGATTATATTTATAAAGGCCTTAAGAGACTAAGGCCTATAAGAGAGGGGGGTAGTTATAAGGCCTCCTAATAATATAATAAAGATATCTATCTTACCTATATAAGGGTATCTCTTAGTTAGCCCTTACTAAGTAATAGGTCAGGTAAATTCTCCCTTATAGAGGAAGAATCCTAATCTAGTATTAATCTACTTAATTATCTGAATTCTTAAAATCTAAGCTATATAGTATCTATTCTTTCACACTAGTCATATCCCATATATGAAACCTAGTGTTCTCACACTTTCTTTACTCTTAATCTAAAAAAATTAAATAATATATTAAGTACCTTCTTTAGCTTCTTTATGAGTTTTATATTTATATAATTATATTTTTAGAATATACTAAAGCTATAATATATTAAGTCTTTAGTATCTATAAAGATCTCTTTAATTATTTTAAAAATTTAATAAAGCTCCTTAAAAATAAGAGATAATATTAAAAATAATAACTTTATAAAGTTCTATAAGTTATATATACTAAGCTAAAGAAATACTATAAGAAGACTTATAATTTTTATAATTTTATTTATATTATTAGTATAATTCTTAATCTATATTAGGAGCTTTTATTTTTTTAAAATACTTCTTAGGCTAATAATAGCTATAATTAGATTAGAGAATATTACTATAAGCTTAAGAAGATCTTTAATTATTATAAGAAGAAGTATTTATATACTTAAGCTTTATTATTTATTTAAGTACTATTAATTAGCCTAAATTATATTTTTTATAAGTTAAAATAGTACTAAATTTTACTAGATAAAGAGGTTATTAATAATAAATTTTTTAATTATCTTAATAAATATAAGTTATTCTTCTCTTATTATTCTTTTATTAATCTAATTATAATAATATTTTAGATTACTATCTAAATACTAACTTCTTTAATATTCTTAACTAATAAAAATAAAATATATCTTAATTTTTAATACTTACTTTAATTACTTAAGACTTTCGTACTATTCTAGTAGCTAGTATTAGGCTAGAGAATCTATTTAATATACTACTACTACTAATATAACTACCTAAACCCTAATATAATATAATCTATTATACTCTTAATATATACTAATTAATTTAAAATTAATTAGGAATTCTAGATCTTACTTAATAAGGTTAGTAAGAGAGATATTAATATAGAGAATAATAATTAGAATAATCTAGATATTATACCTAATATTAATAAGAATAAAGAAGATTAAGGTAGCTTTAATAAAAATAATAAAGATAATAAGATAAATAATACTAATATTTTTATATCTTAGTAAGAGATAGCTAGTAGAGAGGGGTCTAATAAAGATAGTATTAAAAATCCTATTTATTTATAATATAGATTATTATTACTTAAGTAGTATCCTAGGCCCCTACTACCTCTTAATTATTATAATCTTACTATATAGCCCATCTACTAGGGTATTTTAAAAATTATATTAAGGGGTAAGTTACTAGATAGGTTATTTTAAATATAATAGAGAAGTTCTACTTTATTATATAGTCTTTATAAAATTTAACTATAGTTAGAATACTTAATTAACTTAATCTATTTTAAACTATATAATACTTCTATAAATATCTTTAAATAGGTTAGGTAGTTTTACCTACGTTTAAAAATTATAAAACCTATAACTAGCAGTTTTAACTAAACCTAAAACAGGTCTAGGATATAGAAACTAAACCTAAAGTAATTCCCTAGGCTTACCTTTAACCCTGCACTGCTGTGAGTTTGGTGAGGTTTAGGTTTGATTTCTGCAGTTCAGTTATGCAACTCTAGGTAAGACTGTCAAGGTAAGACCATCACAGAGCACCAACTACAGAGAGGTAGATGCTTTTGTCAGATAATTTCCCTCTTTTAGATAGCTATTAAAAATTACTTATATTCCACTATCTAGGTGACCTAGATAGCTTCATCTTCATGCCTTAATACTGTAGGTTTCATAGTATATATAAGAGGTTATAATTCCTTACTCTCTACCTAGGGATTTAAATAAAATTATTCTCTAGGCCTAGACCAACAATCTTCAGCGAATCTCTCCAAAGGCGGTCCTCCTCCTCAGGGTTATAGGTCTGCCTCACCCATCCAACTCCTAGGACCTGACCATCATCCGGACCCCGCTCTGCTTCCCGGACATCCTCTAAATATTTGCCACCATTATTCTCCCACTCTTTGCTCACAGCAGCCCAGACGGTCGTTGCTGCACCCTGTTCCGCTGACTTCAGGATCTTCAGAATGTATGGGTTGGTCATAAGTCCCTCCAGGAACTCAGGGGGCATGTTGCGGGAAATGTCGGTGTTGATGGCACCGGGATGCAGACTAGTGGCATGCAGTCCTTGAGCACTATAGTCTCTCTCAATCTTGTTGGCCAAGTACACGGCCGCCAGCTTGGAATTGCTGTAGGCTATCTCATGGCTGTATCCGCCTTTTTCGAAGTTGTAGTTATCACTGGCGGGGAGAGTGGCGGCGCGGTGTGCAGAGGAGGCCACCACGACCACACGGGAATGGAAGTCAGGTGTCACGCTGGCCAGCAGAGCTTGCTTCAGCAGTTGGAAGAGCAAGAAGAATCCCATATAGTTGCCAGAGAAGTGCGCCTCAATTCCATCCTCAGTGAGCGTGTAGGTCTGCTGGCCCATCACTCCTGCATTGTTGATGAGGATGTTAACCTGGCCCTGTGTGGCGGAGAGGATCTGCTCCGCACCAGCACAGATGCTCTTGAAAGAATGTAGGTCCATCCCAACGAGCGAGACAATGCCGGGCTCGAGGATACCGGCCAGGTTCTTGTGGGCCTTCGCCAGGTTGCGGGCCGTGAGGAACAGAGTGGCTCCCGTGGCCTTCAAGGCGCGGGCGGTCTCAACACCGATGCCTGACGTGGCGCCAGTGATAACAATCACCTTGCCAGCCAGCTTGCCTTTGACACCCTCATCTTGGATGATCTGGAGGGCGGTTGGTCGGGCGTCCCCGGCGCCTTGAGGATTGAGATGCGCGGCAGCGTAGGGACTTGAGGAGCCCATCTTGTGCAGCTTGCTAAAGGAGGTTGCAGGAGGTCAAGCATGTGATGAGAAAAGTAGTGAGATCAGCTTGATGAGGTTCTTTATCCACTGCCATGAGAGAGGTGTCTACTTTTAAGTTATAAGTGTGTGTAGATCTCCCTGGAACCCTGGATCTATCATCCAGGCTCTGTAATATTACGCCCCGGTACAATACCGGGCAGCGGCCGAAGGAACGGCCCTGCTTATTGCGGGTGTTGCGGCCGCAGCTTCCCCGCTCCCGCTCTCGGGTTTTTGGGCCTGAGGCCGACAAAGTCCGTCTGTCCTGCCACCTCAGCTAAACACTCATTCCCGATCTATGCACACCATGCAGATTGCAGACCCCTATTCGTGGTTTATTCGAAATCAAACTCCACCATGGATACTAGAGATTGATTACAATAAAGTGATGAAGAGACACACAGTCTGGCAATTCACCTCTTATCTGGCCCTGCACTCTAGCCACCACCATGCTTCCACATCTTAAACCATATCTCCTACTCGCCATTACCCTCACACTCACAGCTTCAACCACCCTGTGTCTCACTCTCCACACCAACACCACCCCCCAAACCAGCGCGATCCAGAAAATCGCCAGCCTCATCCACGGAGGCCCTTCATCCCTGAACCTCTCCCACATCCACAACCCGCATACTAACACCAACCCCATCAACCACACCACCTACCAACTCGGCGATACAAACTTCTACAGCTTCACCTTCTACCTCCATGAAGAATGGCAATTCCCCCTCCGCAGCGCCTTTTACCTCGCGCAGTTCACCGCAGACTTCTCCGACCAGACATGCAACGCGTACCGTCCGTCGGGCCTTGTCTACGTGCAAGGCGACCAGCTCCATGCCCGCGTCCTCGTCGGGACGCCCTGTGCGCCTGCCTTGACCTACTTCGAGGACCTGGGGCCCGTGCAGGTCGGGAAGTGGCATCGGGTGAGCATTATGGTGAAGTGGGCGGCTGATGAATCTGGGTTCTATCATTTATGGTTCGATGGCGTCAAGGTCCTAGAGAAAGAGGGGATGGAGACGATGATTGACGATCCGAGGGTTTTTGAATTCGGGCTGTGTGGAGGGTTGCGATGCTCTTGATGGTAGGTAGTATCTGTCCTCCTTGGTCTGTCGGGGAGTGGTTTGGGGGGAAACTTTGCTTTGTGTAGAGTGGATTGGATTGCTTGCAAGCAACCACGCGATTCTTTGGGCCCTTTTGGACTCGGTTCGATTTACCTCTGGTCTACATTATGCATTATACTTGCCGCCACAGAACCAGGGACACCCTTCAACCCGCCGTTGAACTCTCATACCGCAGCAAACTATTCCGAGCCGTCGCATTGAGCACATACCCCGGCAGCCTGGGCTGCGGAATCTCCGGCGAGACGTTCGGGTCCGCGCCCGCCCGGTCCCCAAAATAGTCCGACGCAGACCCCAGGGGCGCGATGATCGAAGTCGCCTGGTTCGGCGTCGGCGGGAGATGCGGGCTACTCGGTCGGAAGAGCGGGTGGATGTTGTTGTCGAGGAGGGACTCGCGGGAGGCGGAGAAGGGGTCTGTGGTATTGGCATGAGTCTTGCCGTCGGAGAGTGTTGGGCGGCGGACGACCGTGTCGATGGAGGGGTTTGAGCGGAGGGATCCGGTGCGGCTGCTGGGCGGATGGAAGTAGAGCGGTTCCATTTCCCTCAGGGACCTGTAGTCCGGGGCAGGGGATGTAGTTCTCAAGATGCTGGTGTGCACGCTCATTTCGCTCTGCGGGGAGGGCAGGGGATCAAAGAGGGACGACGTTCTGGAGAACGATGAGCCTTTCCATTGTGGGCTCGGGGAAGGGGAGATGAAATTGATTGTCGAGAGAGCGGCGTCTGCTGTTCGGCTTGTATCGATGGATAGCTTGGAGACCCGGTGGGAGTGGTTGTCGAGGATATTCGACAAGACAAAGGAAAGGGCGCAGAGGAAGCCCTGGCAGTATGCTGCGATGGCCCAGACGACGCCGTGGGCGATGGTCAGGGTGAAGCGCGGGTCGGATCTGCTTGTCTCTGGACGATGGGCACTCAGACTCCATATTGTTTCGCCGCTAACGGTGCCGATGTTGATGAAAATGAGGATGCTGAAGAGGGCTCGGGCGCGGACTTTCCCCAGGCGCCATTCGGTGACTCGTGTCTCGCTCTCTAGGAAGAGTCGGTAGGAGAGAAGCCCTACGAGTATGAGATTGAGCGCCGTGAGGCCGATTCCGGTCCACTTGATGGGAATAAGGTCATCCGATGTGAGGTCATGTAGTTGATATAAGGCAATGGAGATGATAAGATCGATGAGGATGAAAAAGGCGGTGGTACTGCCCACGAGGCAGACAAGCACAATTCTGCTCATGGTCTCTCTGAAAAGGGTATCAAATAGAAACAGGACTTTTGAATGAAGGAGATATAAACGAGAGACTGAGACCATATAGCTGCCAGCTGAGGTCTGATATAAGTTCACAAGAGAATATTAGGGAGAGTCATATTGAAAGCAAAGGAACGATATCGGGAAAAGCATTCCCAATGCCTGGAATATCCCCCACGTCTGATATAAAGACACTAAATCGGATGATAGCAAGATGATGACGCCTACAATGCATCACAAGTAAGCCACCCCGGACGAATTCGAGACTAGTCGCTAAGCCCAAGGCCAAGAGGGACAGAAAGCCGGATAGACTCGTCGCAGACTCGGACCAACCACTAGTGATCGACTTCACCAACAATGCCCTTGGAAAGTGAGTTGTAACTTATAAACCTGACGAATCGAGTAATCTACCGTCTATTCTCTTCGTGATTGTCATTGAAACCCCGGTCCAGGATCCGTGTTCCGGGTTTCAGCTGGCACTAGGATTCCTAGTGCAGACGTAGTGCCCCATTGGCGCCGATACCAGTTGGTTTCCCTGATTGATACCCTTGACGGCTTTGGTGCATTGGCCGTGCCGGGAGATTTCTCAGTGAGCCACAGTAGTCTTGATCCAATCGGATTTTATGTCGTTTTCCAGTCTCGGATGCTGTTCCTTGATCGTTGTACCGCATGGTGTCAGGACAGTAGGCGACGACATCTATGGTATTTATGATAATTAGATTCCTTCAAGAACAAGGAATGGATAATGCGGAATTAGGCAGCTACCATTGGTTGACTTCTATGAAATAAGATCATTTGGAGAGGTCACTCAATTGAGATAAGGTGGGCCATACATATATACTCACTTCTATAAACAAATCTAAAGCAGGATATACTACGCCCATCCCTCTGCACAACAACCAACAGCCTGAATCAACATGATCCACCATCAGTCAAGCCCCTTCCGCGTTGACAAAACCCTGTTGTGAGATGGAGGAAGTTCGTACCAGATTCACAGACTTTGATATTGTGGTTTGGCTTCATTCCTACGGTATACTCCGCCCGTATATATCACTGGATGGAAGCGGCGACCTGAGATCAATTCCTGCTGATGATAGCAAAGGTTTTATTTTGACTGTTGTATACAAGATAGATAATCTTGCTGCAATGGGCCTCGACCACATCCAGAGCAACATCAAGACCAAATCAACAGGAGCCAGGAACCTCATCTCTCCTTTCTAGACATCTACTCCGTACATCAACATCTATTCCTTCAACCCCATCAGATACCGCACCCCGGAGTCCAACATCCACCACGCCGTCAACTCATGCACCCACCTGCCCACCCCCGTCTCCAACGGCATCACCACCTTCTCCCCCACCGGCCTCCACATCAGCGTCTCATTCATAAACACCACCCGCCCATCCCCATCCTCCGTCAAACTCACCACCAGCCGCCCCTGGATAACCCCCATCGGCTTCAGCGCAAACTCCACCCTCTCCGCCGTCCGCAGCACCACCCGGTACGCGCCGCACACGGAATCCCCCTCACGGAACTCCAGCGCCTGGATCCGGGCCGCGTCGAAACCAGGCTTCTCCGCCGCCGTGCTCATCGCCCGCAGGATGTACGCCTGCGGGAGCCGCGCGAACCGGCTCATGTTCCGCTGCAGGAAGCGCGTCAGCAGATCGTGCGTGCTGAGGTTGGGGAGCTGGGCGCGCGGCACGGCGGTCGAGGCCGAGTCGTAGACTGCTGTTGTTTGTGCGGTGAAGACGCTTTCCGGGGCCGTGGTGATGTGTGTGGCGAGTGAGCGAGGGAGGTGGCCGTGCTGGGATTTGGTAATCAGGCGGGATCTGAGGGTTTCGTGGTAGAGGTAGATGCCGATGGCGGCGGTGCCGAGGACGGCGGATGTGAGGGGTATGATGGATTTCATTGTGGGGTGGTAGTTAGTTGGGGATGGATAAATAAAAAAAAAAATAGAGGGAAAGGGAAGGAGATATTCTGAGTGTTGGGATGGATTTTATATAAGAAAGTTTTGAGGTCTTTTGGAGGATGCGGCGTTACGAGTGCCGAATACGAGGTTTGACGGCGTTATGACCTTTATGCTTGACTCTATTGTTAGACACCCGGTGGTTGGTCAGTATATGGTGTTTAATAAGGTATTTTTCAAGGAACAAGATTCCATCAATATCTTCCACCTTTGAGATTTGGTAGCTTGAATTATTTGTGTAACTGTGGATAGCCTCATATTTGCCGGATCAAAGATAAAAACTCAAGGGGAATGATAAACAGTTGCATAATGCGTTTATTTAGTGCGTAGAAGGAGTAATACCTTCATTGTTTCTTGTACTCTTTGTTCTAGATATAGGTATCTGGTCCAGGCAGTTCCTGGAGAAGACATACAAAGCCATCATTGTCCTAAAATCAAAGACTGCTTGCGACATATCTTTCACAATGACGGTGAAACTTTCCGACATTCACGACAAGAAGCAAGACATAATAGGATATTAAGGTGCCACAAGCCCTGGCGCGAAGAAGAGTGGTATAAATACGCACTCGACTCAGTCTTGAGCGCTTCCAATTATTCTATCATCCACGATTTACTCATCACCCTCCACTTACAATTATTATTCTCCAAATCAGGCCAACTCGACCACCAGAAACTGAATCGAATGTATTTCTCTGGCCAAATGAGCCTCCCACCTAAACTCCGCCAGCAGATCGCTGAGCATCTGTCGCCTGAAGATACCTACCGGTTCCTTCGCGCGGCGCCTTCCATGGCTCAGACCATGACAAGGCAACATCTGGAGAAGCAGGATGAAAAGGGGCACACAGCCCTGCACTTCGCCATTCACGAAGGAGACGAGAGCACGGCGCGTCTCATCGTCAACCGCATCACGAACGTCTCCCAAGAAAGCAATCGCGGTGTGACCCCTCTCCATCAAGCGGTCCAAGATGACAATGTCGGTATTGCTAAGATGCTCATCCACGCCGGGGCTGATCTAGCCACAGAAGACCAGTGGGGTCGCTTCCCGCTGCACTTGTTCTGCGCGATGAGAGACGAGCCTGAGACCGAGGAGCTGGTGCAGCTCGCGCTCTCGAAAGGTGCGGACCCCAACGCTGAAGACATCTTCGGTGCTTCAGCCATACACTATGCAGTTCAATATCCGTGGTCACCCAGCCTGGATGTCCTCATGGCACTACTCAATGCAGGAGCTGATCCACGATCCTCGGATAAGGACGGCCTCACGCCTCTCTTCTGGACGGTTCACCACAGCCACGCGGAGGCGTTTGAGCTCCTCCTCATGGCCGGGGCCGACCCGCTTGCGAATAGTAAGCATGGGACGATTCTACACGCGGCTGTTGAGGCGGGTCGAATTGATTTTGTGCTTCGGGCTATCCTGCTCGGTGTGGATTTGATGGATAGGCAGAATATTCTGAACGAGACGCCCCTGATGATTGCTTCGAGACGGAGGTTTGCTGACGTGGAGCAGATTCTGATTGATGCGGGGGCTTTTATTTGAGGTTTGGACTGGTGAGTGCTTCCCTCTTTCCTTGATATGATTTTATACTGGGTATGCCAAGTCTAGTTCGTCAGTTTATTGAATGTCATCACCAGGAAGAAAACAGTGTGTCCTTTTGAAGTAGATAGATCCCCTGAATGTAGTCATTGGCATATAAGCAGTGTAAAGTCATAGTTTAAGATATGGATGCCTTGGCCGGTTCAGGCATCTGTTCGCGTGACCACAAGAAAATCAACACTTGAAGGGGAAAGCCATGAAACAGACCATTTCCACTTAGTAGATACTGAGTACTCTGGAGGAGGTAACGCTCAGATACAGAATCAATCGTTTCCCTGGAAGAGACTGAGATTATCATCATCCCGATACTCTTCTCTGATACTCTCTGGGATGGAGACTGATACATAGCAGTGCCGTGGCGTAACAGTCGGTCAGGTATTGGCAGCCTTCCTGCAGATGGCTCGTGGGCTTGACTCGTGACTGGAAAGAGATTCTATATTAGATTCTCACCGCATATTGCTAGGTTCCCGGTTTTTCTCATTGATATTACCAATTTATTGATCTCCCAAGAGACTGTCTAAAGACGAGAACCCTGGATTTCTCCACCAAGATCTCGCGGGGGGGTCTATGGGCCTGGGGCATCTGTCAATGTCAGTCGGCGAATGGAGCGTGACTTTTCCCAAAACGGCGGGATTCGCCGACCCACAAATCATGATGTCGTCGCTTTCTTTGACTAAACCGTAACTTTTGGGGCAAACTGGAAAAGCCCCCCAAAGTCCAAACTCCAAAGGCTCGCTCTCGGATACCTCCAGTCATCTTTCTCCTCCATCGCATCATCCGTCCCCGCGATGACAACATCCGTTTATCCTCCTCATCCTTCGTGATCAATCACCATGGCAGATCCGTCCACCCACAATGGCCAACAAGCGCCCACTACAGAAGCCTTTCCCGTGTCCGTTTCTGGCAGCACGACCAGACCAGAATCTCCGACCGGGAGCAATGTCTCGCAGCGGCCTGTTCGCACAGACGCAGCAGGGAGCTTAAATGCGCTGGAATTGCGACATATTCCCACTCAGAGCGATACCGAGCTGGACGATCTCTCCTCGAATTCCTTGTCTTCTTCGGAATGCCGAATCGTTCCCTATCGGACGGTCACCCGAAGCACCACGAGCGAGGTCCCGCGCAAGGGGCTCTGGGGGGACATCCACTGGTTCTGGACACACAACGTGGTTTTGACAGAGCCGCAGAAGAGTAACCGTGATCATTTTGGTGAGTAGACCTTGCTGCTGGGCTTGAGATTTTGTCCATTATGGGAGGGGTTTTTTACGTCCAATTGGGTTACGAATGGAAACAAGTACAATAATATCGAAAAAGCAATGCAGGCTAACTAACGGCTTCTAGCATTGGAGCGAACATTCTTAGCGTACGTTCGGACTTCCGTCACGGTTGCGATGCAAGGGGTCCTCATCGCTCAGCTGTTTCGCCTGAGGCACTCTCCTGCTGACGAGGGGCCTCTGTCTTATTTCAGCGTCGGGATCCCCTTGGCCGTGACTTGCCACTGTGTGGCTATTCTGATCGCCTTGATGGGCGCACATCGCTTTTGGACGCAGCAGAGCGATGTGGCCTCTGGCAAGGTCCGTGCTGGAGGATGGGAATTGAATGGGATCGGGCTGCTCATTGGTCTAGTAGGTGTGCTGAGTTTGTCGGAGAAAATAACTTGCTAACATAGCACAGCTCAATCTCGTCCTCTTTCTACTGACGATTGTTGTAATGGCGACTGGTCATCATTGAAGCCGCCCATATCGCTGAACGACACATTCAACAGTTTACATTCACCACGGCTTGTTGAGTTGAAGTCATATAGACAGCATGAGTGCAGTTTGGAGCTCTATTGAACTAATCTAGCGCGACGGCCATCTCAACAGACATCCCATTCTACTTCCAAAGCAAGACCAGCGCAAAAGTCTTGTGCTGTTCCAGGTCGCTCTGAAGACCGCAATCGTGGCACCGGGCTCGAGGTTGAGTCCATCCATCACTGCGCACAAGCCGGTTGAAAACAGGCCGAGCGCAGCGAACAGCTTCAAGTCTGTATCGGCGGGCACTCTTGCGAGACTCGACTTGCTCACGACGGCGCGGCGCGCACACGAGCTCTGGCCGAAGAAACTGCCAAAAAAGGTTGCGGCCGTCCTTCGTGGTGAGGGGGTGAGGGTGCCGTCAAGTCGGACTTGACCGTTATTGAGTTCGCCGAATGAACGCAATGGGCCGGGTGACCCTCTTTGCAACTGGGGCAGTTCTCGCATCTGGCGAAGCTGAGGATGATCTTGTCGTTGGGTTGGACGTGCGTGACATTTTGGCCGGTTTCGAACACGATTCCGGAGGCTACATCAACTCACCACCAACCATCTCTCCTCTGGGGGATGAAGGGGTGGGGAGATTACCTCCATGGCCCATGAGACAGGGGAATCGGGCAGGGAAAGTCCCTCTCATACAGGCGAGATCCACCTCACAGCTCACTGTGGTGTGGATATCGACCAGGGCCTCATCTGGCTGGACGGGGTTGAGACGGATTGTCCGCAGGCTGAGTCCTGGAGTCTTGGGCATACAAGGGCTTCGGTAGTCATTTTGATCTGTGTGATGGGGACTTGGTGATAGGGAGATACTAACGGGGGCATGCGGCCTCGATAATTTTGTTTGTTGGGGATGATTTCTTTATACGTCACGTTTGGTGACTTGCTGATGACTCGGGAACTTGCACTATGTACGTTGGACAGTGGCCCACAGCCCATCATGCAGCATCCTTGGGACAAGCGGCGGTCAGGGAAAACAATTTAGTAGGAAAGATGCTGACTGACATGCAGGGTATTATAGAAAACAATTCACATTGGATATCATGATTAAGTACTTGAATGGTATGGGGTATATTAGTATTATTTCCAGCATCTCCGGGGTCGACATGATGGATCACTTTTGGCGCCTGTTAGCTGCGCCCAATAATCCCCTTAATCAACGAGACTTACCTAGACCTCAACGGTCTGCATCTGCGCAGGCTCCGCAGCCACTGGAGGCGCAGGTGCATGCTCCTTCTTGGTCAGGGAGCGATAACCGGGGACATCGGACTCCAGGACGCCACAAATAGCCAGCACAATGACGATGAACAGCGCGAGGAACAACAGCCTAGGTAAACTCATCAGCATCGCCATCAACCCACCACCTCTCGGATGGAAAATGAAGAGGGGAAAAAAAAAACCCCCACCACAACAACACCGCAAACGCAATCACCGCATTCAAATAATCCGAATAACTCGTCCAACCGCCCAGCCCGGCCGCGATATCCGCAAAACACGCGAGCCAGAACACCATGGTCCCGAAGAACGCCGAGGCGAGGCCATACGAGAGGATCGCGTTGAACTTGGAGCTGGCGCCGGCGCCGGCCTTGGCGCGGAAGAACCACGGCAGCGCGACGGCGGCGGCGCACACGAGCAGCGTCCACACGGACGTGAAGATGAGGAAGGCGAGGATGCCCGGGACGGTGTAGTTGACGGTGTAGGTGTAGCCCCAGGAGTAGACTTCGTGGGCGCCGGTGTAGAAGGAGGCGACGTGGGCGCTGAGGCCGAGCTCGATGACGGCGAAGACGAAGCTGGTGCCGAGGAGGGCGAGGGGGACGAGGGGGGGGAGAAGCATCGTCATTCTTGTCGACTGGGAGTCTGTAGATCCTACGGAGTAGACAGTAGCTTTCGGTGGTGGTGGTGGTAGTGGGGAGGGATGCGTGCCTCGGAGACGGGACAGGCTGGGCTTGCATACCCTATTTAACATCTCATCTCGACATTCCTCTTTAAAAAAAAAAAAAAAAAAAAAGAAAGAAAAAAAACTGCCATGGATACAGTGGAAAACCGATCACACTTCACAGTCATACTCACACTTTCCCACTCCTTTTCGTGTCGCAAGCCTCCGCATCATCCTCCTCGGATCGTGTCCCAATCACCGCGGGCCAAAAGCGCCCCGCGAGTGCTTGACAGCGCAAAGGAGTGCAGGAATCGGGGAATTCTAGGCGAGGTGCTCGTATATCTGAACAATCTCTACCCAGTGGATGATACTCCATAGTCCACACACCTCGTACAGACGGCACGGGGCCTTCTAGTCGGTGGGACTCAGGGACTACTCCGTAATCTCAGGGACTGGTCTCGGTGTGTTGGTGAGACAGGCTAGGTGTTTCTGCCCAATCTCAGACTTACAGAGAAGCTGGGCCTGACGATCTTTACAGGTAGCTAGTAGCTAGCTAGTAACCCAGTACTAGGTTAAGTGGAGCTCGTACCCAGGGCTGAGAGTGAGATTTGATGAGTTTAATTCATCAGTAGTCACGACAGAGTAGATCCAATACCTTTGAGTCTCTGACTCTGAGGAACTGAGAATCCAGCCTGCATCTTTTAAGTTTTTTTTTTTTTTTTTTTTTTTTTTTTTTTTGCTTTCTCTTGCTTGGTTTCACACTGGGGCTAAGACAGTTAGTGAAGTATATTCCTCGTATTCCCTCCTCTCTCGCAAAATGAGGATGTGACGGCCTTGTGCACAGCCTTAACAGTTAACGCCGTCGACATGTGCCGGTGAGTCAGGCTGGCGATTCGGCTGTAGCTTGGACAATATCATACAAGGCAGATTTGTACTGCGTCTGCATCTGCATCTCTACCTCGAGGCTATTACAACTCTTCCTGCAGATGAAGGAGCTGGATAAGGGCAAGCGAGGCTGGTGCCTGATCTGTGGCTTGTAGCTTGTAGCTTGTAGCTTGTGGCTCGGCTTCAATCACAGCTGCGTTCATGCTGTCGCTACTTCGTCATATTGCGAGAACCATTTATCAGATTTGTGGACTTGGATCGATCGGTTGGGAATGGCAGGAACGGGGGTTATCGATGCCGCTGAGTGTTCAACGCCCGATGGTTTTCAATTCATGCTGGGGGATGCCGTACTTCAGTGAATTAGATGAATGAATAATTCGTAAGCCTTTTGATCCTTATCTGACTACGGCTTCACAAACTTGAACCTTTCCCCCTCAACTCCCAAAAACCCCCCTCCCCAGCAAAAACGGCGACGGAATCCGCTGCCCATCTGCATACAACCGCAGGAGAATCGGATTCAGCCACACGGGCGTCGCCCACAGGAAGAACACGCTCACCCACACGTACCCCACCACTCTCCTCATCCGGACACTCATCTGCTTGATCGTCGCGTGGCATGTCGACCACACCAGATTCTCCAGCAGGATGCCGGGGACCTGCAGACAGAAGAACCACAGCCCCCCGCTCTGGTCCAGCGAGACGCCGAACCCCAGGTCCATGAAGAAGTGCACCAGCCCCGACACGGCAAAGGCGAGGATGAGCCGCAGAGAGCGGGCGAGTGTACCGGCTGGGAGACGGAGGATGCGGGAGAGCACGAAGTCTGCGTTGGAGGTGATGAGTTGGCGGAGGATCTGGTGCCAGGCGATTCTTTTTCCAGTCCGTCAGTATACATAACCCTTCCGACTTGTAATTTTTTTTTTATAAAAAGAATTTGAGACGGAAAAAAAAAAAAAAACTCACCCCCAAACCCGCGTCAACGAGTACATCTCCCCCACCTCCCCAAAAATCGGCGGCCAGTCGACCGGCTCCCACACGCGCGCCAGCACCAACACCCCCGCCACGAGGTTATACGTCCCCAGGATCGCCGCCCGGGTCACACACCCAAACGCTACGCAGAAAAGCACCTGCACCACCGCCCTGCGGGTCGTCCACCCCTCCCACCACGGCCACAGCACGACCTTCCCCTCCACGAGGTCCGGGATGACGCGCGCAAGTGCCTCGTCGCGCGCGTCGACGGTGCAGAGCTGCAGCACGAGCAGCGACGCGAGGACCTTGAGGGCGCAGGCGCGCAGAAACACCGCGCGCGCCGGCACGGCGGTCGGGTCCGCGGCGTTGAAGGGCGGCACTGCGTGGATCTGCCAGGGGGTGTTGATGCGGCGGTAGTTGAAGGGTGTTTCGAGGGACCAGCGCAGGCGACGGAGGTGGACGCGGAGGCGGGTGTCGCTGTTGGTGTCGGTGTTGAATTTCTTGCCGGTTGATGATTCCCAGGCGATCTGTGCGGCGAACGAGACACGGCTGAGGAGGAGAAGGTCGATTGCATTGAGCACGTTCACCCAGCACATTGCGGCGAGAGGGCCGCGGGCGCGGGTTTGGGCGAGCGAGTGCGGCGTTTGGAGCTGAAAGGAGGCGGCGAGGGCGAGGATGGCGACGGTGACGGCGGGTCTAAGCTTCGAGGAGGCCGGTGCGAATGCGATCGTGCATCCTGTGAGAAGCTGCACGAGGATCCATTGTGTAAGGGGGATGATCCAGGTCGATGGTGAGGCCATCGGAGGCGGTACAGGTTACGAGGGGAGGAAGGAGGTTGTTGGTTTTAGCATGATGGGCAAGGCAGACTGGCAGATCGATTGATGGTCTGGTCGGGCTGGCTGCATGGTGGCACAGCTGAGAATGGAGAGTGAGATGCATGATGCATCCCTTTATTCACTTAATAATAATAGAGGTTAGCTGTGTGCATCCGGCCCACTGGCTATTGGTTTTGCAGGGACTCATCAGGATTTAGCTCGTAATTAGTGGGCGATCATTCATTCATCCTCCTCCCTTGATCCTTGATCCTTAGGGTAGGAGTCTACACTGTAGGACTAGGAGTCTAGAAGTCTACTTGTGTAAGGTAGAGCAGTTCAACAGGCAGTAACAGTGTAATTGTAATAATAATAATATCTACATTCCAACTATCAGTACTATCAGTAAAGAGGATCTTTATTTACAGGATCATGCACGGATACCCCAGATCAACACCACAACAGCTGATTATCTCACCACTCCATGAGTCTCGCCACCTTCACTATCGATCATCCCACTCCCCAGCATCTTCCCCCGCAATTTGACACCAATTGAGTTCTCATTCTCGAGACCATGAGATATCCATGATCTCACCATCCTCTTTCAGCCTCCAATCACCATTCCCTCAGCAGTCGGATCGCGTGCCATCAGCCCACCCGCGGGATCGGTCGCCCAATGTCACAACGGACAATGCCTGCTTGTCCGTGTCATCTGCCATTTCGTATGCGGGGATGAGAGTTCAAATGATGTTGTATAAGAACGAGCTCTGTTCTGTCCTTCGTTTACGTCTTTCTTTTCCCAGCATCAGCCAGACTCCCCCCGGGTCCATCTTAGTCAATCCACAACTATTCCATACTCACTAACCCACCCACAATGACCAAGAATCTCGTCAGTAGATGATTACTTACTGGTGTCTACTCGCACCCCCCTCACTGATGGCCCCTTTAGAGCTTCGACGTTTACTACTCCAACGAGCTCGCCCATGAGCAGTTCGGCGACGACAAGTCCCTCATCGAACAGTACCACACCCCTCCCCCTTCCCGCCCTCAACCTCAAAAACTCTTGCATGGTCAATTGACTAACGAAATGGGTCTCAAGTCTCCGCGATATCTATGATGGCGAGGACCTAGTCTTCCCCGACACCTTCGAGCACAGCGACACCACACCCCCGGTGCAGTATCTCACGTATGGATCCGACCTTCCATCAATTGATCTTATCTTCCCCAGCTGACGAGATAACAGCGTCGAGGCTCCTGACGACATGACAGTCGAGGAGTTGTACGAGGTAGAGGTTCCTCGGGGATTGATGGTGAGGATTGAGGAGTTGCCGCAGTAGTCGGTGGCTTATCTTTCCTCACCACCCCCAAATTGAAGTTTTGAGTTTTTTTTTTTTTGGTATTTGTTTTTTTGGTATGGATCTTGGATCTTTTGATGGTTGGAGGGACATATATATATACCTAGGAAATTACCCAGTGGAGTTTGTGGTTAGGATTGAATTGAATTGAATGAATTAAGTCATTTATATATGTTAAGTGATGCGTGTCGTCCTCCGGTTTCCAGAACGAGATCCGGTCAATCATTCCTGAAGGATGAAGCAGCTTCATGTTACGTGATGCCTTCTTGTGAGGGAGGAGGGGTCGTAAATTGTGTAGAGCTCAATCGGCCAACTCTTTTCTCCTATCACTTTTGAGGCATTTGTTGGGAAGGGGGAGGCAATCTCTGGCTGCTTAGTATAGCATATCATAGTAGTACCTACCTACTCCCCAAGTCGTTTTGGTGCGGAGTGATATGCTCTCTGACTGGATGGTTTGCTCGTTTCGTCCACTGTACTTGCGTAGGTTGTTCGGAGTTGTTGTCGTACTCCGGTTTTCGATGGTAGGAACTCTAATCTAGTTTAGTCTATGGGATCAGAATCCGATCAAGGATTTCCAGTTGTCCACAGCGTCGAGTGGGTACAGTACATGATGGATGGATCTCATCTTCACAGGCTTTGGCACTCGGCCGATATATTCATTGGGGCCCTAAAACCGATGATGGATGAGAATGAGGAGGGTGATACTTGAATACCATTGATGCTAGTAAAGAAAAGGAATGGCGTGTCTGGGGCCCCCTTTGGATTTGGTGACTGCAGATCCGGGGTGTATATCCTGTTATCATAGTTAAGATAGATGGAGTTTGGTGATGAAGTTCTACCTGGATTATTCAGTAGACAGACAGAACGTACAAGATACTTGGGTCAAGCAAATCTCCGAAACCACTGTAGACTGTAGACTGTAGACTCGTTCTTGTTCGACCTGCGAACTACGCATCATTGCATCATGGCGGGTCCCGCCCACTGTCAGGCAAAGTCGGGAGTGGAGCTGTGGAAGGCGCTGGCTCGGTATACTGTGCGAATTGCGACTCTAGAGTCTATACAAATCGCCATCGCTTCAACCCTGAATGCTGCCGCACGCTCGGCCGACTGCGATGTATCCGAAGTCCAGACAATGGCATTCATTGATCATTAGGTTATACCTTGCCAGGGCCGTGTCAAGACCGGATAAGACTTTTGGGGTGGGTCCTACGGTTGGCACCCGATCTGATACGATTCAACTATGACATTACTGAAATGCTTGAATATTGAGAGTCCTCGGTAATGAAGCTGACTCCATCTGGCCGGCTTCCTTGGACACTGGGATGGATGTAGATGACGTGGGTTTACACGGCCAGAGGAGTATAAATACCCCCTTCCCTACACCCCTCCTATCCCTACGATCATCAACAGTGTGAACAGACACATCTACACCACCCAACATGGCAAACCCTACACCTTTCACCTACGAAAATGAGGTCTTCATCAGCGGCCTCGAAAACGTCAAACCCCCCATCAGCTTCAACCCTCACGACTGGGAGGCCCTGGCCAAGGATATCCTCCCCGCCGAGAGCTACGGCTACGTCTGGGGCTCCGCCGGCCTGCGCGAGACCGACAACAACAACCGCGAAGCCTTCCGCAAGTGGGCGCTGATCCCGTCGCGACTCGTCAAGTCCGACTTCCCCAGCCTCAAGACCACCCTCTTCGGCCAGGAATACGACTACCCGATCGCCATCGCCCCGATCGGCGTCCAGCGCATCTTCCACCGCGACGGCGAGGTCGCCACCGCCACCGCCGCCCGCAAGCAGCACGTCCCCTACATCCTCAGCAGCGCCGCCGCCACCAGCATCGAGGACGTCGCGCGCGCCAACGCCGACGGCAACCGCTGGTACCAGCTGTACTGGCCGTCGAACGAGAACAACGAGATCACCGTGAGCCTGCTGGCGCGCGCGCGCGCCGCCGGCTACTCCGTGCTCGTCGTCACGCTGGACACGTACATCCTGGGCTGGCGGCCCTCGGACCTCAACAACGGGTACAACCCGTTCCTGCGGGCGGACAAGATCGGCGTCGAGCTGGGCTTCTCGGACCCGGTGTTCCGCCGGCGGTTCCGCGAGAAGCACGGCGTCGAGATCGAGGAGGACATGGGCACCGCGGCGTCGGAGTGGGCGCAGACTATCTTCCCCGGGCTGAGCCACGGGTGGGAGGACATCAAGTTCCTGCAGGACCACTGGGACGGGCCGATTGTGCTGAAGGGGATCCAGACCGTGGCGGATGCGCGGCGCGCGGTCGAGGCCGGCGTGCAGGGCATCGTGGTCTCGAACCACGGCGGGAGACAGCAGGATGGCGGGATTGGCTCGCTGGATGTGCTGCCGGAGATTGTGGATGCGGTGGGCGGGCAGATTGAGGTGTTGTTTGATTCTGGGGTGCGTGGGGGCGCGGATGTCGCGAAGGCGCTGGCGCTTGGGGCGAAGATGGTGCTCATCGGCCGGCCGTATGCGTATGGGCTGGCGATTGCCGGTGAGGCGGGTGTGTCGCATGTGCTCCGATGTATTCTGGGTGATTTGAATCTTACGCTGCATCTGTCGGGGATCCAGTCGGTGTCTCCTGAGCATCTGAATCGGGAGGTTTTGCGGCGGGTGAGGGATTGATCAGTGCAGTATGGAGAGTGAGCATACTTTGAGGTTGTTGGTTTTTTTTTTTTTTTGGCTTTGGCTTTGGCTTTTGGCTGCGCATGTAAGCATTTATTTTATCTCACTAGTATCATACCTATTACATTTCTATCAGTCATGGCATCCAATCTTCCACTTCAGAACTCACAGTGCGCTGCATACCAGTAATCAACGGATGTGGTTAGATATATATCTCTGAACCAAGCACTGCTCATGATTCCTCGAAGCCAACAAACTTAGCTAAAGCACCTGTATTTAACAAATCCCATAAAGCAGGTCAAATTTAGATATGATAAATAAACTCACCTCAATCCTGAAGCTCAAAAACCTGCTAGAAAGATAAAAACGTGAAGGTTTAATGAACAGTCTGGTTGCTGTATATAGGTTCTTACAATGTTGTCTTCTTCAACAAGCAGGGTTGTGTAGTGTAATGGTTATCACTCCAGATTCTGATTCTGGCAATCTTGGTTCGATTCCGAGCACGACCTCACTTGATTTCTTTTTTGGTTTTTCTTTTTTTTTTTTCACCTCCCTACGTATATCATCTCTCATCAATCTCATCTATTATTGCATTTGATCTTATCTCGCTAAAAAGTAGTATGATGTACGCCTTGTTTCATTCCCAAGGTTAAGTCCTTTGTACCTGACACACCCTCCACCGATCACCACTATGACCAGCATACCACAGTCGTGAGGTCATCCATACAAGTCAATACGACCTGTCAAACTGCCATCATGTACCATGTTATATAAATCCAGATACCCAGAACGTGGCTACTACCATTCGCCTCTCAAGAGTATAATCACCAACTCCTAGAAATCAAAAATGGTGCACCTCAGTCGAGTCCAGAAGCGCACCACCCCGCGCCGCCATGCAAACACAAAGGATGTGACCGATTTCGTCTACGGGACGCGGTTCGCTGTCGAAGACCTGCCGCGGCACCAGATGGCCGAGAAGGAGATGCCCCCGGAGGTGGTGTACAGGCTTGTCAAGGATGAGCTGAGTCTGGACGGGAATCCAATGCTAAAGTACGTGCCTGGAAACCAGGATCCAGTGATAGATATGTGCTGATTGATTGATTGACCGTCGCAGCTTGGCAAGCTTTGTCACGACCTACATGGTGAGTTTCGCTACTGGCTACCGATGGGAGATGACGATCCCGAGACGAAGGAAGCACTAACAGCACCCAGGAAGACGAAGTCCAGAACCTCATGACCGACGCCCTCAGCAAGAACTTCATCGACTTCGAGGAGTACCCGCAAACCTCCGAGATCCAGAACCGCTGCGTCAACATGATCGCGGAGCTGCTGCACGCGCCCACCACGGCCGACGGGCCGGATGCCCAAGACGCCATTGGCACATCCACCATCGGCTCCTCCGAGGCCATCATGCTGGCGACGCTGGCGATGAAGCGCCGCTGGCAGAACCGCCGCAAGGCCGAAGGGAAGGATGCCTCGCGGCCGAACCTCATCATGAACACGGCCGTGCATGTCTGCTGGGAGAAGGCGGCGCGGTATTTCGACGTCGAGGAGAAATATGTCTACTGCACGGAGACCCGGTTTGTGATCGACCCGCAGGAAGCAGTGGATATGGTGGATGAGAATACCATTGGCATCTGCACCATCCTCGGCACGACGTATACCGGCCAGTACGAGGATGTCAAGGCGATCAACGATCTGTTGACTGAACGGAACATCGACTGCCCGATCCATGTGGACGCTGCCAGCGGCGGGTTCGTGGCGCCGTTCGTCAACCCGTCGCTGAAATGGGACTTTCAGTTGCCCAAGGTCGTGTCCATCAATATCTCCGGCCACAAATACGGACTGGTGCGATCGCTTCCCTGCCCCATGCCTCCCCCCTCACCCCGGAATGATTCCCCCCATCTAAACACTCACAGGTCTACCCCGGCATCGGCTGGGTCTTCTGGCGCTCCACCGAATACCTCCCGCAAGACCTCGTCTTCAACGTCAACTACCTCGGCTCCGAACAAGCAACCTTCACCCTCAACTTCTCCAAAGGCGCCGCCAACATCATCGGCCAGTACTACCAGCTCCTCCGGCTCGGCAAGCACGGCTACCGCGCCATCATGAACACCCTCTCCCGCATCGCAGACCACCTCGCCGCCGAGCTCACCAACCTCGGCTTCATCATCATGAGCGACAGCGGCGGCAACAACCTCCCGCTGGTCGCGTACCGGCTACCGCCCAACGAGGACAGGCTGTATGATGAGTACGCCCTGGCGCACGTCCTGCGGCAGCGCGGGTGGATTGTTCCCGCGTACACGATGGCGCCGAAGGCGAATAACCTCAAGATGATGCGCGTGGTGCTGCGGGATGACTTCAGCATGAACCGGTGCGAGGCGCTGATTGCGGATATCAAGATGGCGATGAAGTCGCTGGACGACATGGACGCGCAGATGATCCAGAAGTACATGGAGTATGTTGGATCTTTCTTCTTCTTCTTCTTCTTTCTCTCTCGACTGCGGAGTGTGTGTTGGGCTGACCCTTGATTTTCTTCATCTTTAGACGCGCGGCACACCAGAATAAGCCGTTGGTTGATCGCCAGGCCGCCCCGGTTTATCAGAATGAGAAGCACTCGCTGCAGGGCAAGACGGGTAAGACGCATGCGATCTGCTAGAGATGCTGGGTGAGGTGTTGTGATTTTCCCTCTATCACGCATGGAGGACGTTACATATATGGATAGTAATTAAAGCATAATTGGCTTCCAATACCGTTTTCCACGATTGTAAGTCTAAGTTGGGAAGAATTTGCCACATCCGGCGTTAGTGGTGTAGCGGTTAGCATTATTGCCTTCCAAGCAATAGATCTGGGTTCGACTCCCAGCTAACGCACTAATCTTTTCTTTTTTTTGTCTTTTCTTTTTTTTTTTTTTTTTGACTTACGTAGTAGTTTCATTTGAATCAAGTCCGTGTCAATGCATATGGACATCGGACAAAATAGAGGTGTTCTGGCCATTTTCTCACTGCACTGTAAGACTGGCTGGAAGTAGTATACTCCCCCCCTAGTGGCGCCTCCAAGTAATCAAAAAGGATCCATTTTTGAAACACATTCTCAGCTTATTTAAGAGAGAATAGAATATCAGTCAGCTGATAAAAGCCATAATATCATAACAAGGAAAGAGTAGTTGTCGTAGTGATCATACATATCCCCTGAGGCACCTGACTGGCTTATAGAATACCATAAATCACACATGAAGCTATCCGGAGGCCAACAGTGAAGTATCTTGTTTTTTCTATGAAATAATGGAGAAGATTTCAAGGAATCAAGATAACTGGCTTTCTTGATGACTCTGAGGGCGCTTTGCACAGGGTCTTCCTGAGATACAGTCAACTGCTCAGTAAAGGCGTAGAGTCTAGACTACCTACTGGTATACACTAAATGTTCTATCGACGATGCTTGCTCTCGTTCTGTACCCTCCACTGAACAGCCGAGCAGAGTTCATACAGCACGGATAGAATAGGCGTGGGGACACTTCGTCTCTGGGCCTCGCGGACCACCTCCCCGAAAAGGTTCTCATGTTCGAGAAGATTGCCCTGGAACTGGTCAGTTCTCTGGATCTCATCTCGAGGCCATTTCACACAACACATACCCTTTCCATATCTTCCTGCATGCTAGGGCAAATCTGGCTCTCGCTCGGATACATGCGGATCGTCGTCTCGATGACATCCCCGGGGAGCTCGACTCCCGCAGCGCGAGCAGTGTTGACCACCTCCTACATCGCGGGGATAACCAAGGAATCCAGAGCCCTGCCGGAGACTCGTAGATGGCCCGTGTTCGCGCTCGTCAGAGCACATATGGGATTGAACGGTTGCATTGAAGACCAGCTTTCTCCAGCGACCGCGCTTCCAGTCCGACTCGTAGCGGACATCCGTCTTGCCGCCTGCACCGTAGAGACGTACGAATCGCTCCGCAGCCTCGCGCTGGATATCCGCTGCGAGAAGATCATTGCAGAACGTGCTGATGCGCAGGTGGTCGTTTCTCCTTCTGCTCGATCAACCCCCACCCGGGGCGATCTCGTGGGCGTCGATGATGCTCACGCCAGCGAGGATGGCGTTCTGCGGGAAACGAGCCAGGAATGGTTTTCTCGATGTTCAGCCCGTTTTGGATGAGGACAATCGTGGTAACGCCGGGAGTCAGTGCTGGTGTGCAACGATCTCACAGATTGAGGGGCCGACGTCGGGGATGTTCTTGGTGGTTGCACACGATGTAGTCGGAAAAACTGGCGCTTCTCGTCAGGCGCCACATGGGGGACAGCATTTAAGACTGGGATGGGATGCGAATTAGGCCCATCATATTGAATTTGTTGGAATAGAATGGTTGACAGATTACCGGCGGTCGGCCCGCCAATGGCGAAGATGGCCGTGTTCACAGGGATAGAATCTCGTATCCCCTGGCCACCACACTTTCATAATTGGATCGCAGGACGCAGGTCACTTCGGCCAACCCCCCCGCGCTCCAGATTGAGTGCAGCGATGGTGCCGACTCCTCCAGCGCCGATCAGGAGCACGCGAGACTTGGGGGCCATGCTGGATCGCCCTCCCGATGCAGGTTACAACAGTCGAACATGACTAGGGAGTATGGACTGGTCTACTTCCAAACCGAATAACCGACCCAGTTCTCCCTCTCTGTGAGGCTGTGACTGAACTCCAGAAGGAGGTGGTCTGTGCAGGAATGCAGTGCGACGAGCAGCGCCCCACAAGGGCCCATGCCAGAGTCAGACATCTGGACAATCATATTTCTTCATGGCTTTATTTCCAGAGCAGAGGAGCGAGGACAAGAAAGGGAATGGAGACGAGGACTCCTTTTTCCACTGGGATCATCATGTCTTGCTGTCAACTAAAGGATCGTCCTCGCATGTTCTAGCTTGATATGAATCCTTTAGCTGACGGAGAGGACGAACACTAAAAGGATAGCAATATAGCATGTCAGCATCACGTAGTTATGTGCTGTTGGGCTCGGGTCCAACACGGAACTAATTCCTCGCTGGGAATTGACTATATTATGCCTATACAGGGGGCAAAGCGTAACCACTATCATGGGCCCATGGCAAATAGTATCTACTATCTACTACTAGTTGACTACTAGCTAGGTAGAGTAGAACTAGGAACAGCACGTGCCCTTCGACCTCGGGTGGAGAGCAAAATTTGGCTGAATCCTTTTCCAGCCGGGAAAGATGAGGGTCAAATGGGCTTGCCTCGGGCCTCAGAAACAGGGTTAGCTCGACTTAGCACAGCAGGGGTACCGGATCCTGACGGGTCTACAGTCTACGCTCGACGGAGTACTCCGTACGGAGCACCAGGTTACCGAGTACCAGTACCACTGTACCAGGCCATCGGCCAGCCCGTAGATCAGATCAAGAGAGGTTTCACAGCCAGCCAGCCAGGCCACTATGGCACTATCAATCTATCACCGTGCTCTTGCATATCTAGCTTCTGTTCCTTTCAGCTTTGTGTCCCGCTTTGGCTGTCTGCTTATCAACTTTTTTTTTTTTTTTTTTTTTTTTTTTTTTAAAGGTCGCTAAGGCCTGGGTCGTGGACGGCAGGATCGGTTCTCTGGTAACTAGTTAGTTGGCTGTCCAAGAAGATCGCGATTCTGTGGGGGTTAACCTCTCTTCCAAAGTTCCAAGTCCCGGGCTGCCGAGTAGTATAGTAACATGAGTGCCTGACGAGGTACAATGTAGTTCACAAGGACTCTATATCTCTCCCACCGAAGAAGTCCATGACCGATGTTGCTGTCTCTGCTATGGGGGATTGCCATGTTGCTGGCAGACGGCTGAGAGGGCAAAGGATGAAGACCCGAGATCATGCCATTTCTACCATGTGTATCCCGAGTCGACTTGCTCTGATCCATGGGAATCCCTGGAATCTGCTGCCGGCGTAGCTGAAATCAGTCGCAACCAGAAAGTCTGGTTCGACGGCAGGAATTGCTCAGTGGATCCGGGGTCAACTGCTAAGGAAGCCGTTAATCTAATCCAATTTATTCAGGCCGCCACCTGCTTGTTCATTGGGTGTTGCATCACCTCCATGCGTCCTTAGTCCACGAGACGGCCCAAAAGATCGTGTCCGGCGGGAGTAGATGGGACCAATGAGGCACTTCATCTCCAATCCTAGATCTGTGTCCAGTGTCCACTATCCAGAGATTAGCACCGGTCTCCACTCGGGGGGGGGGGGGGCCTCGTTTGCATCGAATTTCACCACAACCGGGGGGAGATCACGCAGGAAGCAGGAATCTCGGTTTCCAATGGTTCTACGCGATCTTGGCTGTCATGCCTCTAGGTACATTATGCGCGTGTCCTGATTCCTGAACCGTCGACAGACTGCTCGCATGTGGAAAATTTAATCCTATTTCTGCTGCTCCAGCAATTGACCCGCTGAGTAACTACTGACAGAGTGACAGTCAGACCATAGTTAACCCATCTATTCCTTAAGTCTATTCGGCCGGTTTTTCCTTGAGACCCAACAGGTCCTAAAAGAGAGGAGACCCACTGTCAGAGGAACGGCACAGGAAATATATTCGCCTTCGATCACGGCCCCGACCGATCCTATCGAATATAATAATTCTGAGAGTATGCTGACGCATGCACTTCGCTGGCACTGACAATCCGTAAAGCCTCGTGGACACACAGAAAAAAAAAACACCTGGATCCTTTGTCAATTCCCTTGAGAGAGAGAGAGAGACAGAGACAGAGAGACAGACAGAGAGACAGAGACAGAGAGCGAGAGCGAAAGAAAGAAAGAAACAAAGATGCCCTTTTCCGATCACATCCCGAATATCCAACATGCGCGACGCAAAGATCTGTACACGAGCTTCCCAAAACGCATGGCGTACATCCAGGCGTTTATAAATTTCACTCGAGGTTCGCTGCGAGCTCGGAAAAGCCAGCTGAGATCTCAACTGACTGTTTGAACGCCATGCAGATGACATTACAACCTTCAACAAGGGCGCGAGATACCTCAAAGCCGCCATCCCAGGCCTGACACATCGCCTCTACGAGAAAATGCTCGAGTTCGACATCACGGCGCGCGCCCTGCGTACGCGAAGTACAAGCTCCGAGGTCCAGGTCGACGATTACTTTACCATCGATAGCCCGCATGTCCAACGGCGCAAGATCTTCTGGAAGTGGTATTTGACGCGCTTCTTCTCGGACCCCAGCCAGATCGAGTACTGGCAGTACCTGGAGAAAGTCGGGTATGTGTCCTTTTTTCTTTCCCCCCTTTCTGGCGCTTTGGGACTATCAGCGCGGGCCAACTGATCACTCCATTTGTCTATGGAACAGGACGATGCACACGGGGAAAATCTTATTGCACCCTTTGACGATCGAGTATATCCACATGAATGCCTGTCTCGGGTACTTGAAAGAGCTGCTTCTCGAGACGATTTTCCTGCATGAGGAGATGACCGTCGCCTTCAAGTTCGCATTGGTCCGCTCTCTCAGCAAGATCCTCTGTATCCAGAACGATCTGATCGCCAGGTGTCACATCCGCGACGGCGAGGAATATCTGGAAGAGTTTTCGAACGGGGAAGAGATACCCAAGCCCGAACCCGCGGTTTCTGAGAGGGAGGAGGTCGCCTCGGCCGTCTCCGACCAGAAAAGCGTCTCGCATCTGTCCATTCGCAGCTCCAACAACTCCCGGCCGGCATCTGCGGACGACACACCGGCTTCCCCGATGAGTTTCGGGCGCGTGAGCTCCACCACTACTACCACCGCTTCCTCCGATACGGCCTCCATCTCTAGTAGTTCCCGGGTGCCACTCAAGAACCCCGGGGTGATCCCAGTCTTCGTGTCGCCGTTCAAAGCGGAGCACTCGCAGACATACGAGACGAAGATCTGGTCGAGTGGGAAAGGGGGGAAATCGAAAGGCCTCGGATACCGAACGCAATGAGACGAGGAACTGTCATGGGTAGATCCCTGGCCGATGAGGCTGTCAGATGCGAGAATGAACAATATTAATGATAATCACCACCCGTTTGAATCCAGTCCCAGATCGACGGACTTCTTGTCAACCCGGTTGGCAGGCCCCAAGAAATACGACAAGCAGAGGTGGACCTTCAACCAGAAACGACAAGTATCTCAGAGAGTATATACCGGTCTTGCTTCTCGCTCGGATTTTTTGCATGACAGTTTTTGTCCATTCCTGATGTACAGTCCTTCATCCACTAATCCAGTCCATGTTAGAATCAGGCGTGCAATATCTCGGTAATCCCACGACTTGATAGGTGTCCATGACCCGAGCTCACTAGACCTAGTTTTTGATTTTTTTTTTTTTTATTCCCCCCCCCCCCCCGCATCTACTGCTGCATTATTAACAGTAGTTCTTGTAGACGTGTCTCCGATGCGTTGAAGCCCAACTCAGCCAATTCCTTCCTTGGTGTGATACCGTACCCTCGAACAGCGACTCGGCGAAGGAAGTCTGAAGGGCAGACCAAAGCTGCACTGAGCATGTCCCTCTTGATAGGACGCCATTGATACCTAACCACTCACGAATGTCATGCTCCAACACTAGTGCATCATCACGGATGATTGCCCTAGGTTGAGTTGCCCAATAAACATCACTAAACGGGGGTTGGCGCAGTAAACCATGCTGGTGTTCAGTCTTAACTTCATATACCACGGATATAGTGATTACTGAATGAAAACATCAATATATACGGAGTAGTATGGGTTAACCGGTATATCGTTGAAATAAAAATATATTCTACAGGGTGTATAAGCAGAATTAGTGAGCAATATCCCCCTATACTACGTGCATTAGGACCTCTTCCCCCTGATCAAGACCATAATGAAGGAACCTCCATTTCCGAGTGAACAGAAGAATACCAGGGACCTCTCACTCCAACAGGTGTCAGAGATTTCTTGCTGGGACCAATTAAGAAACCCATACCGAGATGTCATAGTGCCAGTGGGTAAGCCGTGCGCTCGAGCCCTTTGAACAAGCTTCTCAGCCACAAAGTGACTGGCGACGATCCATGGCCATGTACTCCAGGTAGTTTCTGAGACTTTGTTTCTTCATCGCATGCTCAGTCAGGAATTGTGGATTTGCTGGCTTGGTTGCAAATAAAGTAACATCGATCGCGCCACACCCTCTAATCCCTAACATGGATATCTTTTGATAGATTGAGGCAGGCCATGAAGAGAGTGTTATCCCTGTTGCTCTGATGCCGGGCCAACAGTACCACAGACTACCCTCATTGAATATAGATTGTACCATCCTGTACGAAGCTGATTATAGGTCCCTGCTTCTACTTGGGAGGATAAGTGCGAGGGATTGGTTTAATAGAACGACGTTGTTATCTGCTGCGGCTTTATAAGTATATTTAATACTCGAGGATGTAGATAAGAGTGAGGATAGAACAGAAATAGAATTGGGGCAAGGTACCCAGCTCTGGCACAACGTCCCGAGCAGCTCTTGTGGTGTAGGTACTTTCCCCCAGATTCCAAAAGCGACAGTAGGTTTGCATGCATCTGGGGCTTCCCGCCGGGTGACAGTTGGCCAGAGCCCTTGATCTGGGGACGGTCGCTCCCGATGCATTCATCAACAGACATCCTGCCGCGTTAAACTCTTTCCATCATCGGCAAGATATCCGACGGACGCCAGCCGTTGTGGCCCAGCAGCCCGCAAACTGACTGCTGCGGCAAGATTGAGATATAATTTTCTATGTGCCTGTAGCTCGTAGCTCTAGATGTACGATAGCGCCATCTCTCCGAGGAGACATTCCGATAGAATCACCCGCCGGTGATGGAATCCGGGGGCTGTTTTCAGTATGAGGAACGTCTAGAGACGTCGTGGCTGCGTGCAATGCTAGCCTACTGTCCTCTTCTGCGTTCATTCCTCGTCAAAGGCAAAGAGCTTCAAGCAGCTCATCTGCTCGATGTATGTTTCTTAGTCGGCGCTCCATGGAGTCCTTCGAAGCGGTGGTTAATAAGATCATCATGCGGGGGCTTGTCCGTATCGTCCATAGCAAATGCCAAGATATCTCAACGGTCTGGGTAAGAAATATAATAGGCTAAATATGGCCTGTCATTATTCGGCGAGGGTTTGAGTGCCCCAGCCCTGACGTTCGGGGTAGCCGTGGAAATCTCCTCCATCATAGTTGATGGGTAATCAGGCAGGGACTTTGAGCCGTTATGATGAGAATAATCCTCGAGGAAGGAACAAGGTGATCCATTCTGATATTTGTTATTTATAGGCTGGGAATGAAACATGCAGTAGGCCGACTTATGTGGTGATGCGCGAGGCTCTAAGAAATGCGAGTGCTTTGAAGGCGTCGAGTTGATTAGTGAGACATTGGCCTTGGATCAGCCAATACTGACACTGCGTTTCAGCTACTACGGAAACGAGGCTGAGGCCGTCTCTCTGGGAACTTGGGAAGACCCTGACGCCCAATAGGAAATCCAGACTTGTCTCAAACTCTCAGTCCAAACCCGTATCCCTCTCAGCCCTCTGTGCGATTTGAAATCCAAGGAGTAGGGACATAGATCGACTTAGCCGTTAGCGAGTCTAATCTAATCTGATTTGCCAGATATCAATCCTTGCAACTCACGTCACGACAAAATTCTGGCACCAACACCGTCACTGTTGCTACATGAGCATACCGCTGCATTTCCAAGAATCAGTAGCCGTTGGCAACCCAATATTCCTGTCTTTTATACTCGCCAGATCATGACCCAGGTCTCTGGGTCAGCCACAGTCGGTCGGACCCTCCGCGCATGGAAACAAACAGAGACAGCGCATGGTAATGTCTCTGATAACGTCTGTTGCCGCTGCCACAAGAGGCGTGCCGCGTGGTCTCACGCCATACGAGCCTCTGACAAACCCAAAGTTCACACCACGCTCAAGAATCCCCAATACAAGGATAACTGGCCAAGCTCGTATACGGCGGTCTTGGAAAATTGCTCAGTGGCCGGAAGGAGCCGGAGCCATACGAAAATAGAACAGGTGAGACAAAAAAGACGCAAATAGCAACAGCGGGGCGGTATCCTTGGTATATTTGAATATAAGAGCCCGGAAGGTTTTGATGGCCGTGAAGGGTCCGACTGACATGGTTACTGAGTCTCAGGCGAACGGCCTAGATTGCGGCTCTCGTGCCCAAGACGCACATTTGAGTGCCAGGAGAGAAGCAAGAGCGAACACGTCTGAATGATGTGGGAGTCAGCATGACATGTACATAGGTGGTAGGCCAGTGGCACCGAATTCGCCGTCTTCATTGAACGACGGAGGAATTGCTGAGGCAAAACGGGAGAAAAAGGACATAGCGAGATAAAGTGATTCAGTGCAGGCTATTCTAGGAACACAGTAAGCCCACGGAGAAGATAAAGAACAGTTTGAAGGATAGGGTAAATTCTAACGAGCGTAGGGTTCTTAGTGGGTAAGCATAACGCAAGGGAAGCTCGGATATCGAAGTGATACATCCAACTCAGCATCGAACAACTCGGAAAACTCAACCCAGTGCATGAATAGCTAACGGAAGACGCAGCCACCAAACCTTGATGCATCTGTCAGTCTCAGTTGCCGCAGAAAGGGATGGCAGTGTATGCGTTTGCTGGCCTAACGGACTCTGACCGGCCACTGATAATGTCTCGTCGACAACGGCTAAGGATGGCGCTGGACGAATATGATCGGCCTGAATTCCTTTGCCATACCCGGCCTCACCGCTCAAATCTACACGATATTTCTTTAAGCGACCTGGAGATAATGAATCCGTCGAATGGAGACCACGGCCTGATCAGGCTCTGGAGAGGTGAGGTCAGTGGAGGCTGATGTCTCTCCCTCGCTCTCCCTTCCATCCTTCTTAAACCTCGGACATCCGGATATCCCTGCTGGAGACCACACCACAGTGGAAAGCACTCAGCGACAATGAAGTTGTCGCCGTTACTCGGGCTGTTCTGCGCCGCCGGCCATGCGCAGGCCAGAGCCGTCTTTGCCCACTTCATGGTACATCTCTCCACTCCCCCCCCCTCCCCCTCATCGCTTATTTCAAAAGCCTATGCTAACCAGCCAGAAAAGGTAGCCAACGCCGCCAACTTCACGCAAGATACATGGGCCAACGACATCAAAATCGCGCAGGAAGCGCACATCGACGCCTTCGCCCTGAACATCGGCTACGGGCTGCACAACTACCTCGACCTCCTCAACGATGCCTTCACCGTGGCCCACCGCCATAACTTCAGCATGTTCCTCTCCTTCGACATGGGCCAGGACCCCAAGTGGCCCGCCAACGAGATCATCCATGTCATCGACAACTATGTCACCGGCACCGCCTACTACCGCCACCGCGGCGACAAACCCCTCGTCTCGACCTTCGAGGGCGGTCAGAACGCCAGCCTCTGGCGCAACGTACGCAACAACACACAGTCCGAGTTCTTCTTCCTGCCGGACTGGACGTCGCTGGGCATCAAAGCCGCCGCGGCCTCACCCGTCATCGACGGCCTCATGAGCTGGACCGCCTGGCCGGCCGGCGCCCACGCCATGAACACCTCCGTCGACGAGGCCTACGTCGATGCCCTCGCCGGCCGGCCGTACATCATGCCCGTCTCGCCGTGGTTCTACACCAACCTGCCCAAGTTCAAGAAGAACTGGGCCTGGCGCGGCGACGAGCTCTGGTACAACCGCTGGCAGCAGGTGCTGGACATCGACCCGGAGTACGTCGAGATCATCACGTGGAACGACTACGGCGAGTCACACTACATCGGCCCCATGCATGAGGATGACCTGGGGATCTTCAGCATTGGCCACGCGCCGTTCAATTACGCCGAGGACATGCCGCATGACGGCTGGCGGGCGTTTCTGCCGTATATGATTGACCTGTATAAGAGTGGGGGCGAGGATGCGAGCTTGGAGAGTGAGGGGGTTGTCGCGTGGTATCGTGTGAACCCTGGCTCGGCGTGTTCGAGCGGGAACACCACTGCCGGCGATGAGTCCGGGAAGGGGAAAACTGCGTCGAGCCCCGAGACGATCTTCCAGGACCACATCTTCTACACGGCGCTGCTGGAGTCACCGGCAGATGTGAGGGTGAGTATCGGGGGCAAGGAGACGAAGGGGAGCTGGACGGATACCCCCGATGAAGATGAAGGGATGTATTACGGGAGTGTGCCCCTGGACGGCGAGACGGGTGAAGTCATCGTCACCATCTCGCGATCTGACAAGACGATCGCGGAGATGAAGGGCAAGTCGATCACGACCGACTGCAAGGCGAACGGGGGCTTCAACAACTGGAATGCATGGGTGGGGAGTGCGATGGCGGAGGACAAGACTTCCGGCAATTCCTCGGATTCCTCTCCCAAGAAATCGAGTAGCCCGTCGACGTCGAGACCGACAATGGCCTTGTTGCTGGGGATGGTGCTGTGGGCATGGTTGTAAAATGATATCACGAGTGTCCGAGAATACGTCGAGAGACCGGCGGAGATCCCCCGGTGAAACACCTACAAGTATTTACTAAGTATGACTATAGAGTTATGAATAGCTTCAAGGCGCATGTTAGATCCTTTTGTTTGATGGAATGAAATATCTTAATGAAGCCTCCCTGCGGGTACATCCGAGTAGGTTCAGGACATGGCCACCATCCCACGGATAGATGATTCAATAGACCTATCGTGATGCAAATAACAGGGCATGGAAACCTCGGAACTACCAGCATCAGCAAAAGTTAGTTACGTCGAGACCGGTGGATCATCGGAAATGCCCATCCACAAACTCACCAGGAGCAGCTCGAGTGCTGAGCAAGCACAGAATCCGTACATCTAGAGCAGAAGCACTCGGCATGTCCGTCCGCCAGATCGATGGTGATTGATCAAAGATACTGTAGTACCATGGGAGCTGCACACCTCAATTAGTCAAAACTGGCGTCTCCCGCCACGTCCATGATACAATCCAGGTCCCACTCCCCTTCGCCACTACGGACAAACCCAGCCGTTCCTCTCCCATGTGTCTTTATCCCTTGAGCCAAGAGGAAAAGTCTCGAACCCGACTGGCCCTTGATCTTCTTCCCAGCAAATCAGGATGCTATACGCTTCGGCCGAATCCTCGGTGTCCATAGACTTCCCCTTTGGGCTGTGAGAACCCCCCAGCTCCAAGCTCTACTTCTCGAAGAACATCACCATATAAGTACCTCATCAAGAACCACCAAGGGAAGCCAAACCACTCAGCTCCATCAGATCAAAGAATCAAGTAGACTTCAATGCGGTGTCCTCAAGCCTGACGGCGAAACATGTCCGTGCCACTCGAGACTCTCCCATCTGCCTCCATCCTCTCCCACCATGCCTCCCGTCTAAACACGCGCATCCCCCCATCGCCCGCCAAAGCATCTCCTTACTCCCCTGCCGCATCGCCATTATCTCGCGCGACAAGCTGAGACAGGAGGTCGCGGGCCACAACCCTGATCTGCGCCGCTGCGTGGCCCACCAGTCTCTCCTCCGGCGATCCATGGAGGAGGCCCACGATACGATCCGCAGCCGCGCGACGACCTTCCGTTTCGACGAGGACGACGACGAGGATGCAGATACTCTCTCTATCTCTTCGTCCACATCCAGCTCTCGCCACACATCCACACGCACACCAAGATCAAAACCAAAAGCAATGGAGAACTCCTCCTCCGTCATCCGACACTCCGTTGCTGCGGCCATGCGGGCTATGGCGCTGCGATGCCGTGTTTCGGCCCTCTCTCATCCAGACATCCACGGGCCAACCCGCACGCCCTCGAACGGCTACGTAGCCTCTAACAAGGGGCTTCAAGAACAGGTCACATCCTGCAATCACAATCACAATAACAACAACAAAAACAAACGTCGCAAATATACCAGGTTCGTCCCGAGCCGGAAACTGGGTTCGCTGGCGGAACAGACCATGAGGACGCAGATGGTTGGGTGATGTGATGGACTGGAGTGACATCACGACTTGGTTTGTCATCTTTTTTTTTTTGTTTTTTTATTTTGTTTTATTGAGCCAGAATCTTCTCTTTCGACTGTTTGGACACTCATCACTCATTCCTTCTGCATTATACCCTCGCCATGATTCGTTTTTAGCGTCCCTGTTAGCGACAGGGCATCTCAGCTCTATGAATCATGATACCGCGATCTTTCCTCATAGATATAGACGATTTTCTGTCGGATATATATCGTGTATAGAGAATAATACAACACAACTATGTAATCTTTTACTCTAAAGATTATAGTTGAACTAGCCCTTATCACCTTGATTTATTTAAAAAAAAAGATGAAAAAGAATAGACGTCGTATGAAGCCGACGAAGGAAAAGAAAAGAAAAAAAGATGGTCCCGACGAGGGTCGAACTCGCGACCTTGGCGTTATTAGCACCACGCTCTAACCAACTGAGCTACAAGACCAGCTGTTGAGAAACTTAGCTTTATTTTGTTTAATGGAAAAGGCAAGATGTACCCATATGGAATAATATGCTCATGGATTCCAATGCAATTCATGAGAAGAAGAACCCATCAAGAAAGACAGAGAATGATAGATGATAGATTGATCAGTCGTGTGATGATGTACGCCATGTTACAAGCCAAATGCTTATTTTGACGCCCAAGGCAAATGTGGCGCAGTATGGTTCGTCGCTGATCCAAGCGTAGCTTTAATTATGCTGATCGTCTCTAGCCCTAAATTAAACAACAACACTGGATATTTGGTACAAAGCATGACGACCTGTGTGATCTTCTAGAATCGATAGAAAATCCTTCGAGATTGCGCTGCTATGGAAGCAGTCGACCGTCGATGGATCATGGTGATGGGGACGAATGCTCCTTGACTCTTGACAGGTAGAACAGAACATGTAAACGGATGTTATTGTCTCTTAGCCCTGAACTCCCTAACATCTTTATGTGTTTGCCCACCAGCATCAACATTGGACTAGCTGCAATAAGGAAGCCTGAACTAATAAGCAATAGCAATATGTTTCTGGAACAGCATGATCACTAAATTGTATCTACCGAGTTGCGTCTCTTATGGTTCTTTACTAGAGAGACGGCACATGTACAGTCTGAAGTAAACTCGGAGCTGCTGTTAATAGCAGAGGGATCTAATCAAACCATCTGAATGAATGGCAAAGTCAATTAAGCCGTGGAGCCTAGAAAGAAACAGCCGTGCCGCTATAACTATTCCTTGAGCTAGTGTCGAGGGTGGAGTAATGGACTGTCTTCAGTCGCAAGAGCAAGGGCTGGACTCTTCATGAAAGAAGATACGCCGCTCCTCTCTGAATGAGGTAGGTACGACCTACAGGGACATTAAGCTCAATTCACCTTACATCAATGGGTCAGTTTACTGGGACTCTTCTCTACACTCATTCACATACTCCTTCACACCCCTTCACAATTCTTAGACCTGTCTAGTGAATTCTTCCACTGTCATGCATGCTCCTCCATTGCTGCCTGCATGAAAATCTCCTTAACCACGGAAACCTTCATCTTCACTCCTGAATCAACGGAAGATGCCGTGGTGATAGAGTCATTGAAGGGAACCTGGCATCTGCCTGCGCCCTCAACTATGAGCATATATAGCCCCTGGTCGAGCTGCTCGAGGTGTCTCTCCAACTTACCAACCACAGCTACCACAATCGCTGCGCACTGGCTAAAAGATCATATTTCTGATCAAACCTGCCAAAGTAATCTGAATACCAACACATTTCTCTCCTGCGCTTGATCACCACATCAACCGGGGTCTCCTCCACACCTCTCAAATCGAAAACCTCTACATCCACCTCCGCCAATACCAATGGACAAGCTCGAACGAAAAATCGAACGCGCCGGCTTCTTCAAAACAGCCCAAGCGCTGCGTCTAGCCGAACACTACCTCCAACTGGGCAACTGCAATTCCAAATTCTGGACCCACCAGGCCATCCGCCTCGACTACAAGATCAGAGAGTGCGTGCAGTGGGAGATCCGCATCCAGGAGCAGTACGCGTGCCTCGAACACCAGGCCAAACACCATCCTCTCTCCGACGAGGAGCTGCAGACCTTCCGCATCCTCGCGAATGAGATCGACGAGCTCGAGCGCGTCTACTGGCGACTGACTAGCGAGCTGCAGCGGGTCACTAGCACCAAGTTCAGGGGACCCTTGCAGCGGGCGTATGCGGCGCTGCATGAGCATCCCGGGTGGTTCATGTCGAAGCATGACCGGAAGAAGTGTGCGGAGCGCGGGGGTTGTTGTGCGAGGGACTGTGGTTGTTGCAGCCGGCCGAGGGCGACGCGGAGGGTGAGGAACTTGGGCCATTGCACGGACCAGTGCCCGTGTTGCTGGCGTGTGTATGGGGGCAAGAGGCACTGGCCGGCTAAGACGGTGAATGTTGATTCGGAGAGGATTGGTTTTCGGGAGGTGATGGCTCATGTGTGGGGGATCTGATGGGATGTGATGTTTGGAGATTGTCTATCCTGTTTTGCGACTAGGTTGATATTGGCATGTTTTGTCTTGTGGTTAGAGAGTTTGGTTATGTTTCTGTCTTGTCTATGAAGGATGGGCCGATTGTGAGGCTATACTGGAAAACGGATGAATCTATTCTGTGCCTGTTAGGCTTCACTGTTGAATGACATCACCATCCAAACCATTTCTCAGAAACATAGCAGGGGTAGCATCTATTTTGGAGCTGTTCAGTAGTGTCGAGTTAACAGGTGTAGAACTCACCCATAGGTTATGATACTATCTTAGGGGGATCACGAAACAAGTAGTCTTGATCAATTGTGGAAGAGTATACAATGTGCCATCTGGCAAGAGAGATCTGATTGGCCACGGTGGAGAAACACCACGTGATTGATTCTATATTCATCACATGACTGCACATGACATGTTGGCCTCAGGCTTCGCGGGATTAAAATCTTCGGGGTTCGGTTGGATTCGGGAAGATGGAGACTGTAGCATTTATAGTACGGTGACTACTGCAGATCGTACAGAGTGGATATAAAAAAGAAACATATATATATATATATATATATCTATATATTTAGATATAGAATCTGTACAATGCATGACGATTCCGCTTCAAGTCAAAAGGGATCAGAAGCATTGGCGACGCCGGCGCCACCTATTATAACAAGAAGATCGCGGGATATCATAGTGCTTCACAACACCAGGCAGGAAAAAAAAAAAAAAAAAAAGGGAAAGCAAAAAATTTTTTAGAGGTTGCTCTTCTGGTCCTTGTTGTAGCGCTCAAAGGACGAGACGGGAGGAGCCGAGTTCGGGTTGGGGTGGTGCTTCTTCAGCGCCATCTTGACATTGTACTCGAGGTCGAGGTGGGCCTTGGGATCATCGGTCTTGGGCTTGAAGTCGACGACGAGATCGTCCTTGACGGCGAAGACGGAGTCGATGGCGAGATGCGGGTCGTCGCTGGGGTAGATCTGGTTGATAACGGTGGCGTAGTCCGGGTGGGTGATCATGAGGTGGATGTGGGCGGGCCGCATGGGCGAGCGGTCCATGAGGTTCAGCAGCACGCCGGCGGGGCCGTCGGTGGGCAGCGAGTACGGGGTCGGGTGGTAGCAGTACCAGTAGAAGTCGCCCTGGTCGTTGGACCGGAACTTGCCGCGCAGGTTGTTCTCGCTCTGGTTGGGGTCCTGGAAGTCGTACTGGCCGTTGGCCGAGGCCTGCCAGATGTCCAGCACGGCGCCGACGATGGGCTTGCCGGTCTCCATGTCGGTGAGCTTGCCGTGCATGTAGGTGATCTGGCCGTTGGGGTTGGGGTCCTGGATGATGGAGTCGCCGAGCGCCCGGAAGGGAGCGTTGGGCGACCAGAAGGGGCCCAAGATGACGTTGGAGGTGGGCGAGATCCCCTGTTCGGTGACGATCTTGTTGGCGATCTCATCGACGAGGCTAGCCACCGTTAGTCTCTTTGGGGGGGGGTGATCGACGGGTCGATTGGTGGCCCATGACTTACGATTCCAGACCGATCACATCGCAGATGCGGTGGCACTCGTTGCGCACGGGCGTGCTGATCTTGCCGATGGAGTTGATGAACTCCACGCCGAGCATCCACTCGGCGGGAGTGAGTTCGACCTCGCGCGCGAAGTCGTGGATGTGCTTGATCAGAGAGCCCAAAATCACACGAGCGCGCTCGGGAGCCTTGGGGCCCATGGAGTTGATCACATAGGGAGTGAAGTTGGGATCGAACTGACGGTGAGACGACATGGTGTGTATATATATATATATGTGTGTGTGTGTATGAGGGAGGATGGAAGAGTTCTGGGAAGTCTGGGAGATGGAGTCTGGAATACATCGAGGAATCCAGAGACCATGGCTGGTCTATATACATGGTCGAGGAAGTGAGACGGGGAGGTGGCCATCCAGGATACGGCAAATCGTTCGGCTCCCTCCTCAAGCAACGGTTGCTACATGCCGAGAGGATTGGATGTGTTCGGGGAGGGGGGTATCCGTCTGATCTAGCGTGCATCAAACGATTTGTCCCATGTTCCTCATTTCCCTTCACTCCGGTAACCCAAAGGATAGATGTTGGTCCGGAGTAAGACTTACCCGCGGCTAAGAGTTCGGATAAGATCCTTCCCCGGGTTTCTTCGTTGGAGTCTGGGGAATATCATCTTCATCTTCATATCACTACTCTGTATTTACTAAAGCTTGAATAATAGGGGGAGTGTATCAGTCTATTCAGTCTATTCATATAGGAGCTGAGTAATGAGAATCATTTCCTACGTGATTGGTCTCAACCAATAAGCAGCAAAGGATACTGATTGCTTCATACTCTTCTGTTTCTCCTAAAGAAGTAATTACCTAGGCACTACAAAGTACTGGCGTATTTTCCTTCACTAAGAAAAACTGCCATGTTCTGATAGTCTCCAGTGCCAGAGTCTACCTGGGACAACCTTCCAGTTGATATCATCTGATTATCTGTCCTCTAGGAAGGAAATCTGGTTACACTGCATATTGCACGTCATCTCAGGCAGCAATATCATCATAGGAAATACCCATCTTTGGCCGCACTGTTCTCCTCCCGACCCAGTCGCCTTCCGGAGTGGCTGCAGGACTGGAAGTATCTGCAGTATGATCTAAGCCTTAAGATGGATGAAAATGTCCATTGCCTTGATCATAGTAATGAGGGACTAGGGAGCAATCAAATGAGCGGGTACATATCAAGTCCATATTTTTTTTTTTTTTTTTTTTTTTTTTTTTTTTTTTTTTGGCTAGCTGACGGCTAGAATCTCCCTAGTCGACTGTAGAGGAGCTAGTTTATTGCTTGCATGCAATCTGCAAGACACTTCATAACCCCGTGTGTTAGTTGCATCAGATGTGGAGTATGAGAATTCTTATCAATCGGTGCTGGGAGCCCGAGGACTGGACCGAGGAAAACATTGCAGCTGACGACGGCTATCCGCCGCCAATCAATAATTATGACCCTGCTATGGAAGGTTGCTGTTTGTATGATGCTGGGGACGACGGGACCGCAGCGAGTCTGACTGCCACGTCTTGGGGGGGGGGGGAAGGTTGGGGGTGAATGACGCGGGCATGCGCACAGAACAGCGCGACAGTCCCGTACACCAGAAAGGCAAGCATGGAGAGGCCGAGGTCACGGTTCCGACATAAGGTGAGCTGACGCATGACGGACGATGGAATCACCGCCAACCGCGAAAAAGTCCGTCGTCGACACCGATGGCCCCGGCGTCCAAAGCGCGAACTGTGGTAAACTGAGCGCGTACCCGGTGCTCCTGCTCAGTCCATGGTGGTTTCTCCGGCGACATTGGGTGATCTAAATACGTCTCGACAATGTCCCGTGTCAGCTCCTCGGCTTCCTGCCACAGTTTCCTACGATCCACCTTGCCGCTGGAACTCAGCAGGAGACGTGAGACTGAGAGCATGAGAGAGGGTATACCATGAAGGGCGGGAGATGCTGGCTCGGATGTGTTTTCAGACCGTGCCACTGAGCCCTACTCCTGTCCAATGGCGGTAGGAATGTCTTTTTTGAAAAGGGAAGAGGCGATTCCCGGACGCGGTTGATTTTCTTGGGGTCGCAGAGGAAACAGCAACAACCAGTTTTGGCCGTGTGCTGCCTTGAAGTGTAACCAGCTCGGCAATCGCCGCGATAGCCCTGCTCGTAAGTCCCGGCGCAGTGCTGAATCTCCTGCAGCTCAATCCGCTGCCCGTAATCAGATCGGAGTGGCAGACGCAGCGGCACCGGAGAAGGGGCAGGATGATGAGTGGTTCAAGGTTGCAGAGGAGCAGATCGGTCCAGGGCCGCTGCAGTCGGTATAATTTATTTTGGAATCAGGTATATGCAGTGTACCATCTGTGAGATATACTAGCGAAGGCTTAAGCGAGTTGGGAGTGGCTGTGGCTACTGTCATGGTGAAACGTGCAGATAGACGGACAGGCATTGTATCATTCAGAGGAAACTCTGCACGGGAGGAAGAAAGTATAAGAATCCAGCGATACTCGGCGAGCGTTGAGCTCACAAGCTGCCACTTAGATCTGGCTGTAAACTAGATCTCGAACATCGAGTAGTCTGCAGCAAAGGATGCAGGTGAGGTTGCCACGCGAACAAGTCATCTTGCATCTTGTATCAACATTCCAGACTTTTAACAGTCAGATCATAGATATCCTGTCCTGTGTTTCTCTTGACTGGCGCGAGTCCTCGAATATATGACTGCTATATCGCGGGTGAAGTAGGTCTTTTGCATTGCAGGCCCTCTGCTGCTCGTTGTAAAGAAGAACAATATATATAATTTCTTTCACAACGGCCGACCATATTCATAAGGAATCTATAGCCATAATGGTGCATGGCGCCGCTTGGGAGGGTCTGAGAAGCATGTTACTCAAAGTATAAGCAGTCAATGATGCATTATAGAATCGGGATGATATCGACAGATCTCAAGCTACACCTGGAGAGGTTACATGGTAAAGTCCAGAATCTCTACGTTCAGTCCAGGAGGAACCTCGACTTTCTTCAAGTCATCGACATCAACATCATCCGGACCCGTTACCCTGCCGGAAGTCACTGTTAGCACTGGCAAGCCTGTTCCACCATGCGGGAGGACACATACGACATAAAATGAATAGGCGGCGTGGTCAAGGTCGACTCGAATTCATTAGGGATAATCAAGTTTTGACCGGAATAGATGGCACGAAGCCTGCCTTTGATCTTAGTGGACAGCCTTCGCAAATATTAAGGTATTCAGGTGGTCAGTCATACTTGTCTGCTAGTTTGTGGCCGTCGCCATAGTACTCGTGGGCGAGTTCGTTGTCGTAGCGGATGTCGAAAGTCTGAATTGGTCAATCGGGGGGATGAGATGATAGTGACGGGGGGATGCGCGTACCAGATCTTTGGTCATTATGGTGGTATTTCGATCATGAGCTGCTAGAACAATAAACACCGAGAAAATATTGGTTGGAAGCAGAGTACCTTAGGTGGTTATATGGAAACGAAGCATGGCGACTTGTCGATGGCAAATCATATCTGAGTTTGCGGATGACGTTTCCCCGACCAGCGATGATGTATTCTAGTCTATCTTTTGAGTATAGTAGATGGGCATATACGAGTCATCAGGAGATTTGCAATTGATTATTCCCTAGGTAGTTTGGATTAATTTCTACAATGTCTGCTATGTTGTTCTGAACCGGAGGAGTTGTATCTTTCGCACCAAAGCGACGTCAAGACATCCATCAGAGGTTCGAAATATGATATAGTAATAAGCATATTGATGGATATAAATGGTCTTCAATCTCAGTCTTATATTTATCAATAGAAGATCCCTTGTCCTGTTGTAGGGGTTTGGAAGAGAGATATAAGACAGCTTGTACTGTAACCTACTTAATCTGCTAGGAGATGCTGTCTACAGCCATGCTGTTCCAAAAGGAGACCGGTGGATTATTTATGATGGTAGCAACACGAGATGAACTTGTCGGTTCTAGTTTCAGTGAAGCATACATTGCTGGTCAGAAAATATATTGGGGATGGAGAGCGTCATAAGCGTTGTATATCACCATGGGCATTGCAGTAAGTCGAGTTTAGATCAACAGGCTGCAACGCTATGAAGACTGGATATTGCATTATAAATTAAACTTGAAAACTATAGTGTCCGATAAACCAAGCAGAATATATACATCAAAACTATAACAATCCCCCCAAACATAATCCCAAACGCCAAACGCCAAATTCCATCAAGTAGCCCAACCCTATACGTTTACATCACTTCCACCGCCGCCAAAGGCGAATCCAAACTCGTAGAAAAGAAGCCAATTGCATCCGACAGTTGATCCGCCAGGCAATCCAGCTCCTTCTGCCCCATCACATTAGGCGGCGCCGCGAGAACCAGATCCAGCGTCGTGTCCCGCTCAATGGAAATGACATCGATTTGACCCGGAGGTGGCTGCGAGTTGGCCCAGGTAATGCTCGAGAAGGACGGGATGCCATCCATCTCGAATGCTTCGTGCGACTGCAGCGCCTGGTGGTGCACCAGGCATCCGAAGCGGATATCCGGCGGCCAGTCGGTGCATTGGCCGGCGATGTCGCCGAGGGACAGAGAATCGTGCGGCACTGTCGCGACTTGTTGGCGCTGCACGTGCTGCAGGAATTCGGCCACGGTTTGCTGCGCGTCAACTGCGATGCGGATCGGGAGGAATGTCACACAGGGACCCAGGATCTGGTGCACGTTGGGGATGGGTGATCCGCGGCCGTGTGCGATCTGGCCGAGGATGATGTCCGATAGGGACGCGTGGCGCGAGAGGACCCAGGACAGGGCTGCTTTGACCAGCGTCGCGGTCGTGGCTCCAGATAGTGCTGCAGGCTGGGGCAGTTCTCGTCGAGCTGTCCGTGAGGCGCTGGGATCGTCGGGGGGCGTGGTTATGTGAGAGACACCCAGAGGGTCGACAGATGCGATAGATGCGTCCTGCAGATACTTGCGCCAGAAGGAAGCGGTGTTGTCATGCTCCTGTCCGGCCCGGTAATGAACCATATGGCTAAACGGCGAGATGTCCGGAAGGTGATCCCCCTGGTACGCGGCCTGGATTGCCTGCCACAGGAAGGGTAGACTCGCGCCGTCGTACTGAGCATGGGAGATGCGCACGACAAGTGCCGAGGTGTCTTTCGTGGTGCTCCTTACCAGCGAGAAGCCTGTCAGAAGCGAACCCAGTGGTGTGGTGGGAACCAGTCGGGATTTAGACTCGTGTGTCAGGAATGCTTCAGCATCGTCGACTTCACGCATGGAAAGTTCAGAATCAACGTAGCGAAGGATAACTTGGAAGATTCGATCGCGAGCCTTGACAAACACTGTCCGCAGAATGTCGTATCGCGATATGACTTCACGGCAGGCTTCCCGGAGTCGAACAGGGTCCAGTTCAGTGGGGAAGACCTCGGCGAAATTGACAACGGAGGACGAGGACACATAGTATGCCTGGCTGTCGACCGCAGGAAGGATATCCTCGATATTTTCTTGTCCTACGCAGAGACCTTTGGCGGCCAAGGAACTAATCACCTCACTGCGCTCCTCATCCGATAGCAGTGAAAACGCAGCAAGCGGTTTGAAGTCGGGCTCTTGTGACTCATTCTCATTCCCAGCAACCGCATCCGCCCATCCAACCACAGTTGGATTGCGAAGGATATCGTACGGACTGATATCTATCTCATTCTCCCTGGCGCTGGCCGCGATCTTCATAGCCACGATCGAATCTCCTCCCAGATAGAAGAGGTTATCATCAATACCGACGGCTTCCGGACCAAGCTTCAGATGCTGGACAAGAATTGCATGGAGCCGGGACTCGATGTCTGTGCGCGGGTATCGCTTGCCTTCCGCTTCTCCAGGAGCATCCAAGCGATGGAGCTCTGCCCGGCCGGTAGATATCGCCTCCCGCAGCATTCGGCGGTCTGTCTTGCCTGACTTTTGCCGTGGGACTCGGCGGATAGGCAGGAAAAAATCGGGGATCATGTAGCCCGGCAGTGCCTCTCGGAGACGGGTCAGGGCACGCGCAGAGTGGGCGTGGAACTCAGGCGTCGATGAAGCGAGGATGTCTTCAGAGTCGTCGGTCTCGTTGATGCCGGATGCAGCAGCCGTAGATTCCTCAGAAACAGGATTTCCACAGATACACGCAATGATTCTGGGTACCTGGGAAGAGCTTTGATCTGGCACGGAAGGATCCTCGCGCGCAGGAATCATCACCTGCTCGACGATGGCGTGTGTAGCCTCCGGAAAACAACGGAGTGCATGATATTCAATATCGCCAAGCTCCACTCGCTGACCTCTAACCTTGATCTGCCGATCCTTTCGTCCCTCGTATCGCAAAGACCCATCTGAGATCTCATATCGCACCAAATCACCGGTTTTGTAAAGCCTCCAGGAAGCTTGATCAGCAGACAGGAGGGACATCAGCCACCGCGGAGGCGTGATGAATGCCTCCGCCGTCTTCTCCGGATCATTGAGATACCCCAGCGCCACGGGAGGACCACCAACAACCAACTCCCCCACGGCACCTACGGGAACAAGCCGATCGTGATCATCTTGATCAACCACCCAGAAATGCACCCCTAGGGCGTGGCCCATGTTGCCTGGATCGCAGCCCGGCACGATATGCCCGCGGGCAGTGTTGAGCACTGCACACTCCGTCGGGCCGTATGCGTTCATCAAGTGGCATTTCTCGCCCCACTGATCAATATGCGCGGTGGACATGGGCTCTCCTAAGAGGACTAGGGTCTCGACCCATGAGCGGTCCGCGTCAAGTGTCGCCGCCACGGAGGGGGTGAGGAATGCATGCGTCACGGGAAAAGGACCGACGCCGTTGAGAAGCATTTCATTCCGTTGATTGTCGGATAGAACGCCAATTGTGCCGCCGGCGAGCAGAGTGGTTAGGATCTCCATCACGGCCACATCAAAGGCGTATGAAGAGAATTGGAGAACGCAGGATCCGGGACCGATGTTGAAAGCCTCGATTTGCTTCGTGGCGGCGGCGATGTAGGAGGAATGGGGAACCATGACACCCTTGGGAGTTCCGGTCGTGCCGGATGTGAAAAGGATATAAGCTGGTTGCTTCGGATCGCTTGTAGGAACAGTGAATCCTGCATCGGCAGCATCGACATCCGCTTGTTTGAGGCTGTCTCCCAGGACAATGACATTGTCTACCAATCTGCTGCACGTACCAGCCTGCGCTGGCGAGGAAATGATATGGGTCGCATTGACCCGCTGGCCAAGCTCTTGAAGCCTTGTGAAGGGATGGGAGGCATCGAGCGGAACAAAGGTAGCTCCTGCCCTCATGACGGCGAGCATGGCGACGGTGGTCCATCGCGATTTTTCGCTGCATATTGGCACATATTGCGATGGCCTGACACCGCGGGCAAGCAGCAATGCCGCGAGTCGAGCAGCTTCACGATCCAACCCTTCGTAAGTAAAATCGCCATCCCAGCCCGAGATAGCCAAGCTTGATGGCTGTTCACGAGCTCGCTTCGTGATGAGTTCATGGATAGATGTCGGCGGTGGCGGGGAGAGTGGCTGGTTCCAGTGCTGCAGTCGCTCACGGTCGTTAACTGTGAGACCGACAAGATCTCCGACAATAGACTGTGGTGACTGAACAATGGCGGACACAAAATGGGCAAAGTAGTCACCCAATTGTGTGGCAAGCTCAGTGGAGATTGCGGCCTCCCGATATGTCATGGATGCTCTTACTGCACCCCGAGGGTCTACCAGAGCATAGAGCAGAACGTCTTGCTACATTGGTCAATGAAAGTTAGCAATTGCAAGGGTAGTAGAACGCGTGGAACACTTTACCAAAGTGGGATCCAATCCGGTCATTGGCGTTAGAGAGAGCGAGAACTTCTCCGGGCTGGACGAATGATCGGACAGTGCATACTGAACATTGATAGCCGTCGAGGCCAGCTCCTGCACAGTCAATCCGCTCGCGCGCGCAATCTCAGATAGTGGAAAGCTCTGATACGTGAGTACATGCCCATACTCTTCCTGAAGAGCGAGGGCAATCTCATCAAGATCACGATGCGATGGAACATGGACACGGCAAATCGCCATGTTCGAGATTTGACCTACAGTCTCCTCAAGATGAGGAATGGGAATATGCCGACCAGACGTAAGCGTGCCGAAGCAAATATCATCGGATCCAGTGAAGCATTTCAGTGTCAAGGCCCAGGCAAGGTACAGCAAGTTCGAGGCCGTCCAATCTGTGCCCTGGCAGACTTCGTCAATATCGGCTGCGGTGCAGACGAGCGGGATCTCGAGCCGCTGGGGAATCGATGGTACGCTTTCCACAGCTTTGGGTTGGGGCAGGACCGACGGCTGCATTCCGGTCAAGTATTCACGCCAGTAGGCCGCAGCAGGTTCGAGGGGTTGCCGGTGAACAAAACGCAGATATTCCTGGTATGCATCTTCGGACTTGGGAGCCTCTGGGCCCTCGTCATAGAGCCGCAGCAGGTCCCGTTCCAGGAGAGCAACCGATATCGCATCGATGATTGCATGGTTGATATCTAGTCGACAGTAGACCTCACCCTTCCTACCAGGACAGATTGTGAACTCATGTGGAATTTGGCCGTTATGCCCGGTTATCGGAGGATGAATTTGAGTGAGACAGATCGGAACTCCCCGGGCATCTGTATTGGATGCTGGAAGAATGCGAACGGGGACCTCAATTTCCTGGCGGATTTGCAACTGAAAAACGTCACTCCCAGCCGTGGAATCATATCGGAACACTGTCCGCAAGGCAGAATGACGAGCCACGACCCGTTTCCAGGCTGCAACAAGCCGATCGAGGTCCACAGCGATGCCCTTTGGGGAGGCGGGCACTATCTTCCAGATGAAATGTGGTGCATAGCTGCTAGGATCCTTGACCTGAGTCAATAGTACTCCCCGCTGCACGGGGGTGCAGGGAAAAACCCCAGCAGCGCCAGCTTCAGTAGGCAGAGTTGCTTCCAGATCTCCTGACTTTCCACTGGTCGCCTCGTCCGCAGAAACATTGGCAAAGCGCCGGCCGATCTCCCTGATCGTCTTCCACCGGAAAAGGTCAGCGACAGAATGTTCAATTGCCACGGCGCGAGCTTGGCTGGTAGCCTGTAGCGCTGTAATGGAGTCGCCCCCGAGTCGGAAGAAGCTGTCCTCCGCGCCAATATCAACCGGGGAGACGCCTAGGGCTTTGGCCCAGATGTTGTGCAGGGTCCGCTCCACCGCAGAGGCCATCGGAGCTTTCTGCTTCTGCGATGTTGAACCTACGGCCTCAAGTTGCTGACGGGTGACCGAGCCGGCTGCTTCTCGCAGTCGACGGCGATCAATCTTCCCACCGATAGTTCGCGGCAGATCCACTAGGGGGACGAAGATAGTAGGGATCATGAAATCTGGGACACAGTCGTGCATCAGGGAGCGAGTGGTGTTGATCTTCTGCTGGAAGTCCGCCGACGAAGCAACCTCCAGCGGGAAGGATGAGGACGAAGTTTTTGCACCTTGAATTTCCGACGGGGAGAGAAAAGCGACCAGGGAAGGATTAGAGTGCGAATCTACAGTTGTTACTAGTTCCGCAGCGACATCTTTGAGAGACCCCGGATACGCCCTGAGGATATGATCCTCCACCTCGCTCAGCTCGAGGCGTTGACCTCGCAACTTGACCTGGAAGTCCTTCCGCCCTAGATAGACTAGCGATCCATCGTGATCGTAGCGAACTAGGTCTCCGGTGCGGTAGATTCGTTCGTCGTTGGTATTGGTGTGCCGAATAAAACGAGCAAGCCACGAAGGCGCCCGGAGAAAGGCAGCCGTTGTCAGTTCGGGTTCGTTTAGGTAACAACGGCCTACCATGGCTCCTTGCAATAGAAGCTCACCTACGGCGCCAATAGGGACAAGCCGATGAGGGTCCCGCGGATCCGCGATCCAGGCGGCACCAGCTGTAGCGAAACCGATGTTTGTGGGTTCCATGTCCCGGTGGACTCGCGGTTGCAGAGCAGCGAGAATGGTGCATTCTGCTGGTCCGTACAGGTTCATGAGCCGGAGTTTTGAAGACCATCGGTCGATTTCGTCTCGACGGGGCGGCTCGCCGACAAGCATGAATGTGTGAATTGGTGCCAGGTCATCCAAAGGAAGTGCACGGACAAAGGATGGAGTGAGCAAAGCATGGGTTGGTTGTAGTCGGCGCAACGCCTCGGTAAACCTCTCCTGGCGCTCTGGCTCGGAGGGAATACAGATACATCCCCCTGTGATGAGTGTGCACAGAGTCTCCAGGATACTAACATCAAATGCATAAGAACCGAAATGGAGCACCCGCGCACTAGGTCCTAGCCCAACTCGCTCGCGATACTCCTTGCTCATGGTCACGAACGGCCCGTGTTCGATGACCACACCTTTGGGCTTGCCGGTAGATCCAGAAGTAAACATCGCATAAAGCGCATCTCTGGGACGTACCGTGATGTTCTGAAATGGCGTATCCGAATGCTGGGAATGACCTTGGAGACCTTCACCAAGAGGGAGAATGGTAGCTCGTGGAACAAGCTCTTGAGCGGCAGACATTCTGTCCGGACTGGTCACTATCACCTCGGCATGCACTTCCTCGCAGATTGTTCGCAGGCGCGACAGTGGGTATGATGTGTCCAGAAGCACGAAAGCTACTCCGGCCTTGATGATGCCCAGCATCGCGACGATTACCCAGCGAGACCGGTCCATGTAGAGGGGAACGAAGCTACCCGACTGAATATGGTGGGCATGGAGAACATTGGCCAGTTGGGCAGACCACACTTCTAATTCGCGATAGGTGAAATCTCCATCCCAAGAGCAAATGGCAGGGGCATCTGGCTGTGTGGAAGTCTGCCGATCGATAGCAGATTGAACGGACTCAGGAATCAGACTAGGCGCAGAAGAGCCCCATTCGTGTAAGAGGTCCATATCTTGGGCATTGAGAGAGGCAATCATATCTCCGATGGAACGCTCATCTCTCTGGTGGATCATCTTCAGCATGTGTCCAAGCTGGTAAAGGATTCGTTGCATCTTCCATTCTGGGATGACCTCGTCGTCAAATGTGGCAGCAATACGCACTGTGTCTGGTTCAAGTGTACAATTGAGGACAACCGCGTACGTAGCAAACGCGCCCTTTTTAGCCGTAGTATCCACAGACTTGAACAGTTTCTCAATTCGTTCAGTAGAATCCTTACTAGCCTGTTCGATGTTGAGAAGAGTCTGGAAGGAACAAGCCCGTGCCGCGTCCGGACCCAGTCTCGCAATCTGCTGCAGTCCGACATGTTCGAAAGGGGCCATATCTGCCATCCACTGCTGAAACGCGATAAGACTGTCCTGGACCTCCTCATGCGTGTCAATCTGAACCCGCAATGGCATAGCCGTGATGGTTGGACCCGTCATATCTTGCAGGCCTGGAACAGGGGCACTGCGCCCGGAAGATACCACACCGAATACAACTTCATCATGACTTTGATATTGGGACTGAACAAGAGCCCATGCTAGTCGCACTGCTGTGGTCCGTGTCACTCCAGGAGTCGTGAACGGGCCAGTAGTCACAGAATAGTCCAGCTGGCTTGTGGACACTGGACGATAGGATTGGAATGGAATGCTGGGAAAAGACTCGGCGGACAGAGAGCGGAGTTGTTCATCCCAACGGTTCAAAGCCGCCTTTGTCTGGGAAGTCGTATATTGGATATATCGTTGGAACGGAGCGGGCTCGATATGCAATGCTAGCCTTCCGTCACGATAAACTGCCTCGGCATCTTCAAGTAGACGGGGTAAGGACCATGCATCGTACACCGCGTGGTGCATTGTGATCGTGAGGCTGCAATCAGTGACCGCATCGTTGCCATCAAGAACTTTCGAGACCGTAAAATAGACTAGAGGAACCCCGAATATGCCATCTCTCGAGGGATCACGGAGGTTTCCAAGCTGCTGCCCTGTGGCCTTTGCAGATCGCGCAGTGGTGTTGGTCCATTCCACAGGAGAGTCCTTGAGCACAACTTGCAGGCACCCCAGATCTGTGGCTTGGACGAGTCTCGTGCGCAGAATAGAATGTCGCTCAGTTACCAACTCCCATGCCTGCTGAAGGCGATCAACTTCAATTTCTGGCCTCAGCTGGTAGAGATGGTGTGCAATGTAGGCACCGGGACGTTCGGTAGACATGGCCGCCAGACCAGCCTGCATCGCAGTGGCCGGGTAGATATCCTCGATTTGGTCCATGGGGACTCCACACTGGGCAACGGCCTGACGCTTTATCTCCAGGTGCTTCTCTGAAGGCAGGAGAGAGAACGGCGGAGGATCCGACTCCATCATATCATCGCCAGAATCGGACGATACTCCTTCTTTGGCTTCTATGACACCAGCGAGATCATCGAGGCGCGGATGAAGGAATACATCAGCTACAGTCAGCAGGCATCCCTGACGGGAGGCGACAGATGCCAATTTCATGACCATAATCGAATCGCCTCCGAGAGAAAAGAAATTGTCATCGGGGAGGATATTGTCGGTTGGGATGTGCAGCAGCTCGGCCCATAGATCTCGTACCCTCTTCTCGATGGCTGTGAGATCTCTTCCAACATCCCGCTTTGAGCGGCCATTGCCAATGGGTTTTGCAGTCCGAGCTTCCTCGATGGCAAGAACGGCATTGCGGCGTATCTGGAGTCGGTCAACCTTACCGCTGGGCAGTCGAGGAACCTCATCCAGCTGGACAAAAGCGGACGGGATCAAGAACGCAGGCACTCGTTTGCGCAGAATGTCTCGTGCACGATAAACCAGATCGTCAAATTCGTCTCGGGTTTGTGTTTGCTGCTGAACACATGCGACAAGCCGTGGTTCCTCTACGCCATCGGGCTTTAAAAGCTCTGCAAACACCTCCCCGGTGCCAGGAAAGGACTCGCGAACATGCCGTTCCACCTCGGAGAGCTCCATTCGCTGTCCGTGTAACTTGACCTGCCGGTCCTTACGCCCTTCGTAGCGCAAGGACCCATCAGGCAACATTCTTGCCAGATCTCCGGTCCTGTAGAAACGAGAGGAGCCCTTTCGATACGTTTTGTCTATCCATGGCGGGTTCAGGATAAAGGCAGCAGCAGACTGCTCAGGTCTGTTGACGTACCCTCGCCCGACTATAGGCCCCTCAATGAGCAGCTCACCAAGAGCTCCAATTGGGACCAGGTGGGCGCATTCCTGCGCGTCGACAACCCAGGTCAAAGCCCCCGTGGCGTGGCCAATATTGCTCGGATCGGAGGAGAGTATGTTCGATGATGTCTGGACGGTGGATATTACAGAGCACTCCGACGGCCCGTACGCATTCATAAGAGTGACATGGTTCGACCATCTCTGAACGTCGGCGGCGCGCACCTCTTCGCCACCAAGAACAAGAGTCTTTAGGGATGGCACCTCGTCTGGATCCAGAATACGGGACACCGACGGGGTCAGCAGGGCCCAGTTTACCCGATGTTGTTGTACGAAGCTAGCCAGATTCTGTGTGCGGTCTTCTTCTGATGGCATACAGATGCATCCACCCACTAGAAGTGTACTCAGAATTTCGGCAATGCTGGCATCGAAGGCAAACGAAGCAAATTGGAGGACCCGGGAATCGGAACCGAGGCAGAAAACCTTCGTATGTGCTGCTGCGGCCGTTAGGTAGGATCTATGTCCAATGACACTTGCTTTGGGCGTCCCTGTGCTGCCAGAGGTATACACCGCATATGCAGCACTTGCCGGTGAACTGACGGCAGGGAAGGAAGTCGAGCTGAGCGTGTCAGCATCCAAAGAACCCTGCTCCCGGGCATCTACCACCCAGACTACATCGCCGATTTTGGCAGCGACGGGCGCGGCGCTCTGCGTTGTTAGTACCAAGGATCCCGGAAAATCCTGCTTGATTACAGCCTGTAGTCGGTCGACTGGGTGGGAGGGATCGAGCAGAATAAAGGCACCCCCGGCTTTGAGCACTGCCAAAACCGCAACAACAACCCATAGAGACTTTTCGCAACAGACCAGGACAAAGACATCAGGACCTATGCCTGCATCACAAAGTTGAAAAGCCAGATCGGATGCCAGGCGGTCGAGTTGGGCATAGGTGAGCGTGCCGTTCCAGGCAGAGACAGCAGGAGACGTCGGTCGGGCAAGTGAAGATCGCTGAATTGTAGAGTGAATACATCCGTCGCTAGTGATGGGAACATCTTTGTTGCTATTCCATACACGTGTCTCGTTCATTGGACTGAAGAGGTCCAGTTTACCAATGGCCTGCGGTTGACCGGTGGCAAGCTGCCGGAGGATATACACATACGAGTCGGCAATCATTGCTGCTTGCTCGCGAGTCATGAGGCCCGAAGAAAAGGTAAGATCGCCTTCAATGCTGGCCTTTCGCAGGGTGACGTTCACAGTCAGGTCATACTAGCACTCGTTAGCATGGTCAAAATCTCTCACGGTGCAACCTACCTCAGTCACGTCCTGCCCGCCTTGTTGTTCCACCACCACGCTCGAGGACGAGTGGCCTGGTTGATCGCGTTCCTTCTGCAGGGACATGGCCGTATTGAACAGCCGAGGAATCGTGAGTCCCAGCGCATGAATCACCTCTGGTAGTGAGCAACAGCGATGATCCAAGCTCTGCGCATATGCCGTTTGACTGTTGCCGATAACAGAGCGGATATCATCACCATGTTCCAAGTTCAATCTGCAGACAAGGAGGTTGATAAGCGGTCCGGCGATCTCCTGAACGCCAGGGAGAGGTATATCGCGCGCGGACGCAAGGTACCCGAAGCACACGGAATCCGCACCGGTGTAGGCGCGGAGAAGCAGTCCCCAAGCTACCTGTAGGATGTTTGCAATCGTCGTACCCTGCTGTTGGCAAAATTCTTGCAGAGACTGCGCCTCTGTGTCGTGTATGGAAAATGGTACGGACTTCAGGGCATTCCCATGGCTATGGACATTGCCATCCAGACGGGGAAAAAGGCACGGCTGTATGTCCCGAAGATACTTTCTCCAATACGCCCGAGACGTTTGCTCGGACTGGCCTCGGAGGCTGGTCAAGTATCTGCTAAAAGGAGCTGCTCCAAAAGAGGGTAGCTGGTTGTCATACGCTCTTTGCAGATCGGAGAGAAGGATTTGCAACGTGAAGCCGTCGATCAGGATGTGGTTGATCACCAAGTCACAGACAACCTCGTTGTCACTGATTTTTTTCATACAAAAGGAATGACCAAGACGTAGAGCCTCCTCGTGCTCCTGAATAATTGACAATGAGTCTTCCTCGCTCTCTTTCGTTGAGTTGGGCTGATACTCGCGGACGTCGGCCGTGGCATGTCGCAAAACAACCTGTAGCGGCTGGCCGTCCATGCGAGGACTGGCCATGAGGACGGTTCGCAAGATAGGATGACGGTCAGCTACCTGCTGCCATGCTTCCTTGAGACGGGATAGACTGATTGTATCCTCTTCAGGTGTGGTTGATCGTACCAACCAACGGAGTCGAGACCAGTATGCCCGAGGATCCTTTGACTGGCTCAGCCACATCCCCAGCTGTACAGGAGAGCAGGGATAGATGTCTTCAATATTAGAAGTCTTGATCTGGCACCGGGTTTGAACCTCTGCAATCAGATCGTCCAGATGCTCGGTACTTTCAAGCGATAGGAGCGGAAAGTCGGACAGTGTGAAGCGCTTATATTCCTTCAATGCGTCCGGAAGCCCTTCTAACGTGCGCTGATACTCAGCCACCCACTCATGCAGCCGTTCCTGGTGCCGCATGCGCCGGTTATACATGATAGATGCACTTAGGCACCCATTCACAACCGTGACCGACACATCCACCAATGCAAAGCGCGGCAAGTCCGCCGGCATGGGCAGGATTTCATGATCAGGGACAGCCGCCAGCTGCAGCAACGCATCGGGGTTCTCAAGCTGCTGGAATAAACCCGTATAGTTGAACAGGATCTCCATGGGAAGATGATCTCGCCAGCTTGCACGGCCCCTCGGATGCAGGAATCGAGAGGCAAAGTACGCCCAGCCGTTTGACGGGATTGCGCGTCGACCGTCCTTCACCCGTTGTAGGACCGTGCCGAAGTCGTTCTGGGGGTTGGCGCGAACGAAGACTGGCATCATCGTGGTGAACCAGCCAACGGTGCGCGATAGGTCAAGTGCAGGATCCCACGGCTCTCGTCCGTGGCCTTCGGTAAAGACGGTCGGTGCCTCACGGTCATCAAAGACCCGAGCGAAGGAATAGATCAGGGCCGCATTGAGAAGCTCCACGGGACGGGTACGAAGCGCGTCATTTGCGGATCCTAGGATCTGCCGACTTATGGACTCGGATATAGTGAATGACTCGTGAACAGTGTCCGCCCAGGTATTCTGGCCATCTGCCAACACTGAATCGCCCCAGTACTCCAGCGGCTGGGGTGGGATGTCGGCCGGCAGCGCCGTCTGCGGGTCGAGACATCGCCGTGCAAAGTTCTCCTGCAGCTGGCACCAGCGGTGGAAGGTCATTGAAGTCGGTCCAGAAAGGGCACCTGTGACGAGAAATTCCTCGAGCTCCTGGAGCAAAACCCGCCACGAGACCAAATCAATCACCAAATGGTGTATCATCAGGGACAGATATTGGCTTCCAGTAGGAGTGTTGACCAGGTCAACAATGAAGAGCCTTCCTGCCTTGATATCCAGCAGGTTTTGACTCTCTTCGAGTACATCTCTCAACTTTCCATCACCGATACCCGACAGAATATGTTCGCGGAAGCAAAGTTGGGTATTATTGTTCATGCTGAGGAGCTGGGACCACCCTCCCCTGGATTTCTGCTCAAACCGAGCACACAGGATTGGGTGCCGTTCTACAATCGCGTCAATCGCCTCTCGCAGACGGGCAGTGGGTTGGGGTCTGGCAATTTGCAGCAGGAACTGCTGGGTAAACCGATCATGGCCCTTCGGACATAGCTCGAAAAACAGCTGCTGCACTGGTGACAACCCCGTCCAGGTCATTTCTGTCACCTCACCATCATCATCGGAGGTGATCGGTGTGCTCGCGCTGCTGACACGACTGTCACTGGTGCTGGTGCTGTATCTTCTCTCGGTCTGTATAATGTGCTCGGCAAGCTCCTCGACCGTAGGGGATTGGAAGATATTACTGACCCCCACTGGGTATCCCTCTCGCTGACAGCTGGCCGCTACCTGCATTGCGCTGACGGAATCGCCGCCAAGATGGAAGAAACTCTGAGATACACCTACACGGTCCTTGGGGATGTTTAGTACTTGCGCCCAGATGCGCTGGACCTGTTCCTCGGTCTGATTTCCTGGTTTTCTCTGCGGAGCCTTGGCCGCGCGGTAGGATTCGAGCTGCTTCGATGAGAGTCGCCCTGCTTGCCCTCGCAGTTGACGCCGGTCCAGCTTCCCCGAGAAGGTCTGCGGCATGTGGTGAACAGGTAGGAATGTACTTGGCACCATGAATGACGGTAGGGCTGAAGAAAGCCGTGCCCCAGCCGCCGCGCATGCATCGCGATGTTGCTCACTGGCGGCAAGGAAGAGCGTATCGGATGGTTTATCCTCCTCGGTCATGCTGAACCTGTCTGACCAGCAGACGAAGGCTACAAGCTGAGTAGCCGAACCCTCGCCACCTTCCCCTCCAGAATGGACGATATCTGCAACGACATGCGCGGCTTCAGGGAATCCGCTGGTTTTCAAATGATGCTCGACTTCACCCAGTTCAATGCGCTGCCCGCGCAACTTGACCTGCGTATCCTTACGGCCCAGGTACCGAAAACTACCATCTCCCGCACTCTGAACCAGGTCGCCCGTTCGGTACATACTACCACTACAGGGACCAAATCGCCTCTGTCGCCATCGCGGCGGATCGATGAATGCCCGCTTGGAAGCGCCCGTGTCCGACGTATATCCCAAACCGACAATGGGTCCCTCGATGAGCAGCTCGCCAACACTACCCACCGGCATCAGCCGTTGCGGATCATCGGGATCAACCACCCATCCGGCGCCGCCAGTCGCCAAGCCGATATTCGCCGGGTTGTGGGGAGTGAGATGCGGCTGGACGCTGAACACGGCGGAGCACTCGGCGGGTCCGTATGCGTTGCGTACGCGCACGAACGGCTCCCATCGCGAAACGTCACTGGTGTTCACCGCTTCACCGATGAAGCTCAGGTCTTGGAGACTGGGGAGTTTGTCCGGTGGCAGGATTCGGGCTACTGTAGGGGTTAGGCAGGCGTTGTTGACGGCGAATTCGTTGATCACCTCTTGCAGCCGGCTGCGACAGTCGTCGGGATGAGGCACGCAGACGCATCCTCCGGCTATAAGCGTGCTCAAGTTCTCGATGATGAATGAGTCAAATCCGGGTGACGCGAATTGGAGGACTCGAGCGGACGGTGTGAAGTTATACAGTCGAGCATGGGCCGTGGCGCTCGTGGCGAACCCGCCATGACTGACTATGACCCCCTTAGGGACGCCGGTTGATCCAGATGTAAAGGTGATATACATCACATCCTCGGGCCGTATGCTCTCCTCTAGGTTTGTGCTCACTTGCTCTGCTGGCGGTGTTTCCCCGTCCACCTGATCGACGATGAGGAGCTCCAATCCCAGCCGGGCGGCCAGGTTCGTACTCCGTTTTGTGCCAACGACGCATCGAGCCTGCACGTCCTCGCACATTCTTTTCAAACGCGCCAGAGGGTATGATTCATCGAGGAGAACAAATACCGCCCGGGATTTCATCATGGCCATCATGGCCACTGCGGCCCATTTGGAGTGACCAACGCAGAGAGGGACAACTGTCCCGCGACTAATGCCCTGGCTGGTCAACACAGTTGCCAGTGTAGAGGAAGTCCTACTAAGCTCCTCATACGTTAAGCTTCCATCCCAACTACGCACAGCGACGGCCTGCGGGCTCTTCTGAGCCTGCCGCTCAATCAAGTCATGGACACCGTGAGGAACCGCCGGAGGAATAGGGAGATTCCAACGTTCCAGGTCCCGAATATCCTCTGGACTGCACACATCCAGTTGGTCCAAGGCCAGCTGCGGTGTGCACTCAACCTGCTGGTAGATATGGGCTAGCTGGTGAACGATCCGCTCGACCTGTCGGGCACCCAGCACATCCGGATCAAATGTGGCCTCGATCGTGACGGACTTCGATTGCGAATTTGGCCGCCATCGGATAATGAGCGAGTAGGTATCAAACACAGGTTGCAACGATTGCTGTTGCAGGAATAAATCCGGCAGGTCATAGGTGTCGCATGGCTCCACGGCGAGCAGGGTTTGGAAGCGACAGGCGGCTGCCGGGCCTGGGCCCATGCGCATGATGTTCTGCAAGCCCGCATGCTGGAATTCCATGGACTCGATCCATTCGCGCTGCGCTTGCTCCAAGGCTTCGGTGACGGTTCGAGCCCCGCCGAGACGGACCTGCACGGGGATACAAACCAGAGCAGGTCCGCTCAGCTCTTCGATGCCAGAGAGGGGAATGCCGCGCCCCGTGTCAATGGCGCCGAAAAGGACTTCAGAGGATCTGGTGTACAATGACTGCAGGATTGCCCAAGCAACCCGGACCTTGGCATTGAGCGCAAATGCGGCGCGGGCGCCGGCTGACTGAGGGAATGTGCGGCGGAGCGTGGTAGTTGGCTGTGGCACATAATCTTGGCCCGGACGGGTGGGAAAGATACTCGTATTCGCATGATCGAACCCGTGGAATCTGGCCTTCCAGAATCGAGATGCACGCGCCTCGGACTGCTCAATAAAGTCGATCAAGGGTCGGAAGGGCTTTGTTGCCAGGGATTCGCCTGCGTATGCGGCCGCCACCTGTCGCAGGACTACGGCCATGGACCAGTCATCGCAGAGCGCATGATGGATCACAACCGTCAGTTCATGGCTCATGGGGTCCCAGATCAGCTTCACCATGGGGGACCCCACCGGCCAGATAGCCCGCAGCCGAGCTTCAGCGGACTCGTATTTCGTCCCGGTGCTGCCCTTGGCGGCGGCGTTCAAATCCTCGTCTTCCGAGTTCACCTTCTCAATCCACGGGATCCCCTTTCTTAGAACTGCTTGCACGCAGCCCCGATCACTCGTTGGCACGATTCGGGAGCGCAGGATGGGGTTCGTCCGCGCCGTCTTCTCCCATGCTGCTTGCAGGCGGTGCGGGTTGACGTCGGGCGGCAGGCGGTACTTGTAACCGACGTTATAGGCCCCAGAGTCTTTCAGTGTGAGGGAAAACATCCCTTCCTGAAGGGGAGTACAGGCATATACATCCTCGATGTCCTCGGGAGAACATCCGCATCGGCGAGCCACATCCTGAAGGTGCTGCCGCTGGTGGGCGGTTGCCGTAATTTGCGGCGTCGTTGGATCCATAGCAATATCCATGATTGAACATATATATATATATATATATATATATATATATGGATATAGATATATGGATTCTTACAGATAGCTGAAAGAGCTTTAAAGATCACTCGCCGGTCATGCGCTCAGGGCTTCCTAACGTCACGTACGACCGATGGAGAGTACTGGATTCCAATTGCATTTGCATGGAAAGTGATCAAAATAGACGATCACTAAGTACTCTGACAAAATGCAAAGCCTTTTTCGCTAGTATTCTATCATTAGAACTACGGCCTGAGTTGTCTTCTTGAGGATATTAAAGTTATACCGTCCTTGCAGCACGTCCGCACCAGGCATCATGATCGAACTCTATCCTTTCATGTGGAAACTTCAAGTCCCTGATCGAGCATCATTCTTTCTCCCGTGCATCTTCGGCCATCCAACAATATAGGTGAGAGATCCTTCAGCATTTCCGAACGCGGGCATCAGATGCCAAAGATCGTGTGGTTCAATCGGGTTGAACCATGGGTGGACTGCAGGCATATCGAAAGGCTTTTCTGACTGTAACGCCAACCTGTGGGTATGATCACATCGACAAAAATAACAAGAAATATGCGATTGTTCTCTGGATATCTTATGCCCCGTCAGGTCAGCAAGCCGATCTTGACCATCATTCTCGATCCGTTTCTCCTGGATCTACGGAGTAGGAGAAAGACATATCGACGTTTTCATACTAAGTTTCCTGTAATCCTGGTCTACCCATCAATTGGAACAATACGACGAGGCTTTGGAGGGAAATCGTTTTCTATGATGCACTCTGTCTCAAAGACTGGGGCAGGGCCTAAGACTCTTCCTCAATCGAATGGCAACTTCGTATTCAACCCACTAGAGCTTATGGCATGCAGGCTTTTAGTGCCTCCTAATCCGCTATAGGACTGACTGGCCAACTGCTGCCTAGAATAGTCCAATCGAGGGAATAAATCAATTCAAATCATAACAGGGGCTATTCGTCACGGGACTAGGGGGATTAGACTTCCCCATACGAACATAAGCTGGTCACCTTTTCCCCCTCTAATACACGTTTGTCTGTCTGTCTGTCATTCAAGATTTCATATGCTGCGCTCATTCACATAGAGGCATGGATTCCTCGCCGTCAGCTCCTCCACAGGAGGTAAAGACACCAGCGGATGGCCAGCAGACCGTCAACAAAGAGGATGTAGAACCTAAAAACTCCGCGTTGAAAAGCTATGTGGTATGAGAGTTGTGTGTCCCTTTTCTGCTTCGCTGCGTTAACCAACAAATCCCAGCGGATTCTCTCCTACGGCTCTCGCAACGGAGGCATCCTAGCGATGATCCTCGGTCTGGTGTGTGCCATCGGGTCCGGAGTGGTAAGTCGCCAGCTACACAAACATCGCGATCCCTCGATAACACTCGTAGGCACTCCCGTTGATGAATGTGGTGTTTGGCAATCTGGCTGGCGAGTTCAATCGGTATTTCATTCCTGGTACCAAGCTCGACGAGCACGCGTTCAAGGCGAACGTGAACAAGAACAGGTGAGTATCCCCATCATTGAAGCGGACGCATCCTGACCAGTTCCGCGACAGTCTCTACATTGTGTACCTATTCATCGGCAAGTTCGTCCTGACATACATCTCGATGATCTGCTTCCGCATCATCAGTCTGCGAGCATCCGCAGCCCTAAGACTAGAATACATCCAGGCGCTGTTCGCCCAGCCCGTGAGCAAGCTGGACGAAACCTCCGTCGGCACCGTCACCAACGCCATCACGTCGCTGTCCAACACCATCCAGCAGAGCGTTTCGGACCGCCTTGCCATCCTGTTCCAGTCGCTGGCGCTCCTCGTGGCCGCCTACGCCATCGCCTTCCGCTACTCGTGGGCGTTGACGTTGGCGGTGAGCTCGGCCATCCTCTTCGTCGTGATCGCGTACAGCTTCACCGTCCCCATCCTCGTCAAGGGACAGCAGATGGCCGATCGAGCCGACGAGAAGCACGCAGCCATTGCAGCAGAGGCGTTTGGATCGATCCGGACCGTCCTTTCGCTGGGTGCGGAAGTGCCTCTCACCAAGAAATACATGTTCTGGGTCGACGAGGCGCGCCGCCGTGCAACTCGCCTGTGTCCAGTGACAGGGCTGCATTTGTGCCTGATTTTCTTCGCCATGTACTGCAGCTACGCGTTAGCGTTCTGGTTCGGGTTGAAGCTGTACCGCGAGGGACATATCGGCAACGTCAATACCGTGATTATGTAGGTCTGGCAAACTGGGTGGTGATGGGCAACGCTGACCATGCCACAGTGTCTTTTTCTCTGTCTTGCTCGTCGTCACAGTTCTCGGAGGCATCGCTTCTCCGTTGATGGCCATCATCAAGGCCACAAGCGCATCGGGGCCCTTCTTCGACATGATCCAATCCGAGCGCGTCACCACCGACGGACTCAAGAGTCCCGCTGTCTCCAGCGAGTCCGACATCGTATTCGATTCCGTGACGTTCGCCTACCCAACACGAGCGCAGACACAAGTGCTGAAGAACTTCAACGCCCGATTCCACAGCGGCAAGACGACTGCATTAGTGGGACCGTCCGGCTCCGGGAAGAGTACCATTGTGGCGCTCCTCGAACGATGGTATCAGCTGGAGGCCCCTGCAGGAGAAGAGACTACTGAGAAACAGGAATCCCCCGGTTCTATTCTCGTGGACGGACATCCCATCAACGAACTGGATTTGAAGTGGTGGAGGACCCAGATCGGACTGGTCGAGCAGGAGCCGGTTCTGTTCAACGAGTCTATCTACAAGAATGTGGCGGCCGGTCTCATCGGCACAGAATGGGAGAATGAGTCCGAGGCGGCCAAGATGGAACTGGTCGTCAAGGCGTGCCGCGAGGCCTTTGCGGACGAGTTCATCGACAGACTTCCCCTTGTATTTCCATCCCCCCGACATTCCTAAGTGATCGTTGCTAACGGGCTCTAGGGCTACCTGACGATTGTCGGCGAAGGAGGCATTATGCTAAGCGGAGGGCAGCGCCAGCGAATTGCCATCGCGCGTAGCATCGTCCGGCGGCCCGCGATCCTGATCCTCGACGAGGCGACGAGCTCCATCGATGTTCGCGGGGAGCAGATTGTGCAAGCCGCTCTCGACCGCGTATCGAAGAACAGAACCACGATCATGATTGCGCATCGGCTGTCGACGGTGCGGAAGGCAGACCAGATTATCGTGGTGCAAGATGGCACGAATATTGAGCAGGGCTCTCCGCAGGAACTCATCGATCGCGGTGGATTCTATTATTCCCTCGTGCATGCCCAGCAGTTGCAAGTCGCGCCGGAGCTGGAGCCAGCTGTCAAATCCGAAGAAGAGATTTCTCGGTTCCAGCAGATAGAACCGGTCAAGTCTGCTTTGTCTGAGACTGCTTCAAACGAGGGATCAGCTGCAGAGGGCAGTGTAAGAAGCGCGAAGAAGCGAGGCGCTTTCCGCACTCTCTGGCAGCTTTTGTGTGAGCAACGAGGCTACTGGCCGTCATACACACTTACGCTGGCCGGGGCAATGGGAGCTGGATGTAAGCATTCCATGTCCATAGAGTATTCCTTTTGGCCTGTCTTCGGATGACGGACTAACTGCTTGAATAGCGGCATTCGCGTTACAGAGCTGGCTCTTTGCGAAACTGGTCCAAGTATTCCAATTTACGGGCCAGAAGCTTGTCGACGCAGCCAATTTCTGGTCGCTGATGTTCTTCATTCTCGCCATTGCGATGGCGATCTTCTACTTTGACCTGGGTATCATCTCGACCCTGATCTCCGTGGTAAGAGGCATTTCCCCATGGGCCCTATGGAGAGAACAACGAGGCTAAGTCTCTAGAAATTTGCGTCCACCTATCGGAAAGACTACTTCGAAAGCATCATCCAGAAACCTATCACATACTTTGACCGTGAAGAGAACGCATCGGGCACGCTGATGTCCAGACTGTCCACGGACCCCAAGCAACTTCAGGAGCTCTTCGGCATTGGCGGAATCTTCCCGATCATCTCCATCTTCAGCCTCATCGGTTGCATCGCCATCTCCTTTTCGTTTGGTTGGAAGCTTGCAGCTGTCACTTTCTTCGCAGCACTGCCGTTCATCCTAGTAGCCGCGTACCTGCGCATCCGGTATGAGATCCAGTTCGAGGGCATGAACGCCGAAGTCTACGCGGATAGCTCCAAGTTCGCCACGGAGGCCATCCAGGCTTTTCGAACCGTCTCTGCGCTGACAATGGAGGATGCTATTGTGCAAAGGTACGAGGATTTGCTGCTCCAGCAGCGTAGTAAGGCTATGAGCAAGGCGTGGTATGCGACGTTGATCTTCGCCTTCTCGGACAGTATTGACCTTTGTGCCATGGCGCTTACGTTCTGGTTAGTGATTTGCTTTCCTGGAGACTAATCTTTCAATGCTGATGCTAAGAGTGACGGTCAGGTACGGCGGTCAACTCCTCGCAACCAGAGAGTACGACCCCGTCGCCTTCTTCGTTGTCTATATTGCTATCGTACAGGGTGGCCAGTCCGCCGGCCAATTCTTCAGCTTCGGCCCCAACATAGCGCAGACCATCGCCTCCGTCCGACGGATTCTGGATACTCGATCGACAGCGGTGAAAGTTGACCAGATGGCCCAGCCGACATCAAATCAAGCTCTCTCCTCGCAAGCTGACATCAACTTCCGCAACGTCACCTTCCATTACCCATCCCGCGACCTCCCGATCTTCCAGCATCTCAACGTGAGCATTCAAAGCGGCCAGTTCGTCGCCTTTGTCGGCCCCTCGGGCTGCGGAAAATCCACCCTCATCTCCCTCTTGGAGCGTTTCTACGAGCCAACACACGGCACTGTCGAGGTCGGCGGACAAGATATCCGAGCCGTGGACTGCACCTCGTACCGGCGATTCCTGTCGCTCGTCGCACAGGAACCCCGTCTCTTCGAAGGAACCATCCGCGAAAACCTCCTCCTCGGGCTTGCTGGCGACGACCCAGCGGCCGACGAAGAACAGATGATCAACGCCTGCAAACAAGCCGAGATCCACGACTTCATCACCTCGCTCGCGGACGGCTACGCGACGGAGCTGGGTATCAACGCGCAGGCGTCGCTGAGTGGCGGCCAGAAGCAGCGGCTGTGTATTGCGCGGGCGCTGATCAGGAGGCCCAGGCTGCTGCTTCTCGATGAAGCGACCTCGAGTCTGGACTCGACGTCTGAGCGGCTCATCCAGGAGGCGATGGAGAAACTTGCAGGCAAGAAGTCGATGACGATCATTGCGGTGGCGCATCGGCTTGCTACGATCCAGAAGGCGGATGTGATCTTTGTCTTTGGCGAGGGCGAGAGGGGGGCTGGGTCGAGGATTGTCGAGCAGGGGACTCACCCTGAGTTACTGCAGAGACGGGGCGTTTATTGGCAGATGGTGCGTATGTTCTGCAGCAGATCACCTTCAACTGATACTAATCTTCGAACAGTGCCAAGCTCAGGCGTTGGATCAGTAGCGTCTACACTGATTCGATCCATCCGATATCAAACCCGACATGGCGAGCACCGCGTTTCCATCTTCACTCACTTCTCCAGTAGCATCAATCTCCACTCCATCGTATCTCCTATTACAACCAGCATGAAAATACTCTTGATGGGTATATCAGTACTATAGTCTCACCAAAAAAATAAAAAATAAAAAATACAAAACTCATCTCCCTCCCTAAACCCCCTACCAAATCCTACCTCTCATACGCCAACCACCCAAACCCGCCCTCAGAAGCCTCATACCGATACCACCGCACCATCTCCCTATCATACTTGAACCCGTCAATCTGCTGCCTGATAAACTGCTTTGATTCCTCGATGATCCCCGCGTCAGTCCCACTCACCGTCTTCATCTCGAGCACCAGGTCGCCTACCTTGGGTGTGAACGGGAAACTGACAGTGCGATCGATCCGGGCCTTGCCCTTTTCCAGGACTGCGAGGCAGGCCTTGAGGATTGCCAGGGCAGGGCCTTTGGGGTGGCTGGGTCGGAAGGAGAGGTAGACGTCGTGGAGGTCGGGGGCTTCGTAGATTGTGAAGGGGGGTTGTTTGGGCATTTTCGTTAGATAAGGTGCGTGTAGTTCTGACTAGAGCTTGATATTGATGATTGATTGATTGATTGAGAATTAAGACACTGTATGTGTTGATATAGGACGATAGTGGTGATAGAAGCCTGGACCATGGTGGAACCAAGGATAGTTATTTATATATGAAGCTGAAACGCTTTTTGAAGGCCTGTCTTTCAAATGTCGCACCTTGAAGCCACTCAGGACAACAAAGAGACTGTCGTAGAGTGAAGACAAGGATAGGGATCGGGGGGACTGACAATGAAGGACGAATTTGAAAGAAATGGATGCATTGGCATTGTATTCGACGAGGTCAAAGAAGGCAAATAGAGAGCAGTAGTCGAATTCATTGTCTCTATCACAATCGGGTTTCCCTTCATGATTGCCTCGATCAAGCAAGGGGAATGTTTTTTTTTCTCTTTTCTCTCAGGCAGACTACCTGCGATAAATCTGGAGCCAAGGGTAAACATTAGACAGGTCAAGGTGGTTAGAAGTGACCTACAAAGAACCATTACACAACAAGGCACATTGGAGTAAACATCAGATATGAATTGGCAATTTTTTACAATCACAAACTGAATATGCAAACTTTTCCTCAAGCTGCAATGGCAAATCGTTCATCCAGACCAAACGCCGGATGCGACTTGGTCGAGATCAAATCATCACTCGCCTCAGCCCGTCCACACCCAAAGCTCTTCGGCTTCCACTTGTCCACGCCTTCCACCCCCTTCAAATAATCGCCAAACTCCTTAAACAGCTCCGAGTTCAACCGCTCGTACTCCGCATAGTCCTTCGGCCAGTTCCCCAGCCGCTCCACCGCCAACTTGAGCAGATGCAGATGCTGCCGAACATACTTCCCGCTGTCGCCCTCGCCAGGACTCGACACCTCAGACCCGCTGGCGCTACCCGCGTCGTCCATCGCCGTCGACGCAGCAGCCGAAGGGTCGATGAGCACCCGCAGCGCGTTCTCGTGCACCGCCGCCGCTTTCTTGTAGTACCGGTACGCCAGCTCCCGCCGCTCCTTCTGCTCCTGGTACCCCTGCGCCACACTCGTGTACATCTGCGACAGCAGCACCGTCATCTCGGCGGTGTACGGGTGCTGCGGGCCATGCACGCGCGCGGTGTTGTACACCATGTCCTCGGCGAGCCGGATGGCGGCCGTGTAGTCGCCCAGCAGGTATCGGGTAATGACGAGCATGCGGCCCAGTGCGAGCGTGTAGCTGGCGTCTTGCTGCGAGGGCGCGTAGTTGTCGCGGCTGTCCCAGAGGCTGGTGAGGATCCAGGCCAGGTTGTGGTAGTCGGTTTGGGCGTCCAGGATGCCGATGAGCTGGTTGAGCGTGACGAGATCGAGCTGCGTGAGGTCGATGTTGTGCTGCTTGCAGTAGCCGAGCGTGTCCTTCATGATCGTCGCGGAGATGCTGAGCATCTGCTTGCGAATGGTGGAGTCGGGACGAGGCTGGATGTCCCGGCCCACGATCGTCAGACCCAGGTTAAACATGAGCTTGACAATGCTCAGCGAGAAGGAAAGGCCGTTATGGGCGCGGATATACTGGAACGCTGTCTGGGCCAGATCGCAAGCCGATTGGTATTCCTTTGCGCCGAGGAGGTGGTTGACTCGCCTGGAGCAGGCGATGGCCACGGATCGGACGAAGCTGCGCGACGAGTATTCGCTGAAATACTCGAGAAGCGTGCCGATAAAGATCCGGACCTGGCCCGGGCTGACTGGAATCTTCACCTTCTGTGTAGTAATGAAGTAATTGGTGATGAAATCCACAAGGCGCGACGCAACGGACAACCGGCCTCTGGCGCGCAGAACACCGTGCAGACGGGCCACGGTAGTTACCACGCTCTGCAGTGTGCTAGTCTTGGAATTGATTTCCGATCGGTATTCCTCAAAGTACATGTACTCAGCGCATAGAGACGAATGGATTTCATTGACGGTCAGCGAGGAATCCTCCTGTTCGCGCACGCTGGACTCCAGCTGCGCAAGGAAGATAAGGCTCTCGCGGCTGCAGGATGTCACGTCGAACTTAGCAACGCTAGTGTTCATCGTATCCTTGACGACAATCTGCCGGTACAACTCTTCAGAGAGCTGCTTCGCCTGCTGAATCCGACTAGCTGCAATGTAGCTGGAAGCGATGGTCTTGGCCGCGGCAGTCAGTTGGGTCGCAGAAGTTTCGCTCGTGATGACCTTGACCGTCGCCTCGCGGAGAAGGGATGTAGCATCATCTGTTTCTCCTCGCTTCACGAGCAGGGTCACCAAATCCTTCATCTGCAGCATACTGTCCTCATGAGCCCAGCCATAAAGCGACCGGACTTCAGAGAGGCGCTGATTTCGGATAGATATGACACGTCGGATCTGCTCAGAGGACACCGATTGCACATCTGCTGCCGTGACTGACGCATACTGATCCTCACGGATTGTGTCCAGCGTCGCCTGGATCTCGGTCTGGTCAATCTCCTCCCGGTGCGACTGAGTATTGAGAAGATCCTGGCATAGCTGAATTGCTTCGGCTTCATACTGCCTCGATTCCTGACAGACATGCAGCAGGGTCTTGGCAGCCTGAACCGTGATCAGGGCGGAAGATCCGAAAATAATCTGGCATGCCTGGCGATACTGAGCGGTAACGTCGTGGATGAGATAGAGCTCTGCATGGACCATGCGCAAGCACTTGATATAACGCTCGTAAACCGACTTCACAAAGTTCTGGTCCTGCAGCTTCGGGTTGATATCGGGATGCTGCAGAGTGCTGAACAGTGTCTTGCACGGCTCGAGTGCATCGGAGTATCGGCTCTGGGCTACTAACTCAGACACGATGATACAAAGGGGCTCGAACGCGTCCAAGTGGCAAACCTCCACGTCCCTGTTGAGAATTCGCACAATTTGTTGATAGTAGGGCACCGCCGCGGAGCGTGGGCGTGTCAGATCCGCCAGGGCCCAAAGCTCCTTGAGAACGGCAGGATGACTTTCTCCATGCTGGTTGCTGAAATCATGCAGTAGATCCTGGTGAACCGAAATGAGTTTCTCGGTCTGCGACGTCCGTTCATACAGATGAAGAAGATCTTTGGTGATTAGCCCCCGCAGCTTATCATCAGTTGGCCGTGAACAGCGAAAAACGTGGTAGAGACGACGCGCGATATCCTCTTGTTTCGCCTGTTTGAGACGATAGCGATAACAATCCCTCAAGCGCGCGGCGAAATCAATAGAGACTTCCGTGTGTTTCGAGGGAAGAGAGACATCATGCACCGAAGGCGCGAAAAGAGCTGGCCAGATGCGCTGGAGAACGACCTTGAGGGTCTTGGTTGCTTCTTGCCAGCGATGTTGGGACATGTAAATCTCCACCAGCCTCTGGGCTGCGGTGATAAACGACTGATCCACAGTGGATCCATTGAAGACGATGTCCTGAAGACTAGATTCCCCCATGGTGGATGTGTTCATTGATTGTCTGACATCCCTGGTAGTGGACTGGACATAGGTCTCAATCTCCTTGTAGACCGAGCTGCTCTTGTCTGTTCTTTGAGCGCACTGCTTGAATACGCGAAGCGATAGCCACGACAATCCAACGGACTTCATGAGCTTAGCGAGATTCAGCTCTTGGGATGTGTCTAGCGTTCCCATGCTGTGTTCGTATTCTTCCCAGAAACCCGTCAGAATCGATGCGGCTTCTGTCTCGCGTTTCTGCGACTTGAGAAAACTGGCATATGCAGAGATGACCCGTACGCTCCTCAGTTCTGAGCCCGCAGAACGCCGCAGTCGATAGTCCTGGCTAGTCCGCTGCCACAGGTCCACATAAATCGTCTCCGCCGCCTGGATCTTGCCTTGAGAAACATATTGCTCTGCTTTCGAGAGAAGAGACGCCAGGTCGTAGAATTCCGAAATCCGAGCGTCCTGCTCGATGTCATCCAGGGCGAAGGTGGTTCCTTCTTGGCTACCTCGCCGTCCGTGGAGCTGCACCAGCAAGGACTCATCGGACTGATGGGATTGGGTGGGCGTTTGATTGGTCGTGCTGGTTTGCAAGGATGAGATGATTTCCTGAGCCTTGCGTTCGTCTTTGATAGACCTATAGTGCTCTGAGAGCTGAGTCAGAGTCGAAGTGACGATGGCACTGGTAGCGCCATGGTGAACCTTGTAGTAGTTGACGAGCAACTGTAACATCTCAATCCGCCTGGTCATAACTTCAGTCTTCGACTGTGTTACTTGAGTGGATGTGCTCTCCAGGTAGTAGTGCACCAGCTCCATGGTGATGACGTTCTGCTCGCCCAAAACATCATGACACAACTTCGCAGCCTTGTAGAAGATTTGGCTGGCTTCGGATGGGGCGACAGATTGAATTTTGTGATAGAAGAGGGCCTGGCAGATCAACGCCTGCAGGGTTACGGGGTGTGCACCGTTGGCGGTCAGTTGATACAAGCGGGACTGCACGCTGTATAGCAGTGCCAGGACTGGTGTCGGCTTTTGCTGCCACACTGTCATCTCCAGCAATGGCACAAACGATTGGGTAGGCATAACGGGCCCGATCTCCTTCGCTGCTGTCTTGATGTCCGTGTCCGTGGTATCCCCAAGCGCCGTCTTAGTATGTCCCACCCAGTATCGCAGAGCAAAGTCAAGGAGAGGAAGCTGATCGAACAGCTTAGAGGTCGTTTGGGAGCTAGGAGGGTTCAATGACACCTCCGCGTCCTCTGTCACGCAGACCTTCACATACAGCAGTAGCCGTCGGACAAGATCCATGTGCCTGTCCTTCATTGCGGGAGGGAGCTTGCCCTGGTTCAGCATCTCAATGATAGCGGCACGGACCAGTCCGTGGCGCAATCTAACTAGACCATTCTGGCAAAACACCAGAGATGCAACCGGTTTGAGAAGGTTGAGCGGATCGACCTGCGCGTCCAAAATCGTACCTTTCTCGAGCTGGATAGACAGTAGAGCAGATAGCTCGCGGAGAGTCAGAGGGCGTGTGGCGGTTGCAAGCCATACGAGGATTCGCTTAGCATCCTCGGAGACCTTGGATTGCAATCGATGGGCGACAAGGTCGGTGATAGTGTACTTAGCCTTGATGAGGCTATCAACGGCCTTGGTGAGGGCTTGCCCAGTCGGGGCACCCTCGTCTCTAATCCGCTTTGTGGCTAATTTTGCCCACAAAAACGAGCCATTGGACGCCCCCGCAATTCGGCTCACAGTAATCTCGCGCTGCTCCTCGGACAGCTGCTCGAACATGGGATATCCTTGAATGATCCGACGGGTGACAGCTACTACATCATCGAAGATCGTATCTGCCGTTATCTGCACTGTGGATGAGCTCTCCTGCTTCTCGGAGCCTAGAACAATCAGTCGTAGATTAGAGACGTTGGCCGTTGCTTCTCGAAGCCTCTTGCAAAGAGCCTTTTGCCCACAGCTGGCTTCATCTGCGCCATCAACGACCAGCACGAGCTCTCTAGCACCCTTGAGGCTGCTCTTCAGAGCCCGTCCCAGCGTTTCCCAAAGGATGTCATCATATGCCTCGTCCTCTATCGTCTTCTGGCAGCGTTCATATGCCTCTGCGAGACTCTCATATAGCTGCACATTTCCGATACGGGCAGCGAACAGTTGTAGGAGAATGGCCTTGGCCGCAGCACGGGGGGTTGTGTTGGCCGGGATACGACTGTCTATAGCACTCGGTGAGAATATTGACTACATCTACCAAGACAAACTACTTACTGATAGGAACCAGGATCGACTTGTAGTTCACTCCCGCAATAGGATGCTGCAGGTGGTCGTGGATCACAGTCGCCAGGATGGACTTGCCCGAGCCAGGTTTACCGGTAATCGCAAGTGTCTTCTGCTTGCCTTTGAGGAACTGGATCAAGTGAGGCGTCATCCACAAGCATGTGGATTCCTCGCGTTCTTGGGCGAGATTGGCAACAAAGTCGGTGATATTGGTCAGAACCGGATCTTCCGGTGAGAGCCAGCGCTTAATAGCCTTGACTGAAATGGCTGTGTATCTATTAACAAGACTTTCCTTGACACATGGACTTTCAGGTGCCTACATTTCTGGTCCTCGAGCCCAGCCTCAGACAGCTGATGCCGCCATATCAACTCGCCAACCTGCTCGCAACGCGAGCGGAAACTTTCAATCAATGTACTGGAAGTGCTGTAGATATCAATCGACACCGATCCGAGTGTTAGACTATCGATCGACTGGTGAAATTGGGTGGCCACGCTGACGACCAAGGACACCAGGTCGGTCAAGGCAAGAACCAACTGATCCTTGATGGTCTGCGAGACATTGAAGAGCTCCGTCCGATCGAGAAGGTTATCCAGTCCGGTCGAGATGCGATATAGAAAACCGAAGACACCGAGAAGGGCGCCGGCATTTTCTGATCCGAGCTATAGGGGGAGTAATTAGCAATCACTCCCAAGCATTGTATTGTAGTGTCGAGCTTACCTCAAGAAGGCTCGCACAGTGAATATACGCCTGCTGGGCGGCCATATGGCTCTCTCCTTCGAAGTTCTCAATTGCAATATCAAACGAGTGCAAGCGTTCCACAAACAGCCGGGCCCATACGAGGACTCGGTCATAGCTACTCCCCTCTGGCGGGACCTTTCTCATCCGCTCGGTGCGGATCCATTCCAGGATTGTCTCGTAGTCCGCGCCGATGATCTGGGATGGGGAGATCTCGCTGCTACCGCGGCGCGAAAAGGACTGCATGAGGGTAGGGAGATTCGTACTGCCTTTTCTGGACTTTCTGGAGACATGGTGCGTGGACATGAGACTTGATGTGACGTTTCCTGTATGCTCCGAGAGTCCTGGGACGCGCCTGGCATTGAGGAGCAGGTCGGAGGAGGGCACTTCAAAGGAGCGGTGGACATGGCCTTGGAAGGATGTAGCCATGTTGGTGAATACTGCGTGGTTGTATTAGATAGATTAGGATGAATATAGTGTTACATAGGAGCAAAAATGGTCAAGGTCGTAAACATGAAACTTGAGAATATTAATGATCTACTGCTGAGACATACTGTGGACCATGTTTATACCCGAGAAACCAGCAATGATCTGACTACGATAGCTCTATGTCAGTATGAGATCTTCGACTCGGCTCCTGGTCTTCTAACACTATGGAGAAAAACCAGCGTGACATAGCATATACCGCTCGGCATACCTGTCAGAGATCGAAGGAGTGATGCGTGGTCAGTGGTGGCTAGCTGAGAGTGATATCAATGTATTGTTTCGACCCACATACAAGTTTGAATTTGAACAGTACCATGGAATGGCCAGATCCAGAATCGTGGAACCGAAGATCTGGGGCTTATATCTCCGTTTCCCCATCCCATATCAACCAGGCGTTACATCTCTCCAGCACAAACAGACAGGGCGGGTACGAACGAAGCGATTGAGAGGGATTAAAGCTTGAATGAGCTGGTCTTATTACATATGCGAAGCCATCCATTGTATCATAGTAATATCCCATGCCATATTGTCAACTGCCATAAAACTGAGTTTATTCTGACAAGTATCCGTCCGCATGCGGAAATCTGGCCAAGTAACCTTGCTCGCATGATTTCACACCCTTTCAAAGACCATGTCATTGTTAATCATTTTCCATTCATCAGGTGGTCTTAATCGCAGAGAGGGACCCGGGTGGAGGACAGAGGAAACTTTGATTGTCCTGCTGATTCGAGTCTTATGGTCTCTTCACTGAGCAGCAGCGATAGCCCAAACTACTAAAGCCAAATAACAGCATAACATCGGACGGTGTCAAATGGCAGCCGCTGTTGGATCTTCGTAGTTATGTGCACAATGGAGACGGCTGCATCACCGCACTTGTTATATCCCTTCGCATTCGACACTCATACAGACGCTTCATTTTCTGATGGTCATTGGGTGGATGAAAATTGACCCGGACTAATGTATTCTGCCAACTCTATATACTCGGGGCATATTCAGGATCAGCGCTGTTTCCTGTGCCAGATGAGGATTGAGGATGGTAGCAGACTTACCGCGCATATATTCAATGCGGAACCGGCGAGCTTCGGTGAACCCATTGCCACTTTCCGATACGACGACACCATGGCTTGCATATGGGAGGGCAGATTTTCGATCGTCTCCTAGATGCAGGGGAGGAATTGAGGAAACTTCAGGGGATCAATGACTGTGTAGTTGGATAACGATATTTGAGCGTAGATAGATAAAATTTGGTCCAAATCCGAACGGGTTTGGAGAGTCGAGGTCTCCATAATTCTTCAATGAACTATGCGTATCAGAAGGGTCGGCATGCTAGATGATTGCTAAAGGTTGGGCCATGACGGATGAACGATTAGATGACTACACCACAGTATTATCTTTTGTCCGAAAATGGTGGCGTGGAAGTTGGTTGTGGTATCATCTCTGCCTGCTGGTTTCCCTGATCACAATCGATCCAGAATGGCTGATTGCTTTGGACCGACGAGATGGAGGTAACTTGGAGGTAACTTGGAGGGCTGCAATGAAGATCGAACCAGCCGGATTGCTGCCTAGCGTGCTCGGGGCTAGTTAAACCTCACCGGTACTTTTGTTCAGGGCAGGTCAAAAGTCCCTAGTGAGTAGCCACGTCGAGACGTGCACTACGATATTCGGAAGAGCTCTGCCGGGAGGCTGGGGATTACTTCAGAGGAACAAGGCTGGCAATGAGCTGCTCTGTGACAGGACCGTAAATCTGCAAATAGGCAGGGGATGGTGGCCGGTATCGGTCGTTGGACTACAGGACATATGATACTTCCAGGGTTTTCATTCATTTCTCTGACGAGTCTTGGTGTTCTCTCCTATATCACGTATCGACTGGGAGATCAATAGAGCTCGCAGCTTGGTCTCCCAGATATCTGTTGAATCCCTTGCTCACCATCTCTTTCTCTAACGAGGTTCATCATTTTCTTTTCAGGCGGTCCAAAAAAAAAAAAAAGCGTACCATTTCCTTCAAGGTATCCCTAGAAGTTGCAGGATCCACATAATATGTCGTGATGGTCATCGGGATACTGCTGGCTAATCTCACCTTGGCTTAGGCGCTTTAACCTTGAATGCCTGAATCCGGTTAGTTATATGTCTCGATCTAGGGTGGAAGCAGTGGGTGACGTCTAAGATACCTGATTGTACGCCGCTACTTCCATACTAGGTCTTATGAATGTTTGAGCTTTGGATTATCTGTGTGACATAGGCGTCGTCTCTAAGCCTCACTGGAAGGCTAATTCATCCACGCCAGATTGACAAGCTGAGCCCTGTATGGTGAATGTTTCACCGCTGCTTGTATTTGGGATGTTGAGCCCAGAATCAGATGCCTCTGACAGGCCAGAGGGTGCAGGTGGAGCCGATACTAAATAACTGCCTAGTCATATCTATTTGAGCTCGCTGTAAACCACAAGCTCGAGTCAGCCTATCTTGCAGTCTGGGTTCCCACGTGTTCGAATAGTTCATTGGGTTCGGATCGCTTGCGCATTTTATGTCCAGACGCTAGGACTATGAGCTCAGATACGGCGCTGAATTTTCCATCTGGTGAACCCCGACGAGCACGAGACTATAGCATACTACTTCTCGTGTAGAATACTAGCTCAAGTTCACATTATTTCTGCTTTGCAGTGGATGATGTGCAGGGATAGCGCTGGACGAACTTTGTAAAAATAGATGCTTCTGTGGGTTTAGTATGGACCATCTGCAAAAGAAGCCAATCCACCGCGTCTAGGAAAGAGATGCTGACGGGTGCATCTGTGCCTGATAGGGGTTCTCTAGGTATGCACAAGACTGGTGTATAAATGCCTTACAGAATATCTTATCCATCAAGCTGATTGATCTTGAATAAGGACCACAACCCAACAGTTCCCATGACATGCGTAAACAAGTTACTCATGTCCAAGCCTCCAGCAACTCATCACCATCCCCTTTAGGGCATATCTCAATCCAAAATGTATCTCTTGGCCTAAACAGGAAATTCTGTCTAAGAAGCAAGGTTAAGGCACCTCTGCAATAAAACATGGACGCCAGAAAGGTTGACATGGTCTATCCTTGCTAAAGGCCAAACCATTATAGATAGACCATGAGATGACTGCGACGCAGTCTAGCCTTTTGCCAGAGATGGTTAATCCATATTTCCATCAACCCTCACATTCTGGTAGCCTCCAATGATGATGGTTTCTGAGTCTAGGAATACCAAGGAGGACTCCGAGTAACCGGTGAGCTCGGTGTATTGGAGCGAGTCTATGGTATGAATCTGTGCTTCCCAGAGAGATGGTGGATGGGAATAAGGGACAATTCTCCAAGGATAGAGCCATATCGAAGCTGGCGTGCCTCCATGAAGCTATTCTGAGACAGTAGCCTGACCAATTCATTATCATCAAACTGATAGATATCTCGTCTGTGAAAGCCCTGAGCACAAAGGAGGCCTTTCAGCAATGGCCTGGAGAGGAATAGATTTAAGGCCATATTTCTCAGATCAGTCAACTGTCATAGGACTCGGTTTATTCTGACAATTGTCTGTCTGCATGCGGCAAAGCCAAGTAATCTTGCTGGGATGATTTCATATTCCCTCAGACCATGACATGTCATTGAGAAATGATCGTCATCTGTTACATGGTCTTGATTGAAAAAAAAAAGGAAAGACACCAGGTGGATTACGGATAGATTTTTGATTATCCTGCTGGTGGCCAGTTTGATGTTTCAAACCCGCTGAACAATGACAAGTTCATTATGGTATAGTTGTGCCATGTTGAAAGTAGTGACAGTGCAGTGTAGTATGCTCGAAAGAGTGTCCCTGGTACTTCCTTCTCCCCTGGAGCCAGAAGACAAGCGGGTGGTTGGAAGCCACCTCTCCATCGTGATGTGAACAATAGACAAGTCGATAACAGGTATAGTTGCTGGATATCCGTAGTATGATGAGTAACTCAGCAAAAGACAGTAGCACAAGAACGGCCAATGCACTCTGCTGCAAGTAGGAGTCACATTGGGGCTTCACTGCCCAGACAGTCATCAAGAGGATTATATCAAGGGGAGCCCGGGTACCGGGTCAGTTCTCTGTACTCTAACCAGCATATGGTATTAACTCATCTGTCCTGTCACATATCGCATAGGAAAGAGGGAGACACTACCCATGGTGTAGCCATATCGAAGCTGGCGTGCCTCGACGAAGCCGTGACGGCCACCGATTCCAACCAACTCATAATTCGGAAACAGAAGCAGATCTTCTTGTTTTGGATGGCCTGAACAGTACAAGCATTTTCATTAGTAGTGTCTTGCATAGAAGAAGATTAATGCATCTCCTCTACTTACCGAAAAGACAGCCCTTTACGTCCTCCCAGAAAGCCCTCACAGTCCCCAGAGCTTCCACCACTGCCAAAATAGTAGAGCATGGCTCCGTCATTCTCTCAAAGAGGAGAATCAAGGGATCTTCAACTGCTCGATGGAAGTGAGAGAAGGGTAGAGCTGGGCCTTGGAGCTATCGCACCGTGCTGCCTCTCGATTTATATAGAGACATGCTTCAGATAGAGCTTCGAAGGGAGCGAAGAAAGAATTTTTCTCTAGTGCGAATCTTTCAGGCCTAGTGTTGGACTTTTGTTGAAGTATAATCAGTGTGTGTTCTCTTCCCTGCTCATCTGCAAGTATCAAGGATGGTCCCTTGAACTGCCTGCCCGCCATATCTCTATAATGGTCTTCATTGACCTATCGACAAAGCGATAGAATGGTGTAACAATGTCTGGATCCACTCTTTGTTCCTGGGTCGTAGAATACACATAGCCTCCAAGGCGCATCTCCTCTATTCAGATTTAGCGGCATATTTATGCGCTCAATTTCCGTAATCTTCCCGGATATCTATACTATACTTACAGCGACCATCTGTTGATAGTAAAGAACCCACGGAAGTAAAAACCAATTAGTAAGGAATAATAGATCTGTGCTAGTGAGCTGAGGAACCTATAAACCTATCACTTAACAGGCTGGCCTATGGGCCTCCCGAGTAGTTATGCAGTTTTTAACTCAATCAAGCGCTAGGATCTGATGGAGATTCTGAATCTGCTAGATATCCACTATCCATCTTGTCTCTAACTAGGGTACAACTAATTAAAATAAACTCCTCCCCATTACTCCCCATTACCTGATTGCAAGTTTCATGATATTACATAGTTGCTAGGCATCTGAAGCATTAATAGTAATGCGCAGGGCCACCACACGCCAAAAGAGCTCGAAGTTTGGGGCGTCAGATTTATCTCTATGCGTCCAACCTTTGTATCGATACTCCCTGCAGATTCAGAAGGCGTTGGTGTCATTGAGAAGTTGCCTGCCATTGCAGGTCAAAGTATTCGGCCATCCTAATGTAGACTAGAAAAGACTTTGTGTTAGCCTTGCGTTCTGTGGAAGACGAGAAACCAGAATGCCAGCAATCTTACCGTAGCCATATCGTAGCTCGCGTGCTTCAACGAGGCCGTTAGGGCTCATAGGGCCAACCACTCCACGACTTGCGTATGGAAGAAGGGCTCGCCTGTTCCTTCCTATACATAGACCGGGACTGGTGAGGAGAGCCCTAGATAGGGGGAGGTTGCACGTAGATTTCAGACTTACTGGGAAAGCACTCCTTTATTTTTTCCCAGAGAGACAGTGCCAGGCTCAGAATTGTCCCAACCGCCGATATAATGGGCCAAATTTCCGTCATTCTCAAAGGGGGGGGCGGCCAAGGGACTTGCAACCGATCAGCGGAAGTAGGAGGATGGTGGTAGGAGAGCAGTGAACTTGGACCTTCAAGTAGGTGCACTGTGGTGGCTGTTGGTTTATATAGCATACTGTATCGGAGAGGGCTTCAGAAGGAGTGAAGAAGTCAAGAATGGTATTATCCTCTGTAGCGATACTTTGTCAGGGTTAGCGTAAATCTTCTCTGATAGTATATTTCCCCTATTGCCTCGCTTTCGTCATCGTATCGATCAATTGTGGCTTGATGCGTTTGAATTCTCAGTCGCAAGAGCCCCGAAGAATTTGCAGTCGACCAGCCAAAAGCCAGAATTGCTGCCGGTGCTGTGTAGTACCTGCGTGGAAATGACAAAAGGTGCCCCAGGGCAAAGAGCTGCCGGGGGCAACACGGGACCCCATGCCGGGCTGGATCATAGGGACGTCCCGCGCTGGGGGAGCTTGGTGTATTATTCCATTTCTAGCACTTGACAGGTGGCAGCTCAACGAGGCTAGGACGCTAGGTAGAACTTTATTGCTTTCCTATCTAGGCCAGCCACTGATCCCAGCTCGCTGGAGATAGAGTCCGTCAGGTCTAGAGAAAGGCACTGTATGTGCTTTAGATACACCAATTGGGGGATTTGCAGATTTTTCGAGCCAATCGGCAACAATTTTTGGTTGATATGCGGAAGCGCCAATAGACTCCCGTGGATCTTCATAGTCTATACACTGAGTCATTGTCTGTAATTATTATTGAACTTCCTTCATGTCTGTCATCACTCTCCAGCGATCTAGAGTCGCCGAGTCGGTGAGATACTTTGCAAAACTATCCCACTAAAACATGGTCCTCAAAGACTCTTTAACCGCTGCTTTTCTACTGGAAAATTCATCTAAAAGAATAGGTACGTAGGGAATATTATCTCTAGAATAAATAATATAAATACTAGCTAATTTTTTCTACTACAATACCATGGACCCAACCTTAAAATATAGAGGTGATAGGGCGGAGGCCCTAGATAGGATCATAGGATTGTAGGAGATATAGTATAGGTTGTTTGAAAGGATTAAAAGCCATGCTGCCGTATTAACTCTGCCTAAAATAGACCTAGAGTTATCTTCCAAGGCATTCCTACCTCTCGAGTCTCGAGATATCCGGGCAGCTATTTTATATAATCTTAGGTGCTGAATTTTACTACATGTGATTCTCCCATATCTATTTATATATAATCTTAAATACTTTTATAAAATTTACTGTATTTCAAGGTTTCTTAATGGAGTTTATAAAGTCAATATAAATTTGTAGAAGGGGGATAGTGTAATAACTAGGCACTGGGCTGCCTACTTACCACTGAGGCAAAAGACCTACAATGATTTGACCCTATGTCAAATCATGGCCCAGTTCCTATATATATATCTAGATAGCCTAACAGATAGATTTACAGAGTAGCTCACTCTGGTTGTCGGCCACTCAACAAAGTGGCGCACTCAGTTACATTACTCCTCAACATACCCCTGATTTGTGCTTGGTTTCAGGATTGTAGGATTTGCATGGTCTGTTGGGTTTTTTTTCTTTTTTTCTTTTTGCTTTTTGCTTTTTTTCACGGTTCAATGCGAAACTGACGAGGGCTGAGCATACCTGAAAGTACGCGGTTGTTCAGGTACTTGTATATAGCTTTGACCGCTCTTCTTGTACCCTTTATTTACCCCTGACAGGGGGGAGACTGTATCTATCATGTGGACATGGCTGGGAAGCTAAGACATGGTGCTTGTAGAAAAATGAGTTCAACGTGTAGCTGATTGAACAGACCTAGCTGTTCAGATACCTCCGTTTCGTCTTATATTTATTTGTGCATTGGATAGGGACACTACTGCCACGCTTAGATGGGGGGGTTATCCATATATATGCGCAAGGCTGACAAGCTAAGGCTGATTTCGGAGAGTTTCACGGCTGCCTAACTTGGCCGTGAACTGCGCTCTGAAACTACTCCATAGCTTTGATGCCTACTGTATGGACCACTGGCTCAAAACATAATCATACACCATTCCAGAGCTGACGCATAGCTTCATGAAAATCCCCCGAGGAAATCGCTCCTCTCCACTGAGCCCCAATATCATGGCCCAGTTTCTGCCTCAACCGTCCCTTGACAGCCGCAAAATGCGGCGGGTTCCAATGCAGATGGACAACCCAGTAAATCAAGCGCTTGAGATCCGCACCTCCCCCAACAGGTAGACACTCCAGGATCGTATCTGCATCGTGGCCCACGGGATCTCGCGCCTTCGCTAACATCGACAGAAACGCCTCCCGCAGATGTCCCGAGAACTCATCCTTGATCAACGCCTCCAAGCTCGTATGATACCGCGTCTCGAACGCCTGCGCAATCGCCACAAGCTTCGCATCCGACGCCCCCAGAAACACCGCCGAGACGCCCGTCTCATCCGTCCCGCTGCGCGCCTTCGTCGCCTGATGGATCTCGCGCACATCCGCGTCCACAGACTGCGGATCCACGTACGCCCCGGGCTCTGGCCGCGTCGCGTTCAGCAACATCACGAAGAACTGCTCCGTCTTACCCGATAGATCGCTCTTGATGTCGTCGACGAGCGCCTTCTCGTACTTGGCAACGTACGCGTACTTGATCGCGCGCAGGTCCGCGTTCGACCGGCCCAGCAGCACGTCGTTCAGCGCCTTCTCGTTCGTGCCGAGTCCGGACATCGCGTCGTGGGCGTATACCACGTCCTGGTCCAGGGGACCCCGGGCGAGTGCTAGTAGCACGTCTTCCAGATTCCCCGAGAGCTCGGACTTCAGGTCTTTTTCGAGGTTGCGGCCGATATGGTCAGTGTAGGTGTGGCGGATCAGCGCCATCTGCAGTGGATCGGGCTTCGTGAGGATGTTGATGAGTGCTTTTTCGTCCGTGCCCCAGCCTTTCATCGCTTTGCGGAGGGCTTCGGCTTCGCGGGTCGCGTTGCCGGGAGCTCTTTGGTGCGGATCGTAGCCTAGGGAGGGAGGGATGGGCATTGGCTGGGGAGGCGGGTATGCGCCTTGGGTTTGGGGCGGGTAGTTTCCTGGGGGAGGGTACTGGCCTTGTTGCTGGGGAGGGTACTGGCTGTGTTGTTGCAGGGGATATTGGCCCTGTGGAGGATATTGACCTTGTAGTGGCTGATTCTGGGGAGGATAACCGCCTCCTTGGCGAGGGTAGGGTTGTGGCGGGGGGTGTTCCGACCATTGTTGATTCTGGTGTGGTTGGGGGGCACCAGGATAGGGCTGTTGTTGGTACTGGTGCTGTCCGGGGCCAGGATACTGCTGCGGTGGTCCCTGCGGTGGTCCCTGGGGCGGGTAGCCTCCGGGCTGTTGCGGGGGATAGTAGCCCGGCTGTTGCTGCTGGTAAGGGCCCTGCGGGGGTCCGCCATAACCATAATTCGGGTGCGACATGATGGAGATCAAGCACGAAAGCAGATTGAATTACAAGTCAGGCTGCAGCCTAGATCCACGGGGCAGCTCAACCTTATATCTCTCCGGATTAGAGTTATCTAGCCACTTGTCATTTGGTCAGCTTCGTATTTTAACCGACGCTCCAGACGGGCACAGCCACAATCCAAGGGAACGATCAACGCGCTTTATCCACTGAAATCCACTGAATGTAAAGGCCGCACAGCCACTAGGGAAATCAATTTCATGGCGAACCAATAGGCAACTGTGACAGCTCGCATTGGCTACGACATTGAATTCCAGCCGGCACGTTGCACGGCCATCATGCGAACATTCCAAGTCATGGCACGCATATACACATGCAGGACACATAACATTAATGGCCACTCCACGCGAATCTTGACCATGCTTACACGATGTACAATCGCCTCTATATTCCCGATCTTTACATCTTGACTGCATTGAGGAAAAAGTCTTCTATACAATTATGGGAGAATTAGCTGCAATTGATGCGACTCAGCTCTCATGATGACGTTGTCTGGTCCCCCCCCCCTCACAACGCACAAGAAGAAACATTGAAAAAAGAAAACAAAAAGAAAAAAAGATAAAACAAATAATCTCCATCCGCAGCCCCCAGCGAAGCAACGGTCTGTATCAACATAATGCGTAACTGCTGCCTTCTATGTGGAATCCCTACCAGAACGCTCAGCAAGGCCCGCATTGGGGGGGTCGCCTCAGTGCGCATCTTCTCCGAACGCGAAGAATGGAGCAAAAGCTTCAAGGAAAAGGGCTACTACGTAGGAGACGTCAAAGAACTGCAGGACATCTACTTTAAAATACCCTGGATATGGACTCGGCTGTATCGAGCAAGTAAGTGAACGACAAACTAGAAGATACATTCCTGACACAGGTCCTAGTCCACATTGGTCCGGGCAGCTTCCTGTCCGGCGTCGCTCTATCGGGACCCTGGGATGGAGGACGGGTCCAGGTTCCCTGGCAAAAGAATGGGCTATTACTGGGAGACCCGGCCCACATGGACGGTATAAGTTTCTACCAAGCAGAAACAGCCCACTGCATCCATGACCGATGCTGGTCGCTCTTGGCCGGCTACATGGATGCGGATTGTGTTCTATCAAATCTGTGGGAGTTTGAAAGAACCCTATGTTGGACGACGGTCAGTTCAAATAGTAAGCGTCATATACTGGAGGAGTGGCGCTGGAGCAGGCCGCCCAAATGCTATCGAGCGCTTTCACGCACTGATCCCGGGGAATATGCGCGACTGTATGCGGACGAGCTGGGATGTTCAGAAAGGCGATACGCCCCGCGCGATCCGTACAACATCCCCGAGCTCCTCGACCTCTTCGCCCATCCGGAGCGACTCCAGCACGAGCTCATCCGAAAGCCACCCCCAAGGAGGATTCGATATTCTCGTCCCCGGCCACAACGCAGCCACGCCATGACGCTGCGGTTCTCCGGTACCTTTGACGCCCGCGCCATCCGCATCCCGAGTGATATCCTCCTCATGATCCTGGACCTGCTGCCCACCTATCACGACCTCCAGCGCTTCTTCTGGGTGTTCCCGCAGTGCCGAGAATGGGTGCCCCTGTCGTTTTGGCGGAAGCGGTGCATCAAGGAGTTTCTGCTCGTCGAGCCCCTCCCCGCTGCAGACGCGCTGGATTGGCATATTCTCTACTTCTACGCTGATACGTTGCTGGCCCACTCCCATGGGTGGCAGCTTCGAAAGTATATCATCGCTCGGCTGGAAAGCGCATACAGAAGGCATTCCAGCGTGTCTGCGGCCTAGGCGAGGGAGATCCTATACAGGCGTGATATTGTCATGTTTGCTCTGCGAGTTGCTGATAATACACTGTTTTGATTTCTTCGCAGACACTCCAGATCCTGCGTCGGTTCACCAATCCTCCCCAGAAGCAGTTGGAGGTTTCATCGTAGGTGCTCTTGTCGTCAATGTCAACAAATATCCCGTAAAGGCGGGTAGCCGGAGCTGTCGGCACGGCGGGGATGACAGCGTGCAGCTCCCAACACCAGGGCCTTTCAATTCGGATCTTTCTTCCCCACCATTTTGGTAAGATCGCTGACGAGCGCATCGCCCCAGACGCAACCCGGACAGCCAGTATCGACGTCATCGGGAGGTTTTCGAATATCGCAAGCCGTATATCATCGGGCAGACCATAGAACGGGTCACTGGGAAGACATCCAGCCGCTTCAAGTCCTTGCTGCTCTTCTTCTTCCACCGAAAAAAGCCACCGTAGCCTCCCCATCACATCAACAAGCTGTGGAATCTCCACCGGATTCGCTACAACCGCCTACAGCACCCATGAGCCGCAGCAAAATAGCACCATTACTGCTCCTGCTGGAATTACTCACCTCATGCCCCTGCTGCCGTTCCCAGAACTGCTCCCGCGGCGGACTCGGAAGCCCATAATCCACCTTCAGATCGCGGTCCGTGCGCAGCTATTGAAACACCCTGAACAACACATCCTCGTCGATCTCCCCATCAGGCGAGCCGGCGAGACACCGACGAAGCAGATCGTTGAAACAGGCCTGATGCACAGGGTAGACGGACGGCATGTCGGTGAATTCGCCGGACCAGTCGTGATACCTACATAGCGAGACTAAGCTGATGCGCGTGCTGGAGTAACGGCCACACATACGCAGGGATTGTCACTGGGGACTCGCGGTTGCGAAACGAGGAGTCCGGAGCTACCGAGAGAGTCAGCAGTCAGCACTGAACATGTGCTTCTGCTACTAGCGGAGCTTACCATCCGCCGGCGAAAGCTCAACCTCTCCCTAAACGGCATTAGAATAACCATCTGCTTGCTGTCTGTGGATAGTGCCGCTGCAAACCCACCCAAGGCGAGCAAACGCCCGGACCCGTAATGAACGTCCTAGCCAAATCAACAATCCCAGTCCCCTCAAATCCAATAGAGAACGTACTTCTTTCCTCCGGCTGCCTGCGGATTATACCCGAACGCGTACAGGTCCTCCAACCAGGTGAGATCGCCGCTCTGCGCCAGGACCTCGGCATCGTAGCCGTCGTCGCTCTCTGCGTCCGAGGCGAGTCGGCATGCACGTTCTCCTGCGAGAAACAACCGCAGCAGATCGCGCAGTATGTGCCCCATTCGCCCATGGTGGATGATTACTGGGTTGGTCGTGTAGAGATGGGTGGTGAGGGAGACGTTGACTGGGAGGAAAAGGAGACGCCAAGACGGTGGGATGGAGCTGGTGCTGGATTGGGTTCTTAGGGTCTGTGATTCAGTTGCGGCACGAAAACTGCTGTATATTGGAGTTGAAGCTTTAGTATGCTCTATGTCTGTGAATGAGCAGTTGAGAGTAATGTAGTATGTTTTGCATCCCCTGCATGGAGATGTGGCGGATGCTATGAACTTTACCGCTTATATATATTGGAGGCACGACAAGGAACAATGTATATATATTTGGAGATAGCTGCCATAGAAACGTGACTCCTCGAAGGTATAATCCAGTTGGTATCATATTGATCATTATATACACTGATTTCCAAGTCCGAGTCAAACATTATTGTATACACATATTGACATCACAATTCATGAAAAGGGTATAATCATCCCGCATGTCCATTTGTACTCCCAGCTGCATGTCCATTTCTCTGCTCCCCCTCTATCTCCTGCAACTCGCGCCAGCGTCGAATTACCATCACTCGTTCGTCCGGCGAAGAGGCGCACATTTCGTCGATCCCCTGCTGTATTCGTGAATTCAGGATATCCTTGGTTTTGCTCTTCGACAGCGAGTTCCGCAAACTCTTGTGTACTCCGTCGAGGGGATAGCCAGCCAAACCCCAGAGACCTTCAGAGTCAGTATGAGCGTCGGGGAGAGTAAGACCTTATTCATACCTGCTGCGGGTTTGAGGAACACCCCCCCAGACCCTTGCCAACACCTTTAATGAGTCCAACTCCTCCGGATTTCTTAAAACCTTGCGCGGGCTGTGTGACGAGGCCGGTAACAGCCTGGTAGAATTCTTGCGTGAATTCCTTACGTTGGTTAGTATCAGTCAGGGCCACCGAACACACCACTCACCAATCCAGCCGCTCTGAGCCCACTCCTTACTCCCATCACCGTTGGAATTGGCTTGACAGTCCGGTCGTGGTAGATCCGCGGCGCATTATGGAACCCCTTGGAGAAACTCAAGGTCAAGTCGGTAGGGATCAGGAGAATCAAGTCCAAAAGATGTTTTCCCATACGCTCCCCATGATAGCTGGTTTCGTCCAGGAGCACCCGTACCCCATGGGTCTCTCGACCCCGATGGTGAGTGACGGTCTTCTCGAGATCTTCGCCGTAGTCGTCGCTGTCAGACCGGATAGCTGACGTGGCATTGCTGGCAGACTCGTCGCTTGACAGATGGTCCGCTGCAGACGCGTAGCTTTCACTCTCACTTCCCTCACTCACTTCGTCCATCTCTTCACCCATACCCTCACTGATATGATCGTGCATGGCCCAATTCATTTCATCAGCCGAGTCATCAGCCAAATCATCTTCTAAATTCCCGGTTGACGCTGAAAGATGGAATTCGGACTGTGACGGGTCAATATTCACTACGGAACCTAGCTGCGACCGCACTCGGTCTTCGGGAGGAATCTCTTGAGGGGACTGTTTCGTTCGTGTCCGACGACTTGCGCAATCGCAATTGACATTCAACCCCTCTTCATGATCGTGGCGATAGCCGTGCTTCTTGTGGTGATGGTGATGCCGGGAAATTGCCTCGGCAACTTCAAAAGGTGCATTGGTAAATCCGCTGACGAAGTCAGAGAGCACACCGTACAACACCTCCGCTCCAGCCGAGATAGGACCACGTGGGTCACGATTCGTATCATATTCCTTGGACCGATATCTGGCACTATCAGCACGGATTCAGCTTGCCTGGACTGAAGAAAACATACAGCACAACATTTTGCGGCTTGATCATTCCTGCCTCGACCAGAACCGTTGCCGCAAAGGTACTGAGCTTGATATGCGAATGCCGAACCCACCATACCGCCGGTCGATTCGGGCAGATGGAACATCGAAGGGCGTTCAGGTCCAGATGTCGGTGAAAACTGGCCACCGCACATTTGACCCCGTTCTCCTGCCGCATCTTCTGGCCGACCTCGCTTGCCTTCTTCTGAATTCCCGGTTCCAGAGCCTTCTTGATGGCGTCCGCCAACTTCTCTGCGGTAAGCTGCTTATGCGGGATCGGTGCTGGCCCCGCACCCGCCCGATAGACGATAGACCCCCAGAAGGGCTGATCACCAAAGAACGGAACAATGATAGTGGGCCGTCCAAGCGCAAGGCCGGATGCTGTGGTCCCTGCTCCGCCGTGATGCACGACGCACGAGACGTGCTGAAATAACCAGTCATGCGGACAGCTGCCGACCATGAACACATTCTCGGGAATTTCCGCTTCTCCTGCGCCGATGTTGCCCCAGCCCTTGTTGACCAGTGCTCGCTGGCCGGTCTGAACGATAGCGTCAAAGATGATCTTGGTAAGCTTTGTTGGGTTATCCACCACGATCGATCCAAATCCGACGTAGATGGGCGGAGGACCTCTGTCGAGGAACTTTACCAGTTCCTCTTCGGGAGAATAATTGGGCGGGCGCGGGAGCATGCTAAAGCCACAGACGTCGATATTATCGAGCCAGTCAGCAGGTTTGGGGAGGAGAGCAGGAGACCTACTGAGTCAGCATCAAATCGTTGCTGGGCGGACAGATCTCTCCTACCAAAGATACGAGAACGGGATATGTAGCTTCTGGGTGATTCCCGGTGCACGGATGGCATCCAATGAATCCAAACCCAGATCTCGCTTGCGAAACTTGTTAATCAGATCTCCCAACCCCTCCCACATCATCATCTCAACAATGGCATAGGAGGCAAAATTCGCTACGGACGGCTTCGTGTTCGTCGACCTGATATTCGCTAGAGGATGAGGGAAGGCCTGCGTTGGTGTCCAGGGCATTCTACCGTCAGTCAGCGTATACTTCCCACCCGAATTTTCACAAAACTAAGGCGTACGTGAACATCATAACCAGGGGCACCCCCAGTTTCTCCGCGCAGCTCAAATGTGCAAAACTGGGTGGATTCGCAATGATCGCGTCCGCCACGAACGGTTTTTGGCGGTAGTCTATTTCCTCGCTCCACGGATTCTCCGGTACATGGTGTAACCCGGTTCCGTCGCCTGTTTCAAAACATGATCGCCAGCATCCCGCGAATATCGTTGCCATTTCCCGTCGACGGCGCCGGAGCGCGCCGCTGCGTACAGTTTGCACCCCCGGCATTAGACCGGGGTTTTTTACCATGAACGCCATTAGCTCGGCGGGATCGCCGCCAATGTTAAAGAACTCCAGACCATGATCTTGAACGAAGTCTCGAAAGGCGAGGTGTGTTGCGAGCCGGACGCGATGACCGCGTTCTTTCAACGCAACTCCGATTGCGAGGAAGGGTTGGACGTCGCCTCGCGAGCCCACGACCTGGATGACGATGTTGAGACGCAAGGGGAAATGTTCGGGTTCTTTGACTGGTGGTTGCGGAAGGGAAGCTTTGCGGACCGTTTCTGGTGTTGGTCTCATGCGTTTATGTACCCGTTGCAGCAGATTTGCTAGAGTTGTTTTCTCGCCTCGGAATCTGATGTCGAGGCGTCCATCGTCTGTGAAATGAGCCTCCTCTCCTGGCTTATGGAGTCAGATACAATAGCATACCCATTACACGCACCCCTGTATTTACCCCCTCTCCTCGGATTGACGTGCGACGATCCCCGTAGGACGAGCTGTCCGCTAGGCTCTCGGCTGGCCAGTCGGCTGCCGTGGGGCCACTACGAGACTGTCGTCGGGACATTGTAGTGGTCAGAATCTGGGAAGTCCCAGACGTAAGAATCGTAGCAAAGATAGGACCATGAGGATGCCCCAAGGAGAAGAGATTTGCGACAGATACAGTGAGTGAGGGTATCCGTGAACTTCCTGAAGTCTCCCGATGTGGTGACTTCACGCGATGATGTCATGGCTCTCGAAGCTTTTGTGGTGGGTCGCAACGATTTCTGCCTCGGTTAAAAAGAACCTGATGCGATCCATTGCCAAAAGAATTATGCATTCCAAAGGTAATGAATGCATCGCTTTGGTGGATAACTGTGAAATCGACAGCTAAGAGCCTGAGACAGATCGATCGGGCAGAATTTGCTATATGTTGCCGTGGTGTACAATCACTCCCCTATTCGGCAACCTGGCTGGACCGACCACGAGCGAAGATCATCGACCTAGAGTATGCTTAATCAAGCATCATACCATGATTTGTCGGAACCTGGACAGAAATTGGATCAATCGCTTTAGTACCCTCGACTTCTCCCGGTTGTGTTTGTGTTTTGTGCACATTTCACGGATGAGAATCTTTCAGGTACTGGAAACCAATTCATACCGCACATACGTGGGTGAGAGGAAGTTCTACTGTAACCATGATAAAACTCGATGAAAAAGAACGATAGATGATGGATTCGATCTGTGTAAGTTGCTACTGAGATAGAGACAAAGGACGATGTGTTCGGACAGTGGCAGGTGAAGAAGTCGACCTCCATCACATGATCTGGATGCTGCTTTCCTCCATCACACAGCAACCTCATGGTCCTCTATTCTGGTGATCCATCTTGTTGGACTTGTTCTCCTGATAATAATGGTGTCTATTGCTCGTGGGCTTTATACTATAGTGCTGTTGAACCATGAGTTGCAATCACACACACATATATATATCCTCGAATTGGGATCATGGTCGAGATCACGAGAACAGACGCCTTCATTCTGATGCTAGACAGTATCATTCTCGTAAAGTCTCCACAGGCAGTGATGCCCATCAAAGAAACACAGTAGCACGGCGATGCTACCCGCCATCATCATTATGATCGTCCGATCACCGTTTCGTAGGAAAGGCACCAACAATTCTTTAGCATGACACCCCCACAGCTACCAGGTAGTGCAACTGCTCTGTCAGTGTTGCTTCAGTGCCATCAGCCATGATATACTGACACGAAAAACTCCTTGAACATGCCGTCAGGATTATCACCATCGGTCAGCTTGACATTTCAAGTACCAGGTGGTATAGCGCTTCTGTTCACTCATATCAGACAGTCCTCCGGGAACTGAGTCACAGAGACAATCAAGTCTTCCGCATATAAATAAGCGAGGTAATCAAGATGCTGAAGGAGACACAGATATATACTGCGTCGCGCAATATCTCCTCGCTGGCCACAGTACTCAGCTCCATTAGTTGCGAGTCCTCCTCTGCTAGTAATGAATTAACCCTGAGCAGCTCCTTGGCATATCCAGCTGCCGTTGCTGCGGCATACTCTTGCCAGTCATCGTTCTTGTATTTATCCGCATAGTCGCAAATTCCGCGGATAACAAGACAGGGATAGTCATCGACCAGGCCCGCCGCTTCCATCTCAACGCACTTGATACCGCGTTTTGCGAGTTGCCCTCTAATAGCTGCGTCCTTGACCAGCTGCGAACCAGACGCCACAAGCCCGTAATGGACGACAGGGCCCTCGTCTTGCCGATTTGGTCGTTTGATGTGGCGATCTTCGGTATCGTGCAGCCGGTCAATTCTCGTGGAGTCATATGCGAACCCATGCCGTCGAAGCCTGGGATATTTAGTCACCATGTCCTCGACATGCTGGAGGATCTGGGGCCTATGCTCTTCTGCGCGCAGGCCGAGGGCACACACCGCATCAAGCAGAACCTCTGGGGGCTGGTGGTCGAATGCACGCACTCTCAGCTCCGGTTCCAGATCGTAGTGCATAACTCCACCATGCCCGTAGCTCGGGACGCTCACGACCACATCTCCAAGCCGAATATCGTTATCGTCACTAGGTGTTCCACCGCCTATGCCGACCATCAGGATATACCGCAGATTGCGGAACGTTCGAGCCATATGTCCAGCAGCCTGCTTGGCCGACGAGGGACCGTAGATGCCTTTCCGGAGACATACAATGACCACATTGTGTGCGCCCATACGGCCGAGGTTGTATGCCGCACAATCTCCCGGGCTTCGCCATTGGGGTTCGTCATGGTACTCATCGAGCATGTATGTAGCCGCGGCCATCTCCTTGGGGAGCGCGGAAACCCACCCGATTGTGTACTCTTCATTTCCAATGGGAGAATAGGACCGCTTCATGCTGAAGAAATAAACCTAACTGTGTACCCGGTTTCTTCCGTTGGTATGCAACACAAGGGTAGGAGAGATATACTGGTCCCTTCCGCAGGGTATAGCACTTATCACTTCTGCACTATAGAGCATATGTGCTTTGTCGAGGAACTCTTGATCCCGAGGCATGACCGGCGCTAAATACCAATATCCAAGGTTAAATCATGGCGGAACACCATAAAGATGGAGTCTTTAACTGGATGACAGCGTCTAACGGCGCTTAATCGAACTGTGCTGATAGTCCATATGGTTTCCCACGGACTGTGAATAGTCTAATAGTGGCCGATCATTATATCAATCGCTCTGAATATTCGCCAGCTGTCTAGAACGTGCAATATACCCCGGCTTCGAATAATGTGTGATAGTGCTTTATCAATCTTTATGTCTACATAGGCTCATGCGCTGAAAACAGTGACAGGAATTGATCTTGGGCCTGGACAGACAGGCGCTGTCATAGAAGAACTACTGTTACTGCCTAACTAGAGTCTGGACACCCTTTTTAGTGCTGCAGTAGATTCCTACAACAGGTGTTCTCCAAGCGGGTGAAAGCACAGGTCGCTAGGAGACCACTGTTGCAAAACTCCATCTTCCATCCATGAACGATCCATTCAGTCTCCTGTTTCCCGGTAGGAGATGGTTTCCCGGTAGGAGATGCTTGGATCAACGAGCTTGTGTTTATCCTATTGCAGCATTGCAGCAAGAAAATATTCTACTCATCAAAAGTCATCATCGTCCTCGTCCGCAGCCGGTTGCATTTCCACCATCTCACCCTTCTCCTCCGCTGTCACCAGCACGTCGTACAAATCCCCCTCGTCAGCCTTCTCGACGACCGTAAATTCTCGAGCTTCCGGATCCGCGTCGCGGAATTTCGCTTTTTCAATCGAGGATGCGCTGAAGACATGCGACTGGGGCAGCACCGCCGCCAGGCGCCGATACTTGAAATGCAGCCCCCCAAAGAAAACAACCTTCCTCTCATCAGGCTGGCTCGCTTCGGATGCAACCCACCCACTGTCCCCCTCGGCAGTATGCCACGAGGAAGACGGCGCAATCTCGCCGATTTCGATCGCACCCGCCCGGAACCCAATCGTGACCTCCTTCTCACTCTCCGTCCAGGCGTTAGTCATCGCGAATTTCGTGGTGTACACCGATGTCACGATGATAAGTCCGCGCTCCTTGATATCTGGCCATTGCCGGAGAATCGTCTCCGAATTGGCCTTGCACCACAGGCGGAAGACCGTGCTGCCGTAGAGAGAGTCCTTTACAACCGGGCTTTGGGTCATGAGGATCGCGCCGAAGCCATCCCGGTTGCTGTACTGGTACAGCGCGCCGATATCTGCGGGGATTCCAGCCGGGAGGAGCGATGCGCCGGCGGATAGGTCGAGTTTCTTCTGCTTCAGGCGGCCGGAGACTTTTGGGCCCCAGGACCGTGAATCTGAAGGCGCTCGCTGGAAGTGAGTGAATGGCGTGAGGCCATTGCGAGCGAGTGATGTTGCATCGCCGAGGTTGATTGGCAAGTGGTCAGCCCCTAGCAAGGGCGTCCATTGGCCAAGCTCTGTGATGTAACCGCAGAAGCCAGGTTGGAGGGTTTTTGAGGATTCGGGTTCATATAGAGCGTAGCCGTAGGGGTGGCTTAGCATAGACTCTTGGTAAAGTGCGCTCAGGGGAGGCATTGCTACAGTTCAGAAGGATGGACGGAAGATAGAATTCCCACAGCAGTCTGACGAGAGGAAGAAGCTGAGAACTCTCAAGCGGGGCAGTGCATGGATTCGACGGTCTAATTGAGTAGCGCGGTTAAGATCGAGAGGCTGAAGATTCTTGATAGGGTCCGTGATTGAGGGGAACAAAAACACCCACGATGTCAGCTACGATTGTCCTTTTATTGCTGACTTCTGGGATCAAGGTTCTCGCCTGTCCATCGATGTTCAAACTCTCTCTCGGATAGAGAGGTTAATCATGGAGAAGCCTGCTCAGATAACCATCCCGCCCAAAATCATCGATGCCGCCAAGGCAGCGTTCGCTCGAGATCATCCACTGACTGATGATCTTCGCCCGGGAACGTTCTTCGACAATGCAGATTATCTCGACACGTTGCCGCTGCAAGCCAAAGCGCTAATCTGTGCGATCCAAGATATCGGAGAGCATCCAGACAGGCCAGCCATGTGCCACATCCAGTCCGAGCAGGCTCTCAACCGATATCTGCAAGCGCGGGACAAGGCAGATCTGACGGCGGCATTTGCCTTTGAAGCAGTGTCCCTGCGCTATGTTCCACCCCAGCATCCTGGTCGAGGGAAGTCAAATCATCACATGGGCCGTCTGTACCAAGAGAAATGGGAGAGCGGGAAAAGCCCCGCAGATCTCGATGAGACAATCCGTCACTATAAGATCGCTGTGGACGTCGCGACGGAGAACGACGGAGTCCTCAGTGACTGGGTCAATGATGTCGCGGCTCTTGTCACGAAGCGCTGCATACGGACGAGACAGGAGAGCGACAGGGAGGATGCGCGAAAGTATTTCGATCGAGCCATTGAGCTTGCTCAACAGTCGCCAACACGAGCTCTAATTCTTTCCAACAAAGGCGAACTCATCCGTCTCACGATGTCCGACAACGATAAGAATAGGGAGGCTCTTCTGAATGAGGCAATTGTATACCACGATGAAGCGACCGTGCTATGCGAAATATATCAAGCTCTCCCTTTCAAGCCTCGCATTCCGTACGGCATGATCCATCGCAACGCCGCTCTAGCGTACATCGCACGGTGCACCGCAACCAACAGCTTAGAAGATGGCGAAAAGGCGTGTGCCTTGCAGTACAAAGCCCTCTCCTTCGGCCCCGTTGGAAACGGAAACTGGGAGTTGTTCATGAACGAGCTGGGCGTCATCCACAAATCGCGAGCACAGGTATTCGATGACCCGGAAGAGGAGGAGGAATTGGCTTGTATTGCATGGCAGGAAGTCATCGAGAACAACCCCAGTGCCATCAACGCCAGGGTCCACCTAGCAGAGTTCTATCGTCAAAAGGCGGACAAGTCCCTGGATCGAAAGGCAGCAGAGGAATGGTTCCAGTCCGCCGTGGAGCTGGCTGAGGATGCGGTACGAATACTTCCAGCGCATCATGCAAACCCAGGTCGGGCTTACGATTGCTGCTCCGCTGTGCACTATTCAAAGTACGAGTTTGACGGCGAGGTCGCAAACATTAGTAGAGCAGTCGCGTGTGCCCGAATGGCCACACAGGATGTGGGCAGTAATGACTTATGGAACTACTACCGTGTGCTTGCCCAGACACTGATTACTCGATATGAACGCCTCCAGGAGCCTGACGACCTACGTGATTCCGAGGTTGCAGCAAAAGCGGCCCTGTCGAAATGCAGACCGGGGGACCTTGAGTGTCAATCGCACTGCCAGTGGATCTTAGGCAAGATTACTCGGGCAATGTACGATAGCTCACGGAAGACAGACACACTGCATCGGGCGTTAGAGATATTCCGCCTTGCAAATGAGGACATGCCAAAGGATACTCTGTCCAAGTCGTTGGTTCTGAACGACCTGGGGAATAGCCTTACACAACTATTCAGCCATGAGGCGGTCCCCGAGTACTTAGAAAAGGCAATCAACGCGTACTCTGAATCCCTATCCTGCCTCGAGCACCTATACAAGACTGACCAGCACCCCGATGTTCTCATGGTCAATGCGTCGCTGGGATATGTTATGATGCAGCGATTTATCCACTGGGGAGCGGAGACAGATATCGAGTCCGGCATCAAATACTGTCGACGAAGTCTCTCGCACATTGATGAGCGCCATCCGCGGTATGCGATGCGTGCTGCAAATCTCAGCCATGCACTTCAGCTCCAATTTGGAATCAAGTCTAATCTAGATGGACTGAAGGAGGCGCAACGGGTGCTCACTGTGGCTCTGGAAGGGCCAGTACCGCTCAGTGATCAATTACGGACTGGACTGGCGACTAACCTAGGGAATGCGTACCAGCACGCCTTAACAGTCAGTAAGCAGCCAAGTGATCTGGAAAATGCGATCGAGAATTACAACAAAGCCATAGCTGTTCAAGGGGCTTCAACTGCCGCACGCGCCACTGCATTAATGAACAAGGCGGCCTGTCTCAAGAAGATGGCTGAAATAGCGGATCACCCGGGACCAGAATTCGAAGGCAGTAATAAAGCATTTGAAGAGGCCCAGAAGGCATTGGGTGAAGATGACCCTCACTACTGGGCTGTTCTGTGCAATCATGCAGATCTCTTGTTCACCTTGTACAACCAAAAGACGGGCCCAGATCCACAAGCCCATGGACTCGCAGCGCTCAACAATTACAGCAGGCTCACAAAGATGAAGAACGTCCCACCAGCTGTGCGGATCAACATCGCATCCCTGGCAGCAAGCCTTGCAAACGACCTACTCCAGGGTCCAGCTCAGGCTCGAGACTACATTCTCATCTGCCTCAACCTGCTCCCCGAAGCCATTCTCATGCACGAAAGTAGACTGGAGCAATTGCGATTCATCCGCAAATGTCAATATGTCCCAAGCAGCGTGGCCGCATTGTCACTTAGCGCAGGAGACCCTCCGAGTGCGGTCATCCATCGTCTGGAGGCTGGTCGAGCGTTCATCTGGGACCGTATCCAGGGCCAACCAACCCAGCTTGATGCACTAGAGATAGAGAACGGCGAATTAGCCGCCAGGTTCCGCGTTCTACAGCAGCGCATCCTCCAACAAAGCCCGTCCTCTGGTGGATTGGTAGGCATGGATCTCACCTCGGTCTCACCGGATGACGCAAATAGAATGCAGCGGCAACACGACGCGGATGCGTATCGCGAGGTCCTTCAGGAGATTAGAACCCTGCCGGGATTTGGCTCCTTCCTCAGAACGCCAGACGTTCCTGTCGACCTCCAGCGCTACGCTGCAGACGCTCCCATCGTCTTTATCAATGCCAGCAACTACCGAAGCGATGCTTTGATAATAACCAAGGATAACGTGTACAGTCTGCCTCTTCCGTCCTTTAGCATGGATCGATTGGCGCTCTATTGTGCACGCTTTATACGGCTTCTTGGCGTCTTTAGCAGGCCAGAAGAGCAAGCAGACGCCTTCGCTGACTACGTGGTGGTAATGAGGTGGCTTTGGCAAGCCGCTGCAAAGCCAATATTAAATAGCATCGACTGGACGAAATATGATGCCGCACCGTACGGGAAGCCCCGCGTAACCTGGGTCTCGACTGGATGGATTAGCGTGCTCCCGATCCACGCTGCAGGAGATTTTAGACATCCAGGGGAAAGTGTCCACGACGTGGCGGTTTCCTCATACATTACCTCACTCAAGGCCCTAGACTTTACCCGACAGAATGCGCTGCGTATAAAACAGCTTCCAGTGGCCCCAGGCTCCCGGCAGGCAATGCTAGCAGCCATGGCAACAACCCCGGGCCTGGGTCCATCCGGCGATCTGGACGTCGAGCCGGAAATCACCGCGATCGAAAAGACCCTCAAACCATCCTTCCGAGTCAACGTGCTGAGACAAACCGACTCTCGCTCCGTCAAAACAAGCCTGTCCACAGCAACCGTGGCCCACTTCGCATGCCACGCCCGCGCCGATCCTCAAGACCCTTCCCGCAGCGCCATTCTGCTAGAGGACAACCAGAAGAAACCTGCCCCATTTACTGTCCGGACCCTTTTGCGGCTGAATCTGAAGAGCTGCGAGATGGTTTACCTCTCCGCCTGCGAGTCAGGGGCCAGCAAAGATCTCCAACTCCGAGATGAGGGAATCCATGTTGCCGGTGGCTTCCAGATTGCGGGTGTCCCGCATGTTATCTCGACGCTGTGGGCGGTCTCGGATAGTGTTTCTGTGCAGTTGGCGGGATTGTTCTACGCGAACCTGAGGGAGGATGGAGAGGAGGTGGATCTGTCCAAAGCGCCATATGCTCTTCATTGCGCGATTGGGGAAATGAGGAGGCAGGGTGTCCATCCACTGCTTCTCGGGCCTTTTATTCATTCTGGGCCTTGATACAGAGTATAACCTCAATGGTTGATAGCATAGTCTCCATGAAATAGCCATCGTCGGGGTTGGGAAACATGTAGATAAATACGAGCCATAAACTAGATAAGCTCTGCGTCAAACACAGGATAATCCGCAACGTAGAAGATTTTAACTTCAACTTCGATTATAGCAGTTGATTCTCTGTCCGGAAGAGCACCGGTGCCTACTCCTATAGATATCAGATCTCCAAGTGACTCTGTTCCGCTCATCACCAAGGCAGTGTAAATATCACTAGTTCAGATGGGGTCTGATTGCGCCTTTACTTTCTTCGCTAATAGCTGGACGATATCAAAACCCTTTGCTTCTCTCACACTTTTTTTTATGTCTCTGTCACAGCCTATAAACACTATCTCGACATCCGTGGCATAACGGGGCAAGCCAGCAAACTCTATGGAGGTCAGGAATCCCCGTTCAATGCGGAACGAAAATGTGTCCTTTCCTGATCTGTCTTAAACATGATCTTCTTTGGTTAACGAGTTCGAATCTTTCCGAGCCCCCTATTGTGAGATTGCCACTGGGTATTGGCGTGTTTCTCTGGCAGTTTTATGGCTCATGGCTTGTCGTTTGAGACGGCAAGAGCTGTTTGAAGGGCAGATCATTGGAAAATTAAGCCCAGGATGGTAGGGTTTCGCCCACCACCTTGACCATGTATGTTCAGGTCTAGCCTTAAAGCAATATTTTCTCCATACAAGGATGTCCTTTGTATCTTGGCAATGGAAACAGCCTCTGCTGGGGCTGCGAAGGTCTGAATATTCATCGAAGCTAACGTTGCCGACCCTCTCATCCTCGCACCAGGTCGTGGTGCCACTTTTCCAGAGGCTCAATTGACATTCTCCTACAGGATTCTAATCGACCTATGTACCGAGGCGGCATCGCGCCGAATTCGATATGGTGGCCCCGTAATCGCCGAGACTTATAAACGACATTGTAGCGTACTCCCACGACGCCATATCCCTCACCTAGGAGATTGTGTCCGGCACTTCCCCTCCTATTTGCTCTCGATGCAGCCCCTCCTCCTTTCCTTCTGACGTGATCTCTCGCTTCTAGCAGACAAAATCTCGCTCTGCCTCAGTTGCAAATATCCATCGATCTCACGCTCTGCTAAGTTCACTTCCTTTGCTAAGTTCAATCATGACTATCTCTACTCCCCTCATCACTGTCTTTGGGGCCACTGGCAACCAAGGTGGTGCCGTTGCTAAATCGCTCCTCAAGAACCCATCCTTCAAGGTTCGAGCTCTCACGCGAAACCCGGATTCGGCTGCAAGCCAGGCGCTGGCCGCTCAAGGGGCGCAGATCCAGCAAGCCAACGGTTTCAGCAGCGAGTCCATGCTGGAGGCATTCCGTGGTTCCTGGGGTGTTTTTGTGAATATCAATTCAGATGACAAGGTGGGTCCTATGGGGTGAATGTTGCGTGATGATGTGGTAGATAATCCGAGGCTCATACAATGCTTTTCACTCCAGGAAATCAAATCCCAAGGTCTCACGGAATTTGACCTGGGTAGAACAATCGTGGATGCAGCAGCCGAAGCTGGAGTCCGCCATTTCATCTTCAGCACTGGCCCAGACTGCCACGCAATTACCCAGGGAAAGGTCAAAATGAACGCTGCAGACAGTGGGTAGCCCCTTGACCCCCGGGCTTGATAATTTGACACTAATATTCGAACAGGCAAGTACAAGATTGAACAATACGCCCGCCAGATTGAGCGCTTTGAGTCTGTCAGCTTCATTTGCGCTGCTTGGTTCCTAGAGAACTTCCTGGTCAAGGAGATGGCACCGATCTTTGGCGGATTCCCCCATGTGCCTGATTCCGAAGGATTTCTCACCTTCGTCGCTCCTAAATGGGGTGGGAAGGAGGACGTGCCCTTCGTCAGCATCGCTGATGATTTTGGGGATATTGTGCAAGGCATGCTTCTTGATCCTCTACGCTGGAACGGCCAGGTTATCCACGGCTGCAGCGATATCTGTAGCTTTGAGGACCTCGTGTCTGGTTTTGAGAAACTGAGCGGACAGAAATCCCGCTTCCAGCCGCTGCCATCCTGGGAGGATTTTGACACTCACGGAATCCCCGAGTTGCAAGACACCAAGATGATGTTTGGCTTCACGCAGAACAACCAGGGCCGTTACTTCGGGCCTGAGCCGTCTGAGAAGAATACGGCAAGTGAACTCAAGCGGGTTACGGCATTGGCGCTTGGTCAGCCTGTAGAGGCACAGAAACTGACGACAGCAGGGGAGTGGTTCCAGAAGTACTTTCAGTTTCAGTAGTTCATAACTAGCTACTACCTAGTTCGCCTCTCACGAAATTCAGGTTACTCTTGTCATTATCCACTATATGTTCTTTGTGTCTCGTAAATTGAATCTACATACGACACTCCCTAGTCTACGTGTCTCGATACATGGGATCGATGTATCCTTCTGGCTATAACATGCAACCAGTTTCTATCTATTCATATGTACTGGTACGTGACTTGTTTGATTGAGTCGTAAGCATTGCATTATCTGTCTTCAAAATAGTGGAACGATTGTCTTGGTGGTGGCAGGAACGTGGTGGAGAGAAATATATACGCAACGAGCTGATCTCAAATACGAAAATCCGAGTAAGAACGCGTTCCTTTTCCGCAGAGAATGAAAACAAGAAAACAAATTAAATTCCATTGGCACTAGTCTTTATGCAATACTACCCAAAATCGCGCACAAAATAGAGAACGGAAGAGACCACGGGGCTGATCTGGCCTGGTGGGAAGTCAGCATCATCTGCGCATCTGTATCTCAAGCTAGAGAAGCATCAAGACCCTGACTTTTTGACACATCCAGATCGAATGATTACCGCATTGACCGCCATTTGAAGCGTAAAAATTACGGTCTTATATACATCTTGTAAACTTCTGCTAAGAAAGACGGAGTCGTCCACGCCAGATTAAATCCAACAGTGTTCATCCATCATCTGTCAAGTTTACCTGCTCTGGTAATCTGGCTATCTTCTTCAGGTGGACCAGTACTCTAGACAACATGACGGGACCAAAGAATGTAATTGATGTCCTCATCATTGGGGCAGTATGTGTTCCCATCACAGGTCTCCGTCAATGAACAAATGACTAACAATTGAATGCTCCAGGGGCCATCTGGGTATGAGATTGCCCTTTCTACTACTCGTTTGCCAAAGTGCTGACGGGGTTGACCTTCTACTCAGGCTAAGCGCCGCATTATGGCTGGCCCAGCTAGGTATCAACTTTCGCATCGTGGACAAGCGATCTGATCAGCCTAGAATAGGACAGGCGGATGGGTGAGATTCACCTTGTTAGCGTGTAGAGAAGTAGAGATGATTGACTCAGTTGCGACACCACAGTCTAAATCCAAAGACGATGGAGATATTTGAAAGCTGGGACATCCACGGGGACGTGACCAAGCTCTGGGAGCCGGCGACCCACGAAACCCTCTGGTACCGAGGGCAGGATGAGAAGCTCCGGAGGACAGATCGGTACCCAAGTCAACCTCCTCCGGGGGTTCGGTAAGGAACAAGCCCAAACTAGGATGAAAGCTTTACTGACGGGTTCTATAGATGGACACATGGGACTCTGCAGCAGGGGCGTGTAGAGGAGATCATGAAGAAGCGAATTGTTAAGCTTTGCGGGGAGAATGTCGAATACCACACATCCCTCGGTGGGTTGAGTATCGACACTGCGGCGCTTGACACGCCTGGGGCCTACCCGTGTACGGTCGTACTTCAAAAGCAGCAAGAGGAGGGCACCTCAACCGAGAGCATCCAGGCTAAGTACGTGATCGGAGCCGACGGCGGACGGTCCTTGACCAGGGAGTGTCTGGACATTGAGATGCGTGGGGACAAAGGCTCGTCAATATGGGGCGTTATGGATTTTGCCGGAAGTTCAGACTTTCCAGAGTGAGCACTTGCTGTGTAGCCTTTGACCACGGTTCTCAAAACTAATGAGGATGCCAGCTTTGGGGCGACATCCATCATACGCAGCGATATCGACGGGTCTGTGGACTTTGTTCGCCGCGAGGAAGGGCTGGTACGGATGTACGTTGAGCTGAATAAAGGGCCACAAGGTGCCCAGATCCGGCGAGAGGATATCACCCCGGAGCTCATCATTGAAAAGTGCCAGTACATGGTTCGACCATACAAGGTGAGATCTATGATCTTTGAAGTGACTATTATTTACTGGGCCGTACTGAATACTATGACATTTCCTGCCTCCAGCTAGATGTCCGCCAGTGTGTCTGGTAAGTTTTCCGGAGATCTTGAAACAAGAAAGATACTGAACCCCTACCAGGTGGTCAGCATTTACGGCTACGCAGCGACTGAGCAGTGCTGCGAGTAGATGTGGCCGCGCCTTCCTTGTCGGCGATGCTGTTCACACACATTCACCTGTCACAGGAATGGGAATGAATACAAGCATTCAGTACGTGACGATCTTCAACTTCAAAATTACTAATAATGACACATCCAGGGACTCGTATAACCTCGTATGGAAGCTTGCAGGTGTTATCAAAGGATACCTGAACCCAAGTATTCTCGCAACCTACGATACTGAACGAGGAATGGTCGCCCGCCAATTGCTGGAGGCAGACCGGACAACCCTCGAGCTATTCGAGGCCAAAGTCGGACATGAATCTGCCTCATTGCTTGAACGGGCAGATGACCTACGAATGTTCCTAGCAGGGCGCCTGATTCGCTACGCAGACGCACTATTGACATTGCCTTCAACACAAAGGATTGGCCACTTTGAGGCTGGCGAATGCCTGCCAGAAGTGACGATCACCAACCATGCTACAGGAAGGCCTGTCCATCTGCACAATGCCCTCAAAGCCAATAATAGCTGGTGCATTATTGTCTTTGCAGGAGACGTCTCCTTATCTGGTGGGATGGGACGCATCCACGAACTGGCAAAGCACCTGGAAGAAGCCCGAGGCGCCACTTCTGGACTACTGGATGCACTACTCGTGCATTGCGCACCATGGGATGCAATAGAGCTCGCAGATCTCCCTTGTTTGTTTTTCCCTCTGTATGAAAATACAGGCCGAGACTATACGAAGATCTACATTGACGAGGGTTCCGTGTACGACGAGGCTGGGGTGGACCGGAAAGATGGTGGACTTATCCTGGTGCGTCCGGACCGGTATATTGGCTGGACAGGACGATTGGAGGAAACCGACCATCTGAAGAGGTATCTCTCGCACATCTTCCTGACTCGGTCCAAGGTGTAAGGCCACATCTTCTCCTGCGGCATGTACGGATAGTTCCATGCACGAGGACAATCAGTGGCACTATTTGTCCGGGCTAGATCGTCACAAGGCAATACCTAGAGAAGGCGTAATTCCATTTTTTTGCTCAACTATAGGGAATCACATAACCAGAGGATAGATAGTGAATTTGCAAAAATTGTCCGAGCATAGTATTTGTGGATCCGCCTACATTCCAAGCAAGGGACACAACACAATACAACCCCCTGTTGACCAAGTCATAGGAGATCGACAGATCTGAAGATTGCTCCTGCCTGATCCTTCAGAGCTTAGGCATATGGTCATAGCTGGGCAACTGAAAGAGACTCGGCTGATAGCATACCTGTTGCTTGTCCAGCCGTCGTGATAGATCAGGAATATCAATGATGAGCTTTCCTCTTCGCTGTTGATCAATTCGCCTCAAGACATTTCAATTTTTGTCTCTTCCTTATTGCTTCATTCCAGAAGAATAACTGCTAAATGCTTTGTCTTTGGTTCTTATGGCTCCTGGCTGCTTGGGGTCAGACATGTAGCCCCGAAAACCGAGCTGTCCGTCGAGAATGGTAAGTTCAAACCAAGCGATCAACTGTGAGCCAACTAGCAAGATCTGACACACTACATCAGGGGATCCCTCTCGAGAGATGAGCGTCTTGACTACATTAGTGCTGTTCATTGCATGCGACAGAATCCCCCGATTCTACCCCAGGATCAATATCCTGGGGTCCGGCATCGAATGGATGATTTTGCAGCGTATGGGTCTCGCCTTGGAGATGTGATGAAATGAGAAAGACTGATGATGGCAGAACTCATATCAATTATACACTCAATATCCATTTGAGTGGGATCTTCTTTGGCTGGCACCGCCGGTTTGTCTGGCTGTGGGAAAGGGCGATGCGGGAGGAATGTGGTTACCAGGGCTATCAACCGTAAATCTCCCTTCTTTCTAGCGGGAATTCTCATCCACTGACTCTTTCGTACAGATATTGGAACTGGGCGCTCTCCGCCAACAATCTATCCGCCAGTCCACTGTTTGACGGCAGCGACACTTCCCTCTCTGGGGACGGGGACCCAGTTGAGAATTCCAAGTCAACCATGATTCTCTTGCCGACAAATGTTACGATTCCCAATGGATCCGGCGGCGGATGCGTTAACACAGGCCCGTTTGCCGGCATGACTCTCAATCTTCCTGATCTTGACTCCGCTCCCGGCGACGTATTCCCGGAGAATGCCTTTGCCTATACCCCCCGCTGCCTGACGCGTAACCTAAACTCTTTCATTGCTCAGTCATTCACAAGCCAGACGGACATCGATCGGCTGCTGTCCTCGCCCAACATTAAGTCCCTGCAACACACTATGGACGTGAGCGTATGGCCGGAGCTCAGCGAGGCGGAGATCATGGGGCCCCATGCCGCAGCGCATATGCAGCTTGGGCGGGCGATGGACGACTTTTGGACCGCGCCGCAGGAGCCTGCGTTTATGCTACATCACGCGATGGTGGACCGAGTGTGGACACTCTGGCAGGCGCAGGATCCGGGAAATCGCCAGTATGCACTGAATGGGACCAGTACGATGGGGAATTTGCCCAAGACTCCGGAGGTTGATCTGGATACCCAAGTTACGTGGGGCCCGTTGGGCGGGAATAGGACCCTGGGGGAGGTGATGAGCACTGAGGCGTACGAGTTCTGTTACGAGTATGACGACTAGACTCGGAATATGGCTTGCATCTGCAGTCAGCGCGATGTTCCCAATAGAGAACTGTACGTGGCTGACCGCCATTCACACTAGATACATCAACTTTAGGCAAGTAGGAGGAAGATCCAGTAGTTTCTCTATTTCTAGGGCTTGGAAAATACTCAACCTCACCACAGTCTTCAATATCCTCTGTCAATTTCTGGCTCGTTCATCTTCTATACGGTAAAAATGGCAAAGGATAAGGACTTTGGTGGCTTCAAGCTCACCCCAGCCGACTACTGCTTTCCCATGTTCTACGCGGGATGTACAATCTCTTTCCGTTTACAATGTCCAGAGAGCGGAGTCACGGTTCTGCGAGAAGCAATCGATCGACTCGCATCGCATCTCCCCTTTCTGAAAGGGGCGGTGGTGCCTTCGGTGGACTCAGTCGGGGTGATGGAAGTGCGTTCTAATGCCCACGATGACCTGGCATCTGACACAGAATCACCTCTCTGCATCGTCAGGCGGTTCCTACATCTTCGTCTGCCAACAGAGACATATTCCTCGCGCCAGAAGAATGTGGAAACCTATGATCGCAACGCAGCGCTCGCCATGGCTCCTGTGCACGTTGCTGCATCCGCTGCATACCACCCTGTCATACGTTTCCAAATCAATGTTCTGGCGGACGGGATCATCCTCGCCCTATTTGTCAATCATATGGTGATTGATGGCACGGGGATCGGCACTCTGCTCGAATCAATAGCGGCTTGCTGCCGTTCAGCCCCCGACCTTGCGAGTAACCCTGCATGTGAGGTCACTACACGCGCATTGTTTGCTACCCTTCAACAAGAGCCTTGCAAGCTGTCAGAACCGAGCACCTCAGCTGAGATCGCCGCGCCAACCGGGCACGACGAGGTACATGATGCGTCCTTGCTTGACTACAATTTTCTTCTGTCGGCTGAAAAAATCAAAGCCCTGCGCCAATGGGTCCTGCAGGCGGATCTTGAGCCAGGTCAGCCCCCTGTATCCGAAGATGATATCCTCACCGCCGTCCTCTGGATCTGTCTGGGTCGCTTTCGGTCTCACCCGTTGGCTGAAGGAGGGTCATCTCATGCCTGCGTACTCCAGCGGGTCGTCAATGCCCGGCACCGCTTGCGCCCGCAGGTACCGGCTCACTATCTGGGAAATTGTTTCGTCATGCTCAATGAAACCTTACCGACTACAGATCTGGACCTCGAGGCATGCCAAGGCAAGACTGAAGCAGAGCAACTTGGCAGGCAGATCGCCCCTGCGGCCCGTCTATTGCGGAAAAGGCTTACCGAAGTCGACGATCGTTTTGTGAAAGATTACCTTTCCCAATTCTCTAGGGCCGATGACTGGGCCAGCACCTCAGTCCACGAACCCAATGTGGCAGTGACAAGCATCCGTCGGCTCCGGGTCTACGAAGAAGATTTTGGGCCGGTTCTTGGCAAGGTGGTTGAATTTGAGATGCTGCCGTACATGAATCCCGAGGGTGTTTGTACGATCAAGCCACGCCGACATGATCAGCATGCCTGGGAAGTCGGTGTGACGCTGAGCCGTGAGGATATGGACCGTCTGGGGAGTGATGCAAGACTCCGTTGGCTGGTGGAAAGGGAGTCCCCGTTGCGCATTTTTGAGTCTGTGCTGTAGTAGTACAATGTCACACCCCGCGTCTCAATTATTGAATAACGTGCAAAGTCCTAAAAAGTCGACGTTAAAAACTCGTCTGTCATCGCCAGTCTCATTGTCGGTGCGAAGCCAAGCTAGAGCGGCCCCATCGGTAAATCCTCCAGAAGGTTTCAAATTAGACCTACGTAGTACATAAGTTGTCTAGTCAATTGGCTTATCGGATCTTCTATCAGGGGATCGTGTGACCTAGCTTTCGGCTCTTGATGCACTTACTCTGTATCTATCAGATCCTGATTTATATTAGTTCTGAGGCAATGAAAATATGCCCACGGTCCTAGCTATCCAATTGACATACTCAGTCCTTGTTGATATACCTTCGACCTACTCAATACGGAGAGTATGGATCGTAAAATGGAATTTTCATGGTGAATATGACATATTATTGGATACATAGTTGGTAAACACGGTTCACATTCCTGGAGAGACTGGTAGCCCGCTATCACTTGAGAGACGTAGGCTGTGGAACCAACCTAGTTATTCCTTGGGAAATGAGGCTTCAGCTGCGACACCCGTGGTTGGTAAATCGATAATGGGTCTTTGGCCCAGTTGATGAACCCAATGAGAGGCTCTCAAGCTGAGAATGCAGAAATAAAGATGTCCCTTACTTAAGCTTGTTTGACAATGGGGTTCTTGAATTGGTGTCACTTTGGCCGTCTGGTATGCCAAATCATATTGCCACGGACGACTACTATTCTGACATACTTGGGATGCTGGAGAGCAGAAGAGATGCTGGAGTACACAGGCGAGGAGATTCATGAGAGGGATCGGAAGATAGGGTCATTACTCGCCCTGCCAACGCTTGATTTGTATTACATTTGGCTTGCAAGAGAGACAATCGCTATGTATCTTATCTGATTGTTCTTTTCATTTTTGGCCTGTGTTGTTATACTCGCGAAGTTAGACGATAGCCATGACTTTTAGAATCCATACCTGGGCTAGGCTAGCCATTGCCCTGAGCCTCTGTACGTATCTCTCTCGAACTTGAATCTTCAATTTGGTATCTAACTGTCTGGTAGTTACCGGCTGCGAGGCGAATCCGGCACTATTTCATCCTCAAGGCCGAGACGATATTTCCTTCACAGTAGCAGTATCGAATGCAACAAACTCCTCTGGAACGGATGCCTTGTTTCTTCAAATCCAAGCACCCAGCACGGTTCAATGGGTCGCTCTTGGCCAAGGCGACCAGATGGCGGGAGCGAGAATCTTCCTGGTCTACGCCTCTTCCCGGACGAACGTGACCGTCTCGCCTCGTACGGGAACGGGGCATGTGCCCCCAGAATTCGATCCGGAGATTCCCATCTCTCTCCTATCGGGGACTGGAATCAATGATGGGGTCTTGACAGCCAGGTTCGAGTGTCAGAATTGTCTGGACGGTCATGGAGGCACAGCCAATTCAACCGACGCCATCAGCAGGTGGATCTGGGCATATAAAAACGGCAGCCCTATAGAGTCAGACGACACGTTGGCGACGATTGACTTTCACGATTCCTTCGGAGGAGCAGTTGTTGATTTGAGCTGCGCACAGTCAACGTTCGATAGGGATCGGGACCCTTTCTCAAACGCTTCCTCGGACTGTGCTCATTCCATTGACGAACTCGCGAGCTCGGAAAACTACTCCCTGTCAACTATGGCGATCGCGCACGGCTGCCTCATGTCAGTTGCCTTCGTCCTGCTGTTCCCGATATTTGCTCTTCTCGTTCCCCTTTCGGCCGTTATGCCCATGCCAGTGATGGTCGTGCATGCCCCGCTGCAGGGCCTCGCACTTGCCATCGCAATAGCCGGGTTCGGCCTCGGGCTCAAGCTGTGGTCGGATGGAGGCAGTCCACCGGCCGCGCACCCGGTTATCGGTACCGTCGCGGTGGCGAGTCTAGCTCTCATACAGCCTAGCCTCGGGTTGCTTCAACACAAGCACTTCAAGCGGACAGGGCAGAAGAGCTGGTTTGCGTACGTGCACCGCTGGTTTGGCCGTGGAATGATCGCCCTCGGTATTATAAACGGGGGGATTGGCCTCTGGTGGCTGGGATTCAGCACAGGGCCGCTGCGAACGGGAACGATTGTATACGGGGTGGTTGCCGGTATCGTCTCCGTGATTTATGCCGGTGTGCATATATATATCGGGATTGGTGGTGCAGAACAGTTTGAGGATGCGCATGGTGTTGAGCATCAGGACGGATTGCCTGCAGAGATGAGACAGAGCGCGACTACAAATGGTGGAGCTCAGTTGCCTGACGATATACCACGTACTGGTGAATATCTGATAGGAGAGCCAACTGAGCAGAGTTTCAAGCTTTAAAGCCACAAGTGTCGAGTATATCAGTCCACAGAGCGTTTAGCCCTGCTTCATTCCTACAACAATGGGAAGAGTATTACGAAAGTGTACTATGATATCGATCAATTTATTCTAAATGTATGATCTATGTTAGGGCCTTGATATAATCGTTTCATATGTGCGTTGCTAGGACCATATCTATAGAGAATTCAATAATAGTCTTCCCTTGGTTGCATTGCGGCATCGTGAATTCAGTCGAATATCATTTGGGTTCGTCCTTGGGATCGAGATTTGATTGTCCGTTCGTCATTATCGCCCTATTTGCTAGGACGTATGGCGACCGGAGAGCCATGTGAAAGTGAAGACTCCCTTACAATTTATTTCTACAGTCGACCAAGGATGACAAGGTGCAGATAGATATCTTATCCTGTTATCTGCTGTAGAATACTACCAACCCGCAGCAAACGCATCCAATCCCCCAAATGCTATGGAAGCTGGGTTCTATTTCCACATGATCTGGGTCACTCCATTGAAGACAGGGATCATTGTTGCCGTAACCCGAGGTTCGGTGGCAGCATAGCGGTTGAAAGCATTCATTTTGTCCGCGATGGCCAGATAGGGCTGCTGGATTTCCTCAGGGAAATTCTTCGCAATCGATCGGTCAACCACGAGGCCTTCTAGGAGAACTACTCACGGCCGTACATTAGCGCAGGAGCGGGAAAAGCGTCACCGATGAGAGAGATACGCACCATCGTCCACCAGAATGACTCCCTCAGGAGAAAGAAGTTTGTGGTCCAGGATGTACCGTGTGTACGCTTCGTACTCCTCCTCTGCTGCGTCGATGTAGATCAGATCAAACTGGCCCGTCAATGTTGGTAGCCTGTTAATTATCAATCTCATTAGCGATACACTCGCCGGAAAAAGGCATGGGCAATAATACGAACATTTCCAGGCAAGGCCCCTGAACCGTTCTGATACGGTCCGTTGCGCCATGGCGACGGAAGGCATCCTCCGCGTACTTGAGGTATGTTTCCGACATGTCCATGCTGACGATCTCTGCCTGTGTCTTCTTCGTCGCCTCGTGGAAAATAAGTGCGCTGACACCCGTAAATGTGCCCAGCTCAAGCACTAGACTCCATTTTAGAGTCCAGTTCTCCCTTTGAAATTTTCTTGGAGCTGTCACCTACCTCTCTTAGGTGCCAGGACCTGGGTAAAGCTCATCAACCAGGCACACTGGGCCGGGGAGGGCGCCATGACAACTTCATCCTTGGAGAGCTTATCGGTGAATTGGATTTGCGCGAGGATGGGGGCCGGTAGCGTAGAGCTATGGGCCTCGCAGTAATCACCCGTAGTCACTATCTGCTCCTTGGTGAAGGGTAACATACATGCGTCTCTCATTTTGGCGGTGGTGAAGATGAAGGCAGATTGGGATGAGCAAAAGAAGGCAATGGCTTCTGATACCAGACTTATGGGAATTGACAACACCTAGTTTTGCTGCACGTGCAACGACCGATCTATGTACGGAGAGGTACTTGTTCCATTTCCTCGAGGTATCTAAATTGTGGGATCTTCGACCTACATCTCCCTTGCAGCTGTGACAGATAAGGCGCCATTGAGATACCTGCACGGTCACACCATGCATTCCCTTCGAGTCTTTTTGGTTTCTTTTTTCTACCTGCAGCTCCTTGACCTCCCTTACGTATTCCTTCAGAAGCGAATATGCATGAGGTACGACTTGTACTACATGAAGCTACTAGCTCGAAGCTACAGCGCAGGGTATGACAGATCCAATCTGCCTAACTTACCTGCATACATCGATTATTCGCTTCCTGCGGGCATTCCTGATCGTCGTGTGTATATCATCCGTATCCGTGGGGTTACGTAGAGTGAGAGAGAGAGAGCAAACGCATTACATTTGTCATGGTTCTGTATACTGAAGATCTTACTTTAATCGGAGCATTCCTATGAGGCTTGATGCACATTGTAACACCAACTTCTTCCCAAATACTGTACTTTGAGTGACGATCTAAACTATCAGATTACAAAGCTTAAGATCTCTCTTCTTTTGGGCAAGCTAGGACAGCAGTATGGAGCTAAGATGTACTCATTAATTAGCCACCAAGATAACAAAAAAGGGAGATATATGTCTTGAAGCTCGGATGCCACCGAATCCACTTCACGCGATGCATTAATATGAGTATCGGAATAAGTCATGTTAATTGACTGACTGTGAGGGGGTTTCGATGTGATTATACAGCACGACTCGCGCATACGCAGGGCAAACTGTCACAGGTAGACTTAGGGCAGGCTGATCTTGGACGTGACGGAGCATCCTGTCCGCACTCCCCAAGGACCTGGGAATCCCAGGCATTTGGAAGATTTTGTTTTCTCCTCTCACATTTAGCCTGACGACTATTGTCTTCGTCTTTTTGAACCTGCCTACCCAGAAACGCAATGTCAGACGTGGCTCGGTGGCTAGTTGACTGCTGCTTCTCCTGCAGCCGAGGCTGGCTTCTGCTCTGGTCTCTTGTCGTGCTTGTTGCCCACAGACTGATCCAACACCTCTTTTTCCATCCACTCCGTCATATTCCAGGACCATGGAGCGCAACACTCTGTGGATGGTATGAATTTTACACTAACGTGTGGCTCGACGGTCAATGGTGCAAGACATATCCATATTTGCATGAAAAGTACCGTAAGTGGCACTGACAGGGCTCGTCCACTTGAGATATCTTAATGTCTGTACACAGGGAGCCCCGTCGTCCGTGTTGGACCCGACCATGTCCACATCAAGGATATTGATACATATGAAAAGTAAAACGCTTATCCTGCGATCACCTTACTACGTGCTCTTTGTAACGGACTAACGGACCGATTATAGGATCTTCCGCAATGGGACGAATTTCTACAAGGACCACACATTCTACACCTGTGCCGACAACGACGGATCCATCTTCTCACTGTGTGATCGCGACGCGCATCGTGCGCGACGGAAGGCTCTTAGTCCCCGGTTCTCGAAGCAGGCAGCTGAAGCCGATGCCCCTGGGATCTTGCAGCAGCTTCGGCGTATGGAAGCCTTCATAGTTCGGCAGTCAGACGAGGGGAAAGATTGCAATATCAACGATCTATTCAGGACATTTGCAGTACGTGAAACCTCTCCAAGAAATCACTCATCCGCTGACCTTGCGTGGTAGATCAACATCGTAGGCAAAACACTGCTTGGCGATTGCGGCGACCTGGTCACATATGAGGACAGCAAGCCTGAGCTGCTCGATATTGTCGATGGCATGTCCATGATGATACCTACGCGTGAGTACTTCCACTGCAAAAGTGAACCGCTTGAGGAATCGACGTGAAATGACCTGGGTTGTAGTACGGTTCTTCCCCTACCTGGCCGCCATCAATAGCGTCGTTCCATCTTTCATATCGAACCTCTTGGTTCCCGCAGGTGTGCTCAATTTCAAGAAGGTCCGTTGTCCACTCTGACGGCATCGATGCATAATCGGTCATGTATGCTACCGAAACCTTTCTCACTCCTCTCAGATCTGTGAAGATTACACAAGGTCGCGAATGGACAAGCCGATCCGCAGCGACATTGAGCGTAGCAGTGCATCAGTTATCGAGCTTCTGGTTGCTCATAGCCATGATATCACCGGGGGCCCGCCTAATCTTGACTATCTGGCTGCAGAAGCTTTTACATTCATCGACGCTGGAGTAGATACGGCGGGTAGGACGCTGGCGGCTGCAGTGTACCACATTCTTCGCGATCCGATAATAGAGAAGAAGCTGAGGGACGAGCTGGATAAGTCGGACGCCTGGACTTCCGGAGCCCTCGAAGTCGACGTTCGCAAATTGTGGAACCTGCCCTATCTGGTAAATCCATCTCTCCTTTGCACTATGAGCCTGCAGACTGTACAGACCTGACATAGACTCTGATCAAAGAATGCGATCATCAAGGAGGCGCACCGTATCTGGCCGGCACTTCCCGGACCGCTGCCTCGTGTGGTTCCTCCTGAGGGACTACAAGTCGATTCCTATTTCATTCCCGGTGGGGTGAGTCATTGTCTAGCATGTTCTTCAAGTCTCGATTACGGAAATTGATGATTGTATAGACCATTGTATCTGCCACCCACCATTCCCTCCATTTCGACGAGGATATTTTTCCCGAACCGAACAGATTCAATCCTGAGCGCTGGCTACGGAATGATAGGACGGACCTCGATCGTTATCTCAACCCCTACAGCCGTGGTAGCCGGGCCTGCATTGGAATCAAGTAAGTGTTGGGTTCAGTGGATGTTCCTGCAAGATCCGCTAATGATATGCAACAGTTTGGCCCAGGCAGAACTCCTGTTGGCTGTCGCCGACATGTTCCGTCTACTCGACCTGGAACTATGCGAGCCAATTCCGTCTGGTCTAACATGGAAGGACCATTTTGTTGCGGAACCGATCAGCCCCATCCTTATCCGCGCAAGGCCTAGGGAGGTGTCGTTTTGAGTGTAATGTGGGACTCCGCTTCATCGAGCATGTGCGAGAAGCAAATCGCATTCATGAACCTGAGCCAGAGGGTTGACTGTTGATCCTCTTACCCATATCCTCAGAAGATTTCTGCCAGATACTGATTCTGTGGTGTTGTAAAAGGCGACCATCATAGTTACGGAAAGCAAAACATATGTGCCGGACAGTATTCATCGAGATATATGGAGCTGAAACTGACATGGAGTTAGGATGGATCAGTTAGCATTTACACCTTTATTACGCAGTCTGTACCAGGTTCATCATATAATTGTTACCAAACACATAAAGATCATCTCAGGACACGGTGGCTCATATCACACTGACCACCATACCATCCGGGTATCAAAAAGATAGATAAAAGTCACATCGGAAATTATATTCAGGATGGCCCAGCGACTCCCACTCCCCCTCCTTCATCCCTAGGAAACATGTATCCACTAAAAACCATTGCGTCCCTCATAGCAGCCAACTCCTCCTCTAGCATTAAAGCTTCGCTATTCAATCGCCGCTGCATGTCCCGCACAGCAGCCTGAACCCCTTCCCGCGACTCGGCAGCTGAGCATACCACAGTAACAGAACTCGAGCTTGCATTGAGACTGACGAGGCTATATAGTCGTTCTCTCACGTGGTCTGTGAGCGCAACAAAGACTTCATCTATCGAGGCATTGAATGTTGCCTCAATTCTTCTGAACGAGGGGCGGTCGTGGACATTGAACCACATGACATGGACCGATGGAGAATCCAGAGAGGTATCGGCCCGGGGGGGTTGTTCGATCTTGGAGGTAGTTGGGCTTGGGAATATTCTATCCCCCATCGATGCTTTGTTTTTGGGATGCCACGGCGTAAGGTGTCTCATGCTGGAGAAGAGGTGACTGCAGTGAGTCGCGCTCGAGGGGGAGGAATGGACAGTGAATGATCTGGCTTTTGTTGATACTCTTGACTGGGCTGTCCATAAATAACCATCTTCCCCATGGCATCAAGTGACGATACTGGGCAGGATTGCATCAAGATTTAGACAGGCTCGTGGCTTGGTGAAATTAAGTATGCAGTTGCCGAATTCAAATTGTCTTACCAATTTAGCCCTCTGACATGGCAGTTGTCTCGAGGGTTTCCGATGCCTGCGGAATAGTAAAGCCTATTATATATTGCGGATGATCCTTATGACGTGGTCTCCGCTTTAATCACTATAGCACGCGGAGCAATCTCATTGAATGAGGACACCAGACTGCAAAGACGATGTGATATGCACTATGTTCTATAATGCGAGACCACAGAAAGGTTCTGGCCACGAGCCATATCAAGGGCAGTATCCTACTTCCCCAACATCGCCAGTCCAAAGATAATGGCCACATCCACGAGTTTTCGAAGCGATGGTGGTCTGAGTAACTGTCCTACCATATCAGATTGCCAAGCTGAATATGTCCGAGGCGATGATCGGTGTGGACGTCCCGGAGTTTTAATCCCAATGAGGATCACCATTGTCCGGTGGGCCAGATGATCAAAACAATGATCATTCGGTCATACGACTCTTCGAGAGGCTGTCATAGGAGCATCGTTCAAGGGCCCCATTCTCGCGGACGCCGTTGATCGGGTCGTATACTTTCTAATGAGAAGTCATGACAGTCGAAGTACAGAAAGCCATGGCTACCCTGGCAGGAAGCTGGTTTGATCCGATGAGCTCTGTAACCAGACTTATGCAATCCAGTCCTTGTATATAAAAAAGAATTAGCAAGTCAATCCTCCAATCCTTCTGGGAGTTGGTTCCTCTCATTGCTTGCGCATTGTATCGCTTCGTAGGGTGATGAGGTCGTTGATCAGCATAGGTGCTTTAAGGATGCTCAGGTTGCTGTCAGCACTCTACCGATATTAGGGATAAATCTTGGGTGGATCCATAGTCAATTGTATTATTTGACTGCTGTATAAGGCTCCCGGTAAATCCGAAACCGCGTAGTTGCGATATTACCCCGAGACTCAAGAGTGGGTGTGGGGTTGACTAAATCATGGACTAGCCAGTCACTGAGAGTCCTGGCTGTATTAGAGTCCCTTAGAAAGGCAACTATTGTACTCCGTAGCCCCATTCTTTTGCAAGATGTGAAGGGTCCCTTCCGTTGCTGTTTCACGGTAGTTTCCCATCAAGACATCATCCCCGGAGTCTGCAATCAATCCCCCAGAGGAAGGATTGTGATACTCGGCCCGGAGCAGATCACTGTTCTTTCCTTGATATTAAAGTTATAAAATGTAAGCTCGTCGACTGCTGATGAAGTGAAAAGGATATGTTCGTTGCGTTCCTGGGTTTTTTCTGCGACGTTTGAGAGCCAATCACTGTGTCCATATACCCGGACTATACTAGCATTCATTAATCAAAATTTATGGCAAGACAATCCCATTCTTAGAAGAATCACTCTGGACTTTCGAGGACATTCAATTTGAGCAGTACCCCAAATACGGAGACGGAACTGAGAAAGAGAGGACCCTGAACAGGACAAAGTGGGCGCCAAAAGTCACCCAGAGAACCTTTGACCTCCTTCCAAACAGACTTGATTTCTGAAAGTTATGGCCCGCGAGTTGAGTACAACTGTTATAGTGTATTGCCAATATCCTCTGGCAGGGATGCAAAGAGCGCAAATTACGGTCAAGCCCTTTAGAAAATGCTCATGAGAAATTCATGTATGGTGGAAGAAAGATATATTTTTGACATTGGCGGCTATCCAGAGGCTTTTACTCTCTGGCTAGAGTTTATACCCCGACGGGTCCCATAAAAATCTTCGATTATACCCTTGAATCAGCGATATTTGTACTTGCCAATCCTAAGCTAGATAGTACACGAACAAATGAACAACAGCTGTGACGCAGAACAAGCATAGACACATTTTCCCATGTAATTCCAGACAGCACAAGAGTCTCCTCGATGTCATCATCTGCCACGCCTTCTGGATTTCTAGAGGTAGCTCAACCCCTGGGAATAGCTCTCTGATGCGTGCCCCCCGCTTTTTGGACGGGGCAAGGACAATGGTTTCGCTTCTCTCAGGCAAAAGACTTGCCTCAACTGATACCAAAATAATATAGGATGGAAGGTATAACAGCAGGTGGAAGAACAGCATAGAGACGGAGACCAAGACATCCCACATGACAATCGCCGACATTGTCGACACAGTGATATCCCCATGGGACTTACTGCCGAGCTTCTCTACTATTCCCGGGATATGATTCAGAAGGGTCCCAGTGGAGGCAAAAGTGAGGGCAGGGAGCGCCAGGAGCTTCCATCGTTTCCGATCCCGTCGTTTGTTGACGTGGCTCATCTGGTCTCGGGGGAGAACCGTACGAGCGAACCAGAAAAAATGCATTTCTGCGAGCAGGACGGATGAAATTACAGAGCAAAGCGGCTGCAAGAATAGGTTTTGCAAAACCAGCGACAACAGATTACTTACGGCAGAGTGAGCGACCCAGTAAGTCCACCCTGCCCCGAGGCCGCCAAAAAGACGACGAGGGCCGCCTCTTCTGTAAAGGGAAGAGAGTGTCTGTAAGAGCCGCCGACAGGAGGGAGATGGTTTTACACCACCCGTCTCGCGAGCGTGCATTGGTTGTTTAATGGTCTCGAGGATCAACATGGCCATGACCACATGGCTAATCGCATAGCGGACCTGAGTGTCTTTAGCCATAAACCCTAGTATTTGAAAGAAGAGGAAGAATAGGTGGACAATCAAAACACTTACTAGCAAATTGAGAATAATGCCCACCACAATTGGGACAAAGCAGGCAGGGTTGTTTGCTTGAGTAGGCTCTTCTTGCCACAGCCGATGAGCTCGTGCCAGAAGAGGCTCATCACCTGCGGAATGGATAAACGTGTTCAATAAGTCGCGAAAGAGCGGTAAAAGAAGGCCGGGGGACATCATCTAACCGACTTTGGAGCATGGGCGGTGATCACAAGTTAAAGAGTGATGGCCAACGATACTCCTTGCGGTGCTCTCAATTCTTGGTGATAGAAGCGAGACGGAGGACGGAGATTCTAATTCCTCATGGGCGTTTATACGCTGTCTCAGCGAGAGGCTCTGTTTTGCCCTCCGCTGGACCAATCGCAAAAATAGCGCACTGTTAAGTCAGTGTCGAAGAATAAGCTAAGATCAAGCTAAAATAACCATGCGGAGATTGGCATTGTCGTGGGATCAGGTCGTCTGATGTGGTAGACTGGTAGTTATACAAACCCCGGTCCCTGGAATGGCTACCTCGCTCAGTAGACAGTATGAGCTGCGTTTCAAGGATACAAATACACCGCCGTACTGGCAATATCAGCCCCATGTATTGTTCTCTTTGCTCGATCTGGTCGTTCCAACAGATATCCAGAATATAATGTTGGGGATACACTCGAACGATAGCCTTGAGTGGATATGTACAGGGATAGTTGAACCATTCATCTTCACTGCTCGCGACTGTCCAATCGAGCTCCGGTAATTGGGTGACAACCACCCATAGGATGTGAATGAACAGACTCTTGGTTTGGAATCACGCGGCATAGCATACAAACTGCCAGGAGAATGTATAAGTAGGGGGAGCCTGTCCTGTCGGATGGACACCATACCAACCACACCAAGTTCTTCCAGCCGACAGCCGATTGGAAGCCAATGGTTGTATCAACGCCAAGTATATTGCGGTCTAATGAGCGCTAGCTACGTCCGCCATGCCGAATTCAAGTAGCTCTGTCGGATCCTCACTATTGGAGTTACACGTTTCGATTCATCCAGCGGTCACGGCATCTTGAAGAGTCCAGCTGTGTCCATTAGTGGAGAGCCATAGCTTCATGATCCGAGGGTGATGCGATATCGCTGTTCCCAGAACTTCAATGAACATTATCAAACAGTTCTTGTACCACGAGGGCTCTGTGAGAAATTTAAAATCTGGAGGCCGTCCACGCAACAGGCGAGTAGTGACGGACCGAGAGGAAGTACGTCTTTCAACAAGGCAATGGCGTCGGCCTGTGCCCTCTCCTCTCGGAAGGATGTCATTGTCCTGGATGACATCCTCAGCGGTCTCGGCGCCACCACGGAGGAACATGTTGTACAGCGATGCTTTGGACCAGACGGTCTCCTCCCACAGGGTTGGACCACCACGGTCATTTTAGCCAATCACTCTTGTCGCGTGCTTCATCTTGACGACTAAATTGTTGTTATTGAACATGGTAATATCACTGAGCGAGTTGCATGCGACCCTCGTTTCCGCCAGTGGCTATGCTTAACGCCTGCATTCCAAGCAGATTAGCTAACTCTAGCAACAGGCAGATCAGGATGAAGACAAGATCAAACCATCTGTCCCGGATCCTCAGTTACTAAAAGCCACTGCGAAGGAAACGTCCAACTCTCCTAAGCATAAACCCCCTGTGACCCCGCTGGGAGACTTGGGCCATTTACCGGTTTATATTGATGCCGTAGGTGTTTGATGCACTGCCGTCTTTCTATCGCTTGCTGCTAAATGGGCGTTCCTCTCTGTCTTCCCCATACAGTGGCTGTGATGGTGGGCTGAGGGTAATAGCAAAGACCCTAATGGACGTGTCGGTCTATACCTCGGCGTTTATACTGCATTCCAGGTCGCCTCTCTCGGTTGCTCGGCCCGTATCAACTGGTTCTCATGTAGTCTCCTTGCTCGGTAATTCGGTGCCAGCCTCCATGAAACCCTTTTCAGGTCAAAACCATCGGCCCCGCCCAGTCTCTTTTACCAAATAGACAGTGGTCAGATCCTGACTCGCTTCTCACAGGACATAAAGATGGTCGATAGACTTGACGCACCGCTCAAGAAGGAGTCCCTGAGCAATGGACAACAGAAGCTCTTCTGTCTGGAAAGAGCTTTACTACGAGATCAGCGAGTCGTGGTGTTGGATGAAATTTCTAGCAAGTGAGTGGGTTTCCAAATGATAAGACTGGAGGAATTCAGAACTGACGTTTCCGCAGCCTGGGCCATGAGACGGATACTGTGATTCAAAAGGTTCTGCAGACCGAATTCGCGGACAAAACTATGATCATCATCGCACATCGACCACGTACAATCATGCACTGCGACAAGGTTGCCATGATGGCCGACGGCAAGTGTGTTGAGTTTGACGACCCGAAGCCCCTCCTGGCCAGAGGAGGGTGTCTATGCTCAGTGAGCTGTTCAAAAACTCTATCGAAAAAGGGCAGTCAAATTTGCAAGATGTTGACACCAGGATTGATATGTGTTAGTCCCCGGCATCGTAGTACTATTCAGACGTCCATATAACTTTGTGTTACTGGTTTGATCCTCCCATTCCAGGCAACTGAGATAAAACGGACAATTCCCTGCAGTACCCCTTGATCCTAGAATTTAGCTACGTAGAAGCAGCACACATTCACACGTTGTAGCTATTCGAACAATACGCAGCAGAGGCTATTCATTCCAAACATAGCCTTATTGTCTTATCAATATAGGTAGTTCCGTCTCAAAAGATTTCCCTGCTATTAGTTCGAATTACTTCTGTACATTCACTAGAGAGATATATTGAATAAGCCAGTGCCTTGATGGGCTGATTGTTAAATCCATAGGTCAAACTTCATACTATCTAAGATGCATCAACCACCAGCGGTACGTTGGATTTTTCCCACATCCGGCCATCTGGATTCCCACATCTTCTCTCTTCTGAGCCGTTGAAGATGTCCCCTACCGTTGCATGAGTGGTTGTTGATCATCTTTCTGGTCAGTGTTGGTCTAAACTGAATTCATCTTCATTCTCTACGTGCTGAATCCACATTTTGCAAGCTCGAGAAAATATCGTTCTTCGAGGATGGCTATCCGACACCGAAATCTATGGAATACGATAACCAAGAAGATCGATCCATAATATGATGGCGCGGTGATCCCTGAATGGCTTATACATGGCATCCAGTAACGGATCGACTGGTGTCAGGAGTTAACTGGTGAGATTTTTGTGTACTAAGGTAAGCAGCGCCTCTCTCTCTCTTCCTTCTATCATTGCATCGTACTCGTCCACATTGCTAACCTATTTGGCCTTTTTCAACGCCAGTGGATTCTCCAACTGTCAATTCCAAGATAAGAAGGTCTGTGTGTGTCACTCTGGAGAGGCGTCTAGGTGTTTTTTGGCTTCATGCTTTTTACTAACACTAGTGAGCATTTGCAGTTATCTCCTCTCAACAGAGATTCCGCTATTCAAAGTGCACCTGACTAGGCTGCTACTGGGCTTGCGGCAAGATTCCATTGAATCGACATTCTGAGCCCCTGTTCAGGATTCAATGTTCCGGATTCAATGCCAAAGAAAATCCCATGATTCCATGATCATGGACGGGAATGCGCATTGCACGAGGCTCATCAGGGAACAAAATCCCCACGACAAAGGGCCACCTTCGGCATCCTGTTCCATCCGAGTGGCACCCCCGAGGTCCAAAGGGAGGTGTGCCCTTGTACAGCATTTGGCGAGCGTCCTTCGTCAGGATACTACGTCCGCCACATTCTGGGCATTGCTTCAGGTTTGCTTCTTAGAAAGCCTTGAATGTATGATTCGTGTGGCCAAAGAAAACCCTGCGAATGTCACCTTCTTGACCGAACGAGCCCAGTTCATCCCCCATCATTAGAAGCAGGAAATATATGACGAAATACTAGCATCCACCATAAGCTCCAGTACCGGCGATAGTCTCACGCCCCGGAAGCGCAGCAAAAAAAGCACGATCTCAAGGACTCCACTTCTTCTCACTTCTTCTGAGTTCACCTCTCGCGTCTTTCTCTTCTTCCTCTTCTTCTTCATCCCACCGTGGTTGAGCATCATTCGTATTCAGTTCACTGCCGCTGCTTTGATCATTTCGCATTCAGTTCACTGCTGTTGATTCGATCATTTCGCATTCAGTTCACTGCTGTAAGTTCATCGTTTTCTGCCAAGCTTGTTCTCCATTGTTTTTCGTTTTCCGTGATTCTTGTTCTTCGTTGGTTCTCGTCTTTCGTGATTCTTGTGCAGCAATGTCGAAAGCTGCTTTGCCTGCCGTCCGCCGTGATGGTGCCGTCTCCCGCGTTGAACGTACACGCGGAGGTACATGTCAGCATATCAAATATCCTTCTGACAGCCAAATATTACGATTGAAACAAACACAACTGATCGAGTCAAGGTTGCTATACTGTATGCTCTACAATATTTCAATTTGATCTCACCATCTCACATGGGGGCTCTGATGAGGGTGGCTGTTAAACCACAGTCTGTACGGAGGGTTGTCTTTTTAGTTATGTGAGACCAGAGTGCTTGGTATTTATCTTGAAGGTTCCATCTTATCACTATAAATCCTAACAAATCCCATAATAAATAATCTTGATCTTAGCTAGTTGACAAATTGGCCTGTAGATATAACGGGCCAGCATTCGTGGCTGCTGAAAGATCAGTAATCGGAAAAAAAAAAGTCGGATTTCGCCATCTATGCTGATCAAGGTCGAGTAGTCCGATTACAGAAGGGCATGCATCCTTCTTCTTGCATAAATAGGACCTTCGGACGTGTGGGCAAGCATGCAACTAATACATCTCACACTTGTGTTCATCTTCACACCCCTCTATCCACTTCCCTCACTTACATTCGGCAACACAAGATGCCTAGTACTCTGCAAGTAGACGTCTATGTCTCACCAGCAATCCCTGCGGTGACAGGCTCTCCAGACCCAGCCAAGCAATGGTGGTCGCCCATATCCAGCACTCTCATCCAAGGGCCAACATCGGCTGTCCTCGTTGACACACCCATCAGTATCGCACAGACCGAAGACCTAGCCGCTTGGATCAAGAAGACTGCCCCAGGAAAGAAGCTCAAGTACATCTATACCACCCATGCGCATGGAGATCACTACCTAGGGAACCCAATCATCCTGAAGCACTTCCCCGACGCTACCTGCATCGCCACTGCCCGTGTCGCTGAAGATATCAAGAACACGATTACTTCTTCAACTCCGCTATGGACCACATGGTTTCCCAACAATCAGATCCTCACAGAGGGTCAGGTCGTCCCTGAATCTCTCCCGAAGAATGGGGAGTTCTCCATCGACGGACGAAAACTGTTGGGCATCGATGTCACCTACTCTGATACCCACGCCTCGTCCTTCTTGCACGTCCCGGATCTCGACCTCGTCGTCGCAGGCGATATCGTCTACGGCGACTGCTATCAATACTTGGCCGAGGCTACAACTGCAGAGAAGCGGAAGGATTGGCTGGCGGCCCTCGATCAGGTTGTCGCGTTGAAGCCTTCTATCGTTGTCCCCGGCCACAAGCGGGCATCGCAGGTGGATGGGCCGTATTTGATCGACGCAACGAGGGACTATATTTTGACCTTCCAGAAGGAATTGTACCGATTAAGAGATGCGGATAAGCTAGAGCAGGTAATCGCGAAGCGCTATCCGCGGAGATGGAATATGTATCTCTTGGAGCTCAGCTGTAAGAGCTCTGTTGCTGCTTTATGATTGTCCATTGTGGCAAAGATGTATATATGCTTGCATACTTGGTGGGGCCTTTCCTGCTAGCAGCTGCGGTTTGGCATTTACACCTGGGAGATACAAAATATTCATCCTACACATGATTACAGTTATCGTTCAGCTCTCTATTCATAAACACCGTGACTCTGTCCGGCTGTCGCCTTTCTGCCAAAGGATGGTCTCACGCTGTACACCCGTTACGATTACGGTAGTACTGTCTATATAGTATTGTAGGGATGTCACCAAACCAAGCACTGGTAGAAGACGCGGCAATATGCTTAAAGAATCCGGATATTTATCCGGCGAGTCAGGAGATATCAGCGACGGCATTGATCTGGAGACCCTCGCTGAATAGGACGAATCCAATGCAGGAGTCACAACAAGCAGCCTGAGCAGAGCCTCTACCTCCGCATATGGCCCGCCTACACGAAATCCTTGGGTCAATCCGGGTCCTGAGAAGACCATGACAAACCCTACGGAAGAAACGAGGTAGAACACGCAAACATACTGGGGACTCGACAAGCAAGCGGCAATAGGCGGGCGATGTTCTGATGATTGGGACCCCAAAGCATTTCTCCAAATCGTTTGTTCACTGAGAGGATCCGTCACAACACAAGTACACAACAGGGTGAAGTGGAGTCGGCACATTTCAGCTGTAGGATCCCCGTCAAGTATGGGAATATCATCGGAAATTATTAGAGAGGTAGGCCAGAACCACGGGCATGCGTTTGAGGGTAAAGATAGTAAGTATGGAGTAGGTAGATAGAAGATACAATATACAGGATAATAGGTATCACAAAATCATACCAATATCAGTGGGGCTAACTATAGGCGAGACCTAGCAGCGCAAGTGTAACTCACTACTTGACTGAAACCAGATCCATATCTTGACTTGGATTGATTCCGATGGAGAAAACTCATTTTTCGGCCTCTTTCAGCTGATCAACATTCATATTGCCTGGCCGACACCCACATTTTGTTCTCGTGCTCTCTTGACATTTGCCTCCCAACAGCCAGTTTGACCAATGGTAGGTAGTCTTGGGTATACACCTTCGCATAGTTTGATAGGTGCTATTCCTTGCCGCTTGGGATTTAGGATGCTTCTCTGAAAAATGCGGTCATCCACCAAGTGTCGATCCACCTGCAGTCAATGGCTGTGCTCCTGATATGGTTCTATGAACGATCGATCATTCGTTGAGACAGACCCGTAGGATCGCCATTTCGAATGGAAGTTCAATAGTGTGATAAAGTCTGCTGCAGCACATGTGGATAGCATACTACAATGGCCCCCCCTTGCCTCTCTAGCCAACATAAGTGGATGGAAGCCACGACATCCGTGAAGCAGATTCGATTCGAATGTGAATAAAACCACTTGAATAGCCGTCGAATACTCCGCACTCTCAGTCAACTTTTTCACTTTTCCTTTCATCCAACTATACAGTATGGCTGCCGAAATCGCCTTTGAGCCGTTCCCTCTGACGCCTCTGGACCGCGCGAGTCCAGAGGTTTACACTGACTGTTTCATGATTTTTGATTTAGAGAATCCTCTGGATGGAATCCCCACGCTGCAAAGGGGCATCGATAGGCTGGTCTCGGAGTTCCCGTTCATTGCGGGTGAGATCGACTCCGGCCATGTCAAATGCCCTTCCCCTGCAGTCTCATCGATCCCGATGCTTCTGGTCAAACACCATCCGCATACGACATCGCCACCTGGTGGATGGGATAAATCTCACTCCCCGCTGCCGCGCTTCATTCCGTCAACTGAGCCGAGACCAGTCCTCAGATTCCAAGCAAATGTCATGTCAAATGGCATTGTCCTCTGTCTGAGTTTCAGCCATGCGGTACTCGACGGGACTGGAGCCGGCACACTGCTCGAGGCGCTTGCCGCATGTTGTCGCGAATCACCTGCGGACGAGCTACCAACAGACGTTGGCACAGAGAAAAGATCGCGTGACAATCTCTTTGATGCAACCCTGCCTCACGATAGGCGGAAAGACCACGACGCGGAATATACCATTGAGCCACTGGCATTCGAGATGCCCGTGGATATCAGTACGCGCCGCCTTATCTTCTCATCCGAGAGCGTCAGGACTCTCAAGGACACCTGCACCGCTCTTCTGCGCGAGCAGGGGATCGACACAGTGCAACTCTCGAGCAATGATGTCTTCACTGCATTTCTGGCCGTCTGCATCAGTCAGGCCCAGAACGCCTTAAAACGCCATCCTAAAGAATCAGACATCGTCATGGCGGTGAATCTCCGCAACAAGCTCCAGCCAGCCATCCCCGACAGTTATCTCGGAAACATGGTGACTGTCATGCGCACCGAGTTCAATCCGCGGCTTTGCCACTGTGCAGAAATTGACGACGAGAGGAAATCCCGCATCGCAGAGCTTGCTTTCAAAATCCGCACCAGGCTGACTTCCTTTGACGATGAGCACGTTCGTAGCCTGGTTTCATACATCAAGGACCAGAATGACTGGAGCATGGTCAACATGAAGTTTTCAGGCATGATGAGCATCACCAGCTGGCGCCATCTGAACGTCTGTGCCCTTGACTTTGGACCGGGTCTGGGGCGCATTGGATTCGATGTGCCGACTGTCGGGGCACCAGATGGATTGTGTATCCTGATGCCACGACAGGCAAAAGCGGGAAGTGGTGGTCTTCACAACGCTCCGTGGGATATCTACCTCTCTTTGGACTCGCCGGTCATGGACACTCTGATGAAGGATCCCTTTTTCTCTGCCGTGTTGGAACCAGCCGAGGTGTAGATGCGGACAGACCTGACTGGTTACGTATGTCACGCCGATGACAGGAAAGACTTGTTTTTTTAAGGCATCAGACTCGATCAGCGAGCACTGAATAAACGCAGTACATTCATATCCGTTGTAGTAAAATCTAAGGTGTGAAAAGGAGACGGGATTCTCCGATCTACATGGGAGCGTCGTCGTCCGTATAGTTAGTGGCAATCGAACCTCCAAACCAGACCTTGGCAATCAACTGTCCGCAGAACACAAGTAAGAAGTGAAACATATTGTTCTTGAGGTACCCGAATAGGATTTGTATTAATACGCTGATCAGCATGCTCGCTCTCAACCACTAGTAACCTTGAGTAGCCCGAACTGCATAGCATGCATCCAGAAGACAAATAGCTCCTGCGCTATCATGCAAGGTAACTACCAACAAAATCTGTGTGCTGAAATTGGCTGCAAAGAAGTACAATGTCTTCCGGATTCGTCATGATCGGCGCCATTCCTGAGGACAAGCTTGGTTGGACAGTAAAGGTAGGGGGAGCTATCGCGAGCGCCTTATATTCCAACATCACCCGCCTCCCACAGCGAAAAGGCTTAGCCAGGGTTCAATTCTATATCTCTAGAGAATGACGATCACCGAGACCAAAGTCATAATTATTGGAGCTGGAGGCCTTTTAGGTCCCCATATCGTCTCCGCCCTCGATACCCATCCTCGCTTTGCTGTGTCCATACTGGCCCGCAAATCATCCCAATCAATCTTCCCCAGCCATTTGCCAGTATACCGCATCGCAGATAGCTATCCTGAACCGGAACTCCTCAAAGCATTCCAAGGCCATGATGTCGTGATATCAACCATAACTGCTCAAGGAACCGGCACCCAGCAGCAGAAGGCCTTCATCGACGCGGCGGTAAAAGCAGGTGTCAGGCGGTTTATCCCGTCGGAGTTCGTTCCGGATATGAGAAATGAGAAGGCACTGGAGTTGTTACCTGCATTCGTCAAGCCGAAGCTGGAGGTGATCGATTACCTGAAGAGCAAGGAAAAAGAAGGGTTGCAATGGACAGCGTTCGTGACGGGGTTGTTCGTCGACTTGTTAGTCCCCAAGACTCCACGGATTGCGTTCCCTAAAGGCTAACCCCAAAACAGAGTCATTGGACCCTTCCTGGGATACAGCCTCACCGAACGTCGGGCTACGCTTCTCAACGATGGTTTGGATCGGTGGTCAGGCACCACATGCGCCACAACCGCTCTTGCCGTGAGGAACGCGCTGCTCCATCCCCAGCTGACAATAAACAAACGTCTGTTCATTGCCTCGGTGACTGTCACTCAGCGGGAGATCCTCGCGGCTCTCGAAAGGGCAACGGCTACGAAATGGCAGGTTACATACGTCGATGCAGAGGACGAAAAGGACGCTGCCTTCCGCGAATTATGGAATGGGAACCCCCGTGGAATCAAGAAACTGATCAAGCACATGGCGTGCGTTGAAGGATACTCTGGTAATTATCTGCAGCTTGAAAAGTCCGCCAACAACCTTCTGTCCTTACCATCGGAGAGTTTGGATGAGATTGTGGCCAGGGTTGTGGGTAGGATATAGACCAAAGCAGACACGTGTATCGGCTGTGTATGCCTACTACCTGGATTTGATATAAAACGAGCTTGACTTGGCTTCATCCATGCAGAGATGCATTGACTATTAAACCCCAGCACGCGAAAATGTGCAAGCTCATAGCTGAAGGTGTGAGGCCTGGAGGAGGAGAAAAAAAGACCGAGAGACTAGGATCATGGACTGAAGTTATACTCCAGATATAGATCCAGTAATTCTTCTCCGCCTTGATAGCCCTAGGCTCCAACGCAGAAAGAATATGGTAGATACTTGTTCGTCATGATTATCATGATACATGCAGTAATTTGGGGACACAATAGAGGTGATAGTTCTCCTTGTCTTTTGATGAGGTGATTGAGCTTGTTACCTGGACAAAGCAGGCAGATAGCGGTGTGTAAGGCCACGGCAATGCACCCTGCAGTCTTTGGAGGTCGCTAAAATGTTCCATATGTGCCGGTGCCCTTACATGAATCTCAAGGGAAAGTGAATAAAGTGCTATGTTGAGCTACGTGGTCGTCTCCTATCGCCCGTCTGATCCATGGAACAACGCCATCCGCCGGTCTTGGTTTGCAGGCCCAGTGAGATGAACATCCCGCTTTGGTTTCTGAATGTCGCATCGAAGGCTAATAGGGAAAATGTCATTTTGACCCCTCCATAGAACTCTCCCAAGACTGTGGGGTCTAAACGGACTAGTAGGCAGGAGCGCACTGGGAGCGGCGACGTCTCATTTGTAGATGGTTGTCAAACTGCTGGTTATCAGGGAAGTGATATCTAGGGACTTCCAGGTGAGAGGGACAACGCTTCTCAACACTTTTCTTATGTTCTACCGTGCTATAGTAAATGAAATGGTTCATTCCTAAGAAGGAATACGAATTGTAATTCTTGCTTGTCAAAGTTTGGCCTATATTCATGTATACGATTCCAAATCGACTACGCTCTCGTCCCAGCCCATGAGCATACATGTGGTTAGTTGTAAGGTCGAAGGAACAAAAGGGATCGTTCTGTGCATCTTTAGTATCACCCATACGAAGGCCAATTGTATGCTTACATCGAATAACTGTTGATGCACATGGACAGGCCTTCGCGTCCGTATCAGGCCAACTGGACCCCAGAAATCGCTCCAAATGTCTGCAAAATGATGACCAGATCATCCGTCTTTTCGGGTATGCCCTACATCTCCTAGGTTCAAATCTTTAGGCTTGCCGTGCCCTCTGCCTCATCCATGTCTCGTGGTCAAACAGACAACCACTCGCCAGAGCAAACTCCTTCCTCGCGAGATCCTCCACAGCTGACGCATCCTGTGCTCTAGTCATCTCACTGCGACGAACAGTGTATTCTTGCAGAGCTGCATGTGCCCAAATTCTCGCGAGATCAACCATTCTCTGGTGCTCTTGGGTAGAAAGGCGAGAGAGGAAGATTGGTCCTCGTGCGCGACGTGGTTGGAGGAACTGACTAGATCCGACGCGGGCTAGTCGTCGAGGCTCATTTCCCCAGTAGGACCCAAACGGTGCATGTCTGGCAACATTCTCGTTCATACAGTGCCAGCAGAGCTCTGTACCATACTGCTGAGCCAACCGTTTTGCTGCTCTGATGTAGGCTCGTTTGGCTCTGAGGCGCGGAAGGGAAACGGGATGATGTTGGTTCTGGAAATTGATCTGTTCATTTGAAGACATGGCTTTGTGCCGTTTGGGAGCGAACAGATAAAAAAAATGGATGTAGTGGCAAGGAAGCTTTATATTGATCTTTGGAAGAGGAGCGAATGTACTTCTTTGTGTAGATGCTTAAACATAGCATTAGGACAATGGCATCACAGAGCAGCATAATGGTTTTATACTAAACGGCGTATCTTTGGTTCATTCACTTTCTATGATGTTGGTGAATACCTATATTGTTGTGGTCACTATGTGTGAATATATGATTCTGGGTCTGATATAGGAACTAGAGCTTTCCATTCACTTAGAAGGATGAATAATCTATATAACGCCTAATTCTAGTGTACTATTAGCACATCAGAACACTAATCTGGCACTATCTGTCACTTGCTAATGTCTCTCAGATTGTGCTTTTTACTTTCTATCCATAGTTCATGCATGCCGCTACAGACACAGAGAGTAGTGAATCACATTAGACTTCTTGCTTTTGCTTTCATCTCAAAATGCCCTTGGTTTCTCCCATTGCTATTCACAGGGTGATGGGCAGATACTGAAAGAATGGCAATGGAAGACGGTCTTTCAAGTGGCCATGCTACGTCTACAATGCATATCCCCCGTCGAAGGTAATTGAACAGCGATATACAGATGAAACCTTATGCTAGTGCAGACAGCTCTGATAAGAGCAACTCCCCTGATCGGTTGCTCCATTCAGGCACTAACAATATCCCTAAATGATGGAAAGATAGTCTTCCTCGAGCGGTACCTCATTGTCAAACCCACGATCCCCTTCCCTGGGCGTCAGAAATCCTATCACCACCCGGCTTCCCCTTGAAGACCTCCCTCGCCTTCGCAACGAATCTCTCACTGTGCTCCGCCGGCAACATCATGTCCTGCAAACTGTGAAGAATCACAATCCCACCACGCAGGGTCTTTGCGTCGGGTCTATCGATCCTCTCAAAGGGATAAAAGAGCGCTCTCTTGTCCTCCTCTATGCCCCGCCCGTACAAATGGCCCGAACCGCCAAAGACAATACGTCCAACTATCAGATCCAAATCATCCGAGAGGATGGTAGATGACCTCGGTTGGTTCCGATCGATCACGGCGCGATACTTCTCCACCATCTCCGCAGGCACATCGGGCAAGGGTAGAAGACTCTCTCCTTGGAAATACAACGACAGTGGGCGAGTGCAGCCAGGTCCAGAAGTCTTCTATGTTGAAGATCTCAGGGGTGGTGGACTCGGGGAGAAGGCGGTAGTTGGGGCTCACGACCACGGCGTTATGCTTCTTGGCAAGTTGGAGGACCCAGTTGGGGAATCAGTCGAGCGAGAGAGAGTCGCCGGTGGCCTGGTCTGGTTGGTACTCATAGTTATAAAGGTGGATGAGCTGGGAATAGTGCTTGCCAGGCCTCTACTATGGAAGCAGATAATGACTGGGCGTTTCCCTGTATGTGGACTGGGGGATAATAACATTAGCTCTGAGGTCATAGTCTCTGGCTTGTTTATATGTCGGTTGGACTAAATCGAACCGGCTATTTTATCCTGGTTTGATACGGCGCCCATTTTGTAATTGACGGGATATCATACCAGACAGGAAATCTGAGTAGAAGAATGAGGGCCTTTCTTGTTCACTCTGTTTGTATGTTTACTGCGTACATATATACATCTGCCCCTCTCCACGCCACAGCTCGGATGGCACCCTTCCCTGCCACTAATCCTCCACTGGCCTTCGTATCATTCAGTTTATCCATTGTGCATGTGTTGTAGGCCGATCTAAACCCAGAAATCCCATTAAAAACGTACCTTAACGCGGTCAAGTGCTCGGCATAGCTCCTTGTTTGCTGAGCTTGGCTCTTTCGCAAACCAGAAGGTCTCCGACAGCCGAATGGACATACGATGCTCGGCAAGTCGGCATCAAGGCGTGCCCGGCTTGTTCCTATTATCTCCCTCAGCCGAAGACGATTTCGACGACCGCAACCGGGTCCACCAGTTGAACTTGGCCACATAGCGCGTGAACAGTGGCCGCATGTTAATGAGACATGCAGCGGTGATGCCGATGGCCGGCTCTATGCACGTCCAGACACTTGGCGGGACCTGGTTATCTGTGACTGTTAGAGCAAAAAGCCTGACTGGCGGCAGAGACGTACAGGTGATATCGTCCCCGGCCTGGGACAGCTGAATCAAGGTGATCAGTCGGACAATATCGAAGATTAGCGTTCTAGATCGTCAGCGCCAACTCAACAATTCCTAGATCGAGTCGACGTACACAATACCGAGGGCGAAGATACCCGCGAGCACGAGCTTGCGCGCCGCCGAGATCTGCAAGTCCGCCACCGGCTTCATGGGCATGACGATAATCACCGCGTCAGTGACAATGTTCGGGATCTGGAGACCGTAGTAGAACTTGGGAAGATCGATACATCCGCCCGCGACCATCGGGTTCCACATCTTCTCGAACGGGATGCAGATCATGGCGCCGATGAGGCAGACCCCGAAACACCATACGATCACGATGCAGCCGACGATGTTGGCGGCGGGGACCATCGGGCCCCGTGAGAAGATGCGCTTGTAGAGGGCGAGCATGGAGAGCTTGATGCAGGCGATGCAGAGCGGGTAGAGGAAGGCGCCGGAGGTGAGGGTCTGGCTGTTAGTCTGGAGACTGATATCACCGTGGGTGGGCCGGTACCTTCAGGTAGACGACTAGATTGTCTGGAGGGACGTAGATGATGTGTGTCCCGAGGCCATTGTATAGAACTTGTCCATCAGCGAGGTCGATCTCAAATGGTAGAGCAGAGTCACTCACGCACAATTCCGGCAATCGAGATCCCGTACAGGAAGAACTGTCATGATATCAGCGCAGCCCCGACAACCGAGGGATAGAACACTACCAAGCCACCAAGGATCAAGTAATCGTCGAGGAAAAGGGATGTATTCGTAATCTTCCGCACCCACAGACGCAGAGCCACGGAAGTAGTGGACAGCACAAACGCGAAGCATGTCGCTGTGATAACCACATGGTGGAGATTGTCATGCTCGTAGCCGGGATCCGTAGGATTGGCTGCCTGCTCCATCGACGCCGACGCCATGCTTGTACTCAATGCTGCCGGTATGGCTTCTCAGAGAGAGCGGTCGTTGTAAGAGAAATGATAGAGCTGAGGCATCCAACCCAATGGACGACTGGGTTAAGTATTAAGCATTTAGGGGCAGATATATCGCCACACACCCATCTCAGAGACACCGTGATAGACAATCGGAGATGTCATATTGAATGCTGCCACAATGAAGCTTTGGGCATGAGTTCTGTTTCCTGGATGTCACCATGCAACTATGTATGCCCCCCTGAATGTCTACATATTGGACCCGATTGACGAGACTCGAAGCCTGCAGAAGTGTTGATATCCGCTGAAGTTGATTCTATATTTGGCCAGGTGGGATTCAATAACCACATGCACCAGTGCCCTGTCAGCCAAACCTGCAGAAGGGTCGATGGCAGGAATCTATCACCATATCTCAAAGGTATTGCTGCTTTTGGAGGTCACTTGTGTATGTAGGATATCGCTGTGATACGTGGACTACGCTAGGATCGATCACCAGTAGAGTCCCGATCGATCGAGAAAGTCGATAAAGTTCGTCACAACGCAAGGGGTGAGATGGGGCTATAGTTCCTTGGAAACTGTTTATATTGTCCTTAGGCCAGTCTCGCAAGCAGAGAGCCCAGCTACAGACTAAAAGAGATTCCCAAGCATGTCTCGCTGCGGCTTGTCATTGCTGACAGCTGTAACCCCTGCAGACTCGGGTATGCATCAGACGCGCACTGCGTGCCAAGAGAGGATTGAGTACGGTTCCAGGTTCCTATATGTAGCTTACTCTACAGATATATGGTGGCGATCTAGTCAAGTCGATTTATATTTCATAGTGGGATGTTGGGTCACCTGAATTGTGAGTGTCTTTAGTGCCCATCACCTAGTACAAGACTTGATGGCGCCGTAAGCTAGATACTGGGTTCCACATGATGCTTGCTATCGCTGCTTCAGAGTCAAGACCCATCCATCGTTTGATTCATTGATATACTAATTCGGCGGGCCAAGTCTATCAAAGTCGGGTTCACTGCATCACTGGGGCTGTCGCTCTATGTGACACAAACTGGCTATGATCTCCCACCAGCATTAGAAAAAAAAAAGCAAAGAGGTCCTTGCGAGAGGTGCAGCTAGTAAGTTCCTGCATGTATTGAACCCGTCACTGTCTATATGGGGTATCTCTGAAGAAAATTCTAAGGTGAGTAGTCGTTACAGGATTTCCCGAATATTCGGGAACATCGAAAACAACCTCCTTAGAGTGTCTAATGTCTATGATATCCTGACCCCCCTGCAGGGCAATGACGGTATCTCGGCCACTGTATACTTGGCAGTGGCCAGTGGGATGTCTTCCCCACTGCGTTCATGGCAAAATGCAGCATCTGTGTCAGACTCAGAGTAGACCAGGGACCCCCGGCAAGACTCGTTACCTTATCCTCATGCACAAGGATTGTCTGAAAGATGGGTACCGACTACCGCCGCTCAAGTGTCGCACATTAAGCGATGTTGATTCTCAAACAGTCTAGCCAGCGCGCAGTGTCAGACGATTGTTTCGGACTGAACCGACAGTGGGTTTTACCTATCGCTTGGGTCACCTGGGTCAGGCACTATTCCCGTCGCGGGTTAATCAAACCGTTGTGAAACAACCGGCGGCAGCTATCCCAGCGGACTGAAATCCCTGCCTCGCCCATTGCTCCACTATCCTGGATCCGCGTTCAGTCAATCCAGGAATTTCTACGTGGGAAAAGAGTCTACAATCTACACGGTGAAAATGGCCAAGGCCATGAACAATTAAACTCTCACTTGATACCAGCAAATTCGCGAAATTGACCGCTCAACAGCTCCCGTCTATCGTCCGGAGCGTACAGAGCACATGATGTGAAAGAATAACAGGAAGGAAAAGTTCTAAACAACAACCCCGGCATTCAATTTCCTAAGCGGATCGCTTAGGCCTTGATGCACTGGTGGTAGTAGGGGTTCCATTCCTTGCAGACAAGGCCGGACTCGCAGTTCTTGGCGCCGGTGTAGTTGATGCCGCCGCACTGGTACCATTCCTTGACGCTGCCGCTGGGGGTCTGAGGAGCGGGGCGCTGAGGGGCGGGGGCCTGAGTGGCGGAGGCCTGAGGGGCGGGAGTCTCGGTTTCATAATCATCATCATCGCCGTCGCAGGAGTCGGTCTCAGCGGGGGCAGCGGCGGTGGTGGTGGTGGGCTTCACGAGGGTGGCGAGGGTGGTGGGGGCAGCGGTGACAACGGGCTTCTGGGTAGGAGCAGCAGTAGGGGCAGGAGCGCTGCCAGCGGCGGAAGCGCCGTTCCAGACGGCAGGGCCGGGCATGGGGTAGCTGCTGAAGCTGTTGTAGATGTCGAAGTGGACACCGGGGTCGGTGGCCTTGTAGGCACCGGGGATGGAGACACCGGCGGGGAGAGCGTTGGCACCGTTGGAAGTGACCTTGACCTGGACACACTCCATGTAGAACTGGGCACCACCCAGACGGTTACCCTCATGCAGGGCGATGATCTCAGGACGGAACAGGTAGTCACCGGCGGGGACGTCGGGGACGACGATCGAGTGCTTGCCACGGTTGGCGATCAGGTTGTCGACGGCCCACTTGCCGTTGGAGTAGCCCTCCTCGGCGATCTTGACCCAGCCGTTGCCGGCAGCGCCCTTGGCGGTAGGGGCCATGTAGACCATGATGGGACCGCGGTGGGAGGAGGCAATGATGTCGTCGGAGGGCGAGCGGTCGGTGTGGTGCCACTCGAAGGTAATCTTGTCACCAGCCTTCACGGGGAGGGTCTTAGCAACAGGGTTCTTGCCGTTGACGTTGCAAGTCATGTCGGCAGAGGTGACATCGACGAGGGGGCTGTTGTTGGGGGGGGAGCGAATGTAGCCGCTGGCACTGTTGCCAGCGCCCTGGTCAACACCGTTGATCCAGATGGCCTGCACAGTGGCGTGGGCGTGAGCCATCTTGGCTGCTGCTGCCAGAGCAAGCAATCCGAAGGTCGACTTCATTTTGAAAAGAGTAGATGGGTTTAAGTTAAAGAGTGACTTAAAGTTAACGAGAATAGAAAAAGAAGAAGAAAAAAAAGAATGGCAGGTATCAAAGAGAGTGGTATGCTGAGCAACTTCATATCTGCTGGGGTGGAGGAGTGGATTATATAGAAGAAGGGATTAGAAGTCGATGAAACAGAAGCTCCTACTGGTCTACAGTCTAGAATTGCAGATGGAGCTTTCGGGAGATGAGCGAGTCCCTGCCAAGATACGAGACTGTCTTGGCTTCTCCATCATGGCTCAACACCAACAGGGGTTTCATCTATCTGATTCACTGGCTCGGACTAGCAGAGCTGCGGGGGCTTGCCGATGACCCTGCCAGGAAGCCTGGGATCTCGGCTAAAGTGCCCCTGGGTGTTGCCCGAAATGATGTGTAGTATCTTTCTAGGTACATAGATAGTCGATACTGCAGACGTAGAATCCTTCCTTGACGCTGAGCGATGCCCCCGTTTGTGACCAATTGAAAGCCATGGCTTTTCCTCGATGAGAGCGTGCCGCGATAGTCTACGGCAAAATTCGATGGCTCCAGCGAGTCAGCCTAGCTGCATGCAAATATATTACTCTGTTCTTTTGTCTCACACGTGTATCCTCTTTGCTCCATTTGGGAGCCTTGGACCGGTATTTCCCACCAAAATGGCCACCAGAGTTAAGACAGAATCCCCTATTCACGACGAAGGAATAGCCCCTGGACCATACGGTTGATCTGGAGGACAGGAATGAGTACTGAGGAACTGTTTGTTCAAGAGGAACGCTTATTGCCTGTAGAGATCCTCAGGACTATGGCTAGATAGTGGACCTCCCGTACTTGATATCGGGCCATACGGAGTACATAATAACGTGGTTCTGGAAAATAATTACACTCGAGACTATCGACGGGATAACTGCCCCCGTTCGAGGCCAAGAGGAGCCGTATGATTGGTATACCAAGCGCCGAAGGGCGACAATTTTGAGCATTGTGGTCCTGACGGTCTTCATTATTTTGACTGCACTGGTGACCTGGTTGCAGACTGTATCTATCTGGTCTGGAGTATCTACCAACAATTCTAGATCAATCCCAGACACCTAATTTTACCCTGTTCTCGAGGCTTCGAGTACGCTCAACTCCGTGTTTCTCTTTTCTCGGGACTGGGCCGAGGTTCCATCTACTGTGTAAATCAAAGACAACTACTGAACGGAATTGCGGGACCCTCCACCACGAGAAACTAGTATGTTCTCTTCTACCGTGAAGTCGGTTAGTGACCAAAAAAAGAACAAAAAAAAAATACCCAAACTTGACATCAGCGGCTGCAGTTGAAGCACACTGCTTCCCCTGAATCTCGCTTGTGAAATACCAGAAGACCGAGACCATGGCTGTAGGTCTTTCTTAGCAATGAGCTAGTCTCCCGGATGACCGTTGACACCCCGCTTCCTGGATTGGCCACTTGAGCTTTGACTTGATGGCTTGAGGTTGATATCCTCGGGTAAAAAGATGCCAATCTCGTCAAGATTGCAATCTTTTGTTTACCTGGGGCCGTGGTACATCTACAGCTCTCTTCTTCCTCACCATTTGCTGTGGATGGACTTATTGCTCAACAATGGTATAAGAAGGTATTGATAATCTGCAGTTGTTTTCTTATCATTGGTCTCAATGCATAGATTTCCCATAGAATAAGCAATCATGTACAAGGGTTGAGGATATGGCAAGACCAGGACCGCAGTGTCTCTCCGTCAGTCTGACCAAGATTGTCGGGTGAAGATGCAGCAGAATGCTCCCTTTCTGAACCTGCAGTCTTTTCATGATATGTCTCCAAACAATAATAAAACTGGAGACATATCCAGCCGTTGTTCAGTACGCAGTTAGAAGTATTTGCTTTGATCTTTACTCTCAACGGCTGCAGCTTAAGAATCAATATGAAAGCCAAATGAGCCTAGCCAGCACGTAGAGAAATTCCGAACATGGATCTAAAACAGCGATGGGTATCAGATATTGGCGCAGTGGCCAGCAATAACCAGCAAGATTAAGCGATCGACTCTCGATCACTGAGACGTGACGGTTCATGTGTGGACAAGTACATCTTCTTGCTGAGACCGACCCCACCGGGTTACTGTTGGGCTGGCGCCCACTCATGTTTCCTGTCATCAAAAGCAAACTACTGAGGCGCATTTGTTGCTATTCAATAGCTGTCACCAGGACCATCGTCAACTTCTTGCAGAAGATCAGCGCGCATGAGGCTGCGAATTTCTCGCGCGCAATGACACGATGATTACGCCTTGTACCCTATCATTGAAGGTTACAAGATCTTGGAAGGGTTGAGGTTCCCAGAAGGAAGAATTGAACCCTAGAGGCGATGAACTGTGGCCAGTTCTCTGCCTTAACTGGTATCGTGACATTGGTAGCAATCCTATTGTGGGCTAAGTTTCGGTTCATTGACCCCCTGTAAGGAAGCCGGTCTCTAGTGAGTGGGTTTGTCCTACATATATGTTAATGACAAGCTTGAGACTTGGGTGCCGGGTGGGCAGCGACTGAAGCTTCGCCGACCTGAACTCTATTATTTGGACCGGAGAGACCAAGAAGACGGGCCAGCAGAGTGAATGGAGCTTGATACATCCATCCAGAAACAGGCCCCTCTATGTGGGGAGAAATCTGAACGAGTTTGCGCTTCCTCAATGGGAGGAGAATGGCGGCTGGTGACTGTAATGGCAATTGGTAGCATACACGGAAATAATGCATCGGAACACCAGGTCTAGCTGCAGCCCTGGAGGTCGAGGGAAGTAATCTCATTCGTTCGACGAGATGCTTTGTTCAGCGCGGCGAATTGGGTTGTCTTCGAGTCGTCCAGTCATCGACTATAAAGACTATATAGATATAGATAGTAAATAGCAGGATGAGGATACTATCTCAATATTTCGAGATGCTCAGTGCTGGCGTTATGCAGCCCGTCTGCTGACAAGCAGCCGTCGACATTATATTTATGCACAACTTTCAGCGAGGAAAATAAAAGACGTCATCCACTTTCCTCATGTCGAGCTATATCCTCCAGACAGTCAGGTAGATGTAAAATTAATTTCAATCCTCAACTTCTAAAAAAAAGGACCCCATTATCATGCCGCCTATCAAGAATTCCACCGTGCTCATCTTCGGTGGCACCTCTGGCGTCGGCTACGGCGTCGCCGACAAGTGTCTCTCCGAAGGCGCCATCGTGCACATCTCCTCCTCCAACCCGTCCAAGGTCACCGAAGCCGTCTCCTCGCTGAAGAAGCAGCATCCCGATAGCCAAGTCACCGGCCACACCTGCGACCTCTCCGTCAACGATATCGAGCAGCACCTCGAGAAATTGTTCGAGGAAATCGGCACCGTCGACCACATCGTCTACACGGCCGGCGATGCCCTGATCGTCAAGCCCCTCCAGGACATCGATCTCCATGCCATTCATGCCGCCGGCCACATCCGCTTCGTCGTGCCGCTGCTCGTCGCCAAACTGGCCCTCCGCTACCTGCGACCGAGCTACACCTCCTCATTGACGTTGACAACGGGCGCGGTCTCGCAACGGCCGTATCCAAACTGGTCGCTGGTGACGGGCTACGCAACGGGGCTGCATGGCATGGTGCAGAGTCTGGCGCTGGATATGAAGCCGCTGCGGGCGAATCTGGTCAGTCTAGGGCCCGTGAAGACGCCTCTGATGGGGGACAGGGCCGATGCATTTGCCAGTAAGACGGTGCTGGGGAAGGTGGGGAGTCCGGAGGAGGTGGCGGAGGCGTATGTATATCTGATGAAGGACACCAATGCCACGGGCAGCTGCGTCAGTACGAATGCGGGGTCTTTGTTGGTATAGTTACTATTATTACTTTTTTTTGGATCCTATCGAGGTATGTCTAGACGAATGCACACAATGAAATGATAAGCACAACCGAGGCTGCATCTTTTCTTCCTTCCCCCCGCATTTGCCTCATTTCTGCTGATCCTGTGTCAGTAGTCACAGTCACACGGACACGAGAGAATGCTTCCCAGATCAGATCTATCGCTGATTCCTCTCAGATAAGATTCAGAGATATCTGGTCGCTGGCCAGATATCTTATCTTTATCTTCAACCTCGTCCACAGTGGAGATAAGAAGACCCAAACATGCCCTAAACGGAGATCTCCACAAAGCAGATCGTCGTCCACCAAGAAAAAGAAAATCAGGGGCACAAATACAATATAATAGCGATTAGCTCGATATAAGTAAACCCCCGCGAGGATATATGGAATAGCACCTCAACCGACGCCACCACTCCTCCTTGCTGTAAAACTACCCCCAGCACCAACTCCCCATTTCTTCATACCTCACTATGGCGACCATCAACGGCTTCAACCCGGAGCAAGTCATCCTGCTCCCTCAGAAGGGCCAGCTCCTCACCTTGATGACCATCATCCGCGATGTCAACACCACAGGCACACTTTTCACCTCGACGGTGCAGCGCGTCGCCCGCCAGCTGCTCACACTCGGTCGGTCTTCTTACTTCTAGTATCTCGAGCCTGTTCTAACACCATTAAGCCGTGGACTCCGTCCCCCTTGCACAGGAATTCGTGGAAACCCCCGTCGGCAAGCAATATGCCGGCTGGCGCCCAGACCAGGAGATCTGCGGCGTGAGTATCCTCCGTGCGGGAGCCAGCATGGAACAGGCCCTCCGGGATACCTGGGTGTATGTTTACCCCCGGACACTCAACCAATTAATTCCCTTTGTTTTTCGAGCCCTGGACTGATCGAATCAGCGGTCCGTTGAGTTTTGGAAATATCCTCATCCAGCGCGACGAGGAGACGTTCCTGCCGCAGTATCTGTACTGCAAGCTTCCCTCGCAGATTCCGCAGTGTCGTAAGTGTTTCTTTTGGTTTCATGGCTTCAGGAAAGTCAGGCATGGCCTTCAGATTTGATTATTGACTATTGACTAGGTGTACTGCTCCTTGAGCCGATGCTTGCTACCGGTGGCTCGGTGATCAAGGCGGTGGAGTTGCTGATCGAGAAGGGCGTCCCGGAGAACCAGATCATCTTGTGCAACGTAATTGCGTCGAAGCAGGGTCTCGAGAAGGTTACTGCGCGGTTTGGGATGTTGAGGATCATCACGGCTGCAGTGGACGAGAACATGACAGAGAAGAAGTGAGTTTCGTGGCCCGTTCGATTACGGATTGTGCTAATTGAGAGCAGCTATATCAGTCCTGGATTGGGTGACTTTGGCGACCGGTACTATGGCACAACGGGGTGAATTGGTGAGACTCTTAGCTATGATGAATACGACAATGTCAATTTTGAGATGCTTTTTTTTTTTATATATATATATATTTTTGTTTATATATCATGTACACGGAATGCCATGCGGGACTCCGACTCTTCGTGGAGACAGCTATCGTGGCCTAAACCCAGCGTAGCCTCTACCGTTTTCTTTAGATATTACCTGAAAGGCTTACTGCAAGCTCTGTACCACTATCGCAAAGCAGGATTCTTCAAGCTAGGACGTCAGTCGTAGCTAAACACTTTCTTCCAAGGAGAGGCGAGATCCTCCGATACGCATTTTGACATCAATTGTGACTCGAAAAAAAATTCATATCAATTCTCAAAGCTACTTTAAATCGGTACCAAACAATCGATCCCCAATATCCCCCACTCCCGGCTGGATATATCCCTTCGCATCTACCTCCGCATCAACCGCCCCGAGGATAAACTTGGTCGACTCGGGCCACACATCGGCCACCCGCTGTGCGCCCCCCCGACTGGCCAGAATCGACAGGAATGTGATTTCCTCAATACCCCAATCCCTACGCCCGTTAGTATTAGCCAGTCACCAAACGAAATCGCGGAAAAAGAAAGAAAAAAAATGGTCACGTACTTCAGGATGTTCACCACGGCAGCCGCGGTGCCACCCGTCGCGATGACGGGGTCGATCACCACTGCCTTGCGCACGCTGACTGGCTTCGGGGGCAGCTTGTTGTAGTACTCTACTGGCTGCAGATTGTGCTTGTCGCGGAAGATGCCCAGGTGGTAGGTGACGGTGGGGATCTTGGGGATTGTCGCCATGAGGGGCTCGAACATGGACAGGCCGGAGCGCAGCACTACCACCACAGCGAGGGTCTCGGTGCTCTCTACGCCGAGCTTGGTTGATTGTGCCAGGAGGGTGGTGAGCTGGGCGACGAGCGAGCGCACTTCTGACGAGGGCAGGCTGGGCTCTCGCAGTTTGGCTAGCAGGGATGCGTAGGTGGCATCTTCGAAAATGGTGATGTTGGAAGCGAGAGAGGGAGCCATGGTGATTGATGGGATTGGGATTGAATGAAGAAGGACGATAATGTTGCATGTTCCAGTTGTATCTACGATTCGATATATATAAAAGCGTGGTGATGCTGATACACGCGCTTATCAGCGTCGATCTGGGGCTGGCAGATAAGTCGCTCTTATCTCCCATGTTTATCTTCACTTATCACAGCAGTCTCGCTGGAGATCTTGATTGTATCCAGAAGACGATATCAACCCTGTATCACTGTGCATGCTTTCCATGCAGGATGGGATGCACCACGATGTTAATCTTTAGTCAAAGAAAATCCAACTCTGCTGCCGCTGACCTAATGACCTGCAGCTCATCCACCCCGCATCGCAGCCCGACAGTGTCTTCCCAAGTCTTGTCCTCTGCTCCCCTTCTTCCCTTTGCTCATCTTGCTCCTCTCACCAGACAGTTGAGAAAGCAATCTCCTAGCGCTCAATCCGTGCAATGGACCCCGAAATTCAGTACATCCTCAGCCTCAAGGCCGTCCGCGAACGTGCCCATCGCGTGCTCCAACTCGCAGAGCAGAACCGCCTGAATCACTTCGACTACCACCAGGACAAGCTCGAGACTGCCGTTCAGTACGTGATCAATGTCATCAAGGTGAGTAGAAAACACCCACTCCGGCCGATTGCCTATCATCCACTGACAGCGTCAGCGCGACTTTGGCCCGGACAAATACAGCCTGATTCCTCCCCACGGGCGCTGGCAGCACTTTGAAGTCGGCGGCATCAACCGTCCCGAGCAGCTACTGCGCCAGTGGAAGAACGCCGACAGTCTCGAGCAGGCGCGGGGACTGGTGGATTTGTTCTTCGTGTCGGTCTTGCTCGATGCTGGCGCCGGAGACAAGTGGCGCTTCACCGAGCCTGAAACGCAGGGCGTCTTTGGTCGCAGTGAGGGTATCGCGGTTGCGTCGTATCACATGTTCATCAACGGCGACTTTGCCTCCAACAGTGAGCGGAAGGATATCGTGACGGGTATGCACTCCGCACTCCGCGCTGATGAGAGATCGAAACCCTGACCATCCCCAGGACAAGCCCTCGTGGACTTCAGCTCCGAGTCGCTCGAGCGCGGCTTCCAGATCGCAGAAGAGAACCCGTTCGTCGGCGTTCCCGCCCGAGTCGAGCTGATGAAGGCGCTGGGCCGCTCACTCCTCAACCTGCCCGAGATCTTCGGTCCTTCCGGCCGGCCGGGCAACCTCGTCGGTATGTTTGGCCTCCCAAAAAAACCTTCCAACACATACATACACATCATCCTCATCGATACCCATATCTAACCATTGACAGACTACCTCCTCTCCAAATCCACCACCCACAAGGAACTCAACTACGACATCCTCTGGGACACGCTCCAGCAAGTCCTCCTGCCCATCTGGCCCGCCTCGCGCACCCACATCGACGGCCACCCCATCGGCGACGCCTGGCCGCTACAGGTCCTCGCCGCCGACGCAACAGCCCGCGCGGACACGGCCAAGTGCGCGCACATCCAGCCCTTCCACAAACTCACCCAGTGGCTCGCCTACTCCCTCACCGTCCCCTTCGAGCGGCTCCTCGGCGCCACGTGGGCGAACATCGAGCGCGGCACCGGCCTGCCCGAGTACCGCAACGGCGGCCTCTTTGTCGACCTGGGTGTATTGACGCTGAAGCCCGAGGCTGCGGAGCGCGGGCGCGCGAACTCCGGCGAGCGCCTCCCGGCCTTCGAGGCGACGGCTGATGAAATCGTGGAGTGGCGTGCGATGACGGTGGCGCTGCTGGATCGACTGCATAGCGCGATTGCGGCGAGTGAGGAGTTGTCGGCGCAGAAGCTGAGTCTAGCGCAGGTGCTGGAGGCCGGCAGCTGGAAGGCGGGTCGTGAACTGGCGGCGGAGAAGAGGCCGGAGACGCGGTCGAGTCCGATTCTGATCCTGGGTGATGGGACTTTGTTTTGAGTATGGATTTAGACTTTCTTGCAGCTGTCTAGATGTAAATAGAAAAATAAAAAAAAAATGAAAATAAATTATAATCTGTGTCTATCTGCTTTGAATCTCATGCATAACACCTGTATACCTTCACGCTGTACCTTTCAATGACTAGATAGTAGCTTTCTGCTGAAACCCTATACTGCTAGATGACATTTACAATCAAAAAAGAAGCAGGCAACAACTATGTACGGGCACGATCAAGTCTCATGTGCTAATAGAACATCCCAAAGACCTGCGTCTCAGTATCTCGCAGTCGTAGACATACTGATCTGATAGCCCGCGATAAGCCCTCGTCAACGCCTGGAGCTTATCACAGGCATTCCCCGTCGGGCGATAAGGGTTATCTCTGCCGATCGGTGAAGATAGATGGACATGGCTTATCTGCTGCAGGTACATCATCCAATGCACAGCTATCACAACTAATCAAGCGTGCGTCGTGGTTGAAGCTGGCTCACCAGGTATAATAGCAGGAAACGATCCAGTTGAAACCCTCTCGGATCCAAGATTATCATCATCCTCACTGGTGTATACAACAGCCACAATGACAACGACCACAGAACAAGTCCCGTCCTCCTCGGAGGAGCAGAAGCCCTCAACCGCCCGATATGCGGACCGCATCGTGGTAAGTAGCCTCCTCCCCTTGAAGTGAATGAAACATACACTAATGATTGCTCGATAATCCAGCTCACCACATACCCCGGCCAAAGCGTCGTCGACCCCATCCCGCTCACCTGGGGCGCTCAAAGTCCCGCAGAGCGTGGCCCCGTGCTCGTCTCCCGCAACCGCAACACTATCAGCAGGCGGAATGCCATCGGCGCCCACGGCGGCAGCTACGCCATCTACAATGCCCTGGCCGTCGTGGCCGGCGATCTCCCTCCCGACTTCCGCCCCGACTTCCTCAACACCCAGCCCACCTTCGACTTTCCCACACAGCCTGCCTGGCTAGACCCCACCAAGATCGTCGCGATGGATCCCTTCGGCCATGATATCGTCAAGCACTATGGCAAATACCTCGAGCAGGGCATCGACGTGCGCCCGACGATCGCCATCACCCGGGCTTCGATGCGCGTCTCTGAGATCAGCGAGGCGGTCCAGAGTGGGAGACTGCCCGTCGACGGCGCGATCGTCCATTCGGAACAAGGCGATGTCCGGGTAACCAAGGTCGCTGTCGAGCCCGTCTGGTATCTGCCGGGTGTGGCCGCGCGATTCGGTGTCGATGAGGGCCTGCTGCGCCGCGCATTGTTCGAGCACACCGGTGGGGGTTACCCTGAGCTGGTGACCCGAACAGATCTGAAGGTGTTCCTACCGCCCATTGGTGGTTTGACGGTGTACATCTTCGGTCCGCCGGAGAGAGTATCTGATGAAAAGGTCAAGCTGGCCCTCAGAATCCACGACGAGTGCAATGGATCGGACGTGTTCCAATCGGATATCTGCACATGTCGCCCGTACCTGGCATTTGGTATCGAGGAGGCGATCAAGGAGGCGCAGAACGGTGGTTCCGGAGTGGTCATCTACTTCCGCAAGGAAGGACGCGCGCTCGGTGAGGTGGTCAAGTACCTGGTGTACAACTCACGGAAACGAGGCGGTGATACAGCAGACAAGTACTTCCAGCGGACGGAGAATGTCGCCGGTGTCAAGGATGTATGTTATGACGAACACCATGATATGACCATGCTAACGACGCGCAGATGAGATTCCAAGCCCTCATGCCCGACATCCTGCACTGGCTGGGAGTTAAGAAGATCGATCGCATGCTCTCCATGTCGAATATGAAACACGACGCTATTGTCGAACAGGGCATCCCTATTCTCGAACGTGTGCCAATTCCAGAAGGTAAGGCTTTGTCATGGAAAAAAAAAAAAGTAATGAAATTACGCTGACGTTGCCAGAAATGATCCCCGCCGACTCGCGAGTCGAAATCGACGCAAAGATCCATGCGGGCTATTTTACTACCGGCGACGCAGTCACGGAGGAGGACCTCAAGAACGTGAAGGGTCGTGGATGGGAGTGCTGGGAAGATACTACAGTGAGTTTGTCCAATGGGATCGACTTGGAGCACGCTAACGATGCCATAGCATTAATCGCTGGTATCAGTTCAATACACGTGTTGTCCGCAGGGACGCTTCAGCGATCCCAGCGGAAAGAGACTGTTTTTGTTTGCGTAAAGAAAGGCCAATATGTCCGGCCCGGAAAGTTCAGGTCTGCGCGGCGTCAGCGACATTCTAGTTATGCGATAGAGTACATACCTCCAAGGAAAGAATCTTTGTTACACGTTCGAACTGCCATGCCATAGGGAGCTTTTTATGGTCAGCTTTGCGAGAGGCGTAGACCAAGGAGCAATACATACCCAACAGAGGCACATTTATACCGACCTGTCCCACGTTTACACCGCGCTGGAAGGTCGTCGCCCTTTGCCCGCTAGACGTAAATAGAGAGCAACCATTTCCGACTAGAATCGTTAGCATGAACCGCCAATTCAGTGGCATTGGCTTACATCTGTTCTGGTTGATGAGATCAATGGCCTCTTCAAGAGTGTCAACTTCCATGCAAATCAGAACTGGACCAAGAATTTCGGTCTGGTAGCACTCCATGTACGTCTTGACATCGGCCAGAATCGTGGGTCCTACAAAATTACCCGCCGGATAGTCGGGGACTTCAACGTCCCTCCCGTCGAGCAGGAGTGATGCTCTTTCCTCGACTGCACGCTGGATCATCCCACAGACATTGTCCTTGGCTGCGACACTTATCAACGGGCCCATCTTGACACTCCGATCACTAGGACACCCGACAACCATAGACCCAGCCAGCTCGACTAGTTTCGGAATCCACTCTCGTGTGGAGCCGACAAACACTGCCACGCTCATCGCCATGCACCTCTGCCCTGCGGCACCAAAAGCACTCCCAGCAATTGCGTACAGTGTTGCCATCATATCCGCATCGTCCAGCACTACACCATGATTTTTACCAACGCATTCGGCCTGGATTCGCTTGCGTGTCGCCCGAGCATGGTCGTAGATCCGTTCGGCAGCTGTTTCGGAGCCGACAAAGCTGACCGTCTGTATACATGGCTGGGACAGCAACTTGGCGACGGCAGACGGGCCGCCGTGGACAATGTTGAGCACCCCAGCTGGAAACCCTGCTCGGAAGAACGCGGTTGCAAGGAGAGTGGACGCGGTGGGTGCTTTTTCAGACGGCTTGAGGACGAAGGTATTTCCAGTGATCAGGGCGAACGGAATAGACCACAACGGGATCATGAAGGGGAAGGTAAATGGGGTGACTGCCATACACACACCCTGGTCACACCTGTTAGTTCGACGATCGCATTTTTCAAAGGGAGTGGCTCACCAAGGGTTCGTGAAAAGTGGTCAATTGCGTTGGATCCGCTCCCAAGTACATTCCAGTCATCTCAGGACCAATCGAACACGCTGCCTGTATCGAGTCCAGCCCGCGATACACCTCGGCGTCGGCGTCGGCTAGAGTCTTACCAACCTCTCGCGACAGACAGTCGAGGATATCGGGAGTCATCTCGCGGATCACGTCCACCAATTTCAAGAGGTATTCGCGGCGTTTTGAGAAGGGTGTTGCAGCCCATTCGAGCTGTGCTGCACTGGCGGCGCTGACGGCGTGTTGAATCTCGTTCAAGGTGCAGTCAGGGACGCGGGTGAGAAGGCCTTGCGTGACCTAGAGAGTCAATAAGCTGCCAATTGCTCATCGAGAATCCCCTACTCACAGGATCCAGGACGCTGGTCCAGGTTTTGGAGGCCGACAGTATAAATTCATTGTTGATAAAGGCGTGCGTTACTGTGGGCGCGGGTGTTTCCGCTGGAGGTGCCGGCTTCTCCCCCTCGGACTCTTCATGTGCTGGGCTGTCGGTATGGCGCTGGCGTTTGGGAGAGACATCAGAATCTTCCTGGATTACCAAGTTAGATGGATACTGCCGCCTGACCAAGAGTACCTACCGTTGTCCGGCTTCTCTTGTCACCTGGTTGAGGTGAGGGGCTATTCGTTCTTTCGGCCTCTGGGGTACTGGTCGCTCCGTTTGTCTTAGATCTCAAGATCCTTGCCATGATGAATGATAAGTCACTACTCTATCACGGGTGTCTCCGGGGTAATGTGCAGGAAATTGCAGCCGACGGACGCGACATGTTGAAGATGGACGACAAGTAGGTGGATGAAGCTGATGATAAGGCGCCCATCGGAGTAAAAGCCGAGGGTCAACACTCTTATCGCTATTAGTCACGTTTTTTGATAAGCAGTTGTGCCGGATGAGTCATCCCCTCCATAAATACTGTATAACCTTTTGTGCTGTGACCTGTCTCAGAGAGCGACAAATGACAATAATATTGATCGACACGATCAACAAAGTGATGAAAGTCTTGGAAGGCTCCCATCTGTCCTCTCGTCATCTGACAGTACATAGTGATTACTTCCTAGCGAAGTCACCAGTCAGGAAGAAGTAAGGAAGAGGAATGAAAGTCCACAACAGATTGTCTGGATCGACTTGTCCCTCATCAACCATCCAGGCGTCAAGGCAACAGGCAGGCAACTTGCAGCAAATACGAAGCTATCGTCAACACAAACACTTTGGGGCGTTTTTTAACCTTTTGTGACACGCATACTGGGAAGTGATAGGTCATAGGGAATGGTTCATGGGACAAAGAAATCCCTGTGTCGAAGTAAGCGTTGAAACCGCTCCATCCCGGTTCGTCAGTCCGTCGAGTCAAAGCCAACAGAGGTCCAATAAGAAAAGCGCACTGACTCGTTGGTTGTGCTACCTAGGAGGCAGATTCAATGTGACTTCTTCAGTCTGGCCCCATCCTGCTGGGTAAGGTTCATAAGCGACGGGATCAAAGCAACAACCGAGCGAGCTAGCCTACAGCAACTCGCGCCGCTGGAGTCGGCCATCAATCCCATCATATTCTTCAAAGTTCAACTTGCCAGGCGATGAGGATCTGAAACCGGGCAATAGGAGGACAGATGCCAGTGGCGCTCCACTTACCGTTTTCCCCGCCCAAAGCGAACGGTCGACTAGCAGGATGTGACGGACAACTGTCGTACTCCTGCAGGATGCACTGTGCCTGCAGTCATGAACCTTCCAAGTTCCATGCCAGTTGAGATGCCGTCAGCAGTCCGTGCGAGTCGTCTCATGCTTTCAGGTGCCTGGATCCCCATCCCAAGCATTAATACCGGGGATATCCCCGTATCCCTGCAGCAGTGGTACTCGGGACCATTGAGTCGGACTTGTTCGCGAACATGACGGTTCTGACATATCTACTTCCCACAAGCTGGTGGGGTTTTATCCCTGTTGTTGTCGGGGTATTTGTCTTGACTCGGGCGGTATGGGATGCCTTGCTCTCTCCACTCAGCGCATTTCCCGGTCCTTTGGCGGCCAAAGTGACCGATTTTTGGCGGGCTGCACAGGCATATGGGGGCTATATCGATCGGAAATACAATGTGCTACATCGGAAACATGGCTCTGTGGTGCGGATCGGTCCCAATGCATTAAGCATCGGGGATCCAAATCTGATCCGAGTCATCTACTCCACCCGCAACCCTTGGAAGAAGGTATAATCTCCTGTGCTTGCTCAATACTGATTTTGACGAATGTTGACGACGGCAGAGTGATATGTACAAACCCAACGATGTGCTCATCAATGGTCATCGCATGTCCAACTTGTTCAACACGCAGGACGAACACTGGCACAATCAGAACATCCTTCCTATCCGACCCCTCTGGGGCATGGGCAAAGTCCTGGAATACGAGTCACTCATCGACGAGACGTTAAATCTTTTTACGGGGAAGCTACGGGCTAGGTTTACCGGTTCAAATGGCAGGACTATCTGCCCGATCGACGAATGGCTGGGATATTGTCCGTTACTGCCACGTACCCCCTGCGACTCTTGATATTCTTGCTGACCGACACAGTCGCCTGGGACGTCACCGCAAACATCAGCTTCGGCCGACACTACGGCTTCATCGAGCAGGAGAAAGACGTGGACAATTTGATCACCGACTCGACCAAGGGGCTGATCTACTTTGCACCAGTGCGTCAACCCCGTACCATATAGGACGCAATAGCTAACCTATCAACAGGTCTCGCAAATCCCCTGGGTCGACCGCCTGCTCGACAAAAACCCCATTGTGCGCATTGGGCCGAAACCGACCCTCACCGGTGTCCTCTACACCTTCGGGGTCGTGACCGAGTACCAGACCCAGTTAAAAGAGAAGAAGTCGCGGCTCAATGCCGTCGCCCACACGCTGGACAAGTATGTCCAGCTCAAGGACTCCTACCCGGACATCGTGGACGACAACCAAATCGTCAACTGGCTGATGCTCAGTATCCTGGCCGGCGGCGACACCACCTCCGCCACGATGCGCGCCGTCGTCTACTTCCTCATGAAGACCCCCGCCGCCAACCGCAAACTCGCTGCGGAGTTGGACGCCGCCAAGCTTGACATCCCTGCGCAGTGGCGGGATATCCGCGAGCTGCCATACCTCGACGCCGTCATTCGCGAGAGCATGCGGCTCAACCCAGGTATCGCGATGAACTTCGAGCGCATCGTGCCCGCCGAAGGGTTCACGCTGCCCGATGGACGATTTATCCCCGGCGGCACCACGGTGGGTATCAATCCGGCGGTGACAAACCGGGATCCGGGGGTGTTCGGCGGCGATGTCGATGTCTTCCGTCCAGAGCGGTGGCTACGGGGCGCCGGGGAGGATCAGGCTCAGTTTCAGGCGCGACACCGCCGCATGAAGGATACATGTGACTTTGTGTTTGGCGGTGGGGGGAGGATCTGCATGGGACGGTACCTGGCGATGCTGGAGATCTACAAATTGATTGCGACGCTGTACAGCCAGTTCGAGGTGAGTTGGGTTGGTCGCAGTGGTTGACGCTAGCTAACATGATACAGATTCAACTGGTGGATCCGAACCATGAATGGAAGTACCGCAATGCCTGGTTTGTGTATCAGAGCGACATGCCTGTTATTATTCGTCCTCGCCAGAGAGATTAATCGTACAATTCATTCTGATATGCTTTTCAATTTCGAAGCCGATCGGACAATAGTTCATGCAAGGAGAAGTGACAGGTGCCACTCCTGCATACTATCTGTATAACATCGGATAGCCGCTGTACTCCATCAGGATCATCCTTGTTCTTGCAATCCTCCTTGCAGCATTCCATCTGTGGACGCGATCCATCACATTCTTGCTGGATGGTGGCTTTGCTTGGCAAACTGATGGTCTTTCTTTCGACTATGGAAGATTTATCCCATGTACTCCGTCTGGTTCTACAACTCGTTTCCATACATCCCTGACTTTACCCGGGCGCCTGTTTCAATCCTAAATATTGATTCTCTCCGGTCTAGAACGCTTTTATCGCAGGGTTCGTAGCGTTTCATTCAGGTTCCACCCTTCCCAGCGGATGCGCCGGAAGCAGCTTTGATCAGTGGATGTCGGGCGATTCCGGTCATGATTCATGATCCATGATTTATGATTCATGATTCAGGATAAAAGACCTCTCGGTAGAGACGCTGTCATCGCGGAAGCCATCCTCCCAGGGCAGGAGATCCCTCTTTATACCCTCCCTGGGGATTCTGCTGCCTAGACCCCCCCAGCCCTCCAGTCCTCTATGCTCTGACCATGTCACCCTCGTAATCCACCAACAACCCAAGTAACCAAGTGGAGCAGCTTCGGATCGATTGAACCGACAGTCTGCTCCGTCTGCCAGCCTGATTTCAGGGCATCCAGCGCGTGCCAGTGGGGATTGCCGGACGTCATGATCCTTTCATCCGTCGATCTCGAATGCCTCGCGAGTCGCGAACAAACCTGGGCGGAGCAATAAATGTGACTTGACTGCAGGACAGGAATAGCATCTATCTATCAGATAATTGCAAATGAATAATCGTCAATTCGGAGAGAAAATTATCAGAAAATCAACCAGAAACAGGAGAGAGAAAGGACCATGCGCTCTGGCACCGCCAGAAAACGCCCTTCCGACGCCGACGATCTCTGCCAAGCGAACCAGACGACGGCCCGGAAAAGGATCAGCAGGGCCTGCGATCGCTGCCGTGTCCAAAAAGCCAGGGTAGGAAGACTGGGCGTTCGCTGGACTGCTTCACTCAAGACGGATGCTAATTTGATTATTCGAACAGTGCGATGGGGGCAAACCGTGCCTTCGCTGCGGAGACCAGATCCCTTGTATCTACCAGGAGAAGAAGCCTTTGCGCAGGAAGTATCCCACCGGGTATGGCATCCACTCCACCACACCCCATTTTGTTGCATGATGACTGTGAACTGACAAGACGCGCAGCTATGTGGACATGCTCGAGGAGCATCAGAGCTACCTGATCGCTGGCCTGCGGAGGCTGTACGACCGCATCCAGGAGCAGCAGCGTCTGCCCGAGGTCGAGCACGACGCCAACGACCGCCCCATCGTGCACGAACTCCTCGATCGACTGGGGATTTTCGAGGAGTCTGTCGACCAGCACAGGGAACGGATCCAGCCCGAGCCCAGAGACTCGCCATATTCCAACCCCAAGACGCGGCGCGAGATCGCGACCGCGCAGAGTAGCAGTGTCCCTGCCGCAACGACGGCGTGTGCGCGGCCACCGGACAATCCGATTCAGGAGTTTGATCGCTCGCTCCACCTGAATTCGCGGCGACAGTCTCTGACTCTCCCCAGTCGGGTTCCTCTGAATCCGGGAGTGGTTCGTCCTCGCCGTCCGGGCTCGAGTCATCACCCAGGCAGTCGGCGAGGATTGACCCGCGACCAGCGACCCGTCGACCTCAGCAATGGCTTCTATCGGTGGTCCTTTGACATTTCAGACTTTCTGGCGGTTGCCAATCCGACCGGATTCAGGTAGCGACCTAGCCGTTTCGGTCACGATGGTTCATTGCGAAGGTGGATCGACTGAAACTTGTTCATTAGATCGAGTAGGTAGATATATATATATACCCGTGAGTTGCTCTCCATACAACGAAACACGACTGAACCTGTACTAATTGAACACACAGAACAAGCACCAACAAGCGATAAAAAAACCAATCTCAACCTCAAATCCATCTCATCTTACTAGAACCGCTTGCCGTCTGACCGGACTCACTCCTCACCCTCGTACAGATTGCCCGCTCCCTCGTAGAACTTGGGCAGCGGCTCCAACTTCTGCCGCAGAATCCACACCCGGAAATGCCAAATCGCATTCCTGATCTGGTACGCAGCATGTTTCCGAGTTGACACGGAAAAGACCTGGTCCAGTTCTTCCAGGGTGAGAGCTACCGACTTGTCAGCGAGCTTCACCAGCCAACGAGCACAAGGAGGAAACAGAGACACACACACCTTTGGTCTCCGGCACAAACAGCAGAATCAACACCCACCCGATGAGACACCATGCCGCATACCACGAGAACGCCCCCTGCGGCTTAAACGCATCCAGCAGCATCGGCCACGTGAACGAGAGAATGAAGTTGAAACACCACGTCGTCGCCGTCGCCCACGACATGCCCACCTCGCGCACGTGTAGCGGGAACGCCTCCGCCGAGTACGTGAACGGCACGGGCCCCTCGCCGGGCGAGTAGAAGACCTCGAACAGATACATGCCTGTCGTGACCATGGCGACGCGCTTCTTGCTGGTCGGGTTGTCCGGTTCGATCCAGAAGGAGAAGCCGGACCAGAAGAGACAGATGGCGAGCAGCGGGAAGGTGACGAGGAGGAGGTTGCGGCGGCCCCAGGTGTCGATGGTGAAGAAGGCCGGCAGGGCGAAGACCCAGTTCAGGATGCCGGTGCCCATGGAGGCGAGCAGTGCCTGTTGGATCGAGTAGCCGGATTCTTGGAAGATGGTGGTGGAGTAATAGGCAATGACATTGACGCCGCAGAACTGTACAATGTTAGCATCGCATCGTTCTTGGCCAATGTCACTAGGAAATATCAGAGCGGCTCTACCTGCTGCATGAACATGACAATCCAGCTAGCCAGCGTCGCCCGCCGGTTGCGAGGCACAGTAAACAGCTCAATAAACATGGTGAAAAAGTTCTTGCCCTGGTTCACCTCCTTCTCCAGCTGCACGCCCACATACGCATAGTACAGATCGCGCGCCGCCTGCAGGTCCGTCGGCCGGAACGTGCGGAACGCCTGGAACGCCTTATCGATCTTGTTGTGCTCGATCAGCCAGCGCGGCGACTCGGGGCAGAAGTAGACCTGCGCGCAGACGATCAGCGGCAGCACCACCGTTGAGCCCAGCATGAGCCGCCAGGACAGGTCCCGCGAGAGTCCCATGAACGCCACCCCCATGATGTTGCCCAGCATGATGCCGAACGCCGTCCACATCTGCCACATCATGACTAGTGCGCCGCGGATGGGCGCCGGCGAGCACTCGGCTGCGTAGACGGGGACGGTGGACGACTTGGCCCCGATGCCGAGACCGAGCACGAACCGGGCGATGAACAGGTTGACCCACGAGTTGGCGACGCCTTCCCAAATCGACGCCACGGCGGCGATGAAGCACGAGATGAAGATGGTCCCGCGCCGCGCGAAGTAGCGGTTTAGAGGTTCCGTCAGCCAGCAGCCGAGGATGGCGCAGGCGAGGTAGGGTGCGCCGACGATAAGTCCCGTGAGGTAGTTCTGCATGTCGGGAGAGAATCGGGATCGCTCGGGGTGTTCTGCGTCTTTGATTCGGAATTCCTGGCCGCGTTTAGCTTCCTAATTTTCTTCTCGGCTGGGGCAGAGGCATACAGCAAGGTAGATCGCCTGGGCGCCGTTATTGACTGTTTCGTCCATTCCTTGCACGGCGGCTGCGAGCGAACACATGGCTGAAAAGTGTCAGCAATCTATGCGCATGTCCAGGAAATGGAACCGCAACTCACCAGCCATGAAATACAGCTGCCACGGCTGGGACCATTTATGCGTGTGCTCCCGACGCAGCACGGCTTTCTCCTCCGCATTCAACTCGCTCAGATTCTCGGCCCCGGCTGGATTCTGCGAGATAAGAGCGCCCTTGCGGAAGGCATCGATGTGATCCATGAGGCCATACTGGGTGCAGAAGTCCTCAACATCCTTCATGAGCTGGTGGCGAGGGATATTGACGAGCGGATTCTCAAAGATCGCATTGACCTTGTTGGGCGACCGGCCCCCCGCTTCTAGCTCAGCCTTTTGGTGGGTGGCATTCTCATCGTGGTGGTAGGATGTAGGCTTCTCGCCTTTGGGACCGACTATCTCGTCCGAGGTGGACGAGGCAATTTCGTCGTTGTTCATGGCGTTGCTCATGGATGCCCTTTACGTATACGGAATTCTAGGGCAGTGCAATCTGGGGAATATAGTAGTAGATCCATCGGACACCTGGGGAAGTCGTGCTCCACTTATATGAGGACATGATGAATGCCTGGGGTAGTGAGATATCTCGCCGAGACGCTGCGCACACGCGAGTCAGAACGGACTGGAAAGAATCATAGAGTCAGGCCGATGCGTGCATGTTGGTGAGCAATTCTTCCAAAACTCCCGGGGACAAAGACAGCTGATTGGCACAGCCTTGTCCTGCGATTGACCATCTCGACCATCGTCCTCGACATGCATCCACGACTGGGCGCTCCTGGAAGGGCTGTAACTCTGGACATGCGGTCATTTCCCAGCAAACTGCGTTATCCCTGTTAGTCGAAACGCGCAAACGAGGCTAGATCTGCAGCGCAAGCAAATCCTAACAAAGGTGTGGGCCAGATAGGCCCGAACGAACGCGGCCCCGGACCCCAGCGATGAGATCAGTGGCTGACGGGATATTCCCTGGTTCATCAACTGACAATTCGTCTCTGCCAATCACGGCACACGCCGTTCTTTGCCCGGAAGCGTGCGCTCCTCTTCCCCAGGCGGGGAGGTCGAAGCATCATCTCCACTGTCCAGACGGCCGAGTCAGCGCCAATCCGGCTCAAGCATCCTCAAGCAGCCACATGGCGTCTTGGTGGGTTGGCATTTCCCTCACCTTGTGCTTGTGTCAGTCGAAAGTTTCTAATGCTCGAATAGAATATGTTCACACGGATAATATCTTCTGTTATCGTTTGCTTCCATAGGCGCTTTCGCATGCCGACAGGCTGTGTGGCCATCCGCCAGACGGTCTGGCGGGAATAAGGCTGCGGATGGTCGGGATATGTCTCATTACTCAAGCTATAATTCAATTTATGTATGCAGAAGGACAGATTCAACGGGGCAAGTGTCGTTGTCTTTGGCTAGAGCGCTTTTCATGCATCTTGGTGGGTCTCGGGCAGGATGGTGGTCAGCAATTTGGTATCAAAGCACTGCATGTAGGCGAAGATCAGGCCAACCGGTCTCTTGTCTGATATGGAAAGAACCAATCCATTGCGCAAGATCTATTTCTATTTGGGTCAACTCATACCCCTCATGGCTCGCTTGCCTAGGGATTGGGCGGTATCAACATATCTGCCTTTGGGCTGTGCTAGACTGTGCGCTTCTCAAAATGACCAATTCTTTCATACGTTGAATCAATTACATCGCAAAGGATTGAAATAGAGTATCTAAAACACTAGGGTGAGCTCTGACGCAACCGCAACATGGACCATCACTACATTCTATATTCCTCAATCTTGGAGTAGTTTAACTATCGAATCTTCATTTATAGATCGAAGAAGCCAGACGACCCTATACAACACTCCCAGCAAGCTAGGAACTCGAATCCAACCAATCCCCATAATCACTCCCCAACACCATCCTCTTGTCCACAGACCGTGGCGCTCGCATCCAGAGAGCCAGCCTCGGGGGACGAGATGGTATGCGTGATCGTCACGACATTGTTCTTGTACGAGTCCGTCTTGGTAGTCTCGCCGTACATCGTTAGGCAACCGCGATAGGTAATGGTGAGCTGCTCCTAATATGTGCCGGCGGCGACATAGATACAGGCATCAGCGGTTGCCGAGCTCAGGGCAACCAACGCAGCGCAAATGGTCGATTATTTGCCTGACGAGCAGACCGTCAGACTTCCGGCTGGAGCACTGGTTCTGCTCATCCTCTTGTCGAGGGGGACTGCAGACCTCGTGAGACTGAGCCCGAGAAGGCCGACAAGGAGACTAGACAGATGCATTGTAATTCTAAAACTCGATGAGTATTGTCAAGCCTGGAAGGAAGCTCTCCTCTGGCAAGGATCGTCACAGTTATATCGACCGCGCCATCCTCTCAATCGACAGACTGACAGCCCGCCATCACATGGCGTATACCCTAAAAGGAATAACTCTCCCATGTCCTCATCTGCTGAGGCGAATAAATTTTCTGTTCAATGTTCGGCTCCAATGTTTCTGACCGGTTTAGTCCTCAGACCCTGGTGGCTTATGCGAGTCAAATGTCGCATGATACTTGCAACGGAGTCGACGGCAATCTATCCCAACCGCCCCCTTGTCGACTACCGAAGCATAGTTTTATCCGAAAAGCACAGGAGGAAATGGACACCGTATAGAGTAGAAGCCAAATCCAAGCAAGACAGAGAGCAATCATGCTCCCATAACCATCGTCGTACACACCAAAGCCATGCTAGATCGAAGGCTTCTAAGATCACACAGACAAGAGAATAATCAATTAAATTAAAAGCGCCAACAGTAAACAAATCCTGGTATATCCAAAATTAAGCCGCAGATGTCCAGCCCTGCATATGTGCAGATACAATATATTTACCGGCCGACACCGCTTGCGCCAGCCTGAAGAATGAGCACGTTCCCCACGATTCTGTTCTCGGTTTGCACCATCGCCTGTCCCACCACGCCCAGCGCCTGGCTGGCATCGGCTCCGACTTCGTCCTGGGACGGAGCGTCCAAACAGGAATCTAGATCCATGTGGGTATTCCGTCTGCCGACGACAACAAGATTGCCGGCCTTGTGCGAGGTTTGGCTCATCTCTTCCTTCACGGCATTGACAGCGAGCTCCACCCAATCCTTTTCGCCTGTCTTTGGTGTGATGCGAGTAAACACCACGCGTGATCGGAGCTCTTCGGGCACAGAGTCGCGCATTGCGGCAAAGAAGGCACTGTGCGATTCGGACACCCGCGAGAGATTTGACGAACCAGCATTTGAGCTTTCGCCATGGGACCCAGTACCCTTGCTATCTGCGACTGCGGCCTTTGTAGGAGGCGACACGGGGACGTCGATATGGATGATGGTGGCAGTGACCTGATCGTTCTCCGCCAGTTGAAGAAGAAAGCGCAGGGCGAAGCGATCGTCGTCTCCTCCGAAGTAGGGCAAGACGATGTGATGGGACCGAGCGGCTGCAGGGGCAACGCCCCAGATAGAGCTGCGGAGGCTGAGACCGCTGGGAGTCCGCTTCAGCTGCGAGCGTTGTTTCCCAGCACTCCGGCTATAGAGACTCCGTTCCACTAGGACACCCACGTTGCTGTTCGCGAGCGACAGGACGTTGGAGACAAAGTCGGCATAAGGCCCATTGGAAAATCGGCCCGCCTCATCAATCCCCAGTCCACTCTGAAGCTCACTCATGGCGCCGGTTTCGCTCCAGGGGATCAAGAGGAGATCAGAGATTTCCTCGTGGGCCATCCCGACCACGGTGTCGGCGTAGGAGTACTCGGGAACAACGGAGACGTTGGCTAGGATGGAGATATCGTGCCACTGACCGAAGGCTCTGAACGTGTTGATGACAGGATCCCACAGCGAGTAATCGTCAATCTCGGAGACTTTCATGACACTGGAATCGCGGTCGGTGAGTTCCATCAATCGCACACCATGAACTTTGAGCGCAGGTTCTGGCTCAATCTCTGAGTGAGCCGACTCCTCCGCGGTATTCTCGGTGGGGGAGGAGGCGTTCTTGAGCTTAGTCGGGTGCACCTTAGGGGAGGGTGGCGCGGCCAGGCGGCTGGGCCCTAAGAGTGCAGCTAGTGTGCAGATGCCGGACAAGCCGTCCAGCCGGAGGTAAACAAGCAGCTTCCGGACCGGCGTGGTTTTAAGTTGCTCTTTGGCAACAGCCACACTGTCCTGACGGCTGTCTCCAGCAACGACGTTCCCGTTCCAGTCAATTTCCCCGCGGCGCCATCGCTCGACCTTAGTCTGGTACCATTTGGGGTACAGCAGGGTGGTCATCGGAGTGGTTATAAAGGTCGTGACCAGTGCCATGACGACGAAGATTGTGAAGGTTCTGGTGCTGAGGATGCGAGCTTGCAGACCAATGTTCTAGGAGCTTGTCAGTAGATGGCGGTCGGAAACGGGTCAAGAGACATACCAAGACGATGAGCTCCACAAGACCCTTGCAACTCATCAGAACACCGATAGAGAAGCTCTCTCGCCAAAGGAGGCCACAGAGTCTGGACGCCAGGGCGCCGCCGGCGACTTTGGCAAAGAACGCGATCGAAATCACACCCACTACGTATCCCCAAACGAGCCCGCTGTCCAGCAAACCAAGATTGGTCGAGAGGCCGGAAAGGGTGAAGTAAAGGGGCAAGAACAAGACGGCGACGAGATCCTCAATCTTCTCGGTCAATTTAATGGCAAACCCGCCTTCGTGGGGACAGAGCAATCCGATAATGAACCCGCCAAAGATAGCATGGATGCCGATGACCTGGGTGAAGAATGCCGAGGCGAGGGCGATGAGCAGGGTGATTGTCACGACGGATTGACTGGGGCCTTTCTGCAGACTGCCCGTCTTTCGGAGGAAGCGCATGAAGAGCGGACGGAAGACAAAGGCAAGGAACAGGATGTAGCCAGTCGCTACGAGCAAAACCCACAGCGCGGTGATACCACTGCCAGCGTTGACGAGGGCCACGCAGAGCGCCAGCAGAATCCAGCCGACGACATCGTTACCAACGCCGGCAGAGAGCACGATGACACCGACGTTGGTACTGAGGAGTTTCAATTCGGTCAAAATACGACACAAGACGGGGAACGCCTTCCCAACGGGTCAGCATAACTTATCGATCGTCGTTGAACAAACATGACAAAACCCACCGTGATGGCCATGGCAATACCAATGAACAGCAGATAGGTCCCAAAATTGATCGGCACCGTTCCAGCCTCGTTCCGGAAGGTATTATACAGACCGTAGGAAATGGCCGAACCAAAGCCGAAGGGCAGAATCATTCCGGCGGCGGACACACTGGCAGCAACACGCCAGTTACTGACCAGGAACCGCAGATCGGTCTCGAGGCCCACCAGAAACAAAAAGAGCACCAGGCCCAGATTGGCGACCAAAGTCAAATTCGGGATTGATGCGGCGGGAAAGATGGCCTCTGTGAATCCCGGAATGCGACCCATGACGGACGGTCCCAGGATGATACCCCCGATGACCTCCGCGATCACGCGTGGTTGGCGCATCTTGGACAGCGGCCAATGCAGCAGGCGACATAGTATGATGATAATGCCAGCCTGAAGACGAACACGAATGAGTCTTCTTTTTTTTCAAACAGTTTTATTTTATTTTATTTCATGGCACACCGACTGAACTATTGAGAGGAATAGCAGTTACCCACCTGAATGATGAAGGTCACAATGGGGTTCTTGGGGTCATATTTGGACGGGTTGCCTCCCTCGAGGATGCCACCCTGTGGAGGTACGGTCGGGGCGCTGGAGGCGGAGGCGGAGGTCAGTGTGGAGGAGATGGCATGAACGCTGCTGGTCGTCGCCATGGCTCCGGAGAAGAAGCCGCACCCGGACGGCCTGCAAGAAGTCGCAAGTTGAATCAAAAGTAGCAGAAACAAATTCCAAAGCGACGGGGGAGATGAGACGAAATAAAAAAGATTGAGGGATCGAGAGAGCTGAGCTCGTGGGAAGATGCCTGCAAGCGTCCGCGGAGGCTTGGCGCACGGGGAACACGTGGGCGTGCTGCACGGATTCCACGGAGGAGAGGGAGGATGATTGGGCTACGATATCGTTGCAAAGACGAGAGGGTGGTCACCCGATAGCAGAGATTGCCTCCTCAGCATATCAGCTGTTTGAGGATAAGGATCAGAGGATGCGTGAAGGAAGCCAACCGGCTCTGACCTTTCTGGGCCACTTGATACCCTTCTCCTCGCTTGGATGCTGTCAGCCTGGTCATGTGACCTGCACCGACGGCGGGCCCAGTACACTAGGCTGGATTGGGTTTAGTGCGGATTAAGCGCAGGGCCCCCGCGCGTGTCTTGAACCGATAAGGCTTAGTGGGGGATCAGGGCTAGTCTGTAAATGGTTAGCTCGACGGCGCCAAGTGCGGTTGCGCCATTTGCTCCATTTATCAGCCAATCAGATCATGTCAATAGCCTTGATTGTACTGGGGAACTTGCGGGATGCAGTTGACCTTGGATAACTTTTAGTTCTTGGGGTTCAAATATACTAGAGTGTCATAATGATAATATTTTTATGAACGTTCTTTAGTATCCGCCTATTATATAGCTATTACCTGGCATATGTCTAGTATGTCCTAGGTGTGTACTTATATATGGTAGGAACGATGCCAGAGAATAGTTCCACCGAACGGGCTGGACAAGGCATTAAGGCCGTACAGCGCTAGATAGTAGGACTGATCAACCACGTGACGGCTCCGTATAAGTCCTTGCTGGCGGAGGGTTCCTCTTCCAAAAGAGCATTTGCCAGGACTTGGAGAAACTTGGACTGACTCCTTAACCTCTCGATCAACTTGGTTGCCTTGTGGTGCATGCACACATCTTATGAGGACCATGGATTGGTTTTTCCATCATCTAGTTCTGTACCCTACACCACAGGCCGGTCGATGAACATTAATGCACCAATACTATTAATAGATATAACAATATCACTGTACCTTACTACTCTGTAGTATCAATATTATATGATCAAAGTGATGCTACACCCTCCTGATGCATGGATCAAATGGGATTGTCAGCCCATCCATACATCTCGTGACGTCACGTTGCAGCCCCAGTTGATGACATAAATGACTTGCCAACGACGCCCATCCTCATCAAAAGTCAACATCCCGTATAGACAACATCAACTCAAAATGTCCAGTAATATAGACCACATCAGCATATCCGCTCCAAAGGAGCAGTTCGAAGCCGTCGTCGGCTGGTACAAAGCCGCCCTTGCTCCGCTCAAGTACCGCGAGCTAGAGCGCCTACCGAAGGCCGTCGGGCTGGGCGCGGAAGTCCCCGATCTGTGGGTGGTACAGGAGGACCATCCGGTGCATCAGGGGTTGCATTTTGCCTTGATGGCGCCAGGTATGTTATCGCACCCATACAGTGAATTTGGCGTGGCTGATGGGGTAGACCATGCGACGGTGGATGCGTTCTATCAGGCTGCCGTTGCGGCTGGGGGAGTCGACAATGGAAAACCCGGGGTCCATCCTGAGTACGATGGAGAGTATTACTATGGGTCGTTTGTCCTGGACCCGTTAGGTAATAACGTCGAAGTGGTAGGTCCTCCTGTTGATATACGATGTCAGAAGCCTAATGGTAGAATAGGTTGATCATTGTTCGCATGAGGTGGAGTACCGGTAGAATTACATTCCGGCGTGCGAATGACGACTATGCAAGAATATCATAGACATTATGAGCCTAGAGTAGTCCTTCCAAGATGCCATGCTAAGCATCGATATAATAATACACATACTCATACTTACAATCCCCACCACGCCAAGCGGCTGGTGTTTCGTTTAGGGCCTTGTTGCCTGATAATCCTGGCATCGGTGCCTACCTGCCCGGATGATGATGGGGAGTTGCTGTATGTTGAATCGCGGAATAGGTATTCAATAAGTCATCTTATGTAGTTCTTATAGTTGTGTCATAATATACAATGGATGACCGAATACCTCTAGCTGAGTGTGCACGCATCATCCTATTTACACATACACAGACTCCCCAACGACCTTTCGTCTCATAGTTTTCACACGTCAAAATGGACATAAGGTGCTTGCATCTCCAACTTAGCCTGTCATTCGTATCGTATCATCATTTTACTCGGCTTTGAGAAGATCAATGTCCCGTAGTAGATCGGTTCTGGGATGCCTGGTTTGCCAAATATGTCTCTCAGCTCGATCCTCTCGGGGTTCCATCTATGTTATGAAGCACAGTTGTCATGTCTAGGTCAATTCAGATCAACAAGCTATAGCCTTGATACGGTTTCTAAAAAAAATGAATAAGGGACAATACACGGAATCGCAATATCCATAATCAAACCACACGACGACTCTCCCTAACCCTATCTCGTCTCTAACTATGTGACATGGGCACCTAGCCACTAGCCAGCTTCTTCAACTGCGTCATAGGTCCATTGAACTTATCCGAATCTCCTCCATGCTTATACTTGTCCGAATCCTGCCAGATGGTCCACGTCTTCCAGTCGCCGGGGATCGTCTTGGGCGCGGTGCTGCTATACGCCGCGAGCACCAGCGGACACTTATCGCCAAAGCCCTTGGCGTTTCCGGTGCAGCGGTTCCACCAGTCGGCCGTGGTGTAGATCATGGGATACCGCTTCGTGGCGGAGTGATACTCGTCGACAAACTCCTTGATCCAGGACACCATCGCCGAGTGGCTGAGCCCGTAGCAGGTGGCACCGTACGGGTTGTACTCGATGTCCAGCATGCCCGGCAGAGTCATCTTGTCGTCGCTCCAGCCACCGCCGTTCTTCACGAAATACGTTGCCTGCGTGCTGCCGGAGGACTTGTCCGGGCGGGCAAAGTGGTAGCCTCCGCGGATCAGGCCGGCTTTGGTGGCGCCGGTGTAGTGCGAATTGAAGGTCGTGTCCTTGTAGGTAGTGCCTTCGGTAGCCTACTGATCATCAGCAAAAGACCAGTCGTACAGCCAGAACGGCGGTATTACCTTGATCATCACAAATTGGGCTCCATCCTTCTTGGCCGCCTCGAAGTCCACCGTCTTCTGATGGTTCGAGATGTCGAACCCTTGCACGGTACTGGCGTGGGCCTCAGACTGGCTAGGAAGGGCCGAAGCCAAGGCAGCGATGGTAGCGGTAACAGCAATGGAGAGCTTCATTTTCCTAGAGGATGTAGAATGGTGTATCTGGCTGTTGGTCTATCTTGCGAAGTACGAAGCCTTTTTATGTTCTCGGATACTCCTGATTGAGCTTTCCACTTTACCATGGAACAATTTAGCTCTGAAAATAGACATGGAGAAAATACGAAGGACCAAGCGGACCAGTGTTACAGACTGGCGATCAATGTTGCTTTTGAGATGAAATGCGAGATATTCTGGGTGATCGTCTCGGTCTCCACAGAAAAATACGAGGACATAGTTATTGAGTGCGATGGGACTCTATCACTCGAAGGATGATCGTCAGAGAAACAGCAATGAATATGATCCTAGAATCCAAACGGCCGAGCGCGAGGGAAATGAAGGTCATGCTCGGTCCCTGGCCAACCCCGTATTGGTCCCATTTATAGCCAGTTTGGGGCCAAATCAGTTCGTATGCCGTTCTTCTGGTGACGAGCATAAAAATAACACAGAATTAGATTCCTTGATTTGCAATGGCAGTAGACAATGAGCATGCCCACTGTACATCCTGGTGTGGCCTATGGCTGGTTAGATTATCCAGGTACATAGCTAGGGCCTTCATCTACTTCGCATTGACTCTCGGATGAACATCGTTGGTATCAACGAGCAATAGGACCAGAGGCCGTTTCCTTTGATAAATGTGACATTACAATACTCGAGGTGGTGAACAAGGACGAGATAAATTGGCCTGGAAAGACGATATCCCTAACTTATTGGCAAGTCCACCCATCAACAGAGATGTCGCTGAGACGGCTTCTATGCTAGAATGGATTGATCCAAGTCATTTCACGCCAGATCCTGAATTCTATCTTGAAAACAAATGTCTAGACATGGAAATGATGAAAGGACTCCGTGGCTACGTCGGGGATTGCCCTTCTTTTGAACATGGTTTCATTCATCAATATCCTTCCGAATTATATCTTGCTTGTAATGATCATGACACGTAAATCCTGCCTTCAAATGGCTGCAGGGTATCAGGTGTCGTTTCCGAATAGTTGCTGATCAACAACTTCTTCGCTCCCACTGTAGCAGCCTGTGTAATGGGTTGGGTCGACGAGGTGAAGTTCAGCACTACCAGGGCGCGTTTCTCGCCTCTCGACTTGACAAAAGTGAATGTTTCGAGATTCTCAAAGTCGACGACCTCAAACGCGCCGTGGATGAACAGCTCTCGGTATTCCTTGCGCAGCCGCAACGCCGTCTTCCAGAACGACAGTACACTCTCGGGGTCCGCTTCTTGCTTCTTCACATTGATCTCCTTATACAAATCATGGGTTCTCATCCACGGCGTGCCAGTCGTGAATCCGGCATTGGGGGTATCGTCCCACTGCATGGGCAACCGGGAATGATCTCGCGCCAGAATGCGTAACCCATCCATGATCCGTTCAGGGCGTGTCACGTCCGTGCCGCTGGCTGCTTGTCGTTCCGCCTCCCTGTAGTATCCCAGTCCCTCGATATCCTTGTACTCCTCGATCGGCCAGTCCTTGGGGGCATTGATCATGCCGATCTCCTGGCCCTGGTACAGGAACAACGTCCCCGTCATGGCGACCATCATCAACGCCAGCATCTTCGCCGAGCGCTCACGGAACTCGGGCGCATCAGACGCGAATCGGGACACGGACCGCCCGTTATCGTGGTTCTCGCAAAATGCCGTCGTCCAGCCGTCAGTGCCCTCGACAAAGCTCTGCCACTTGGATACAATGCTCTTCATCTGGGTCAGTTTCCACTGCTGGAACATGTACTTGTCCTCCAGGCTGCTTCCCATGCCGATATGTCCGATGTCCAGATGGAAGACCATGCTCAGCTGCTGCGCCGCCGCGCCCACATACTTCAGCACGTCTTTCGGGTCCGGGGTGTTGGCCAGCTCGCCGACGGTCATGACATCTCCATACGGCGCCAGCGCCTCGTCGTACATCTCCCGGATAAATTCATGGATGCGCGGACCGTTGCACCACATCTCTATCGCAGGCTGGATGTAGCTCTTCGGATCAACGACGCGCGCGTCGGGGAAATCTGTCCGCTTGCTGTACTTGTTCACGGTGTCGACGCGGAATCCGTCCACACCCTTATCCAGCCAGAAGCGCACGGCACTGTCGTATATCGCTTCCCGAGTCGCTCGGTTATCCCAGTTCAAGTCAGGCTGTTCCTTCGCATACAGATGCAGGTAATACTCCTGCGTCTTCTCGTCCCACGTCCACGTACTCCCCGCGAAATAACCCCGATAGTTCGTCGGTGGAAGTCGGTTCCCTTGCTCGTCGTACCGCGCGGGGCGCCAGAAATACCAGTCTCGTTTCTCGTTGTCCTTGCTGCTGCGGCTCTCCTTGAACCAGGCGTGCTCGTCGCTCGTGTGGTTGACTACCAGGTCGAGAATGAGCTTTATGCCGCGCTCGTGGCATTCCGCGATCAGCTTTTCGACATCCTCGACCGTCCCGTAGGCAGGGAGGACCTTCTCATAGTCGGAAATATCGTAGCCCATGTCGTGCATGGGCGAGTCATAGTGCGGTGACAGCCAGACTACGTCCACCCCGAGGGAATGCAGATAGGGGATTTTGGAGATGAGACCGGGGATATCGCCCCATCCATCGCCGTTGGAGTCTTTGAAAGACGCGGGGTAGACCTAAAGAAGTTGTTGGTTGAAAATCGCCTATCTCGAGTGTATTGTGTGTAGAAACTGACCTGGTAGACGGTGGCCTCCTTCCACCAGTTGTTCGTCCCCGTTGGGACTTCCCGGAGCGCATGTGGTGACATTGTGGATAATTCAAAGAGCAGCTTGTTTGACTTCCCACATTCTTGCGACTGCTGCGATTCTTATTTATCTGCTGCCGCGCACAAGATCGACGCCTCTTCTTGGGGGATCCGACTCGAGTCCGTCTTGACTCCGACTAGAGCCCGTCTCCACAAATGTTTCGCAATTGTGGAGAATTCTGTGCAGATGATGATAATATTTTCAAGAACAAATCGCTCATTAAGATCTACTCTTCTCAGCATATCTAAATGCTCGATCGAAGGGGAGATATGTCGAATGGCACAATATTCGTTAGTGCACGTGCTATATATACATCGACACGAAAGGCAATCTATTTCAACGCGGTTGATTTCACATCACCACAGGGAAACCTCCAAAACATCCATACGTCGCAGATACGATTTACCTTTACCTGCGTTCTGTGGGCTGGATGTGTAATCGTTCGCGGTGCGGATGAGCATGTTACGCCGCTCATGGGGGATACCGTCTCATCCATCGCGGAAGCGCAGAAATGTGCGACTGTCACCAGAACACCCTGGGAGATCTCCGTACGACCATTGTGGAAGTGAGCCATTAACATGGCTTCCCACGAGGCTGGGCTGTAGCCGAAGTACAGCCGGCTGGCCAGTTACATGGTCACATCACACACGGATTTGATCGGGCGGCCGTGCGAGGTGAGAAAGTTCTTGCTGAGGGCTATGACCACGTAGTAGCCGTACTGCTTCGTCGAGGTGTATTTGAGAGGCTTCTTGCGGAGGACTGGGATATGATCGTCCATTTCTGGGGTGAGTGTCAGAAGGTACTCCGAGAAGTCCATGATAGTCTCAGCATGTCCGTTGGCCGCGGGCTGCGGGCTGTGCTCAGGAATGGCTTCATAGATCCAGGCATTCATTCGATGCCACAATCTCTTTCACAGGCTCAGTTGAGCTTGCACCACCGCGGAGCTCGTCACTGGTAAGCTTTCGATCATCTGGACGCAGCCGTCTTGCTGTGACTGTCGGCCCTTAGAGCATTCAATTAATTTGAATAGCTCGGTGAACTTGACCAGAATGGCCCCCTGACGCATCAACTCCTGTTGACGAATGAGTAGGGAAGTGATGGTGGCTGTCCACTTTTGTAGATCATGTTTGGCCTGCTCGAGTGAATGTCGCTATAATAATAGTCAATACTATCCTAGTTCATCACCTGTGAGGTTGGACAACTGAATAGACGATATAGAGTATCTACTGAGTTCATGGGTACGCTGTTTATGCCTTCTGAGGATCATTTGCCTCTTGGGCTAGACTAACGAGCTAAGGAATTGCCAAATAGTTTTGAAGACAAGCTCACCAGCCTGCCTGCATACAATGAGATAGCCCTTTGCTCTTCGAGCCTCTTAGCCAATCCGTCCTTCACCGAAGAAATCGAAGGCGTATCCAGGTGCCGTTCTGGCTCCCCGACAAATGGTTTCATCAGTCTTGAAACCGATGTTTGTGTGGGTCTCAATCTCAGTGCTTGATTCTTGAATGTGTCTAATTTGTGGAAACGTCTGAAATCATTCACTCCCAATACAGGACTATCAGGCGTGGACAGCCTTCGGTCGTTTCTTCAACCTTCGATATCCGTTTGAAATATTTCTTCCTATTACCGGCTAGGAAACAAATATTGAGAACCGCCAAAAACCCCTTTCAGCCGCGCGACTACTTCTATCCTTCCTGATTTCGAGCAGATCTGGGCTTCCTCTGGTAGAGACACTCATCACGACTGCCAAAGTACCATTTCGGAGCACGACATAGAAGGTATCTGCCCATCACTGACGTTGGTGTTCGTTGGGGCAACCGAGCCTCAGAGAATCTCCTTCACAAAAGGAGAAACTCTTCTGAGGTTAAGCAATCCGTCTGATTCACTACGTGCCGAAAACCCACTGCGCCAAGCTCGTTCCCACTCTTTGGCATCAGGCGCTCAGCTTTTTCTGGGGAAGTGGCTGTCGCTTCAAAGGTTATTCTTGGCAGTATCTTGCTCAGCATAACATAGGGATACCCGACTTTGAAAACTTATTGCGTACTCTCCAGGTTCTCGCGGATCCACTCGTCCTCTTGCAGTTCTCTAGCAGAGCTACGCTTGGTCGGCTCCCACTGTAACATCTTCTGTAAGAGGCGTAAGAAACGGACCTTGTCCTGTCCGTGAAGAGTAGTCTCCCTTTGCTCAAGCGGAATCCGGTCTTCTAACAGAAATTCAGCGCAGAAGGCACCTAAAGAGTCAAACATAGTGAGCAGGGATGCAGGGATCAAAGTCACAACAGCACATAAAAGCTTACCGTCATTGGAAAAGAACTTATGGCGGAGCTTTCCTCCCGCAAGAAGACTAGGCGGCGGAGGTCCAAGCAGCCGAATGATCTCAGCGAGGTGGGCCCGACTTCGATAAGCCTGGAATTCCGGGTCATAGCCGGTGAACAAGGACTCGCCCTCAAAAATGTTCCAAATCTGTGAGGCAAGGCGAGATCAGAGAAAATTGCAACCAGTGCTATCCGGCGTATTGTCTTACCATACATCCCACATTCCATATATCAACACTATACGTCCATGGGACCTCCAGAATCACTTCGGGCGCGCGATAGATATTAGGCTGAATATCTTCTAGGTGCTCTATACCTCCAGGTATGGCCGAGCCAAAGTCACATAAGACTGGGGCACCCCATTCTCGGGGCATTCTGAGCTCACGGGACACATAGATAGTTCTTCCTTCTAGCTCTTTCCTTGGACAAGGATTCTGAAGCTCATTTTCCATAAAATCATGGAAGACCGAATCATCGGCGATGCCAAACATGATATTGTCGGCCTTGATGTCTGGTGTATTTGATACGTAAGTAAATAATAGAAGCAAAGAAGGGCAAAGCCGGAGTTAATACCAGCATGGATAATCTGGCATTCCGTATGCAGGTAGTCCAGCGCCAAAAACAGGCGCTTCAGCACAAATGCTAGGACTGGCGCAGGCAGCCTCCGCGCAGGGTTACGGTGCAGAAAGGTCAGCACACTTTCCCATAATGGAGGATGCACAAGGCACCGATGTTGGTCCTCAGGCCCATTAATATCAAATGAGTCAAGTAACGACCGAACTGCACTGCGGCCAGGGTGATTTTTTGAGCCCCCCTCGATGCGTTTATACATCTGGAGCTCATCGTCTAATTGCTGTCCCATAGATGCAGACTTGATAAAGATCTTCAGGGTAACGTAACCACGGTAGCTATGATTGAAGTACGTGAGCAGCTCGATTTGGGATGGTTACGTCCATGGGTGGCATGGGGTCCTTACTTCATGTCCCGCGCAAGCCACACAGTAGAGCTAGCTCCAAACCCCAGTTTTCCTACAATCTGATACCGGTCCTGGAAGATTTCACCTATCTGAGCAGGATAGTACCGGGACGCGGCATAATCGGGCAAGGTCTCTTCTTCAATTTTCATACTTATAGGTATCCGGGCGAAGTTTGGATTGGAGAAGTGAAGGGGCTTCCATGACCTTCCAAGCCGGGATAAGGAGCGTAGAAGTGACGGTAACATTATCAAAAGCACTGAAATACAAACCACCTGACACAAAAGAGTAGGAAGAATTCGATCAACAACATATGTTGAGGCTGATGATGATGCAGAAGGCGAGAATATAAGAAGAAAGCAGAAAAACACAAGACGCGAGGGTCTATTGGTCACGTGGTTTAACTCTCCCAAATAAGTGACATTAACTGCTGCCTGAGCATGGAAAAGCCAGCGTGATGGTCACATTGGCGCCTCTGACTACTTTTCTTGCGATTCTGGGGTACAGCCGTGAAGATGATCTGACAGTTCGCGGGGATCAGTTGGTTCAGTTACTCCGTCCATATACAGACCCACTGCTAAAGGAGGATTGTTGGTACCTAGTTTACCATCTGCGAGGATGTATTCCTCCCTTAATTCTTCATTTACCCCACGATGTCTCGCCCAGGAACATATTTCGTTATTCAGAGACAGAACTAAAAAATAAGAAGAAAATTAGACCGATCTTACCCGGCTGCGTATATAGGGGTATTCAGATTATCATCAAAGTTCCACCCGGCCCAGCATAAACCGCAACATCTATACCCATTATACATGATCATATCAGCGTCAGTAATCGTAGCAGAGTCATAAACATATTTAGGCGGAAGGAGTCTGCCCCTGCTCGCCGGCAGATATGCCCTTCTTCCAGTCATTCATCAAACGTGTAATTTCCTTGAGCGACACAGGCTTCGTGATGAAAACGTTCACCCCTGCAGCATAGGCCTTCACGATATGTTCGTCTGATCCCAGACCCGTGAGTGCCACGATCGTTGCAGGGCACGCTTCTTTGCGCTCTCTCTCAATGGCTCGAATTGCTTGTGTTGCTTCGAAGCCGTCCATAACGGGCATTGACATATCTGCTGCAAGTAAGCTAGTGCTGCGCATGGAGGTTTCTATTGGATTACTTACCCATGAAAATGAGGTGATAGCCGTCAGCCATCATCTTCACGGCGTCGACAGCCTTCTGACCATCCACGGCCGTGTCGAGAACAGTGGGACTCTGCCGAGATACGAGCTTTTGCAGCAGGGACATGTTGATAGGGTTGTCTTCCACAAGGAGAATTCGGAGGTCGTGCAGCCCCACTGAAGGGGAATTCGCAGATGTCCTAGTGGGAGATGCAATCTTCGAATCGAGATTCGAATTCAGAATACCTTGATCGGACCTCGGGGACTTGGGATTTCCCGCGGCCCAGAGAGGCGCTGCCCCCGTGGGAACGTTACCATCGACTGCCGGCTTAGCCTGCGAGATTCGAAGGTCAGTCATTAAGGCCGGCACACCATCGAGCGCATGCGGCTCAGACGTTGCTTGTAGACAATGCCGGATTGCCCGAGCGAGCTTATACGGGCCACAGGGAAGATTAAGCCATTCAAGCCTCCTGCAGGCTTGAGATAGAGTGGAAAATGTCGGATGTTCCTTCAACCCCGTGTGACATAACACCAGTATCTTTGTTCCTTCTGAAGATGTGCTGACAAATTGCATCTGGGACTCATCCACAATCAACAGGTCTGCATGGATACCTGCCTTCCATGGCTCGAGTCGGAGTTCATACCAGTGCGTCAGATAGTCGGCGATGGTGCGCGCGGATGGTAGCGTTTGTGATGTCGTATTCGTAGGAGGCACATAACACACAGTCTTCCCTCGGAGCTGTCGCGTCACCAGTTCGATGGTGTCTGTCGAAGCAGTAGGTACAGTCCCGTTTAGGCTGGTTGGGCCCTCTAGATGATGTTGTCCGCGCGGCCGCGCGAGTGGTAGTGAGATTTTGACGACGGTTCCCGCCCCGGCCTGAGACTTGACCTTGATGCTGCCGTGCAGTGATCGGACGATACTCTGGACGAGCGATAGTCCAAGCCCAGTACCGGGTGACAAGGGATCTTCCTGAGAAAACGGCGTAAACAGATGGGAACGCAGATATTCATTTGAAATTCCTCTGCCGGTGTCAGAGAAAGTCAGGAGAAGCGTATCAGAACCGTCCACGGTCTGACCGGGGAGACCATTGCTGCCCTTTTGAATCTCAATGTGCACTGAGATGTAACCTTGGCGCGTGTACTTGAGAGCGTTGCCGAATACGTTCATCACGATGCGTCGCAAAGCCCCAGGTTCAAGAACGAACACCCAGTCATCCGGGCTGACATCGATACATATATCGATATTTTTGACGACTGTTGGGTCCATGCTGAGGTGGCCGCTTCCTCCAGCAGCGCCAAACTTCACCCCAAAGCAGATACTTTCGATGACATCCTCAATAATACTCACGACATTGGCGACTTTCAGAATATGTAAGGAATGTGATTTGGGATGCGCCCTCACCGAGCCTCGGTCACCATGGAGCAATGGCGGACCGGCATCCCGTCGCTTTTTCCTAAACGAATTGATCTTGCTGAAATCAAGAATCTGCTCAAATGTGTCGAGAAGTGTTTGGCTACATGCGCGAATTGTATCTAAGAGCGATCGTGGGAATTCTGGAAGGACCTGCTCGGCCAGAAATTCCCCCGCGGCGAGAATGCCATGCAATGGACTGCGAAGTTCGTGTCTGTGGCGCAATTAGCAAAGAACGAGGTGAATCAAGGCATCGAGATCAAAAGCACTCACGAGATACTGCTGATGAAATCACCCTTTTTCTTGTCTGCTTCCTGACTCAACACCCGGCTATGCTCCACCATTAACGATGCCCCGAATCCCAGCACGCCGCCCAGCTCGACGTGGGAACTGAAGATCCGAGTCTCAACCAAGCTCCAGCAGAAACATGCGCCGAACCACCTTGAATTAAATGAATCCCAGAGCGGGGCGAAGATGATTCGTGTGGCTCTGGGAAAGTATTTTTGGAGGAGCTGCAGATCCTTCTCCCTTAGAGTACCTTGTGATCGAGGGTCGAGTGACCTGGACGACTGAGAGGCTAGTTCGGACTGTTCGAAATCGCAGCTTGGCCTACTTGCTTCCTCATCAGAGGAGAAGGTGGTCCCGTCCTGGTGGAAGTACCACAGAGCTCCTTTACGGAAGCGGTGCATCATGCGCTTCAGAAACCGGCGGTCCATCTGTGTGGCTGGGACTGCAGCCGATGGGTCCTCTACAACATCATCACGCTCTGCTCCTTTGATAGACATAGCGCGAATATGGGCAGTCATCCGCGATGCCCCAGGTAGTTCCGCCGATACATCCTCCTCTGGGTCAACTTCGGACAAGTCGTTGACATCGAAGATCACGACCCCACCGTCGTCGCCCAGATCTAAGCTCTCTCGCATGAGATGTGCGGCGCGTTGGAAGGTCGACACTCTACGGTGGCTGGGGGGATCATCATGAAGAGCACCTGCTGAAGAATCTTCCATGGTGGCCACTTTCGGCGTGATGGCGATAGGGGGGATATCACCGTTTGGTAGTGCATCCTTGCAATTCGACTCCACAGGCGGAGTCTGTGGAGGACTCGGCGTGGGAGACCGATCCAGATCCGATGTACTGGACGTTCTTGATAATGGGCCCGCAACTCCGCTGCTCACTTCTCCCTGTGCGAACGAATTGAGTCCAGACAGTAACTTGGTCAGACGGCTACTCTCAAGCGATTGACGCGAGGTATCCAGATACTCCATGACGGCAGTGGCTATTAGGCCGAGGGTCTCCCTGTGAGTGGCTGTGAGGCGGATATTAGGCCGGGGATCAATAACATATAGACTACCAATGTTGATGCCATTACTGGTCGTCAGGGGAGTACCGGCATAGAAGCGGAAATAGGGGGAGCCGGCGACACAAGGGAGGTTGCAATATCTCGCATGCTGTTGGAGGTCATCCACCACAAATAAGGGGCACCTGTCCGCCGCGGTTGGATGCAAAGTGATTGTCTTCTGCATCCATGGTCAATCCTTGAGCTGTGGTGTTTGACTGTGAGGGCAATTTACCTCGCATAGGGTGCCCGCGACGGGGCCATGAGAGCATCCCATCCACAACTCATCACCATCATCACCGTACAGATCATTGTCGCCGAGGTTCAGCGATCTTGATGCTTCAGCCACCACGTAGAGTGTTTCCCGGTCGATCAGACTAAGTTGCGTGAGTGAGAGATCGCACAGTGTGTTATGTCACATGACATGATATGCAGAACATACCTGATGATGGCCCGTTGCACCCCCAGTTTGACCGCCGCCAACTGACTCAGCGCTGTCAGAACAAGATTCGGACTGGCCTTGGACTGCGTGCATGTCGGGGGTGGACAAATCTGGCCTCCAGTGGTGATGGTGGGCAACAGCGCCGGATTGTCAGGTTGGAAATAGTGAAACAGCTCTCTGGCACGCCGGTCTCCCTCATGGTTCAACCGCTGGAGAGACGCTGGAGGCGCGGGTTTCTCCATGAGGTAAAAAGGGACCTGAATCCCTACTTGGGTTTAACCGAGTTATCGATGCTAATTTGATGCTTGTGTATTGTTTATTCTTGACTACTACTACTGTGTCTGGCCCGATTGCTTGATCATCTCTTCTTTTTTTTTTCTCCCTGCAAAATCCTTCACTGGCTCTTGTCATGCTGATTGGCTTGAAAGACGATGAGAAACAGGGAAGTGGCGATCGAATGGATGGATGCAGCGGCCTTTCCTGATTGTTGATTGGCTGGATAGAGGGTTTATCCTGCTGAGTAATCTTTGGCTTAGTCATAAAATGCATAGGTGACTAATATAACATCATATCGTGTTATACACCTGTTATACACCTGTTATACACCTGGTATACACGCACTACTTTGGCCCTCCATCACTGTACTATGTACTCTTGACGCCTCAAAGATCCATAAGCATCTTCATTGGATCAATAATTGTGTACCCCGGAGTACCCCAAGGCCAAAGGATCACCCGAAACTTCCTGCAAGAATGTGCTGACCGTCGGACAGACGTATAATGCTACCTCCACTGGAGCCGGTCCATACGCCGATCGTCCAGCTCATACAGTAGATCCTCATGCGGTCTCTACAGCTATCAGGATACGGTTGGCCATTGACCATCGTACGGAGAGCCGGCGTGAAACTAACCCCATGCAGCCCTACGTTGGCAAGCTCGGCAATGCATACTTCTACGATAATGTAATTGCGGGCCAGGTCGACTTCCTCTGTAGCTTTGGCACAGCCTTCAATAAAAAGACCACACTCTCCCTGCGCCGCTGTGGTTGGCGGTATCACGGCCTGGAAAGGCACCAACACGACCTTTGAGAACAAGTACGGCGTCTACATCGTCGACTCGCAGGTTCTCGCGGCGAATTCGTCCATCGTCGATGACATTAAGGGCATGTACTCCCTCAGGCGCCCCTAGAACCACTGCATCGACCCGTCTTTATGAACACCTATTTCGATCCCAGCATTCTTCCCGTAGGATATACTGTGTGGAAGGGTGCACCTGACAACAACTTCGACAGCCAGACTCTGATAGCGGTGTCCGGTGTCTATGGGCCTGGCTACAACCAAACCGCCCAAGAAAACGGAAATATCACGATAGTTCTGGACAGAAAAGAGGTTGCTCCGTTTGCCAGACCGATTGATGTGTTTATGACGCCCGAAGGTCGGCAGTCGAGCATGGGGTGGTTGGATCCAGTTGCTGCGAGAACAAGGAGGTCATAGAAGCAGGGCTCGGTGATGTGAGATCAGAAAGACTCTAAGACTTCGGTACCCATGAAATATGCTGATAGAAGTATACCAACAGGACTTTCGCCAAGATATCTTATAGGATCGTACCATTGTGAATGTGAGAGAGAAGCAAGGCTGTGACCGGCAGGAAGAGTGTACTGCCAGTGTCCCTGGACGTCGCAATATTGAATAATCAAAACTAAGATATGGAATCTACTCTCTACGAACGTCTCTAAAGAACACGATCAGGTGGTTGATACTCGCTCGTCGACGGCACACCCTAAGCCCATCCTCCGACTTGCATCCGCCGTGCCTCCGAGTAGAGTCCGGCCAACAGATCGGCAGCCAATAACGCCCCGGAATGGCTTCAGTTATTGGCCTGTGCGGGTTCGAACTCGTGCTGCCCCCACAGTTGGCCGTGTGGGGTACAGCAAAATTCCCCAGATCAGCTGTCGACGAACCCTGCAGGCTTTCCCCCAACAATCCACAGGCCTATGCCGAGAATATGAAGACCACTTAGGCGAAAGCTTGCGATGGGTTGGATATAAAACGTTCGTACCACCCCTGGCTTCTCTGGCATCGGTCCTCCAGGTTCACACAGCAAAGGAGTGACTCTTCATTGTTGTTCTCTTGCTCCTCGGTCCTATTTTTCGGTTAAGCGAAAAAAAAAAAAGCAATGTCGACTCCAAATGATATCGACTCCATGGCGGGTGAAAAATCCCGTCCTCTCGGCGAGGGTAAACAAGCGGCCCGCAAAGAACAGTCCATGACCCTGTGGCAGGCCATTCGCCTCTACCCCAAGGCTGTCGGCTGGTCGGTCCTCCTCTCCTCAACCCTGATCATGGAAGGCTACGATCTAGCCCTTCTCGGTTCCATGTATGCGTCTCCAGCGTTCAATCAGAAATTCGGTGTTCAATCAGCATCCGGAAAATGGACGGTGCCGGCTTCCTGGCAGTCGGCGCTGTCGAATGGAGCCAGAGCCGGCGAGGTCATCGGTTTGTTGATAAACGGTCTTATTTCCGAGCGTCTGGGATATCGCTGGACGATGATTGCCGCGCTTGCTGCCACGAACGCCGTCATTTTTATCTTTTTCTTTGCTGTTAATGTGAAGATGCTGCTCGCCGCCGAAATCCTGGCCGGTATTCCCTGGGGTATCTTCCAGACTCTGCCCGCCTCCTACGCCTCCGAAGTGTGTCCCGTCGTCCTACGTCCGTATCTGACAACATTTATCAATATGTGCTGGGTCATCGGTCAGTTCGTGGCCGTGGGAGTCAACCGCGGATCCATCCAGCGCGGAGATCAGTGGGCTTATCGGATTCCCTTCGCGGTGCAATGGGCCTGGCCGTTGCCCATCATGATTGGGATCCTCTTTGCACCCGAATCCCCCTGGTGGCACGTCCGCCGCGGCAATATCCAAGGTGCCAAACGAGCCCTGCAGCGGCTCACCTCCTTGAGCGACCCAGATTTTGATCCCGACGAGACCATTGCCATGATCCAACACACCAATGAGCTGGAAAAGGCCTTGTCGAGCGGCACCAGATACAGAGACTGCTTCAAGGGAACGAATCTCCGTCGGACGGAGATTGTCTGCCTTGTTTGGCTGGTTCAGACCCTCTGCGGACAGAACCTGATGGGATACTTTGCCTACTTCTGCGTTCAGGCAGGGCTGCCGACAGTGCACTCGTTCGACCTGTCTCTGGCACAATACGGCCTTGGCTTTCTGGGTACCGTGGGATCGTGGTTCCTCATGACCTACTGCGGTCGCCGGACTCTGCACGTCGGCGGGTTGGCCAGTCTCTTCACCCTGCTGATCATCACCGGCAGTCTTTCCTTTGCCCCCGGGGATAACAGTTCGGCCAAATGGGCTATCGGAGCCATGCTGATCATCTTCACCTTTTGCTACGACTTTACCATCGGTCCAGTGACATATTCGCTGGTGTCAGAACTGTCCTCCACGCGACTCAAAGCCAAGACGATTGTCCTTGCGCGCGTGGGCTACAACGTCAGCAACATCGTCGTCAACGTGTTGACCAACTACCAGCTCAATTCGACTGCCTGGGACTGGGGTGCGCGCACTGCGTATTTCTGGGCGGGAACCTGTCTGGCCGGCTTGATCTGGTCGTACTTCCGACTCCCTGAGCCCAAGGGACGGACGTACGAGGAGCTGGATCTGCTCTTCGAGCGTCGCGTATCGGCTCGCAAGTTCAAGGAGACGATCGTCGATCCGTACGAGGGAGAAGAGCAGGTGGAAGTCCGAGAGGACCACCTTAAGGAGTAAATCGGAATGCCAAGTCTATTCTTATTTTAATTTTAGTTTAGATTCTAAGCCCTTGACCGATTCCACGTGTTTTGATGGTCTAGTAATGGCCTGATGGATCCCTGTATAGCGCCGCCCTAGGGCTTACCTGGCTCCTCGCTCCACTTAGCCTTATTTAACCCCGCGTAGTCCCATCTTCCACCGTTCCACGCCTGTCGTTGATCAAGCAGTGGTTCGCTCCAAGACCGCAAAATGGCCTCCGGACTCATTTTCGATCCCCTTCGCCTGCTGGCGGTTGCCCCCTTGGCCACCAGCACTGGCAGTCTCGTCCACGCCCTTGTCGAACTCTTCTCCAACTCTGCCTTTGTCCAGCCATCCGTCCGGAAATCCTCCGACGCCGTTCTGCCCAAGTGGTACGCCTACGTCTTCAACCGCCAGATCGTCTCCGTCCTCGCTCTCAATTTGACCACCATCTCGACTGGGCTATCAAATATCCTCCTAAGCCGATCGAAGCGTATTCTTCCAGTCTCGCGGACGACGTTCTACTGGGCCGGTGTTGCCGGAGCTGTCACGCATCTTGTTTTCGCCCCGCTAGTGGCGCCGCGGATCCAGCGCATGGTCGAGAATACCAATGAGAATGGGGCGACGGTCGAGATGGACGAGTGGCTGGGCTACCATCGCATCAGAATGTTGGTTGCTGATCTGCCCGCTTGGTTGGCCTTTGCAGCAGCTGTAATGGTGGTTTAAAATCAGCCATCGTTGGTTCTACTCTGTGATATTTACATCAGCGCCGGCGGATCCGACACGGCCAGTTGTACGGAACTACGGTAAAATGATTCTCAAACATCCATTCCTGCTTCGGGTGAATTTGCTCGATCTCGTAGTCGCGGAACAGCGTGGCCGCTAGCTTGGAGATCTCGAAATGCGCGAGATTACGGCCGGGACATTGATTATATCCGGCACCCCACTGATTGTGTTAGATAGAAAATAGTCTCTCTCGGCCGGTGTATGGACTTACGTGTATCAAGTATGAGTCCATCTCTGCACATCGCTCCTTGTCGAGCCACCGCTCGGGATTGAATGTATCGCAGTCGGCGCCGAAAAGCGCAGGATTCCGATGGAAAACCCATGGATTGACACTTAGAATGGTCTAAAATAGTCAGTATCCCGAATTATCACCCAGGGGGGAGACCTACCCCTTCGGTAAAATGCCTCCCTGCTATGGTCATTCCAGCCTTAGGAACGACCCGCGGTAGTCCCAGGCCTACAGCCGAGTGAAACCGATACGCCTCTTTGATCTACATCGGTGAGTTCAGTCCGCACCAGGTCACTGTACAGACTTACGCAAGCTTGTAGAAATGGCAGTCTCTGCGCCTCAGCATACTGCACCACGGCAGACAACTCGCCCTTTGCCTTGGCCGCATCGATCTCCGCACGCAGACGCTGAAGATGTCCCGGACTACGAAGCAGATGATACACCAGTGCCTGCAGCGTCGCGCTGACCGTGTCTGCGCCAGCACCGATGTTCGCTACTGCAACCGCAAAGACTTCATTCTCCGCCATGCGGTCCGGGTATGTCGCACGGACATGCAGCCAGCGCTCCATCATGTCGTTACGGGAGTCAGGGTTGTTCTTGCGGGCATCAATCGCTGCGAGACATGTGTCGAAGATGTGCGACGAGGGCTGAATCCCCAGCCGACTGAGCAGTGGGTTGCCCAGCGTAAGATTGTGCAGCCGCACATAGGGGTTCATGAGGGCGATATAGAGCGCCAGAGCGCGGGTGTTAGCGATAGCATTGCGGATGTCAGTGCCGCTCTCGACAAAGCCGAAGGACTTGGAGAAGGTGACTTCTCCCACCACGTCAAAGGCGAAGTAATTGAACCAGCGGTCAAACTCGACGGGGGTGCCAGATTCGCTTAACCCGTCGAGCCGTGTTTTGAGGAGTTGGAGCAGAGTGTCGACATAGGCTTCGGATTTGATGATGTTGGAAAGCGCATATCCTGCCGCCACATTGCGTGTCTTTTCAATGTGTCGGCGTGGGTTGAGCTCGGACATCTGGTTGACATAGTGATAGTCTGGGATGCTGAAGATGGCATACATGGGACCCTGGTCGATTAATCTCTGCGGCTATAAAACGTAGGGATCAGACCTACTTTGACAATTTTGGCGTGCAAGATTTGCCTGACGGCATCTGGATGCGACACACTGACTTCGTTCTCGGCGATGCGCACGAAGTAGCCTGGCTAGTTAGCAACTGTCATGTATCTGATTCTTGGGCCTCACACCATGCTTCTTGTGCAATCTTATCATCTCCTCCTCGGTGTGACCCTTCCATACTTGATAGACCTTCCACAAACTCGAAAAAGACGCCAAAAATGGGCCAGGGATATCGCGAAGTGCAGTGGAGTATTTTCTTTTCACAGCAAAGGTAGCCACAAGGCTAAGAAACGCGAGGACCCAGAATCCTGGCGTCGAGGGACTCTCGAGTCCCGTAGTAAGAGCGAAGACCCCCATGTTGTTGATGGTCTTTTTCTTTCTTCAGCGTCGATCCTTGGAGGGGGAACAAGGCTATTTCAATTGACTAGTAGTTGACCGATTATGCAAGGAATAAGAGCAGGAAGGTACCTCACTGGCTTCCTGAGAGGGAACTTGCACCGTTGGGTTGCGACAATTTCAAATCAACCTGCAGTCAGATGTGATGGACGGGACGACCACATACACTTTATCTAGCCACAGGTTTCATGATTGAAAAGGGACCAACCAGTGGCCAGTGTGTTGAAAGGAGGGGGCTCTTAAGCACGCCATTCTCTCATGTGTCCTTCCCATCGATTTCAGGGTATGGAGTAACGCCATCTATCTTGTTGTTGGGATATGATTTCGTGCGGAAAGGGGGGGAGTTCGATTGCGTCAATGAAGAGCAGGGCGGATCACGAGTCTCATTCTCCCAGCCTTGTACCACTTAGAGAGTTGTGTGACTGTTCGAGGACAGAAGAGGTATCTATCTGTCCATCCAGTCATGAGCGTCCTCACCACACCCACGCAATGCGTTCTACTAGATTAGTATAGAGACTCGTTCTTTTTAATCTCTGCAGATGCAGAGACAACTCACAAGCAGTCACATTGGTCGGCAGCTATTTACAGATGCAACGCTGGCCGGAATGCTACTGCAGCTGCTAGAATTCCCATCCTTCCGGCTGTTACACCAACTGGAATGATCATCATCATTGCTTTGTCGACACTGACCTTGACCGAGGATGTATCATCAAGGAGCCGGGTTGGCATGATCGTCTCCTTACTCTTGCCATGGTAGTCTTTTACCTGTATTTAGCTATCGTGCTAATTTTCTCGGCTACTGAGATAAGGGGTTGCCGCTCTTTCCATGATGGTCAATCACTATGGCTCTAGTTGGCATTTTGCTGCTGTTGTCAGTGAGCTAGTGTCGATGGTGGACATGTTCGAAGGGCTCGTTGGGGCTCAGATGGTCTACATATTCTCTTTCTAGTAGTGTCGGGCGTCTGGTTTGGCCTTCTATGCACGTTTGAACCCCATGCCTTTTTTTTTGGCTGTATTTACGCATCGCTTTGGCGTTTGTCACTGCCGTACACATTATCCAGATGCTCATAATCACCCTGCAATGCATCCCATTGGCCACACTAGGGGATGATTCCAAGAGGAAATGTCTTGACCTTGCGTTGTCTTTCTCCTCGTGTTCATCTTCACACTCCAGGCAAGCCCGTGCATCGCGTCATGATGATGGATACCGACATTCTGCAGTGCTGTAGTGTCATTTCCAGCGGATTCTTTTATGTTTCTACATCTATCACAGCTAAAACGTCGCTTCTTCGCATGGTATCTATGATCGATCCTCTGAATCATCCCGAGAATTCCATATAGTACTACTTGATGGTGATGGCCTGGTCTTTGGCCGGGATCGCTACGGTCATCATTGCTTTGTCGTTGCGAGCACCGAAAGGCCTATTTGGTTATCATGGCAGTGAGGATGTACTTTGGTCGCAAGAGAATGAACACCGCCATCAGATACATATAGTAAACACAGTGCGAGTTGATGTTGACTGAGCATAGCATGCAAGATGGAGATTTCCCTAATATATACACCAGGATCTCAAGCCGTCGCCACGGAGCTGACTTCCAGCATGATTTTTTGAGCTTCCCCCAACGCCGTTTGAATTAGTTCAGCTTTCCGCTTCAGGGCGGCTGCATATTTGAGGTCTTGATCAGCCTCGGACCTCTCTCCTTCCACGGTGACCGAAACCCGCAGATCGCGTGTAATGTTGTGGATCTCATGCCGCAGCCGTTGACCAAGCCGCGCAAAAGTGGCCTTCCTCAGATCCCGAAAGTCATCCACCAATAGGGCCACGAAATCCTCAAACAAATCCGAGGACATAATGGAACGGTCCATAATTTCCTTGCGTCTGGCATCGCTTCCCTTTCCTAGAAATGAGATTTGCGCAGGTTAGAAGGATACTGATGAAGGCTTACGGAGGAAGGCGTGGAAAGGAGATCTTCGATATCATACCATATTGACGGTTGCAGGCATAATACACTGGGAGCATGACACTGACCATATACGAGCTTGAATGCCCCCCCATCGTGTCGAGGATGATTCTCCTGTCTAAGGGTCAGTATATCCTGCATAGAGAATAGACGTCATGGGTACGGTACGCGGTTGCATGAAACAGCTCGTCCATAGCGTGAGCAATGACATCCTTTATACATCTCTGCCGGTGTTTCAAGTTCCAAAGCAGATTTTTCAAGGCCTCCGGCGCTGTTTCGTGATGTTCTGCCGAGTTCAGTGAGCACAGGCAATCTAGCCCCCTTTGATTCTTTTTTTCGGTTCAAGGTGGGGAGGGTATACCATTGATCGAGTTACACACATTTTGAAACGTGTTGAACACCTCTTCGTTAAGGCCATTCTTCTCCTCCTCAAGCCATAAAAGCATGGTATCCCAACTAGCGCGAAGTTGAGGAAGTGCCGGATTAAGAATCTCCTCATTCCAACAACGATATCCTATCCTGGGCGATCTATACCTGCCGTGATGCTTGCACCAAGCGGTATATGACATGTGGTGCCACTGGTAAAATCCGGTTAGATCTAGAGTCTTTCTACTGCCTGATGGATCACTCTGACTTACATTTGCCCAGTCTCGACTCACAGCAACTGCGCCGTCCCTCCAGTACCTTCGATGTCGAACTGTCCCATGGTCACTACCATAATTCTTGGAAAGCCGGGGGAGGGGGAAAAATTAGGATAACGCACGAAATTTCTGTATAATCGCAGTATCAAAACCGTACTTTATATTGGCCCGTGCCGTCCACACTGCTGATTGGGAGGAGGCAATGCGCTCCACGCTGTCAGCAATCATGGAATTGAAGCTACACTCAGCCATGTCAAGCTTCACGAGGACGTAAGAAGGTGCTGTACCGATTGGAGAACTTGTTCAGCTTCATTCAACACCCCACGTAGGACCTCTGCGCGGCGTGCATCTACAACATGAGATCCTGCCAATGCCCATTGCTTGAGAGAGCCGAGCAGTGCAGGAACCTGGTTCTGAAGATAGGACTTTGTCGCACGAAATTGCGCGTCTGCGGGAACCAACTGACAATAGCGACGGAGTTCCTTGATGCCGGATAGCTGGAGGTATCCATCAGCCTGGTCGGAATCAAGCGAACAATACTCTGAGTAGAGCTTGTTGCTCACGCAGAACACCTTGGCTGTGTATGAGCTCATCAAAGCCTCTGTCACGCTCTTGTTGCGTCTTGAAATGAGGAATTGCTTCAGTCTGTGCAGCTTTCAGTTATCATCCGGACTTGTTCGGCGAGTGACGGGACCACCTACTCGAGTATAAGTGCCTCTTTCCGCTCGCTGTGGATATCCTGGGTCAGCATGTACTTTAAGGATTGATCCTCGAATCGATCCACATACTCCAAGTCGATGATCTCATCCGCTGCCAAATTTCGTCTTTTGCTGTCGGCAAATCGTCGTCGACGAGCCCGCGCATTGGCGATTCTGCGTTCAAGCTTCTGAATTTGGTCGTCAAGGTTGGAGATGTGTTTCGCGTCAACTTCTGATGATGTCCGTGCAGTCTCCTTTGCATCCACATCCTAGGATTGCTTCTTTTAGCACACATTTGCCGGCTGGGTGTCAATAATCTTTACCTCCGAGCGAGTACAAACGATTCGTATCGGCTGTCCTTCACAGCGACGAACGATATCGTCGATTGACTGATCAGTCGTACAACGACCGATTGTACTCACAATGAACACTTCGTCGCAACTGTGGCGAAGGTACCTTTCAGTTGCCCGGAGTCGAGCAAAGTTCAAATCCCGAAATCCTGTACAAAGGTTACCGATTCAGTGCAACAAGGGTGCTCGAGATGCCATACCTGGAAGGTCAGCCAGGACTAGACCAGTGCGTAGGATTGGTGATCGCAAATACACCCTGTTCGTTGTTAGACGCATATTACAACCACCTGCCAACCGGGATCTCGTCAAACCTGATGAGCTTCACAAAAGGCCATAGCGCGGGCCGATCCCCATCCCCTGCGTCACTCATAAAGCTATCAAGGTGCGCCATGCACTTATCAGCATGTCCAGCCACGACTGAATAGTGAAGGCTGTCGCGTCCACCTGGCCGGTGGTCCAACCCAGCTATTGCCCACTCTTCCAGTGTTTTCATTATAGACGCGGCTGCATTTTCTCCCTCCGAAGAAAGAAAATCAATATCAAGTGTTGGCTGGTTAGGAAAGAGCGAGAGCAGCGTCTCCCAGGCTCTGTTGGCAACAGTCTTGATCTCCTCTTGTTCTTGCCGCTCCATAACTTCTCGGTAGGCATCTGTGTAATACTGTCGAACATTTGACAACAGCTCCTGGATTAGCCCTCGGATCTCTCCTTTGTCCATAAAGTCCACCTCGATGGTATAATTCTCCGGGTGCTCCTCGGTCACGCTTCGGAACTCCGTGACAACTGTGGTGCAGGCAGCTCCATCGCCGCTCTGAGGAGGATTTGCCATGAGTACTTGAGATCAATCATGCAGCGAGATTTCTCGGTACTCGACTTACAGAGCGGGCAAGACTATTCTGATCCAGAATAGAGTTGATCACACTACTTTTCCATGGGAATTGATTAGCCTTCTGTGTTCGCGTGCACCAAAACCTGCCGCCAGCTTACCCATTCCTGAGTCTCCAATAAAGCCGACGGTCCGCGAGGCAGGATACGCGAATTTGCTCGCCTCGAGTGTCGCTTTATACAATTCATGAAGAATACTTTTCTCATCCTTTGCTAGTCTGAGACTACTTGTGACATGCGCCAGAGCTGCGAGCTGGCTCGGTGTCTGTCGGGCTATGTATGGGATTCTCGAGATTCTTGTAAGTCGTATGATGAGGATTAAGGGGCAGACCAGGCCCCTTCAGGTTCTCGACAGCATTTAGGTCCGACTTCTGACTCCCTTGCTCTGAGATCTCGCTCAAGTTCAGACTCTGAAGAAGAGTTTCTGTGGTTGGCGTGCTAGAACGGCGACCGACTACAGGTTCGACTGGCTCGTCCAGGGAGCATGCCGGAGTTGTTGCTACGCCCGTGGATAATGGGCGGCAAGGGGAACAGAACTCAGCCAAGGGTAGAGACTCTCTCTTTGCAGGACTGGATGAGACTCTCGGCAATGGAGTGGTGGACCTACTGGTATTGTCGGTAATGATATCTTTCCGCATGGTTTCTTCTTTGACGTTTGCTGGAGTGCAGTCAGTGGTAGGGAAAACTCAAGACGTCGTCCGGGGGAACGGCCGATAAATAAGAAGGCTGAGAGATGCCGGGTCCTAATTATAGCAGCGCGCAAAGAGGGTGCATAGAGAGATGTACATGTTAGTCACTTACTGCGCCGCAAAAAGTAGTTCTCTCACACCCCTGTCTATCTACTCTACCCGTGGCCAGATTGGCTATGCAAAGGGGACTTAGGGTTGCTGAGTATCTGGACCCGTTCTCCATCCTAACGCCTTAAGGGAATCTCAACGATGATGAGTGTTTGCTATCAGGATAATAGGATTGACTCTGGAAACATGCTCCTGATTTGACGTGGTGGAAGATGCCAAAATTGTCGGGCAGGTAGCTAGCCTTTTTCTTTCTCTTTTGCTTGGGTACTCTTGTTGATTCGATCACGATTATTTCTCAAATACGGCTACTTTCTGTAACTGTGGAAATACCCATAGTGAGATGCTGGTTGCATTCGTTAGACACCACGAATCAGTCATAAGTATTGGAAAGAGACTCATATGAGCTGGAACCCGTTTACACAATAGCTAACACGTGAAGGCAGGACCGATTGCTCGAAGAATTATATCTATTGTGCGTGCCCGAGCTGGATCACCTCGAACTGCCCATTACTTTGATACTTCACCTCTCTCTCGGCTCCGGGCCGCAGAGACGGTATCGTCGCGGCAGGTTGCCAATCCGTAAGATCGATGATCTCACCAGCCACAGCATGTCCGCGAGCACATCGCCAATCCAAGCTCGGAGCAAGGATGTACACGCTTCCTGGAATGGCCGTCCATGTCACCACGGGAACCACGTCGTCCGGATTGGAAGGGTTGACTGCGCCAATTCCGATAAAGGGAGCGTCTGCATGCCCATCGGCAATTGGGGCTGTAGTTAGAAGAAGGATCTGAGTCGGCGTAGCTGAGAAGTAGAGAGAGACGGGTATAAACTGACTTGGATGTGGATAGCTGAATGAGTGGTCCACTGTGATACGCACGCGCCTGGAAATGCTTTCCTCCTCGTCCATCGTGGCGCCATGGCTGAAGCTGCCGTTGCTGCGGGGAAGAACGAAACTTGGCTCCGAGCCATCTGGCATGGTCATAGTACAGCTCGCGGATGGCACCGTGAGATCCGCACTAGCTTGCAGGAGTATATAGTCGCTGCTGAAAATCCGGGGGCGCTGCGATTCCCTATGCACGGGACCAACGCCGGTCACCGCAAAGAGAGAGCGAGGGTCTCCATTGGGGAAAGTTAGCGTGAATGTGGTGCTGCCTGTGCGCGAGGCAACCCGGAGCGATGCCTGGTAGATGCTCAGGTTAATCTGAGCGGGCACATTGGCGGATGAGAAGGTGGGCGCCACGGGGAAGATCACGAAGGACTCTGGAAGGGCAGATTTATTGCGGATAGTCACAATTGCATCCGGCAAAAAGTCCTCATCGATCCCGTCGTTTGTGGTTGGAGTCAGGACCGACTCAGGAGGGGGAGACAGTGCCATGCTCAGAAAATCGTAGTTAGAGGAGGATCCAGGTCTGGTTCCTCAAGAATGCTTTGTTCCTCGTTGCTTATCTGACGTTTCCTAGTCGGCTTATTCTGCCCTGCTTAAGTGCGTCGTCGCTAGGAATTACCCCATGCTGCACGAGATGCACTAAATCAACAAGCCACATGTTCGCAGGATTAAACAATCTAAAGTAGAATCGACCATTCAAAAGCATTGGATTGACATCTGAAAGAACGTGTCACGCCCTAACCTCGACATTTGCACGCTACTTCAACCGGTTCAGCCCCCATCTCCTATTGCGCCCTCTGCTACATAAAACTCAACTCAACTGGAGTCTCAGCTCCCAGCTCACTCCTTGACCTCGGTGACTTCGGAAACCTCCCACTTGACCAGATTTTTCTTAGTCTGGCCCTCATCATCCACAAAGGTGCCGTTGGAATTCATGATGAAATAAGCCTCGGGCACGGCGCATCCGGTGAAATCCACCTTGAGGGCGACGCCAATCTCATTGCGGTCAACAATCATGCCCTGGTGATGTTCCCCGGTGCAGATGTAGTAGCGCAGCTTGGGGAACAGTTGGTTGGTCTGGCTCGGCTTGGCCACATAGGTCTGCACGGGGATGACGCTGCCGGTGGCGTCTGGTGCACCCAGTCCGATGTAGATATTAGCTGGGTTGGAGGTCAGTACGTTCCACTAATTTCTTGACGGGATGTGGATAAGGCAGACAAAAGGGGTACTGACCCTTGTTGGGGTACTTGAAGCTACTATCCGTCACAAAGTTGAAGCCACCTTTGGCATCGGACTTTTTGCTTTGGATGACAGTGTCGTTCCAGCATGGGCTTTCGTCATCTATGGTCGTCAAAGCGGCGACAGTGCCATCAGGGCCGAGCTTGACAGGCATGGAGTCGCTGGTGTACACGCGGGTTGGACCAACAGCGTTCTTCTGGGCAGTGCCGTGAATAGCGAAGAACTTGCTGTCCATCTCAAAGCGGACCATGGAGTTCTCGCCGGACTTCAGGCGCGGGCTAGTCTGGAAGACATTGTAGAACACTTCGGAGCTGTTCAGGTTCTTGGGCTTGGGAGCATCCTGGAACAGAAGGAAGCGCTTGGTGTCGTTGGACTGGTTGCGAATGGTGATACGGCAAGTGGTGGTTTTCGACATGGTGGATTTGAAGTTGACAGAAAGTCGTGCAAAAGCTATTGCGTTACTGTGATTGATAGTAGAAGTCTGAAGCTGATGAGAGTGTTGGAGATAGCTTGATATGGAGGCATTCCCAGGTCTTTATAGACGGCCTCTGCAGTGATGTTCAAGGGGTAATGGTTCTGGGGCCAGCATTGTCCCAATTTCAGCCAGCCATGTTGAACACCAGCTGCTGAGTGACTTGCCTGTAGCTTCAGGATTGAGGCACACAAGAGCCAATCCAGAACCAGAGAAGATGTGATGAAGAGTCTAGATGGCCTCCGCAGACATGCACACGACACACAATCGGCAGGAATCACACTTGAATCACGATGCTAAACATATTTTTGCTATAGAAGAGGCATTAAAAGGAGCTGAAAGGTCTCAGATAGGCTGAGCAAGGTAGCCTGGGATTCTCGACTCACCGGACATGACCGAGAAGGTTTGAAGCCATTCACACCCCAATCAGGTCAGAAGGGCTGGAAATATTTAGATGCATTGTACCTGTAAGCGAAGGTGACGAATGTAAGGCACTCGCAGGCGCAAGCCACATTGACGATGCGTGTAAATCCTCATTCAATTGGCAGAAATGATGTGTGATCAGTTCAAATCCTCAGCTCAGCAATGTCCCGCTTTGTCGGCTACAATGTCGCGTTTCGAGAAGTTCAGGATTTAGCGTCAAGGGTGTCCATCCAACTTTGACATAGTATGCCCAAGCCCTGCCAGCAGATTCTCTTCATCACATCCTAGCTACGCATCCGTATACGCAACTACGTCTTGACCACGACATCCTTAAAGCAATTGACCAAACTCCTCCCATTCCCACAAACAGAAACACATCGGTGAACCCTTGCCCCAGCAGACAATTCAACAAGACCAACATGGGGTCGGTTTCCCCATTGAGAATTAAATGCATTACTGCTGTTCCGGAATTGGTGGTCTCAAACAGCAAGGGCGTTGCGCAGCAGCCATCCGTTCCTCTGGAGATATGGTCGAGCGACGGCGCCGATGTCAGAGACAAGCCTGCGGGCTCGTTGAAACCTGTTGCACTGGAGCTCGCCAAAAAAGCACAGGAGCGTTACACGCTCAAGCTAACTATCAAAGGGACGTGCATATTCCCTGAGCCCTGGCCGCGTACCGCAACCTGCCAACTGCAGGGCACGGTAAAGGGGTCCACGGACAAGATCATCACGAGCGAAGACTGGACAGTCGTACTAGATCCAACGTCTCCCCCAAAACGCGAGTCCAGGGAATTTGAGTTCTCGAACCTGACGGTCCCTTCGCCCTTCAAGGAGGGCATTCCCCCGGTGCCGAATTCCCTAGCGGGTGACATCAAGTGGAAGATAGTGATACCTGGGGGAGACCCAAAGAGTATGTATAAAATTTTGGTTTAGCTGTCTATTTGATCAAGTTGGGACGGACACTGATTCGCGTATCTTGGTGCCAGATGACCTGGAACAAAGAAATACCACGCGAGTGGAGTTTTGCTGGCTTTATGGACCTGCACCTACTGGCCCAAGCCTGATTCGCACTTCGCTCGAACGCACCGTTGTTGATTTCCAAGGCAAATATCCCATCGGGCTTCTCAGAGCGGTCCTCCCAACTCGCAACCAGCTGCAGGCGCAGCCAGACCCAAAGCCAGATCCGGACCCAGCACTTCCCGCGGGCCCTGAGGGGTGGTGGATCCAGTACTGCGAAAGATGGTTGTGGAAGAGCGGCCTGATCTACAATACTATCTCGGGTCGATCTGCGTTCGGCATGGGCTACTGCGGGGGCAGCTTTGACCTGGAGGAGTTTGTGTTAATCATGAACATCACCGACCCGACAGCCAAGAGAACATTGGTCAACTCGTTTGATGTGACTGCCATAGCCCAGCTCGCTCTTATGCTGGCGGCCCATCGCCAGACCAACGACCTGTGGGCAACCCATTGGGTTTGCAAGGCGCCTTTTGGATATATAAACCCAACTATCCCTTTGGCTCTGGGTGTTGAAGTCAACAACCCGTTCTATCAAGGAATCGATGGGCCATGTATGTGCACGCATTGATCTGTGTTTCCCGGCTGATGATACGAATGCTTTGAACTTGCTGACATTGCCACGCAGATGCAGGGAAGCCACTAATTCCAACAAAGGAACTGACCAATGTCCCCGAGTGTAAAGCTCGAGCATGGCTGGAAGTTGATCTGGAAAAGCCAGCGCGAGTAGTCGATTTGAGTCACAGATTGGGCGAGTTGGCGGACTGTGGACAGCGAGATCGGGACGAATATGCCGCCGTACACATGGTGGCTGCCACAAAGACCGACCTGGCGGATTTCCGAGACGATATGCTTTCCAATGGCGGGCAGTGTCGTGAGTTCACTAGTGTCACAATACGGTGCTAGATAGCTAATTCAACGCTGCGTCACAGATTCCAACACAGACAACCAGTTCAGCGTGAAGCAGTCGGGCGAGGTTGCTGACCCCGAGCCTCCTATTGCCCGTGTTGGTGTCTATGACCTCCTGGGCGTGGGCACTCCGCGTCGAGGTGCCAAACAGGCTTCCGTCGTGCCCATCCCTCCTGTGATGCGAGGAATCATCACGGAAATGATGGCAAGGGGGAAGAATCCGCAGTGGCCCCAGCTCGGATATAACGACGCTTCTCTGCGCTTTTCTAGTCTCCAGTCAATTATTCAAGACGGTCCCCTCAAGGACAATACAAGCGACACCAGTGTCCGAGTGACCATGGGCGCAACAGTCATCAAGTATTCGGTTGACGATGTGTCTCTTACGTCTACCGTGAAAGGAAAGATGGTGATCCGCGTAAGTCGCGTCCATAGTATCAGACCTCCTTGTCTGTCTGGTATATTGACCGGTTCAGATCCACGTGTTCGACCAGCTCCACGATGCCTACGAGGCCATGGCATTTGAGTTGAGCAAGTGTGAGCGCGAACTCTCGTCGGTAATCAGACCTCTCTATCCCGCGTTGGGCCACTATTCCCTCCGGACACCGGATTCGTTCCTTTGTGTGCGCGGCAACATCTTCATTGAGGTCACTCTGATCGGCATGGTCCGTCCTGACGACACGGGCTACCAGCTTTTGACCGATGCGATTGGGGGCCTGGACCTTTACTTATCCAAGCACGTTGTGAGTCGGAGCCAGGCCCGTCGACCGGGTATGCAGCTTGTGGAAGAACCCCCAGCCACGATGAAGCCAGGCAAGACATTCGAGGTCCGTTTGCGCGATACGGAACTTCTTGACCAACGCGTCTATGCGCATTCCAGCCAAGCATCGGTGGTAGTCCCTGCGGGGCCGGGGGATGATGGCTATACGCAGCGCTTCTTTGTGATGGAGCCCGAGTATCCCCCGGAGAGTCTGAAGGTCACGATTGCCGGCGCCCATGCTGATACTTTGCATCCTGGATTTGTCTCGTTTAAAATGGAGGTCATGGCGCCTTAGGTTCAGACTGTGTTAGCTCGTACTTTCGTCAATTTTAGTTGTTTCATGGTTTATCTCGCATCTGTAGTCGTGTGTAGTTGGTCACACGAACATGTCTGTGGCTATAACCTTGAACTTACCCGAAGTATGAGGGTACTGTGATTTGATGTTGAACCATTACTCCACGCACATATGGTTCATCTCAATGCATACAATAGAGTAGACTCTGGCGATCGACTCGTGGTGGATTGCCGAGCTGGCGGGCGTGATGTGATGGTGGCTGAATTCACACACTGCATCAAAATTTTAGCGCCAGGATCGAAGTATGGAGCTTTTCCTGAACTATCTGGCTGCATTATTATCAATTCAGTGGCGAGCTGAAATTCAGCTACACTTGCTTTCCCGGATATCACAGTCGAACATGGGCGATTTCAAGCGATCGGCTATTTACTCCCACACTGTCTGTGGGCATCTGGGCTCTGGCAGCAACATCCCGCAGCCAGTAGATCGTACATGGACATAAAAGACGTCTCGGAAGGCAATGACAGGCGAAGTATTCATTGTACCCCCAAGAGACTATTCCGAGTTGGCCTTCTAACGTCTGTTGCAATGTCTTCCATCACCATCAACGGCAACACGCTGGAGATCAGCCCCGATGCTCGCCATGTCTCCGCACGCAATGCCGAATCCTCAAACTACATTCTGCTCAGGTCTAAAGACAGGTTGAAGATGGCGCAGATGGAAGAGTTAGAAGCCCTCGGCGTCAAAGCCCATACCATTGTCGACACCGACACATACCTGTGCGAGTATGCTCCCAGCGATCTCTCGAGCCTCCGGAGCAAAGATTATCTTGACTACGTGGACATTTACCATCCGTCCCTGAAGGTATCTGCACACCTACGCCAGCCTGAGGCCTTCTCGTCCTTTGCTGCCCGATCAGACGATGAGCCTGTACAGGATGAGCTGGAGGTGGTTATATGCCTGCATCAGAATGGTCCAGGCAGCCAGGCTGTGAACGATGAACTGGTGCGGCGCGGCCTCATTGACCCCCAAAAGACCAAGGTCTGGGAATCAAGGATTCAAACCGCCGTCAAGCAAGCCAAGGTCGATCAGATTGCCCAGGTTGAATCCGTCCGCGCGATCGAGCCCTTTGCGTCGCAAAGGCCGTGTAACAACATCGCCCGTGTCTTGCTCAATCATCCCGTCTGTCGGGAGCCGAACGACTTGGGGCTTCCGGGACATGCATACCAGGGGGCTGGCCAGGTAATTCATGTCGCCGACACGGGCTTTGATACCGGTGTTGCTCCTTGCCAACACGCACACTTCCAAGACCGGCTCCTGGCAGTCTACCAAGTGAACCAAACGGAGCCAGTCCCAGACAAGCCCGAAGACACCGACGGACATGGGACGCACGTCTGCGGGTCTGCGGTTGGGCATGGCCGCAGCACAACAATGGGGGGCCCAGAAGCAAAAGGCGACGGCCAAATTCAGGGTACGGCGCCCGCGGCATCGTTTGTCGCCTCGCGCATGACCGACAGCGGCAGCGGGGACTTTTTCTCCGGTGACTTCAAACTTATCGTCGATGTTCCGTACACGCAGCACCAGGCTCGCATCTCCAACCATTCCTACGGCGCGTGGAAGGACGTGCCGCAGGTCGGGTACAATGAGTCCAATCGAGATATCGACCAATATCTCTTCGATCATCCGGATCTTCTGGTGTGCTTTGCGGCTGGTAATCGAGGCCAGCATCCCAACGTTGGCCCGGCCCAGGTGGCCGGGGATGCCATCTCGAAGAATGTCTTGACCGTCGCCAACAGTTACACCTGCCGCCGGCTGGATGCTGATGGCAAGTTCAAGGGCAGTCCCAATGCAATCTCGGAGAACTACGGCATCAACCCATCAAGCAGTCGGGGTTTCGCCTTGGACGACCAGCGATGGAAGCCGGATCTCTGCGCCCCAGGAACGGCCATCCTGTCCAGTGTCTCCAGCCGCTGGGACCCCACCAAGCCGAGGGACAAGTTCGGTGACTCTACTGATTCAATGTATACATTTAACACGGGCACCAGCATGGCGACACCGCTCGTGGCTGGCTGTGCGGCCGTTCTGCGGGAGGCGCTGGTGGAACAGGGGGTAGCCAAACCGTCTGCCATGCTGCTCAAGGCGCTTTTGGTCAACGGAGCCGTGGACATCTTGCGTGCCAGTGTTTCCGGTTCTGAGAGCCGCCAGAAGCAGCAAGGGTTTGGCCGGGTCAACATGGGCGGTTCTTTACTCAGTATTCATGCGTCATCCCCGACGCATCCGGCTTATGAGCCTAGCCAGGGAGGCTTTGTCGACGCTTGTTGGGCCAAAACCGAGACGTCACCGGGTGCCAGCCCGGAAATGAAAGCCATGACGCAGCTGAAAGAAGACGAGTCATGTGGATTCACCATTCAAGTCCCTGCGGGCCGGACTGTCGTACCTTTAGGAGACGACTTCCCCTGGACGCTCAAAGTGACTCTGGTTTGGCACGATCAACCTGGGCCCAAGCTGCAGACGAAACTCGGGCTCGCCGTGGTCCATTCAACGGGCAAACGAAGGCACGGCAACAAGGGAGATGCTGACTTTGCAGCTACTCCCAAGGAGTTCGATGCGATCAACAACGTCCAGCGAATCGTGTGGGAGAACATCCCAGCGGGCGAGTGCAAAGTGACTGTGACCTGTTCGCAATATTTCTTGAAAGCGGTGCCGTATGCCGTCGCGTGGACCTTGGAATAGGCTTTTGACATAGGAATAGTGGCAGTATCACAGCTTCTTTCCGTTAGTCAGTCCGAATGAAGTTCTGCCCTTTGCTCTTTCATCAAGGGATGTGTAGCATAGGAGATACAAGAGCAGAATGTTAAGGTAGATATATAACAATCACGTTGAAAGGGGCAAGGGAGGGATGTGCAATGAACAGCAGGACTACGATTGATAGTCCATTGACCAAACAAAAATCATGAAAACACCGACAGTAGGTTGTCTGCTAGGATTCCAGTATGGAGTGTATAGAGTCAGTGTCCCCAGTCAGTTTCCTTGTAGCAAGATGCAGAAGAACAACGCAACGTTGTCCCGCCGAAATTGAAATAATGAGAAAAACACGCCAAGAAACCGACGCGGATTAGCCTCATTTTCGCCCATTTCCACCTCAATTGACCCTCGGACTGCCAACCTCCGTCTATATCGATCCAGTCAGTACTGACATAGTAGTCCTGCACCATGCCTCGGGCCGCGCAGATGGTCAAACAGGCCTGCGATGCCTGTCGTCGTCGCAAGGTCAAATGCAATGCACAACGTCCCTGCAGCCAGTGTCGATCAGCTGGACTCAACTGTCAGACTTCGCTGGTCCGCCAGAAAAAAGGCCGACAGGGCCGAACCGCCAATGTGCTCACCGAGTTGCGCACACAGTTGGCTGGAGACAACAATAATGAACCATCCAGTCCGGCTGATGCGCATCAGACGGTAGGGGGTGGCAATGGACGATGCCATTTCACTCGCTCTGAGCATCTGCTGTCCCGAGAGCTGCTCCGAGATTGCTCCGAGTACTTCTTTGCCCGCATGCAAGGCACTGTGCCTATTCTGCATGAGGAGACATTCCAGCGATATGTGGATCAGATGGATACGTGCGTCCATGCCTATTGTCTGGTGGCATCCTTCGGCGCGTTCGTGATGATGCAAACCGGCTACTCCTCCTGTCGGCCGGGCGAACAATGGGCCAAGAGTATGGTCAACGGTCGCGCATTGCTAGAAGAGGCCACCGAGGCAAGGAGACATCTCGACCCGCTGACCATCCCGGTCCGGTCGAGTATCACCATTGCCTTTCTGCTGTACGGATGCCATATCGCACTGGGGAATCAGCGCCATGCGTACTACTTTCTGCGCGAGGCGACCACCCTGTACACGGCCGGTATGCTGGATAGCCAGTCCGGTGCGTTGGAAGGGGACGGTGAACATCCATCCATGTCGGGGAAGCTCTTTTGGCTGCTCGTCATTTCCGAACGGTAGATAGACTAGCCCGATTCCCCCTGTACTTCGACCGAATGCTAAGATGTAAACAGAGCCCATGCCATTCGCCGACATCGTCCAGTCACCCTGCAAATCACCGCCAGTAGCCCTTCACTAGACGAGCCCTCCGCTCTCGACGCAGCTAGCATAGGATTCCGCTGCCTGGCCGACCTCTATCGCCCGTTCGACGAGTCGTTCCTTGGACTCTGGAATGGCACGCATACGACTTGTTCCCCCGAGGGCCTTATCCAACTCGATGAGCATATTCGCAATGCTGTGCCCGCCGACTTGGAGCTTCCGGATATTCTCATGGCCGATCTGCGTGTCTCCCAGCAGTGGCTGCGCACTATGATCTGGCAGTTATCCACCACGGCCGGGTTCCTCTCCAGCAAGGCGACGCACCCTTGTATGGAGTTTCGCTATCCGCTGGAGATCGCCCGCGATCTCTCCATGGCAACGTGGAAACTATCCCCTCAGAGTATGGAGACTCATGGCATCGGGCTGGTAGGTTTGTGTCCATTCGAGGCTTGATTGTAGTGCTAACGGTCCGTCAGATTGAGAAGATTTTTGAGGTCGCATGCACCCTAACCGATGTGATGGCCTGTTTGTCCACGGCTGGCTTGCGCTCATCTGCCTTCAGATTAGGACCGCAAGACTACCTGAAACATTTTTTCTCGCTCGTCCACAACCTTCCCGGTGGGCGACAGCGCTTCTTGCCCTTGCTGTTGACCAAGATCGGACAGACGCTACCGTCAATGCTACAACCCATCACGCAGCATTTGAATCTTCCAGCAACAGCCACGGACCCTCCGCCCTCATCCGACAAGGCATCCGAAGTTTATGCGGATCTGTGGCCCGACGATCAGTCGTACAGCGACTTCAATTATGCCGAGATGAGTCGCATTGGCGATAAGACGCCCGAGATCGATGAAGCTTTCATGCAGTATTTGAACTCTAAATCGTGATCTTTGGCAGGACTATCTACAGGGTATCTCTCGCTCAAGAGAATGATCTATAAGACGATGCACATCAGGGCAGAAGCCATGAACCCCACACCAAGCAATCTGCTGTCCATCTCAGGAACTCCAGCGCCACTATTCGTCTTCTTCCCCGATACCGATGGCTTCGCAGTTGGCATATTAACTGCTGAGGTCGCCGGCGAAGATACCAGATTTGCGCTCGGTACTGCCTGTGGGCCCACGCCAATCTCCAAGATATCGTCTAACCCAGCATCGAAGTTGGTGTTGGCCATGGAAACTTCGCGGTTGTCGAGATCATATACCACATATGCGCTGCGGAGAAAAGTATCCCCCAATATGGGAATAGCACTGATCGAAGGGTAGATGCCGAACGTGCACAGGAGGATGTTTTCGTCCATTTCTATTCCCTCTAGCACCAGTTCGTGGATGCTGACGTCGATGTGGATACCGGAAAAGTCGAAGGTCAGGGTGACGTTCTTCGCTTTCATGGAGCAAGGAATCATTGGCACATTGTATTCGGTGCTCTTTGTGACGCCGAGGTCGGCATATAGCCTGTCCGTGAAAGACTGCGGGAGATATGTGACGCTTGCTCCGGAATCCAAGGCCACCAGCAGAGGAAATCCATCTGTATAAGCAACTGCATGTGTCTCAGGCTGTTGCAGAGTAAGTCCGGTCAAAATGACCCGGAGAGACATATACGCGCTGCCAGTGGGCTCGAGAGGAATTGTTCTGAGTTCCCCACGGTACCGAGCTCGGTTCACGCCGCCGAAGAGAATCGTCCCCGAGTACGCCGTCACCTCGTCCATCCACAGACTGTACGCGGCAGATCGGATATGGCCGGCCTGCACCAGTGCTTGTGGGAAATTGGGGTACTGGACGGGACTGACTTCTAAAGCAGGGAATGCGAGGCCCATTGTTCCACCTATGCGAGTCAATAGCGTTCAAGACGTGATTCTGTACGACATACTGGTGGACGTGCTTTCCTCTGCAATGCCAAATTGGAACTGCTTGATGGTCACCCCTCCCAACGCAACTGTGTCTTTGACAAAGTCCCCCGCCGCGTTCGTCCCGTCCTTGTAGGTGATGTTGAAGTCATGGTTGACAAACGTGTACGTACTGGAAATAGTGTGATCATAAATGCCGTATTGTTGGCAATGGTTATCCCCATTTGTGCAGAACTCCGATGACGGGATATTGAACCAGGTGTCACTGCTTCCAGTATCTAGCACCACGGCGATCTCCTGCCCTGAGCTGCCCACGGTGAGGTTGACATGGTATAGATACATAATATCCTGGCTATACTATTAACCTCATGGTTCTGCTGCAATCGATGGCCAAACATACCTCATTCCAGAGCCCTTGTGCAACTATCGCATCTCTCTTTTGCTGATAGCCAGGCACATCAGGACGGTTCTCATTTTGGAACCGAGTGAACCACAGCCGAACGACAGCTGAAGAATCGCGTTTGAAGAGAGTTATTGCGTGGCTACTTTGAGCTAACACCGACAAGGCCCAAAGCAGTCTTGATTTCATTGCGCAACTCTGTCTCCTCTCGAATGGTACCTACAAATTACATCATGCTTGTCCACCTGTATATAGGCAGCGGCAGCGCAGCATCCAGGCAAGGCTCCCTTCGAAGTACAGCCTTGGAGGGAAAAAGAAGCAAGCACTGTTGCTCCATCCCTCTCTCTATCTAATGTGAAACTACAAGGATATTGTGGAGAACCAACATATACTACATTATCTCCCATTGGTTGTCGGATGGGACGGAGTGGCTGAGTGCTAGCTAGAAAGCGGCCCCTTCTGGGCAACGCGAGTAATGCAAATATCAGACTAGTCTAGGCAGTAGGCATTGGGTTTCAATGAAAAAGGGGGGTGTAGGAGAATCGGTGGTCGTTGAACTCGGCGACTACCACATGCCATTAGACTGATTCATTTCGGTGAACACCCGCAACCATAGACTAGCCCCTGAAATTGATAAGAATTCTCTCTCCACATAGTGTAGTAGTACCGAGCACACAGCTGGCTCTTTCCAGACAGTGTGGTTGGATGGCCATTGCGCAATCTTCGGCTTCTTATGCCCATGATTTCTGCTGTGGATCTTATTTCTTATATCGCTTTTTCATCATGCTAACGCTAGGATACACCTAAGAGTTCTTCTAGGGAAGCTTCCTATGATTACAAGACCATAATCCAAAGCTGATTAATACAGTATTTCTCCCCTTGAATGGCCTATGGAGGCTTGTCAAGTAGTTTGCATACCCTTCAGCTGCGCATTCGATATTTAATGATCGTATGCGAATATAGTCACTCTTACTTCATGTCCACCAGTCCATCGTTGGATGGAGCCTACATTTCCACAGCGTTTTAGCTGCGGCATCATCGACCTGGTGCATGTAGGCTAGGATATTTTGTTGGAGATTTCGGCTGCATACTGTCCAATAAAGTCATTCAGGGGTATGTGCACCTGGCAGCCATCAACTGCACAGTCACTGGGACAGTGATATGATGGATCCAGTTCAAATCATTTCAAGGATATCTGTCAACATCCCATCTAATGACTACACTATTACCTCCAATGTCATGACGTCTCTATATGACTGTCAACGTGGGCTACTCGAAGGATTGATAGTACAGCTGGGATCGTGTCCAGCTCTATGATCCACTATATGACATAGCTTTAGACGGTCCACGACATCTTGCGACGACTGCGTCCATGTTGCTTCTTCCTACTGGTGTATACTATATCCAGAGTATCTCATGGGATCATTCAGTGTGTCTTGTTGATCAACGTCGTTCAGCCACAAGGTGCATATGACGTCATTACAGCCCTATGGCCGTCGCTGATATTCAATAGCTGAACGCTCTACTCCGTACTGTTTTATCTTGTCGTCGTGTTGATCTCGTCACCTTCACTAAACAACGTAGGGATCGTCTGAAATGACGCGCGGGCGCCCTTCCCTCCCCTCCTTCGACTCGCCTTCTCGAAGACTCCCGCTCTCTTGGCATACGTTGTGTGCCACCCACCATCTGGTATCATGAAGAGATTTGATAGTAGATGTTGTTGTATATATACGCTACGAATCTCACAGGAAATCTCCGAATCTTACCATCGAACCTGCAATCAAAGAACCACTACCACTTCTATCTTCCCAACTATCAAGATCTATTGAATCGCATCTGCCACCATGTTCCACCGTCGTCGTCCCGCTACCACCACCACTCGCACCTCCAAGCCCAGTCTCATGACTCGCCTCAAGGGCCCAGGTGCTCGCTCGCGGACCGTCAAGACCAAGACGACCACGACCCGTCACGGCGGCGCTCACACCGGCACCCGTCATGGGGCTGCCTACACCGGCTCCCGTCACCATGCCACCACTGCTCCGGCACATCATCACCGTCGGAAGGTCTCCCTGGGAGACAAGGTCTCTGGTGCGATGCTTAAGCTGAAGGGGAGCCTGACGCATCGTCCTGCGGTCAAGGTATGTTGATTTCGGCCTGAGGATCCAAATATTTTGGCAGAGCGGACTGAGCTGACCGCGCTGTGTGACCTAGGCTGCTGGAACCCGTCGCATGCATGGAACTGATGGACGGGGAAGCCACCGTCGCACTTATTACTGATGATTTATGATGAGATGATACGATACCCATGATCGAGTCGATGTATTTGTACTATATGTATTTCTATCGAGCCAAGTTGGTTGATACCTCCGTTGTACTATGAGCTTTCATACAATGTTGGCCTGTTAAGAATGGGATATAAAGGTCTCGAATTGTCAAGGTCACTTCGGTGATTATGATCTCCGGAATATATACTCGACCTCATGCCCAGGATATCCTACCAACACCTCACGTAGACCATTTTAATCTGAATTCAATCGCAAATCGCCAAGCTGTGCATAAAGTATGATCTCAACAATGTAGAGAAGGAGGGATTTCCGCGTTTGTTTAACCCGATATGGCAATTCTTTCGCCCATTCCGAATTCCTCAACGCAGAAACTCTGGGGACACCTGGCCAGTTTATAAGGAATGGAAATCCCCCTTCTTACAATCAATATCTATATCACTATTATTATACCCTCAACCCAACATGTCGTGTTCCAATTGTCCTTCTCATAAAGGCTCGCAGCCCGACTCCAACAAACCGCCTCGGTCAGCACGTGCCTTTCGGTGGTTATCGGCGATTCTTCCCGAGGGGTCTGCTCTACTGTCCAGTTCGTGCTGCTGGCTCCCTGTACGTCTTTTCTGAATATATATATCTATATATTTATATCTATCTATCTATCTATCAAGAGAATGATTGTATTGACAAACTTAGACTGTACTTGACTTTGTGTTTGCCGGCTCTGTCACAGCCGCAGGCATCCAGAAACTCCGGCCTGTCTTTCTGGCCATCTCCCTCTTGACGCTGGCCTGGAGTATCGGTCGGCAAGGCTTCACCAAGAGCAATCTTCGACGAGCCATCATCTGTGCATGTTTACTAGCTTGGTCACAGTACAATCGACGGGTTCAAGCGGCAAAGGGCCGTCATTGCTGTCATTGATCAGGTGCGGCGGTGGCATTCTGAAGCTCCAGGAGAGTCGTTTATACAATACTGTACTGATAGATTTGTCCCAGAGGATCAATAAATGTTTCTTGATTTCATTACCCGTCAAGATGGATACAGCTTCTGCCCTATGTCCATAAGACAGTTGACTGTTCGGCTGGTAACTCGTTAGTGTGGGCGTGAATAGTATCGCCCATCCCCCTGCGGCTCATGTCTCTTGACCTGGAGAACAGTATTCTCCAATAGAATATGCAACAAAGTTCTGAGCGCGTGTTCACTCATCTTAGTCAAGATCTTTGAGGGTGGAAGGACAGCATATCCGCTCGTGGACCAGTCTTGGTTGTCAACTGGCGGTTAGCAGCAGCACATCATGCTTCACCAACACCGAGTCAATTTCACCACATCGACCTGGAGCAATGATCGATCAAAGGATCAACAGATAGTTGCTGACAGCCTGACACGTCAGTCACCATGTCTAAGACTGGGACGACGTCCTCCTGTCTCGGTTGAAGGGAACAACGACAGAGGGGTAGGATGATGCTCCAATATACACGGTAGGAAACAGCACAGCTGCCTGATGCTGATCTCCTCGAATCTCATGTAATACTGCCTTCCTGTTATAAAAGGAGGTAATTCTGACCGTCATTATCCTCGTGAGGCGTAATTTCTCTCTTCGCTCCACCGTTCTTCGAGTTGTGAAAGGACAGATATCAGTCAGAAACTCCGTGGTTCAGCCATGCCGCCAGCACAGAACGTGGGTATCAAGGCCCTGGAGGTCTACTTCCCCAGTCGAGTAAGTCTCTCGCCCGCTTGCCGGGGTATTTGGTTTGAGGGAAAGATCGAGCTCACAACGTGCGCAGTATGTACCCCAGGCCGAGTTGGAGTCCTTCCTCGGAGCCAGCGCAGGAAAGTACACGATCGGACTGGGCCAGCAAAACATGAGTTTCTGCGATGACCGCGAGGGTATGGCTCCGTTCTGCTCGGTGATAACATCGATCACTCATCGATCCCAGATCTCTACTCCCTCGCCTTGACGGCCGTCTCCTCCCTCCTCCGCAAGTACGCGATCGACCCGCACACCATCGGCCGCCTCGAGGTCGGCACCGAAACCATCCTCGACAAAGCCAAGTCCTGCAAGACGGTGCTCATGCAGCTGTTCGGCGACAACACCGACATCGAGGGCATCGACACATACAACGCCTGCTACGGCGGGACCAGCGCCCTGCTCAACGCGGTCAACTGGGTCGAGTCGTCCGCCTGGGACGGCCGCGACGCCATTGTCGTCGCCGGCGACATCGCCCTGTATGACACGCCGGCGGCGCGGCCCACGGGCGGCGCTGGCTGCGTGGCCATGCTCATCGGGCCCGATGCGCCGCTCGTGCTGGAGCCGTTCCGCGGCTCGTGCATGAAGCATATGTATGATTTCTACAAGGCGGATTTCAAGTCCGAGTACCCGCTGGTCGACGGGCAGTTTTCCAACACGTGTTACCTGGGGGCGCTGGACCAATGCTACCAGCGGTATCAGAGTAAGCAGCGTGCCCGGGCGGGCGCGGAAGAACCGAAGCAGAATGGCAATGGTCACCAGGGCAGTTTTCTGGACACCTTTGACTATTTTGTCTTCCATGCACCGAACTGCAAGCTCGTGTCCAAGGGATACGGTCGCTTGCTGTTCAACGACTTCAAACTCGAGCCCGCGTCCTTTGATGACGGAGTACCGTCCCCGGTCCAAGAACTTGACTTCACCGAGTCGTTGACCGACAAGGCCCTGGAGAAGCTGTGTATCGCTCTCACCAAGGAGCGGTTCGCGCGCCGTGTCGAGCCCTCGCTGACGCTGCCGACCAACTGCGGCAATATGTACACGGCCAGTGCCTATGCGGGCCTGATCAGCCTGATCAGCAACATCCCCAGCGACCAGCTGCAGGGTCGCCGCATCGGCGTATTCAGCTACGGCAGTGGTCTCGCCAGTACCCTGTTCAGCGTTCGGGTGCATGGGGATACGGCGGCAATGGCGCGGAAGATCAACCTGCATGACCGCTTGGGCGCACGTACGGCGGTATCGCCGGCATTTTACGATCAGGTAAGAGATCATGCGACCGGGAGAGAGACGGCCAGTCGAGAAGCTGATTCGGATTGGTGCGGTAGATGTGTAAACTTCGCGAGACGGCATACCAGCAGAAGAACTATGTTCCCACGGGCGACGTGGAGAGTCTCGCGCCGGGAACTTACTACCTGGGGCATGTAGACGAGGTATTTCGCCGACGGTATGAGGTCAAGCCCTATCCGTGAGGGCGTTTGGGATGCAGAGGGCTATCTCAGAGAGCGTTAATACCCAGGATGATCGGCTTGTCAGGCAACCGGGAGGTAAAACATCTGACCGTCCGCACAGACCGACGATTACCTACGGGCTTAGGATTCTCCTTGAGCAAGGCCGGTTAGAACTTTAGTATGACTTTGATTGGCAAGAGATAAGAGGGCAGAAGACCGAGAATAAAATAAATGACTCCATCTGTCGTGTGCAGCGGATCTGCACGCTGCGAACGGACATGTTTCGGTAGATGATAGAGATAGAGAGAATGATCCCACAGCCACACTCTGTACTACAACAGTATCTCGACGGATTTCTCATTCCAATGCGATCAACACTCTGTAGATAACGAAGCCTTTGCGCGATTATTTAATTTTATTTATTTTATTTTTTCATTCTTTTTTACCCTTGCTAGCACTACGAAGTACTGTGTAAACTAACCGTGGAATGCCCAGCCTGCCCACCCGAAATCCCCCGATATACTGGTGGAAAACTCGGTCGGCCCTTCGGTGGGTTTTTGGTTTCATGGTCATGATTTCCTTCGAATCCGGGTCCGAAATCTCAGCCGGTCTTTATCCATAACTTCCATAAGGTTCTTCTAGACCATAAAGTTCTTCTAGACTTGTTCAGCCCCCGGAGCTTGACCGTCCAACGCTGCCCGTTGACTGGTGAGGCGGTTGGTGGTCCAAGGGAGCCATTTTAGCCTGATACTTTAGAATCCACCACACGGAGATGAAAACGATGGCTGGAAGAAAAAAATAAAATAAAATAAAATCCAGAGAAATCCAGAGAAATACAGAGAAGGGAATCTGAACGTAGGATGATTGGAATGGTTCGATGATCGCTTGCTCAAAAACATGGGTAAATCATAATATGTACATGCATATCGTCTATGTCTAGCCAGCCGGTGGCCGTGAAGGGGGGAAGGGGGGAGAAATCATAAACCGAGAAAGAAAGAAAGTCGATGAATCGTATTTCCTGCCCTCTCCATTTCATTTCATTTCAGAGCGTGATGAGAGGAGTCACAGTCATCGTATAATACAACCAGCGCTCGCAAGAGTCTGGTAAGCCGTCTAAGACATGGAGCAGGCGAAGACGCCTCTGACGGTACCCGCCTTGTAGTTGAGGATCTATTGTAGAATGAGCCGCTGTCGCAGCAAGCCCGGTGCACAAGAGAGAGAAACTTACAATATCATCAATACTCGAGTACGTGCCACCCACCAGGGTGACCAACCCGATGATCAGAATGGCCAGGTTCAGGGCGCCAATCATCAGATTCCTCCGCTCGGTCCACTTGCCCTCGCGCAGCAGCATAAACCACATGAGAGCCGGGAAGTAGAAGGTGAAGCCCGAGATGAACAGGGCGGACGAGATGGACAGCAGGTCGGAGAAGAAGGGGATGACCTCGGCGATGATGAACGCCGCCACGGTGATGGCGGTGATGATCGCCAGCCAGGTGATCCAGCCCATGGGGGTGTTGATGAAGCGGATCGGCGAGTTCTTGAAGATGCGCCCGTGGATCAGGCGGCCGCAGACGACCGTGTTGATGGAACCGCTGATGAAGATCACGGGCAGGGCAATGCCAAAGGCCACGCGGCTCAGCGTGTGGCCGGCCGACAGCAGCGCCGGGCTCTTCACGTCCACGCCGACAAAGGCGTAGATCAGGGCCCCCGTGACGGTATAGATGACGATCTCCACCAAGCCCAGCGTCCAGATCGACTTGACGAAATCCTTGGGGGTGTGCATCTCATCCATGAAGGAGAACTGGCACATGGCGAAGCTGTAGGCGAAGACAATGTTGGAGACGGCGATGAAGGCGTCGGTGAAGGTGGTGCCCTCCTTGGGCCAGGCGGACCACTCGACGGCCGACAGCCCACCAGGCGCATCGGTGCTCTTGATCCCCGTGCCGATGATGGTGATCCCGATGGCGGCGATGATCGAGCCAAAGTCGACATAACCCAGGATGGCCATCTCGGCGAAACTAGGCGGGATGGCGAGCAACAGCAGCAGAATGGCGGAGACGACGCCGAACACCACGGAACAGATCGAACTTTCGGTGATGTTGGTGAAGGCGATGGTGCCAGTCAAGCAGTGCGAGCCGGTGAGGAAGGTGAGCTGCAGGATCAACATGGCATTGACCAGTTCATAGCCAAACCGACCGAACAGGAGGCGCCCGGCATCGGGATAGTGAGCGACCTCGGGGAACTTGAGCTTGACCAGACCAACAATGTAACTGGTGTAGATGGCGACAAATCCCAGGCCGACACAGCAGATGACACCCGCCACCATCCCCAGCGTCGCAAAGGAAGAAGGGATGGACAGACTGCCGAGAGCGATGGCCTCGACAATGAGCACGATGGTCAGACGCTTCCACCCGAGCCGGCTGAATTTCTTCACCCCGTGTTCGTAGATGTTGCGCTCCGCCTCGCTCATCTCACCCACCATATCCCCGTCATACTGAGGGGGGGCAGCGATGATGCCATCACTCTTCTCATTGTCGGTCCGCACGACCTTGTTGGTGTCGGAGTAGTCGGATATATCGACGGAGCCCATGCTGAGAGAGAGAGAGAGAAGAAAAGAGGTGGACTAGAGGGATGAGGGTGATCAAAGATGGGGGAAGGGGGGGGAGGGGAGGGGGAAAGGCTCTCACGTCGAGAGGAGGAGGACAAGGACAAGGACAAGGAGAGGAAAGAAGAGAAGGGGAAAGAATGGACGGATATGGGATGGGATGGGGGGAAGAAATAAACGAGATCATTCATAAATCTCACGTAGACTAGCAGGAATTAAGTAGTGGACCGCTGGAACAGTGGTTAGTGGTATGAGGATGACTACCCAGGGCCGATCAATGGATCGACTCTCGCTACTCCGTCGACGACCCCGATAGCAGAGATACGGGCGTAGTTAATTGTAGGAAACGAAATGAATAATCCTCTCATTCCTCGCAGTGGGGTTCAGTTGCCAAACTTGCCACATGCAGGTTCTGCTCCGTTGGACCCGACTAAGCCAGGACCGACGCTCAATGACACGCTGTGAAACGGCAGGACCCATCGTGGCGTGGAGTCAAGATAGCAGCTAACCAGGGCTAAGAGTGATTGCATTTGGTAATAGATATCACCATCCACGCGCCAGGAGGCCCAGGAGCCTCAGGAGGCCGAAAAGTCCCCGCGAAAATGGAGAGATCGATGCGGGGAGGCAGTGAAACCATCTGGAGAAGCATGTCGATTGTCGATAAAGTGAGTCCACTCTTCGAGGCGATGGTCGCAAGGGAGAGACCGAGGATAGACGGCCTCAACGGATGATGCTATCGGGTCCAATCCAAGCAAAGCTTCTGCAGGAAGATCGACCGCGTGGCGCGACCCAAGGCGACAGCCCAACCGGCTCTAAGACTCTACGAGAAGATCCAGTAAGCAAGAATAATGAAAGGATGAGACTGAGAGTTCAAGATAAACCCTAATAGGAAGAGTAGTGAACTAGTAAGCTAGTAAGCTAGTACGTTAGGAAGTTAGGAACTAGGCCCGAGGGAGTAACTACGGAGTAACTACGGAGTACTCTATACCTAGGGACCTAGGTACCTAGGTACCCTAGGTTACTTACGTAGGTACTTCCATTCCATTAGCGGAATACCGCCACTTACGGTGTGGGCAGTTTTCTAACGATGCTGATTGGTGAAAGATGGATACGGCTAGCGGAATCTAGTTTAGCGTCGTATGCCGTGTGATGGACCAGTACAGGACCGGAAAAACTCAATCCCATCAAGAGTCTAACCCAACCGGGCTTAGCCCTGCATAAATCCTGGTTGATTAATCAATCAGCCGATTTGTACTCGTAGTATTATCCATCCGGTGTCTCGTGTGCAATCAGTCCATTGGTATTATCATTAGTATTAGTATTAGTATTATTATTATTATTATTGATTCATGCAATCCGTAAGTCAGATAATAATAATGATATGACGGTTCAAACAGTCCTTGATCTGACGCTTAGACCCAATGCGGCGACTCAGGGCTGCGACAGGCAATCAGGCTGACTTGCATCGTGAATGCTTGCGTCATATAAATGTCTCACTCTAATCCCATTGCGGAATCTCCATGTCCAGAAATTAGGGTAGGAAGTTAGGAACTAGGAAATAAGGATTAAGGATTAAGGAAACATACCAATTAGCAACTCATTAGTCAATACACGAGATTGGGTGGAGCCCTGGGTTCTCCAGTGGATAACATTAACATGCCTTCCGTCCGGCTCCGTTCGCTTTTCGAAGCGTCTTGGGCATGCCCCGGATTCACTCCCCAACCCCGCGTTGATCGTCCATATCTCCATTTCTAGAGAGTTAACCGGTGGGAAATGACACCCAACGGGAAACGATCTTGGGGTGACCATGGGGAAGAAGTCGTCCGATGCTATGCGCTGGCTCGGACGGGAAGAACAAGCCTTGTCCCATATCCCATCTCCCTCCAACCAAATGCTGAGGCAGGAGTCAGTTCGGTCAAGAACGACTTCTAGAATGCCGCCGCCAAGGACAAGATTCCCAGGTGAGGTTGCATGCATCTCCAAGCCCATCGGCTGATCGTGCCATGATTCCATTGCAACTCGGATCCCGGCATTCTTGTACCTAGCATTCTCGATTTCCGGCAGCCTGCTTGTTTCAGAGGGGAGCACGATGTCCCCAGGGAGAAGTATTACTTTTCAACGTGGGTGGACTGGCAGATGCAGTCCCCCAATGATCAGATGATTGATATCATCCGTTTCACCGCTTCTCCTTTCATGAACGGGGTCCATCTTTGGATGTTACTCAAGGCATACACGTGTAGGTGCAGACCACTCGGAGATCCTCTTGTCATTTGGTTCCCCCTTGCTTCATGGAATGATCGAACACTGTCAGTCTCGGCAACTCCGCCGTGCAAGGGCGTTCGGGTCCAACATTTCTGGAATGATTCCCGGCCGCACATCGGGCATCCAGAGCGAACAGAGTAGGTAGTCCTCCAGGAGACCGACTCAGCCCTGCAGCGGCTTCTCCGATATCCGGAGACACCGCTGGTTAACCAAGGGTGCTATCACGCAGTGGCTTTGCTCCTCAACTTTGCTCCAGCACAGTGCAAGGGTCTAATCTCATTTTCGCCAGGGACAGAGGCGACTCGTTCTATCGGGCATTCCGTATCCCATCCCATCCCATCCTATAGTTGATATCCCCCTTTGATCTGACGTGAGATGTGGGAATTATTCCAAAACCTCTGTGCAGGTCTGTGCAGTACCCCTGGCATCGGGCAAGTTCTTCCAAATTCCAGATGGCTTTGTGTAACATGGAACGCTTTGGTGGCTGTGAAGTCTGAGCCGACAAGAGGGTATGTCCAAGTGTGCATTGATCATGGTTCTTAATCAAGAATATACCGCAGTCAAGGGTTGCCTTGGATCTCGTCAATCATGGCTTTTCTTGCTTCTACGATGTATATACTCGGTGACGCTCGTATCCATAGATGGCAATTCAGCGCAGGCGAACATCAAGAAAATAAATATGGGTGATACCAACCCGCCATCATCATCATCCATCAGGTCATCCGCTTCCATTAGCTCGACATTAACATCATCCAAACCATCACATCAAGGCTGGAAAGGCCAGCCGTAGATCCCTGCCGTCAACAATGACCCCGACTGGATCTCCTCGGCCTTCTTCTTGAGCTCCTCCACGTCCCAGTTGGACCATACTTGACGACCGTTCAAGAATGTGGCCTCGGGGCTGGTCAACCAGACCAGAAAGTCGGCAGGAAGGTCGACTATACATCGTCAGTTCAATGCATCAGAGCTTCTCCTGAACAACTAAACAAGTACAGTGGATCACCCACCCTGATCCACAGGGACTAAGCTGGCATTCGCCCCCGACTTCCTGAAGATGTCCGTCTCCACCATGCCGGGTTGTACAGAGACCGCGAACAGATTGGGGTTTTCCGCAGCCAGGAACTCCACGAACTTGAGGAGAGCCAGCTTCGAGGACACATACGCCGACAACCCGACGAGCATTTGGGTGGGAAACACGACGGCGGAAGTCAAAGCGACGATGGCGGCGTTGGTCGCGTGGGCGGTCGGAAGAAACACCTTGGATGCGATCATGGGCCCTTTCACGTTGGTCTGTGCACCATCAATTTAATGACCAGAATCCCTATACAGCATAAAGGACAAAGAAAGAAGAGAAACAGACTTCGAAGCTCTGCCACCAGTCATCGGTAGACGAGGTGCGGATGGACGCTGGGTCGGAGAGATAGCCCGCCGCGAGGATGAGAACGTCCCAGGGACCGACGCTGGTGGCCACCTCGCTTAAGGCAGCCTCATCGGTGATGCTGATCGCATGGATCGAACTCGAGCAGGCGAGCGACTGTTGCGTTTCGACCAATCTGGTTTCATTGCGCCCGATGAGGACGAGTTTACTGGCTCCCGCACGGGCAAACGAGACAGCTGTGGCGCGACCGATTCCCGAACCCTAAGAGGGGGAAAACATTGAAGTTGAGGTCAGCCAGTCGTACAGATTTAAAGATGGATATAAAGTTTGACAGGAACAAAGAACAATGGGGAAATAAGTTCATTAGAACCGCGGGATCGTACAGCGCCGATAATGATCACCGTCTTGCCTTGAGCGCTGAGCTCGGGCCGTGTAGGCGAGATCGCCTCATAGGACTGGTTATGCCAGGTGGCAGTCACCGAAGGAAGAGGAGGCTGCATGATGAAGGTGTTAGTGAGTAGAGAAGAAGCGATTCTCGTGATGGCGACCGTGCCAGAAGTGGGAGGATGGGTGGCAGACAGCACGGAGTATGCGGAGGATGTATATCAGCACGGCCAAAGTACGGGGGGGGGGGGCAATCTACTAATCTAGTACTTGGAGTCTTGGACAGCCAGACGAAAGTCGATTTATCATCCAGAATCCCGCTTAAGCCATTAGATGGCAATTGTTTAGCTCCGGGGCGCAGACAAAGAAAGTCAAGCAGGCTCCAGGGCTCACGGACTGATTCGTGGAACAGCGACAGGGAACAAAGAATGGCCTAACAGGTGACTTGACTACGGCGTAGAGGAATATAATTGAGGAATTGATCAACTCGTCTGAATCGTATGAAATAACTCCCTGCAAATCAATGATGACAAGACTGAGACAGTTTACGAATGATCGTCCATCTGATATGCAGCCCTCCTTGCCCATTGTTTGTCCAAAACATCTGCAGAGAAAGGGTAGATAGAGCCAGACGCCATCGACTTCGCTCATCATGGGCCAGACTCGAGATTAAATCATTCTATCCGGATATAATAAGCATGTTATACCCGAGTCCGGGCTCTCCTGTCCCCTATCAAGTATCAAGCCCTCGTTGGACTGCATACTCCTTCATGCAGTCAGCCATTTCCACCAGCGCTGATCGCTGCACCTAAACAAACACGCTGCCAGTTCTGCAACAACTAGTTAACTAGATAGACTAGACTTCTCACCACCATCTCATGCACATGGATCTGTGCTGCAGACACGGCTGACTTCGCCCCCTCCTCCTCCTCCTCCTCCTCCTGCTCCTCCCTTTTTCTCGTTCTCTGCTGTGCTTATTTCAATGAGGAATCCTTCAGCCCTGGAACCGCCTCTTCTGCAGCCTTCTCAACACCTCGCTCACCATCAATCCCCCCTCCCCCCCCCCTTCTGGGCCTTTCTGTTGTCGATGTGCTGTGAGCCTCTCGGACCAGAATGGCTGCCAGTCTCTCTGGAATGAGTCTGGCCATCTGGATGATCGTCTTCACTGGCGTCACCACCCTCGTCATGGCCCTACGCCTATGGGCCATCCACATCACTCGCAAGGGCTTCCAACTGAGTGATTACGCTATCTTAGTAGCATATGTTCGTGCTTCGGCGTCTCTACCATATCGATTGGCTACTAAGACGGAGTAGGTCAGCGCCTGTACCATGGCGGCATTGGCCTGGTGGGCCATTGCCAACGGTCTGGGTTCGCATACGAACGAACTGTCCGATGAGGAAATCGGAGTGCAATACAAGGTATCTATCTATCTGGCCGTTCCGATGTCTCTCCATCCACTCTCGTCGAGATCGCTAAGAGCGAAGCATAGCTCATCATCGCGTCGGGGATGACCTGGCTCGTGGGCACTGTCTGCTGCAAACTATCCATGCTAGCCCTCTACACCACGCTCTTTCGCGCCTACAAACCCATCCGCATCCTCGTCTGGATCGTCAGCGGCCTCGTCGGCGCCTATTTTGTTGCTTTTCTCCCCATCTTCCTCACCCAGTGTCACCCCATCTCCTACGGCTGGGATCCCGTACCCGGTGGCGGCTGTCGCTCGCTCACACTCCAGGAGATCCTGTCGATTGTCTTAAACATCGTCCTGGACACCATCATCGCGCTGCTGCCCGTCCCGGCGCTCTGGAAACTACACATGGCAATCCGTAACAAGGTCACCATCGGCGCCATGTTCGGCATGGGATTAATGTCCGCTGAGCCATCCCCCCCTCCTCCTTCCTCGCCAATACTCTCGCTAACAGTTTCCCAGTGTCGTAGCCGTCATGATCTGGCGCCTCATCATCACCCTCGATCCCGATGTTAACAGCGACTTTGTCTACGGCCTCTCGCTCATCGCCCTCGTCAGCTTCCTCGAGCTCTGGCTGAGCATGATAATCGCCAGTCTGCCGGCCCTGGCTCCACTGTTTCGCCGCTACATCGAACCGCTCTTCCCCTCCAAGCGGTTCAACCCCAATCGTCCCAACCTGCGCGCCGCCGAACGTACCATCGGCAGCGATCCCACCCGCCGGCCGAGTGGGATGCAGCACAGGTACGGCGACCCGGAGCTGGGCTGGTCGGCCGGGTACTACGCCAAGGTTGTTTCTGGGTCCAGGAATAGCACGCAGCAGAGCGATGACACGAATGAGCTGGTGCGGAATATGCAACCGAATGCGATCCAGATGAAGCGGGAGATTTCGGTTCAGGCAGGATAGCCCCCACCGTCCAGTAGTAATATATAATGAAGCCATGATAAAAAGAATTAAAAACACGTATTTATTCTAATCCGAGTCACTCGGGTTCCTCTTCTTCCGTACTTCAAAGATCAATCGCAACCGACCCGGGTTCGAGGTGAACTGATCCCTCAGATCCCGCAAGACAGCCTCGCCCTTGTCGCCGGGTGGGAAGCGGAAGTTGTACTTTTGCACCAGTCGTGCCGTCACCAGACGCATGTCGTTCATGGCCAGCGCTCGGCCTAGACAGCTATGGTGGCCTTATCACAGTCAGCGGCTTGTCCAGGGTGATCACGATCGATGGAATGATCTACCTGTTCCAAATGGGGCAAAGGCTGCGCGATTGCGGACCATTTCTGGTCGCGTCGTCCAGCGTTCCGGAATGAACTGATCGGCTTGCTCAAAGCAGTCCTCTCCTATGTCTTTATCAGGAGACTGTCGGCTCTCCCACAGAACCAGGAAGACTCACTTCTGGAAATGACGAACCGCGGCGCCACTATCGTCGTCTCGGGAGGAATAAACGTGCCTCCGATCGTCGTGCCCTCCTGCAACGTCTTGCGGTTTCCCCCGGTCGGCAGGGCTGGATAGAGTCGTAGCGCCTCGAAGATCACCGCGTCGAGATGCGGACAATGCTGTGCGAGAGCCCGAGCGTCGCGGATATCGAGCTGCTGCATCTCCCGCCGGATCGTCTCCGCATGCTGGGGATGCCTGGCTAGTTCGGTAAAGACGCCCACGAGAACGGCAGCCGTAGGCTCGCTACCGGCCACGATGGCCAGGATGCTATCGCCAGTGAGCCAGCCTTTGTCCTGGGGGCTGTCGTTGGCGTCCTGGATGAGGTAGTGGGCGACGTCGGGAACCTTGGTGGGATCGTCGGGCATCTACGTCGAGGTTAGTTAGCTTTGGTTTTGCAGGACAACCAATAGGCAAGACAACCTGCATGCGCTTGCGCATCTGGGCCTCGCACCAGGTCATCATGTTAAACCAGTCGCGCAGGACCCAAACCCGCGGGAAGAGCTTGAAAGCGATATGGATCAGCCATGGGACCGGGCTGAGGGGGCCCAGGATCGACAGCGCCCGCTGCAACAGGAGAATGATATGATGCCATGCCTGTCGGGAGAGCATGTCAAAGGTTCGACTGAAGATGAAGTCGCCCATGCGGTCGAATCCCAGCCAGTAGAACAAGTCGGTGGCCTCGGAGACACGGCCAGCGGCAATGTCTTTCTCGATGCAGTGGTCCAGCTGGTCGATGAAGGCGAGGATTCGCTCCGAGTATTGATCGAGGGCTTGTCCATGAGCTACTCGTCCATCATCACGCACAGGAGAACACTAACCCTTGGAGGAGAATCCTCGATTCCACTGCCGACGGCGTGCCGAATGCACTTCCTTGACTCGCACCGTCACCAGTGCGCGGTCGGGATGCAACAGATCGTACCATTCCGACTTGACGCATTTGTTCGTTGGTCCATCAATGGCCATGAAGACGTCTGGATGGAAGACGGTGACCTCGCTGGGACCTACGTCGATTGCATCAGAGTTGAATGCACTTGGAGAAGAGACAAGAACAGACCGGTTCGCACGACTTCCCCATATCTCTGGTAGAGATCAAGCAAGACGAGATGGTTCTGGCGATGGCGTGCTTTCCACACATGCCATAGCTTGGTCGTCCGCGCCAGCACCGGGCCAGAAAAGGAATTCAATCGATGATAGAAGAGCCGGTAGACGGCAATGCTAGTGTAGAGGGAGAGAAGATAACCCCCGATCAACCATTCGGCATGACTGATGGTCATCAACAGGACAGAGAAGCAGGTAAAATGATAAAGGACAATCAAGGGAGCTTGGATATGCCATTCGCCATGGATGAAGAGACCATGATGCATTCCCAGGCCGATTGTCCCTCCAAACAAGATATACGCAAGAGGGCTCATGTTGGTGGGAGGAGTCCAAGCAGCCTCAACGACAAGTCCCTATGGCGGCAGTGTACCTGGGGAGTGTAGATAGCGGTTGTCGGACGGAGACTGACCGATAGAACAATAAATCCTCCAAATAATCCCCGCGTTGGTCTATCATGATGATGGTATAAGAAGGGCGATCGACCCCAATCGCTCTCTTTTCAAGAGGAGACGTAAAAAACGGAAACCCTCTAGTCTAGCAGGCATCGCATGCAGCCATAATGTCCGACGATACCTGGCCCTCTCTGGCGCAATTGCCAGCGCTAATCTGGCATTTCACCGAAAGCAATTTTGCGACTTTCGTGCTCCCCAACAGCGGGTTTGGCCTGCTGGCAGCACTAGCGGCGCCCGTGCTAACGGACTGTCTCCATCGTCCAACGGCCGCCAGTCTCCTCCTCCAAGGGCTGCCGCAGATGATCCTATTCAATTGGGCGAATATCTTCGTGTTTGATCTGGCCAACCAGCGGCTGCCGCAGTCACAGGAGGAAGATAGGATCAACAAACCGTGGCGTCCGCTGCCCAGGAAGCGGATCACTCAAGACGCCACTAGACGGCTGATGCTCATCGCCATTCCGACCGTGTGGACAATCAGCTCCCTCCTGGGAGTGGGGAGGGAGGGCGCCCTCATCCTCCTCTTGACTTGGCTCTACAATGATCTGCAGGGAGGCGACGAGCTGGTGCGGGATCTCATCATCGCCGCGGCCTACGGATTGTATCTGTCGAGCTCGCTGCGTATCGCCGTGGGCGCCACCACCCACCAGCTCTCCGATCGCGGATACCAGTGGATTGGCTTGATAGGGGCCGTGATTCTCACGACGATGCAAGTACAGGATCTCAAGGACCAGGCGGGCGACCGGAGCCGAGGCCGGAAGACATGGCCGTTGGTCCTGGGGGAGCGACTATCGCGCCGGCTGATTGCGGGATTCGTCCTCTTCTGGAGCGTCATCGGTGCATGGTTCTGGCAATTATCCTGGGGACCATCGCTCGTGCCAATGACCATGGGACTGTGGGTGGGACTTCGAGTGTTGCAGGGCCGCAACGACGCTTGGGCGTGGAAATGGTGGTGCGTGTGGCAGGTCGTGCTGTATTCGCTGCCGTGGCTGTCAGGAGAAATGAAGTGATGTTGCACTGCATTAGCGAGGGATGGCATGAGAGCTAGTCTGGTTCTGAAGGTTCGTTATGGGACGATTCCTGAAGAGATCTGAGACTGGATGAAAGCAAAAAATGAAAAGCAAAAGAGGGGGACATGCAGCATTAGTGACATTCTGGAGGCTGATCATGGCCCTTGCACTCGGGTGTGATTCGACCATCGGCCCTTTTCCCTGCCAATAAGCAATTGAAATTAGTAAACCTGAGAGGAGAAGAATGGGAACACTCGTATGCTAGTCTCTGGTACAATAGCAAGCGTCGCAAATTAGCTTCATGGTTCACGATCCTTTGTTCTCCATCCACACTTATAAACCGACTAGGGGAGGAGGGAGGGCAAGTCGGACTCCTTGGGACCAGGACACCTTTCATTTCCCTCCATTCAGCATCTTCCAACATGGCTGTCGCTTATCCGCTGGCTCTGGGTCTCTCGCTCTTGCCCTTCTTCCTGCATCCAGCCCATGCTATCACCAACAACCCCAACAGCGCCGACTCGTCCTGTCGCTGTTTTCCTACGGATCCCTGCTGGCCCTCCCCCTCCGAGTGGAGTGCATTCAATTCTTCTCTCGGCGGCAAGCTGATCGCCACTGTTCCTCTGGGGAGTGTCTGCCACCGTGACGGTCCCTTTGCAGCCTATGATGCCTCGGCATGCAGCCAACTGCAAGATGTCTGGCCGTTGCCCTCTGTCCACTACAGCACCCCCTCCTCCCCCATGGCCGCCTGGTTCGCCAATTTCTCCTGTGATCCATTTCTGGGCCCCGATAGCACCTGTACGGTAGGCTCGCTGGTGCAGTATGCAGTCAATGTCACAGACCCCGAGGATGTGCGGCAAACGCTGCAATTCACCCGAACCCACAATATCCGCCTGGTGATTCGCAACACGGGCCATGACTATCTTGGCAAATCGACCGGCGCTGGTGCTGTGGCCCTCTGGATGCATCATCTCAAGCACACCGCGTATCGGCCCCAGTACGCGTCACCCACATACACCGGCCCCGCTCTGCAGTTGGGGGCTGGAGTTCAGGGCTTCGAGGCCATGAAGGCAGCGCACGCCCAGGGGAAGGTTCTGGTGACGGGGAACTGTCCCAGCGTGGGCGTAGTGGGTGGCTATGCCCAAGGAGGGGGTCATGGCCAACTGGCGTCCAAGTTCGGGCTCGCTGCGGATCAGGTCCTGGAGTGGGAAGTCATGACGGCCGCCGGGGATGTTGTGACGGCGTCACCAACACTGAATTCGGATCTCTATTGGGCTCTGTCTGGCGGAGGGGGCGGCACCTATGCAGTGGTGTTGAGCGCCACCGTCAAGGTGTATCCCGACCTGCGAACGTCGACGGCCAGACTCGCCTTTTCCGGTAAGCGAGGCTCTTCACAGCACTTCTGGGAGGTAGTGCACACCTTCATGATCTCTCTGCTGCCTCTGCTCGATGCAGGAGCAGCGGCGATCTGGCTGATCTCCGACTCGACCTTTAGCTTGGCCCCTGTCACCCTGCCGGGGGGTAGTCTGTCCCAGCTGCAGGCCGGGCTAGCGCCGACGTTGCAGCTACTGCAGCGATACAATCTGTCCTACTGTACGTGTATCCTCTACTGCAAGGCTGTATCAAGGTCGACTTACTGACGTGCTCTGTAAGCATACGAGATTGATGAATTCCCCACCTTCTACCAGAGCTACGAGACAATGAACCCCGCCAGTAACATCACCGAGTATCAGATCGGCGGCCGGCTCATCTCGCGCTCAGATTTGGCTGCGAGTTCGCGTTCTATCCTCTCAGCCCTGCAGGCGATAGTGCATACAGGGGCCGCGATTTCCGGTGTGTCGGTGAATGTGTCTCGCACGCCTCCGCCCCGGAACGCCGTGAATCCGATTTGGCGCGATGCAGCCATCTCATTCACCCTGGGAGTGTACGTGGTTTTATGCATAATCCCGCCCTTGTAGGAGACTGACGCAAGAACAGACCGTATTCCTACACCAATCGCACACTCGATCTTGAGAATCAAGCGTTGGTGACCAACGAGCTGGTCCCACGACTGGCCGCGCTGAGCCCTGGGGGAGGCGCGTATCTCAATGAGGGAGATTTCAACCAACCGGACTGGCAGTGGGTGTTCTACGGCCGGAACTACGAGCGGCTCACGGCTGTCAAGGACAAGTACGATCCTGAACACGTCTTCTACGGGCGCACCGCCGTGGGGAGCGAGCGGTGGATAGAGCAGCAGGATGGACATTTGTGTCCGGTAGCAAGTAGCGTACATACTGTATAGTAGTCAGTTAATCAATATTTGCTCGATAAAAAAAAAAAAAAAAAAGCTCCTATTTGCGAATCAGATCTGCCGCCCGTTCCGCCACGGCATACACCGTCGCCATTGGATTGGCATGCGTGATCAGAGGGAACACACTGGCGTCGACCACCCGTACATTCTTCGTCCCGTATACCTTCAGCTCCTGGTCCACCACGCCTCCGGCCTCACGCGGCAGCATGGCTGCAGTGCCACAGATGTGATTGGCGGTCAGTGCCATCGCCTCGCGGAGCAACGGCTTGATGGTCTCGACATCACCGGGGGGGCCAGATTGGAGATACGGTTCGAGAGGAGGCGTGGCAATCACCTGCTGCAACTGCCGCACATGGCGCGCCAAAATCTCGATATCCACATCATGGGTGAAAACCCCAGCGTCGATCACCGGCATCGCGTCGGGATCAGGGGAGGGGACGTGGATGCTGCCGCGGGAGAAGGGGAAGCTTGGGATCACCGCCAGTAACGCGACATTCCCGGGCATGACGCCGAGTATGGAAAATGCAGAGGCTTCATTGGGATCGGCCAGAATGGACTGGAGCACTTGCTCAGACTGGGTTCCGGATTTCGCGTGTTGCGCGAAGAGGGTCTCCAGTTCCTGGGTGTCAAGACGGGTGAAAGCCATTCCCTGGATACCCGGCGTGAGGGCTTCGAGATCGGGATGTTCTTTGAGAGGCAGTGGCAGGACGGCCATCGGGTGGTTCTGTAGGTTCTCTCCCACTCCTGGTTGGTCTACCAAGACGGGAATTCCTAATGCACTCAGACGGTTCCTCTCGCCAATACCCGAGAGCTCCAGCAGCTTCGGGCTATGGAATGCGCCGGCTGCCAGAATGACTTCCTTACGGGCCTGGATGGTGGTCACCTCTCCATTCCACGCGACTTCCACCCCGGTGGCCGCTACAGGCTCGGAGGTGGCATCAAACAGGATCTTTTGCACGGTCGCCTCGGTCACGATTGTCAGATTCTCGCGGTCGGCGATGGTGCTGGTGTACGCCGTATCTGCTGCACTGCGCAGCCCAGACTGGGGGTGGATCGTCGCGGTGTAGGGACGAGTGCCCACGGATTTTTCTTGTGCCAGAAAGTCACCGGTAAATTCATACCCTTGTGCTTGGAAGGCATCATTCCATGCTTGGATAAGACGACCGTTGTCTTGGTCGGCCAGGGCTGGATAGGTGACTTGGATGGGACCCCTGGCGGGCTCCTGCTGAGTCTTCTGGGTCAGGTCGACCTCGGTCGTCCCCTGAGGAACCAGCGAGTATGTCTTCTGTAGATACGGCACAAATGATTCCCACGTCCACCCCGGATTTCCCAGTTTTGCCCAAGCGTTGATTCCTGCGGGAGACGGAGGAACGAAGAACAGTCCGTTGATGGCCGACGATCCCCCCAGCACTTTGCCCGCCGGATGCTCCTGGGTCCGATTGTTGAGCCCAGGCTGTATGGATCAGTGATTTGCATGTACCGTGGCTTGAAAGAGATAGATACCGACCTGTGGAACAATCTTCATCTTCCAGTCCAGGTCCGAACCACCCAGGGTGGCCCATGTCGCTGGATTCTGCACCTGAGCATCGGTTGTCCGATCGGGGCCACTCTCGAGGACGACGACCCGAAGATTAGGATCCTCTGAGAGTCGGTTAGCGACGACCAAGCCGGCAGTGCCTCCACCGATGATCAGATAGTCGGCGGATGAGGGGAGAGTAGTTGAGCTCATGATGATAGTTAGTGAGAAGATGATGGTGATGGTGGTGGTGGTGGTGATGATGGTGATTAGGATGGATTTATGAGAGAGGATGGACGCTGTAGATGAAATGTATCCTGTCAAGGGACGAAAGAGGACCGATCCGAGTATACCCTGGTTAGCACCACATCGTTATGGCTTGCTTACTTGCACATCGACAGAGGATGGCCACTGATTGACTGCTGGCTTGCCTCTTTCTGTATCCCTGTCGACTTCCGTCAGGCATCCTAGATACTCGAGACAATCAATCATGGCGATTGATGTACGTGAGATCCAGGCGATCGTCGTGGAGAAGTGAATTAGTAGAGCCTATCCGACTAGATGAAGCCACACAAGGGGATGTGTTTCTTAGTGAAGAGGGTGAAGAGGTCTCTATTGATCGTATCCGGAGAGGTATGTAGGTACGGTAGACTGGTGGCAGCCTATCCAGCCTACTTACTGTGAGAAAAGTGATATATTACATAGTATATATTGTAGACCAAATAGCAATATCTAAGAGAGATCTATAGCACAGTCTCCTTTCGATCATTCTCTTTTCCTTCTTCTTCTTCTTCTTCTTCTTCTTCTTCTTCCTGATCCACTCTTCTCCGTTGACGTCATCTACTCCCAGGCCAATATCCCCCATAAATATCCCCCATAAATATCCCCATCCAGAGCCTCCTCCCTACACTGGTTGATCATCTCATCCTCTATAATCTAATTACTACCACTCTATCTGTATCTATTCAACAATCATCATCATCATCATCATCATCATGCCTGAATCCTTCACGGCCGCCCGCAACCGCCGCAATGATGAGATCGTGCGGCTCGCCGACCAGCACATGCAGAGTGACCTGCAGCCCGCAGACCGCGACGTCTTGAAAAGTGCCGCCTCCAAAGTCTCGCTCTGGACCACTGTCGGTTCCGCAGTGGGCATCGGTCTCGGTCTCTATGTCGCTTTCCGACTGCGCAGCACGCGCAAGGCATTCTTCGAGGCCTTCCGAGCGCAGGAGAAGCCAACACAGGTGGTGTTTGCCGATGGTCGGACAGGTACCCACAACATCCCTTCGTCAGTTTAGAACTGAGGTGCAATACTCATGGAAGCAGAAACCATTCCCGATATCACGCCGCTGCTAAAACCAACGACATTCGGTGATTTCGCGACGTATTTCTTTGCCGGCGCAGGTGGACTCTTTTTGGGCGGAGAGCTGGGTACGTCGTCCTGGTCTACGATCAGCAACCAACGATACGATATCTTACAGATCGACGATACTGACTCTACCGCGTCACCTAGGCTTCTTCGCCGGAGCAGCCAGTGGAAGTCGCAGCATCACAGCAGACCCCGAGCGGAGGAAGCGGATCGAGACCGCGTTTAGGAAATTCCGAGCAGATGTGCTGCGGAAGGAGGCGGATGAGCTGGATCGGGACAAGAACATTTTCGACAAGATGTTTTAAGGCGTCTGGGAGTTGTTGGAGGGACTGTATATTAGATCAAATGCGATGGTAACCCTGAATGACACGGATCATGCCCTCTGCCCCGTTCACTTTACGATCGACCTCCACGGTCGCAGGTGCTCTCTTCTGCCGGTGGGATTGTCAGTGGTCATCATAGTAACAAGTCCATGCCGAGAAGAAAGTCCATATCCATCGAAGGCGTCTGCTGAAAGGACTCCAGAAAGGATCCCAATGACGGCCACTGTCCTTCTGCCCCGTCAGAAATCCCCGAGACCCGTTCGAGAATCGAGATGCCTTTGTGCTTCTTCTCCAGCGACGCACGGACGAGGTGTCGAGCCGTGTGCAGGGCTTCGATCGCCAAATGCGTACTCAACCGTTCCGTGATCATCTCCAGTGTCTCCATCGCTTCCGAAATCGTCTCCAGACTCTCGGTGGTATCGATGGCGATCAGAACACAGATGAATTGAAAGACCGTTCCAACTACGTTCCACCACGGATGATTCTGAACCATCAGTCGTCGGGCAGCCGGCAAAGCAAGCAGGCCGACAGAGACTATTGTATGGAGCGATCCCGGCGGCCATGTCCACTCCAGCACTCGGAGTCGGCGGAAAAGGCAAAAGGCAAGATCGGCCTTGATCAAGACCAAAAAGTCATGTTCCACCACGGTCTGGGCCACTTTGTCAAGACCGGCCATCAGCTCATTGCGCCTTGCAGCATCGTCCGCATGGCGATCCAGAGGCACAGCCCCGACCAAGTCGAACAGCTGCGGCGTCCAATCCCCTTGCCGCACCCCATCTCTCAAGCCGCTCTTCCATGTCAAGCCGAGGTTGACCACCGACCGTCCGTAGTCGTAAGCAATGATGATATTCAGACATTGGGCAATCTGGGCGATGCGCTCTCGCGTTTCTGCAATATCCTCCAACGCCTTCTTACCACTATCGCCCGTCGTCAACACGACCGCATCCAAGGGCTGATGCAACCCAGCGGCTTCCACGAGATGCATTGTGGTGCAACTACACATCCAGGCAGAGTGCGGCCGGCTCGTCGTACGCACATAGACAGTACGCAAGATCCAACCAGCGATCTTGTCGATGGACGGGACTCGGCCGATCGACGCATCCTCTAGGATCTCCTTGGCATGCCGCACAATCCGCATCTCCTGATCCTCGCCGAGGAAGCCCGAAAAGAGAGATCCCAGCCCGATTACGCCGCTGATCAGGGCCTCAAAGCCAAGCCCCTGATCCCTTCCGTGCCAGTGCTCTTCGCCGCGCTGAGAGAGTCGTTCCAGATCCAGGATGCCAAACACCGGGTGGACAGTCAACGAGTAAACGTCCATCAGGTTCTTCACCTTGTCCCAAGAGATATAGGTGGCCAGGTCAAAGTTCACCCCACAGCCCGGTTCTGCGCGGACTCCTGGGTTGTAGGCAAAGGAGTGTAGACGGGGCGGATTGGCCGCCTGCATCTCCAGCCCGACTGTCATCGGGAATGCCACCGACGAATGCCGCCCCATGTACCTCAATTTCAAGGGCTCCAAGATTCCACTGGAAGGAGTAGAGATCGCCGGGGCCCGGTTGGCATGCGTGTCTTGCCACTCCAGCACCCGTGCTTCTTTCGCAGGCGGCAGTGGGAGCAGACCGGCGTCATCTGCGCTTCTCTTGGCGGCTTTTGATGGTTCATCCATATACTGGCAATCATATCCGTATCCTGTACAGGTCGAGCAGGGAAACTGTCCATCGCATTTCCTCTTTCGCTGACGACAAGGGCCACATGCCTGTCGTGATCTCTGACGCATCTTCCCAGATACGGAGGCATTTGACACGGTCGCATTTCCATGAGGTGGCCGATCAGACATGACAAGCTCGAGTTTATTCCATCCATGAGGATGTCATGACGACAGCGGTGGTTGGGAATGCTCAACAAGCAAGACTGTTTTGTCGTGCTCAGCAGAGAGATAGGTAGTGGACTGTAGTTGTCTGGTGTTTTCCCAGCATCGTGACATCGTGTCGATCTGATTGGACGAAATATCCCTGCCTCAGGCAGCAGCGTGCGAACACATAAATCGAGTCTGGCTGGCCTGTGATTGGCCAGAATGAGAAGTCTCCAGGATCTCATTTCATCGCTTCTTGATTGCTTACATCGAAGGTAAGGTAGTATAGTATAGTATGAGAGTAAATGCTATACAAGCACAGGATACCACTCTTTGCCGATCTGCAATGGCCAAAGTACCAACTGATACTATTTTTGCAGAAGAATACGAACCAATTTCCTGCCGCTGCGACCAACCGATGTCTCCACCACTGAAATGTGCTGGAGATTCGTGTCCTATTTCGAAAATGCTATGGTCAATGTCCCTGGTTTCTCCACCTGATTCATCTCGCGCTCCTCATTGACTCGTGCAGCTGCCAAGTCTCGGATGTTGATACAATTCGGCATAGGAGTATAGGTTCGCTGACTCGGGGGGGGCAGAGGCGCTACTATGCCCGCCCCTGCCATCTATAAAAGCAACGCAATGGACTGAACTGACGGATGGGAACCAACTCTGCATCCTGACTTCCAATCGCGTCTCCTATTTCCACCCAGGATGATGCTGCTCCAGGCTATTTCCGTTTCGCTTCCCTTCTTCCTCCTTTCCTCTGCGGTGGCAGATCCACGGGCATGTACCGGTGACACCAAGTCCCTGTCTCCGTCCTACTTCACCCTCAACGAGACAGACAACCGCTTTCTCCCGGCGCTGTCCAAGATCTTCACCGCGGCCGGCAAGAAAGTGACCGTGACCCAGGTTCTTGCCGATGCCAATCGCGACCTGCAGAAGGGCGTCGTCACCTCGCCCATGTCGGAGCGCTGGCTGTGGAATAGTGGCGACGAATCCACGACCAAATGGATCCCCCAGGGCATGACTAGCTCGGGCGATGCCCTGGGCGCCGGCACGTATGAGGACAAGGACGTCTGGCTTGTTAGCTGGTACCAGAAGGAAGGCGGGTCCAATGTGCGGGTGAGCTTTGTGGACCGTGCCACGCATAAGTATCGCCATGTGATGCTGGTCGAACCTAGCACCGCGGACAACTTCAAATCGGTGCCGATCCATGCGGGGGGTATCGCGTGGTATGGGAATACCCTCTATGTGGTGGATACCAACCACGGGCTGCGGGTGTTCGACATGGATAATATCTGGAAGGTGGAATCGGGCGATGGCATTGGGAAGATCAGCGGGGGCGGTTACTCGGCAGCCAACTATGCATATGTGCTTCCGCAGATGAGGTGAGTGATGCTCGTCGCCGGCTACTGACCGTGCAAGATGCTAACGACCCGAATAGAGTCTACAATTGGACCCAACTCCAGCCCGACGCCAAATTTCGCCATTCTTGGGTCGCTCTCGATCGCCTGGATTCTCCCGACACTCTGTTGGTCGGCGAGTATCAGACCGACGATGCCACCCTTCCCATTCGCCTAGTCAAGTACCCCTTGGACTATCAGACACGCCGTCTACGCAAAACCAAGTCCACGATTGTGACTGCTTCCTGGGTATACTGCGTCGACATCCTCCGCATGCAGGGCGGATTCTCTCGAAATGACACCTTTTACCTGGGACGGAGCAACGGTCAGAAGAACGGTGGTGATCTTTTCACCTGGAGCCCTGGAGAAGCAGCCACGGGATCAAGCTACTTCCCTCCGGGAAATGAAGACCTCAGTTACAATGAAGCAAAGAAGGAGTGGTATACTGTGACTGAATGGAAGGACCAGCGGTACATTGTGGCGTACAAGAAGGAAGTTGCGTGAAGGACGACTACTGGATGGTGGTAGTCGGTTGGATGGATTTAAGGTCAATAGATCGAAATGGGCGTATAGCCGAGAATATACAGATGTATTCGATCACCTCCGTGTAATAAATAGTATGGGATCGGAAAAAAAAAAAAGAAAGAAAGAAAGAAAGAGACAGTGGATGTTTGGCAGTGGAGACCTTGAGCGGGAAGCCAAAAAGAAAAAAAAAAAGAAATGCCTCCATCCAGGATCGAACTGGAGACCTCAGGATTTCAGGAATTTCCCTTCTGTTGACAGAAGAGTCATGCAATATGAGACCTGCGTGATAACCAACTACACCATAGAGGCATTTGTTGAAGAATACGGGAAGTCAATGGTTTATATTCCAAACAACCACAGTAAAACAAAATACTGCATTTTTCCATCTTTCTTCACTTGTTGTGGGCTACTCCAAAGGCTGAACCTCGCACAAATAGATCTTTATCATGCTTTCTTTATTTGTTTCAAGGTTTCTCGAGCGTGTATAGTCATTTCATGATTATCGAAATAAAAAAAAAACCCCGGCTCATACCTTGTTTCTAGAGTAAAGCCACATACACGGCGAAGGTATATATATCTAACGCCTGTGGACACTTGGAATATCCTCTACCAGACACTCAACCATGACTTCAAATGGTTCCTCCCCACCTCCCCCTTCTTGGAAAAATAGTCAAATGCATCAAAGCTAGAATAGAGATGAGAATTTGATTCATTTTATATAAACTAATCCACCCATTGAATGGTTTCATCGTCCAATGTACACTAAGGCTTCACCCAGAGACCAGCATAGCGATCTTCCTTCCCAGCATTGTATCCACTAAAAGCCCGAAGAACATAACCCTCCTTCTTGTACTTGTCAAAGGCAGCTTGAAAAGACGGCGAATCCAATCCGTGGCGAGCAACCCAAGCTCCGGAGGGCGACTTGTCCCAAATGGCCGCATAGTAAACATGATCATCCACCTGGTATCCATCCACATCGACGAGGCGGTATCCTTGCTTCACGTACTTGTCAAATCGTGACTGGTACTCGGCAGAGGTGAGATTGGCGTACGACTGCCAGGCGATCTTGTCGCTCGTCTTCTCCCAGATGGCCGCAAACCGTTCTTCTCCCTTGAGCTCGTAGCCACTCACGTGGGTGAGTCTGTAGCCCTGTTTGAGATAGTCGTCAAAGTACTGTTGCATACCGTCGGCGGACATGCCATGGCGTGTGATCCAGCCGGCGGAGGGCGATTTGTCCCAAATGGCCGCGTAATAGTCCTTGCCCTTGACGGTATAGCCGTTGACCTGCACGACGCGGTATCCCTGGCTGCGATACTCGTCGAATTTCTTCTGGTAGGCATCGGAGGTGAGGCCATGGTGCGATTTCCAGGCAGCGGACGATTTCTTCTCAAAGATGACGGCGTAATTGGCCTGGCCGCTGCGTTCGTAGCCACTGACGGAATTCAGACGGCAGCCCTGGCCGACAAGGTCATTGAATTTGGCTTGATAGGCATCGCTGGTCAGGCGGTAGTACGCGTGCCATTCGTTGGCCTGAACACAGGCCGCAGAGAGGAGGGCAACGGTCCAGGTAAGAAACCTCATTGTGATGAGAGTCAAAGGGAGATGGTAGGGAAGATGAGAGACGGGTTGTTACTTTGCTCCATACCCCCCCCAAGAGTGTCTCAACGATTCTTATACCACAAAGCTGCTCACCGATGGAGAGCTGAGGCTGTGAGTATGCATAGCTCGCAGAAAGCAACCAAAATGGGAAATCATCTCAGTCTTGGCAGATATCTGTGATCTACAAAGTTCGTATTCGGGTGTATTTATATCGTCCGATGCACCCACTATTGGCTTGATGGCATCAATCTTAAAAATGCACTCGTGAGGGTGGAGCCTCTTGTATACATGTTGATGAAACACGAGCATTCTGGTCGACAATAGGCTGGATCATGATGAGCGACGTGAGGCTCATCAAACTCTTGTTGCCACTACCCCCTGAATACGAAGCACTTGTACCTGGTAAGGCTGACTCTGAATCGCTGCTCGTATTTCCCCAGGATTGAATGATGTTGGAGAGGCCACAAGCCGTCTTGAAGGATGATCCTGACTCCCTGGCTCATCTCCCTATCATTATTGAAACCATGTCTGTGCGATCTATGATGCCGTCAGTCGAATGTGGCCCTAGAATTGATGCCTTGATTCTTAGTGCTCGTGGAGAGTAATCAGGCTTAACCATAAATAGGCAATACATTTACCTTCTATAATGAAACCACACCGAATATGCTGTACACTCAAAAGCAGGAAGTTCTGTATTGCACTGTAGTTAGTCCCTTATCCGATGTTGAATTGTTGATGCTGTGAGAGAAATGACGTCAGCGCCAACTGGGTGGGCCAGGTTCCGATTCCTCAGGCAGACATGTCATAGGTCAAGGACCATATGCCACAGTCCACAATATACCAGGGTAGACCAGTCCCAACTCCTAAGTAACAAGGAGAAATAACCTGGCATGTCATATATCTTTTTATGACTGAATAACTGGTTAGTCTGCTCAGATCCACCCACGTCATGCGCCAGGCAGCCACTCCTGCGTGGTGACAGGAGTAGGTATATCAATGGCAATCAACATCGACATGCATATCTAGGCTTTTCTCCTAGAATTATACTGCTTCATCGCTCTCGGAGTATTTCAAGTACTTTTATTAATTATCTTTGAAGCCAACAAACACCATGGACACTGTCAACAAGATCACCGGCGGCGAGACGCACACAGAGGAGCAAAAGCGTCATTTCTATGACAACCTCACCGATGACCAGAGAAAGCAGCAGTCCTACACCGAATGGGTGAAAGAAGCCTATAATGACCAATATGAAAAGTGGATGCCATGGCTCGAGGAACAATACTTGAAATGGTTCGGGAAGGGTGACAACAAGGCCTCCTATGTCACAAAAGGTATGGAACAATCATGACCAACTTGAAGACCGATTGCCTAATGATTCCATCGGAGTAGATACCCTCGCCAAGACCAAGGCCACCGGCGTCAGGCAGCTTGACCAAGCTCAAGACGACGTCCACAACTTCGTCGGCAATCAGCTCGGAGAGAACGGGGTCCTCGCCCCTGTCGGCAATCTGGTATCCAAAGAAGGAATCAACCGCGCCGAGAGAAATGGAAAGGATGAGGATGGCTCGTATGGTGGTCCGCTCGGAGGCGTCACTGACCCCATGGTGGACCGAGCCAAGGGGGCAGGTCAAACGCTCTCATCAGGGGCACAGACGGTAGGCAATTCCATCTCCGGAGGTGTCCAGAGTGCAGGAAGCTGGCTTCAAGGCTCCTCTAGCAAGGAACCACAGTCTTGATGGAGATGGCTGCAGAATTATGAGCGATGACTTCCTTTTTTGATGTTGTTGATGATCACCCCGTCTGATTCATGATATACCACTGTTTATCCTGTACCATATTTATCAAATTGAAACGATTCTTTGGTGGCACAGTTCCATGCAGAAAAATCACTCAATAATATTGGAACTCCTTCTACATCACGTCATATCGCACCCATATCTTAGGGTAGTCTGTGGAAAAAAACAATCATCACAATAGGATCGTGTAGCTGATATATGGTTGTGCTGTAGACGAGTAGGGCGTACTCTAGATTTTCCGATGTATGATAAAATAGTTCTGGGAGGCTAGGACACCAGAACTAGGGTGACTAGATAACCCACTCCGTAATACCTTTCTATACTCGTTAGGGGACTCAAGTTAGCTTGTGCAAGCGTGTTCGCACTTCGAAGGAGCCGCCCTGGACAACCTTCTTTACTAATGCCGGTCGAAAAACCAAGGTATAGAGTGCCGTTGCCCTCGCTGGCCATGCCAGCGCCTGGAATGGCCAGATGGCTGCCTCTAACTATCAAGCCAACGAAAGAGGCCCCTTCCAGCTCATTTATCTGACTGACTACAATACCGGCTTAACCTACACCGGAACTCTCCGCGAAGGCTTCAATTCATGCACTAGCAGCCAGTGCGCTGTCCAGTGAGTTTCGAAAGCAGAAATGATCATAGTAGCAGGCTGACGACTTGCAGTTTCTATGAAACCAGCCCCGAGGGTGCTCGTTCGCTGCAAAAATGTGGAGGACCAGCGGTGGATGCCACAACATTGACTCTGGGGGTGCTTTCGATGCCCACCATGGATTCTGCCGTGGTTCTCAGCTCTGCGATCTCTCGGCTTAAGCCTCTTATGATCTCAGTTTGTATGTTGATTGATGAAGTCCACGGTCATTTCAATCTACCGAAACACAAGGATAGAGCAAAGATGAAGGGGAAGTGCCAATAGGCATGAAGCAAAGTTGATATGGGAATTATTAGTAGACAGCATCTCAAATTCGCCGAGCTCAGATACCTATTTGATCATTCCATCACCATTGCAATGCACTTGCTCTGTCACAAGATTGCTCATTAGGCTCTCTTCGCACATCATTGGCAGCCGTCAGCTCCTTAAACAGTGTTTTCCCAAATGTTCTGAATGCAGAAGTGATGCCGCCGTGACGATACATTTCTCGCTCCATCTGACTAAGTTGGAACTCAAATTTGGATCCCTCAACATCGACCACTTGAGTCTCAAAATCAATGGTTAGATTGGTGCCGTCCCTGACCATCTCGTAGAATATCTCGTCGGATATAGTAATGCCCAAGAGGCCAATATTGGGCATGTTGCGGTGGAAGATGAAGGCGAACGATTTTGCGATCACGCATTGGACTCCACAACCTACGTATATAGTTGAGTATCAGCCATCAACCCACATTAAGAATGTACCTCCGTACCAACTAATGCCATGACAGCCTGTTCGCGCGAAGAGCCACACCCAAAGGCCTTCCCAGCAACAACAATGTTGAAACCATCTTTAACACGTCGGCGAAATTCGGGATGCATATACTGCAGGCAATGCAGAGCGCTCTGCTGATTCGTTTTCATGCCGATCAGAAACTCAGCCGGAGCCAGCTGTGGAAGATTAGTCAAGCATAGCACACCAGAGAAGTTCAGCCATACCGCATCAGTGTCAATGAAATCCCCAAGTCGTTGAACTTTTCCTGTGATAGTGTCAAGCGACGGAGCTGTTCGTACTTCATGAGATTGATTCATCGAATCACATCTTTCTGGAGAAACATGATACCCACTAGGCTCGACGTAGGTCAAAAAAGACGCGCTAGTTCTCACTGGCGACTCTGCAGTGCCGCGGATGATATTCCAGTGAGTCATGTCAATACCACTGAGCAACTCAAGGGGATCAGTCAGTCTCATGCTGAAGGAGGATGCCGCAACAGTGGCAGCAGATCCAAGGTGTCCAATTGACCCTATACCGTCCTCCATCAGCTAGAGGATGTCAGACCAGGCAAATTGATACACACCCTTGCCCATGCGATTCTCAAAATTACGGTTTTGAGAGGTGAGCCAGACTTCCCCGGGAGCTGCGTGATCAGCGGACATGCCAACGCAATAGCTGCAACCAGGGATGCCAACTTCAAACCCTGCGGCTTCATATACATCGGCAAGGCCGAGTTCTCGTAATCGGCGAAGGACTGGCAGTGACCCGGGAACCATCTTCCTCTTGCCCTCTTTCTGAGGCTGTAGACCCTTCTTCAGCCCCTGTTCGAGGACAAGGCCGGCGAGGATAAGGTCCTCTTCGGTCGTAGTGCAGGCTCCAATAAAGCACCCATCCACCTGCATCCCTATATGATCTGCCACAGGCACTACATCATCTGGCCTGGGGTATCGGGCAAAAGATGACTCAACACATCCCAGATCGATATCGTACGAGGCAGCATATTCTGCATCGTCATCAGGCCGAAAATAGTTACTGCTCGATTTATGTCGTCTCAAACGCCGTTTGGCCATAAATTCATGTGTGATATGGTCGGGGACAAACACCCCAGTAATGCCACCAAGTTCCTGTATACCATCAGCGAAGGTTCACCTCGCTAGTGTCGGTGTTGTCTAGAAATGTGATGACATACCGCCGTCATGTTGCACATGGCAAAGCGAGCGTCAGCTGAGAGATGCTGCAGCCCCGGACCAGTGAACTCGACAATTCGATCCGAGGCGCTGGTGTTTCTTTTGAGCTGTTGTAGAATATACAGTATCACATCTTTACCACTAATACCAATTCTGGGTTTACCAGCAAGCCGGATATTGACAGACTCCGGGATCCTGAACCAAGTCTCTCCCGTCACTAGGGGCAAGGTCACATCGGCAGCCCCGAGTCCAATTGCTAGACACCCCAACGCCCCGGAGGAACACGTGTGAGAATCGGATCCAATTATCAGCATGCCTGGTTGCGCTCGTTCACGAAAGAACTCGGTATGAAGGATAGTGTACTAGGGCTGTGTCAGCGTGTTACTATGTTTATTGCCCCGAAACCGCATCATGGACCGACATTCATTCCCTGGTAGTCGGTCATCTTAAATACTCTTTTTGCTCTCTCACTGGCATCAATCAGCGCTTGTATTTGCGGACGGTCATTGATTCGCGGATCAACGACGTGATCACCAGCAAGCCAGAAGCGATCGTTGCGGTAGATACCGGGGCTGCCTAGCTGGTTGTACGTGATCTCCATACCCTTCAACCAATTGAGCTAAGCACAAGAGCTAACAACGAGGAAGATGCATACTCACTGCCCATGATGCTTCCGATGCAAGGACCCAATCGACACCGACTCGAACAAGATCCCCCGGAGCTACGCATCCGTTTCCGTAAATCGCGTGCATCGCAAATATCTTCTCGCTTAGAGTCATTCCACGTCGACCTCGAGGCCGAGAGGGCAGCGGAGGCGGCATCGATCTGCTCCTATCTGCTGAATTGAGTGCTTCCAACCAGGCAGATACCAGGAACAATATCTCTGATTCTTCTTGCACGGTCGCTCTGCTGATGGCACCAAGGCCTAGTCCTCCAAGGTCGCGTGGTTGGCTGCACACGTCGAGAACATCCATGAGGGCTCTAGATTCACGTGGATGGCCCAAGTCAAGCAACCTTCTGCTCAAAATTTGCAGCTTAGGAATCACTCCGACCGATGGTCCCAGCTCTGCTTCAGGCTTTAGTGGTGGTCGGGCTTTAAGGGAACTCCCATGGCGGACGCATCATACTCATTTCATCATTGAGACGTATGCCCCGTGTTTGTTCAAGTATCGTGTAAACGGTGGCCCAGCTGGCCTCTTTTGGCTCGCCCATGTTGATGTGCCTTCAGAGAGCGGCTAGATCTTTGAGGCCATCGAAAACCGGAAGAGGGCTGATCCTCCTAGCCTACATTCGGAAAAATCCATTCTAAAATATGGCTTGTCCAAAGTTTCGGGCTTCGAAAACCGTCGATTGTACAACTAGCTGGTAAGCTGGAAGGGTCACATCCCCATTCTGTAGGTTCCAGTGCGATCAAATTTTTTGCTGTTGCTGTGTGACCTTAGCAAAAAGCCCGTTGCACATCCGAGCACACAAGACCAGGGGTCGTCAGAAATGCGCCGGTATATCAGGTATCTCAAGCCCGAAGGACGCATCAGACGGTTCCAGTCCAAATGAATAGAAGACGGAAACGCTGGTACAGCGGTCTGAAAGTCGGCTTGTATACGCGGCTCTCGTAACAGACTGGTAGAATTTTCTATTGTTGTTACAATTTATAGCAGATCTCTAGCACTGATGAATCCAAGCAGGAAAGCGCCTAGGCCTTGGTGTAGCGCAGGTAAGACTTGATCTCCCGCACGTCACCAAACTTTTTCTTCGCATCCTCGGTAGAAACAGACGGGGGAACAATCACGTCCTCGCCCACAGTCCAGTCGATGGGGGTTGCAACACCCTTCTTGTCCGCTGTCTGCAGGGCATCAATGACCCGCAGAACCTCCGCGGAGTTGCGACCAGTGGACGCCGGGTACAACATGGTCAGACGGATCTTTTTGGCCGGATCAATGACGAACACTGCCCGGATGGTAAAGGGAATGCCCTTTTCAGCGATGTTATCCAGGTCGCGCTGGTCGATCATATCGTAGAGGAAGGCGACCTTACGGTCGGGATCGGCAATGATAGGGAATTGGACGGTGGTTGACGCAACCTCGTTGATATCCTTGACCCAGTCACCGTGGGAGCTGAGATCATCGGCGCTCTGTTCACATAACGATCAATGAATATGGTGGTCTGTCTCAGTTATCGGTGGGGAAACCCACCAGACCGATCATCTTGACACCTCTCTTGTCGAATTCACCCTTCAACTTGGCGAAAGCACCGAGTTCGGTTGTGCATACCGGGGTGAAGTCGGCGGGATGGGAGAAAAGAATGGCCCAGTTGTCGCCGATGAACTCGTGGAAATCAATTTCACCATGGGTAGTCAGGGCCTTGAAGTTTGGAGCTATCACCGAGGATCGAGCGATTAGTACATCATCCGTGGAATACAGCGTATTTGGAACCAGCTGGTACCTGTTGAGCCCAATCGCAGGCGAGGCTGATCCTGGGGCACGGTCGCAAGGAATCTGCGACCGAAGGGCTGCATGAGGGGCAGCGCACGAGGGAGCTGGCGGGAGAAAGCCATCCTTGACACAGGGAGAGCTCTAGGGAGCGCAGAGAGAGCTCTGAAGCCGGTTCGGGGAAGAATGGAAGCCATTGTGCAGATAGTCTGTTAATATTCAACGAGCTCCTTGGACAAGGTTGACGACAGAAGAAAAAGAAAGAGAGAGAGAGAGAGAGAGTCGATGTTTGGAGGTTTGACAGGTGTCGATGACGATATTCTGAAGGCACGAAGGCACCAAGGCACCAAGGCACCGAGGCACCGAGGCACCAAGGCGAAGCTATCCACATTGGGAAATCAGCTCAACGCGGATGTCCGGATGCCTTAATGCCTCAATGCCTCAATGCCTGAATGCCTGACAGCCTGACAGCCTGACAGCCTGAGGCAGCACATCCACCGTACTCCGCGGAGGAGAGATCATGCTGAGAGTGAGTTAAACTCTTTTAGGCTGCAGAATGAATTACATTTACTGCAGATGAAACCGGATACACTGGGATCTGAGATGCTTAATTCTCACATAAGCTCATATGATCATATTGGGCAGCCTGTTGCGGCACCTCGGCCGAATGCTTATGTGCCATGAAGTTCTTCACCTGTTCTCCATTGGACAATACTTCTCTGACACACGGCAAAAAGACCATTATTATGTGGCTTGCATTAGTCCATCACACGGTAGTATTGGCTGACGATTATTGACTACCTCTGGGGGGAGATGTGACAGCCGAGGTGCAGACGATCAGCTTTGAGGATTCAGCCGATTTATTTACACATATAAGACACCACTCAGGCGATATGGTTGGCAGGTTCTGGGAAGGATATGCAGCTGCTGCGACGTTACTAGATCCTCCAATTTCGCAATGCGTACATCAGGCGTCTTGCTCAGTCTGGCGGCTTTGAGCCATGCAGCCTTGGAGAAACGGGCGGATTCTGCACTTGCCTACAGCTCCAACGCGGCGGGCAACTACAAGCTCTCCCCAGTCGCAGCTCCGGTGCAAGGGACAGGAAACCCTGGCGGCGAGTCAACTTGGCAATTGTCCGTTGATGACACCTCCTCTGGACACAAACAAACCATTGTCGGGTTTGGTGCGGCCGTCACCGATGCCACCGTCACTTCGTTCAACACCTTGTCCAGCTCCACACTGCAAAACCTGCTCAATGAGTTGATGACTTCTGCCGGCGCGGGATTTGCCTTGATGCGACACACAATCGGCGCCTCAGATTTGTCCGGTGATCCGGCCTATACGTACGACGACAATGGAGGCAAAGAGGATCCATCGCTGTCGGGGTTCAACCTGGGCGACCGCGGGACGGCCATGGCCCAGATGCTGGCCAAGATGAAGTCCCTGCAGCCAGAAATGAAGGTGCTCGGCTCCCCCTGGAGCGCCCCGGGATGGATGAAGCTGAACGGAGCCATCGATGGGAACACGAAGAACAACAATTTGAACGACGGATATCTCACCAGCGGCGGTACTGGGAGCACGGGCTATTCGAGTCAGTTTGCTCAGTACTTTGTCAAGTATATCCAAGCCTATGAGACACTCGGAGCGCACATCGACGCGATCACGATCCAAAATGAACCATTGAATAGCCAAGCGGGTTATCCTACCATGTACGTCTTTGACTGGGAGTCGGCACAGCTCATCCAGAATTACATCGGCCCGGCCCTTGCCAACGCCGGCTTGAATACGGAGATCTGGGCATATGATCACAACACCGGTATGTGCTCGCATCCCATAGCAGACGATGAACTCACAGATGATAGATGTGACCTCGTATCCCCAGACTGTCATCAACCAGGCTGGACAATATGTCAATTCCGTTGCCTGGCACTGTTATGCCTCGAACGTGGATTGGACCGTTCTGAGTAATTTCCACTCGTCCAACCCTGGAGTGAAGCAGTATATGACAGAATGCTGGACCCCAGCATCCGGATCATGGCATCAGGCGGCCGATTTCACTATGGGACCATTGCAGAATTGGGCCGCAGGAGTGACTGCATGGACTCTCGGTACCGACGCCCAGGATGGTCCGCATCTGTCCAGTGGTGGTTGTGATAGTTGCCGGGGCCTGGTTACGATCAACAATGGCGGATATACCCTGAACCCCGCATACTACATGATGGCGCAGTTCAGCAAGTTCATGCCACCCGGGGCGATCGTGCTGAATGGTAGCGGGAGCTACACATACTCCGGCAGCGGCGGCGTGCAGTCCGTCGCATCCCTGAACCCGGACGGCTCGCGAACGGTGGTCATTGAAAACACCTTTAACAACGACCTCTATGTGACCGTGACCATGAAGAGTGGGGATAAATGGAGCGGGAATATTCCCAGCGAGTCGGTGACCACCTGGGTACTGCCCGCTGCGGCCTGAGGTGACTCGTCCTTAGAACGCAAAGTACTCAACTGGGACAGCAAGGACCAAGAAAAGAGTGACTTGGAAAATCAGGATTCAGTTAGAGGAGGGACCGGCTCTACATTTTGAGGGATGATATCAGCTTTGAATGGCCCACTTCAAATTCATTCAGTCTTTGTTGACAAGTGATTGGAAGCCAGGGGATAGTAAATTCAAATAAAACATTTCTACGAGATTGACCAGTTAGGCTTGGCTGTTTATCCATGTTTATGGTTCTGGATTCGTCGTGATGGAGTCATGACTGTTCGCCACTCTCCCCGTGGGGTTGTTATGATAACTGGGTTCTCTCCATAACCTTTGTCACCTTTCACATCATAAACACTTCTATCTGTCTATCTCTGTCTGTCAATCTAGTCAGCGAGAACGGTAAAGAAATCCAAACTTCAAAGCTCAAGGTCTTCGTGATCATGTATCAAGCAATTGTTGGCCGTTCAAGGCCTCTATTCCATACCCTCAAGCAGAGGTTGCAGACCACAGGTAAAAAACATTTTGAGTATCACACCAGTAACCTCAGTCAAGTAACTGCTATCTTAGATCCATCCCAGAGGCGCAAGCATATCGTTCGATCAGATACCTACAAGACACCAGGGCCAATCCCCTTAGCTTCTTTGCGGCTCCAGGCGCCTGCATGGGCCACCGCAGGAGGAGGCATATACGCCACTCTGTTCGGAGTATTTAGGCTGCTGCGCTCCATGCGAGGTCTTCACTATATCTGAGACGTTGCTGTTTCATGTGGTTTGATATCGGACTGAGAATGTACTTACTACCCATATGAGAACTGGAAAAAAAAGCTGAATGACAAAGAATCATCTTGATTTGGTATCTGGATAGGATGTTGTTGTATCTCACGATGGACAATCTGATATATGCACCAAATCTCCGTACGATGACTGACAGAAACAGAATTGATGAGGTGGAGATACGAGGAGGGGCCGATCAGTCGAAGATGGGAGAAGAACACAGAAGAAGCACAAGTTTATCTAGGCCAATCATGCCAATATGCCAATATGCCAATATGCCAATATGCCAATATGCCAATATGCCAATATGCCAATCTCGGTTTCTCGCATCTCTCATCCTCCCCAGACGCTTTCGGAACTTGTTCCTAAGCACCTATTAAGCAGTTGAAATGGGCTCGACTGCTCGCACCGTTCTCGCTTTCCAACATGATGCCAAACTCTATACCTTTCAGACCATCGTGACAGCCATCCACCCATTCTCTGCATTGGAGGCCTCAAACCAGCAGCTATTCAAACAGGGCACTGATGCCGATCACGTTATCGTCACCGAGCAAACCATCTTCCATCCGCAAGGAGGCGGACAGCCCTCGGATGAGGGCCATATAACAGGCCCTTTGGGTGCGATTTTCACGGTCGCAGCAGTCCGCATGGATGCCGTGCGGAATGGTCAAGTTCTGCACTTTGGTCACTTCAACGACACATCTGCCGTCTTCACCGAAGGGGCCACGGTCGAGCAAACCATCAACGCTGACAAACGAGTGTTTTATTCGCGATTGCACACCGCGGGCCATGTTCTTGGGGCCGCCGTCAAGCACCTTCTAGCAAAGGAAGTTGAAGGGCTCAAGGAGCTCAAAGCATCCCATTTTCCCGAGTCGGCAGCATGCGAGTTCCAGGGACTGATCGATGGGAAATGGAAGGAGCCTGTCCAGCGCAAGGTTGACGAATTGATTGCTGCCAAGTTGCCCGTCCAGGTGGAGTGGTGGGACGAGGAAGAGTTTCGCAGGCGAGGGATGGAACGACTGATCCCCGATCAGAGTCTTGTCGCGCCAGGAGAGAAATTCCGCGTGGTCAACATCGTGGGAGCGGATGTGTATCCCTGTGGAGGAACACATGTTGATACGACTGATCAATGTGGGACAACGACCGTCAGGAAGATTACGCGAAAGACGGGCAATTCCAAGGTCAGCTATACAGTGAACGAATAGATTCATTGGCCCGGAAGACTCCAAAATAGACTTCGGATGGATTGCCGATATTGCACATCTCTCAACGAAGGTGTATATAAACAGAGAAGGAGATGCCAAAAGAAAGTTCAAGGATAAACGAATACATCCGAAAAAGGCGTCAATAAACTGACGGGAAGTATAGAAGAAGTAGAATCCAAGTTGAAACAATGCCTGGGTCTAGCTTTCTTTGTGTTAAGAAAAAGACATCGAGGACAGTATGTTTACAGTCCACCGGCGGCACAAATCTTCTCAGCAGCCGAGACACGCTGGGCATAGCGATCCGGATAGGCGGACACCTGGACCTTCTGGCAGAGTTTGCCCACATTCATGGTCTTCCAGCCGCTGATATTCTTCATCTTGGCGAAGAACTGAGCAGCAGAACGAGCAGGGTCCATGTCGGCAGCGATGTCGGGATAGTAGATGGCCCGTTGCTGGAAGATGCCCACGCTGTCATAGTCGTGGCCTACGGCATCATGCTTATACTTGAGCGACGCGGGGACCTTGCTGTTGGCGTAGATCAGGAGGTTGGACTAGATCATTCGGATGTTAGACAAAAAGAGCTGATCGTGGACGACAGTGTTTGCCATTGACTCACCTCAACCAGACCAGTTGCAATACCAGCCAGACAACCCTGACGACCGAGATTCTCTTTCTTTGCTTCACCGATGATATCACGAGCATGAGATGACTGAGTGGCAGTCAGGCCGGGCAGATTGCCGCTACCACCGCTACCACCGCTGCCACCATCACTGCCCCCGTCGCAGTGCTTGGTCACGTAGCCGGTCGTACCGGTCTTGACATAGTAATCGGCGACATAACAGCCGTCGGACGTCTTGTCCCAGAGCGAGTCGCCCTTGACGTCGGTACCAGTGGCCTGGCAGACAATGGAGACCTGATGGCCCTTCGGATAGCTTTTGACGACCTTGTAGCTGGTACCAGGGCCCGAGCGGCAGTTGACCCCATCACCGGTGATAGGGTATGCGCTCACCAAGGGGATGCTGGCGGCGAAGGAGAGGGCGACAAGAGGAAGATACAACATGGTCCTGATGTACAAAGAACCTGACGTAGGGAGAATATTGGACTGGTAGTTTGATTGAGGCGTGGGAAGTGAGTTGAATGGATTGGGAGAGAAGATTGACCCTAAATGGAGGATCTGAAAGCTCTTTATATAGTTGATTGGGAAGTACCCATGTCTCGTTCTGAGGCTACTTTGAGGCACACCAATTATTATCCTTCGCTGCCCTCAGGAGCCAGTAACCATAGTCAAGTGCATCAAGAACACGGGGATCCTCGTTTGTTCTCGTATAGAAATGAAGTAGGATACAAATGAGGTCGAATCTGATGCTGATCGGAGATTGCAACATCTTTGGATACGAGAGAAAGATGGCTAAGGGCATGGCCATACCCAGATCATTCCTGGCCCCATACACAGTATCAAAAGGTTCCTTTCTCGTACGAGACCCTCGGATGCAACCCGCTGGGCTGATGCTGCACAGTAACCCTTTCGGGATGAATCGGTCAAATACGAAGCTTAGCGTCCGTGTTCCTGCGCATTGATTATTCTCAAGTCTACCCTATCACGGTTCGTATTCCAAATATAGACGAGCACCCTTGCATGCCGATCAGGACAGAGAAAAGAGTTGCTTGAAAGATGGATGCCTATACAACCTCGGCTCGATCTGGATCTTATGGGTGGATATACATCTCCATCGGTCTTATCCCGAATGGAATGTTGCGAGGGAGGCTCAGAGTCGATCGTAATAGTCTTTGAACAGATTATAATCGAATGTTAATATATCTAGATGTTGGTATCTCGTAATATCTTTATCTTGACATCGTGGTATACTGATATTATACTGATTCAAGTGAAGCAGAGGGCACGTGATGGTGTACAGTCGATGACCGAACCACCTCGTCATCGTTAGCCCAGCATGGATTTCTTCTCTCTCCCTGGTTCAGACATCAGAAGATCGAAAAAAAATTAATAGCAATTTCAGAACCCTTCTTTCTATTAGCTGAGAGTGATCGTAGTAGCAAAATGTCTCTCTATGAGCGTGTGGCAGCTGTTAGTGAGCGACACAATCAAATCCTGGAGAAGATCAAAGCCGTGGAACACGCACCCAGCACTCTTAAGTCCCATGAAGCATATCTATCCGATCTCAAAAGTCAGATCGTGCAGACCAACAAGCGTCTCGAGAAGTTGGCCAGCGTTACCCAGATTGAACGCGAGCAACATGAGAAATATAGGGATAGCACCGTCCGCCGACTGATGTACAGTGCAGTTGGCAAACGGGCGGATTTCGAAACCAAAGCTGAAAATGAGATGCGGGACTACTATGACGCGCTTCAGAAGGAAACCGAAATTAAGGCACAGAAAGAGACGCTCGAATCGCAAATCCAAGAAGCAATCCGAGTGCAGAAGGAGCTCCAGTCCGCAAGCACCGAGTGCTCCCAATTGCACAAAGAGCTCAAGAGCATGTATGAACGGCTGTTTGAAGGGCCCACAGCTGAATTCCCGGAAGAGGACGCACAGGAAGAGGCTACAAAAGCTGCCCAAGCACATTACGACGAGCTGAATCGATCCTTGAATAACACTCGCCAGGCAATGCAGTGCCTTGCTGAAGCACAATTGATGATCAAACGCGCTCTGCTCGAGGTCAGTGAGGCGCTGCGGTATTGTGACCAGGATCTCTGGGGACTCGGAAGCACCCTCGCCGACACCGGACAACGAAGCTCACTCTCCAAAGCGCAGGCAGCAGTGAGCCAGACCCGAATGCTGGTTTCTCAGGCCCGCAGGCTAGATCCGTACATACAATCGCTCCCCGCAATGAACATTGCCCAAGGCAATATGATCACCGGCATTCTTTTTGATAACTTCTTCCAAAATATTAACTTCATGGCCATGATCCAGCAATCCTTTGAGGAAGTAAAGCGGGCCGAGTCAGCCCTTGGAGCGGAACTCCGGCATGCCAAACGTCGCGAAGCCGATATGCGAGATGAGGTCAGGTCTGCCGCATCTGATCTCGCCAGTGCTCAGAAGGATCTTCAGCGGATTCGAGAAGAGGCTTTCATGAAGGCCGCGGATCCCCCTCCCCCTTATATGGAGCAGACCGCGGGGTCACCTCGCCTGCAGGTATGATGGCGCATGGACGGGAGATTTCTTTGAGTGACTTTCCTGTGTGTTGGACGTTCAACCCCAATATTGTCCCTTGGCAAGGCACAATGCAGCTTAATCGACCTATCAATGGCAAGCAGGAAAACGACCATGCTTATTTCAAAGACGGTGGAGAGTTTGACGCCCTGATTCTTTCGGAGGGCAACATAACTGGAATATTGCAATGTGTGATGAAGTTTGTGGGAAAGGCACTGGACTGCTGCATGTAATTATGAGAATCATCACATGAGAATTTCATCGACCAGTGGCAGTATAAGAGAGCGAATAGGGGCATCATGGGGACTATAAATTAACTAGACTATCCTTGTCTCGGACAGCCTGGATCAGGCTGTCAAGCCGTCTATTCCCATCATGCGTGCTCCGACCTTTCTTTGGGATGTTAGATCCTGGCAGGTAGGTATTCTACGACAATTACCCGCCAGTTGCCACCTTCCTGGATGTTGAATTCATATGCTTGGTCATCTACTCGTAGGTATCAGAACTTGCCAACCTATCGATACTAAGTGCAGAATCAATGCCTGACTTCAAGCGACCCATATCGACCCACAAGAGCTTGGATATCATCGCACACCGGCGCGGACGGTCGAGGGTTATACCTTAGCCCGGATGGTCGCATCCGTATGCTCCCTTAGCCTCTGCAATGAAATCAATACTAATTATCTCCAAACATGTAGGTCTTGGTCATATTCGACTCTCGATCGTCGACCTGAGTCCTGACGGTCACCAGCCGTTCCCGTTCCATGATCATGACGCCGACATGCACACCATTGTGAACGGGGAGTTGTATGACCACGAACGGCATCGTGCAGAACTGTCTGATCGATATGATTTCAATGGGCAGACTGATTGTGAGATTGCCGTTGCCTTGTATAAGAGATACGGACTGTCCTGTCTTTCGCGACACCCTGGTATGTGAAACGTCAAATCTTTCTTGCTGCTTGCGATCGCTATAGAATCAAATCGTTCAATTACACCATCTCCAATGGCAAAATCGTGATAGCGACAGAAACGAAACAGTTTCTTGCCTTTGGTTTGCAGCCCAAGTGGGATGTGGCTCGGCTGAGAGATCAAAGGTGGTTATACGGAGCATATACTTATCTGAAGGGTGTTCGAACAGTATGTACGGTTCCTGTTAATGATATGAATACTGAGACAAAATGCATAGATTATGCCTGGTCAATATCACCTGAGCAAGAATTTTGGATCTCTGGGACATTACATGTACTGGGATATGGATTTCCCAGACAAGGCTGGTTTGGTTCTCCCTCCCGCCTCCCTCCCCCTCTCTTTTCTCTTATAGTCGGCTCATAGCAAGATAGCGAGTGACTGGGACACTGACGGAAGAAGAGATAATCTAGGGGTTGAGGAAATGCTTAGTACAGGCTGTCAAGCTTCGCCTTGGACCTGATGTCCTTGTAGGCGTCCATCTACGTGGCGGGATAGACTCTTGGGCGATCGCAGGAATCGCCGCTCAGCTGGTCACTGAACAGGGCGGGAAACTGGGCAACGATACCACGAAGGAACTCTCTCGAGTGAAGTGCTTTACCGGGGATTTTGACAAGGAAAGTGAAGTGGATGAATCTGGTAGGTCTTTGGGCGTGTTAGAGAGCTGACTTCCCCAAGGCGATAGACATCGCTTACCGAAACCTGACTTGCAGGGAGTTGATCTCCATGTGATTGAAATAGACGAGGAGTCTATGGCTCATCGCTTCGAGGAAAGCCGCCTGACACGATGAATCCCCGCTTCCCGATGTTAAATGGCACGGGTAAACTGGCCATGGCAGATATGGCCTCAAAACGGGCCATTACGGGAGACGGTCCGGACGAGCACTTTGCCAGCTGCCAGCTCCTTGTGCTATCTCCGGGAATCAGAACCTTGTTTAGGGGCGCCTCCCTCAGAAGAGGAGAGGATACGGGGTAGAGGGTCATTGCATAGGGTCCCCTACCACATAGGCACACGACATTTTTGGGGTCATGCACGTACAAGACGAGCGGGCCAATGCATCTCATGTTGCAAAGCTTGATCTTGAAAGAGCAGATTGGCCGCTTGGGTTTGTGGACTAGGAAGAAGCACACTGTACCCTAGATCTGGCGTCTAGTGAGGGTCCGTACCCCAGAAAGCGAGGTATATTGACGGATGCAATGGCGCTCGTTTAGTTCGTGCTGGAAAGCAAGGTCCCGAATGGTATTGCTCTTGTCTTATGATGAGATGCATCCCGACTAGCACAAGTCGGACATAGAATGCATACCGACTTGGCCGATATTTAGTCCCACAGAGCATGATTCCCTAACGGCGCAGATATTGTGCTCAATCTACTCAAGGATGAGAAGCTGTCATGCATGAAATTGGGGAATGAGAAACCTCATTATAGTGAACCGGCACTTGCTGAGCTATATAAATACTATATACTTCAATGTGTCATAAAGAAAGGAAAAAAAATTGATGTCGAATCGAGGGGATAAATTAATCAAAGCTGCCAGGTGCAGCAGACGGGAACGGCATTTAGCAGCCAGAAGGAAGCTTGTTGCTGGTGACGCGCTTGTTCTCATTGTACTTGGCGCCATAACCCAGACCACGTTTAGCGAAGGCCTTCCAGATCTCACACCGGTTGGCTCCCTTGGTGAGCGCCTTGTCTGCGTCGAGAATGGCATCACGGGCCTGGACGAAGTTGGGGTTGCAGGGTTGCCTTTGTCATTGTTAGCGAGAGCACTGGGCAGGATCGAACAAAAAACAGAGGGAAAAACTTACAGGGCCATTCCATCAACGACCAGCTTCATGGCGAGATACTTCCCATCGGTGGGGACGCCACCCTTCATGGTAGGCTTGGCAGAGACGTTCTTGCCGTGCTTGTCGATCAGGTTCCACATCAGCTCGTACAGCATGGTAGCCCAGACAGTACCAATGGAATGCACAGAGTCATCTCCATCAACGTTGGAGTAGGCGAGAGGGTTGGTGGTCAGCGAGGTGGAGTAAGGGTATTCGCGAATGCCCTTCGGGTCGTTAGCAGCCCATGCACCCATGGTGTAGTCCTTCGCGCGCGTATCAGCGGCCTTGAGACGGATCGCAGTGGCCATGAAGTCGCCCCAGCCCTCTCCCATACCGCCAGCTTCGATGGTAGACAGGCAGTTGGAGTTGGCCGGTCCACCCGTCAAGCGGTTGGAGACTGAGGAAGGTCAGCATGGAAAAATCTTTGTTTCCGGTGTATCCAAAGGCTGGAGGTACTTACCACCGTGCGTGTACTCGTGAATAACAATTCCTGCCTCGAAGGAACCATCTCTGTAGGGCTGAGACTTAGTCCAGGTGTACATGCGCATACGGCCTGGCTGGCCATCGGGGGGAGTGGCGAAGTTGGCGTTGTTGGTGCCCGAGCCGTCCTGCGAGTTCAGGATCACATAGTCGTTTCCACGGCCGCCCTGTCCGTTGTTGTTGAACTCAAAGTTACCCGTCTTCTCAGTGAAGCCCAGGGTGTACAGCAGGTCATGATACATGTTGGCGGTGTAGAAGAGCTGGACGATCGAGGCATCAATGTACGACGAGGGAGGCGATGAGCTAGGGGAATAGGGATAATTGAACGAGAGGTTGGAGCTCCGAGGACGATGGTTGTTGATATAGTCGTCTTCTCCCGAAGGGTTGGACTGAGCAATGCCGTTGTTGCCGCGAGTGGTAGGGTATTTCTTGGTGCCATCGCTGTTCCAGGTGAACTCGGACGCAACAGTGTCCCAAGGATCCTTGATCATGACGCGCGATCCCTCAGTTGGGTCATTGAGGCCCCAAGGGCTGTGTTCCGTGTCAGTTCTGGGAGGTCTGGGGGTGACAGAAGTGGTGGTAACTCACTAGACTTTGTAGTCGGCCTCGGCAACATAGTTCACCACACCATGGACCTCCTTGCCGCTCTGAGCATCGACGTAGGTCAAGAGCCAGTCATGGTCAACGTCGGTCTCGACTCTCCAGGTCAAAGCGAGGGTTCCATCCGGCTTGGCGAAATAAACAAGCTTCGCCTTGGGATCGGAAACGGTGCCCGAGACGCCATTGAAGACATAGCTCTCCTTTTCACCATCGGTGGGCTTGATCGAGGCCTTCTCAATACCCAGAGAGAGCTTCAGGGTCTCCATCGTGCCCTTGAGAGCAACAGTGGGGTCGGAGAAATCACGCTTGGTCAAGGAGCTCGCATCGGGAATCTTGCCCTTGAAGAAAGAGTTTCCGTGAGAGAAGATCTTTCCATCTTTTCCAACCTGTGCAAGTGCAAGTTAGCTGTTGCTCTGAAACGGAGAGATCGAAAGAGAGAGAGAGAGAGAGAGAGAGAGAGAGAAGGACTTACGTTGACGTTGAAATCAGCATTGTCGATATCCAGACCATTGGCGGTTTGACGGAAGTTGACATGGGCGATTTCATTGTCACCAACATAGTGGTCATCGACCACGCGGAATGTCAGGCCAGGGGCAATTGCCTTGACGAACTGGGTTGCGGTATCCACATAGCTCTGTTTCTCCAAAGAAGTGAAGCTGAGCGCGGGATCATTCGCGGTCTCGGTAGCGTCGGCGTAGGTGGCCGAAGTCTTAAGACGGAAGGCGTTCAGATCAACTGCACGCCGCTGAATTCCATGTCCAGCAGGGGAAGGATGGGCAAGCACAGAGGCAGGAAGGGCCACGAGGCCAGCAAGAAGAAGACCACGCATTGTAACCGGGGAAATCACAGATTTCGAGGAAAGTATACCAGAAAGAATGAATGTGCGATGGGCTCTGTTTCAACCATCAAGAACTGCCAGCGCGACGGGGGTATTTATACAGGGCCCTGATGTCTTTCTCTTCAAGGCTTCGTCCCAACCCTCGCAATCGAACCCTCCATCAACGCTTCCTCAAGCTTGGCCCGAGACATTCCGGAGCCGTGCCCGTCATGGGATATGATTGTAGATCGGGGGAACAGGGCCAAAAGGCTCTTTCGCCGCGCCTCCCATGTCAGAGCTAGTCACAGTCGAATTGATAATGACCAGTTTGGATGCAGCTCATAGTGGAGAATGAGGCCAGTGCAGGATCATGCCAAGAGGGTTTCAAGAGATATGACACGGCAGGTCCGGACGAAAGAGCCCAATCTGAAGCCGATAGACTCATGAAAGGCACGTCGCCGACGGGTCTCCGAATCAAGTCACTACAGGGTTGTCTTTTCATTGCTCCGGAGGGAGGTACCTGACCAAGACTTTTTATATTGCACTTGTCACAAGTAGGTGTGGGATATACTATGGAGGAGACTATTCCCGCCAATTATGCGCGGACTGGGCCAATGGAAACCGATAGCAGGCGGTTGCAGGTCCGACGGGCTGAGTTCAAGCAGCGCTTGGCAATGTCTTGGGTTACATGCTGGTGGAAGAACATTGGCACGATTAGTGTCGATCGCCTGTGATGTGCAGGAGATTTCTCATTCCGCGCTACTACTCCGTCGTGGGGAAATGAGGTTGTTTTAGGGGGTCTCTACTATCAGGTCCCAGGGGAAGCTTCATATGGCAGTTCGATAACGGTCTATCTAGTTAGTGAGCAACAGCCCTGATATCGTATCTTAGAGACTTCTATCTACGCTACCAAAGGATCGGCCATGTTTCGTAACTCAGTAACTAGATATACAGTGGCGATGGACGAAGAAGACCCTTTCGCATCGCATTCAGGGTCGCCGAGTCCCTGGCGCGACGATATTAGTTTTGGAATCGTGAGTTGGACGATCTATATCCATGCACATATATAGAGTCAGACGACCCAAATCGACCTTAGTCTAATTAATTAAACTGGTGCAAGAAGAATCAATCCCCCTCTTCTCACTGTTTCGACAGCTGATGAAGCGGTCTTCCTGGTCGTCGCGCATGACCCTTGGGATCTGGACTCTATAGTATCGTTTGTAATCCGACTCAGTCCTCGCATCCTAGTCCCTGTTGATAGTATCGGAGCGAAAGCTGCCGTCGCAAAGCGCAACTGCGTGATACATTTTTCTCTTTAGATTGACGGTACTGTGTTAACGGTATGACACTTGGGATATGCCGATATGGAGAACAGTCAGAAAGACTAGGGCATTAACGTCGGCGAAAGTGTAACCTCAACATGCGATCAAGTCCATACAGAGTCTCTTCGGCCATAATGATGATAGTGACCAATCCAATTGAGATTGGCGAGAGGGAGAAACCCGACATGCGGACAAGATTCCAAAAACGAGCGAAGGGTTGAGGCCAGATAAGCCAGGATGGTGGAAGAGTCGGATGGATCAGACGTGCACACTGAAGAACGAGGATATCCTATCGGTAGATCGCGCCAATTCTTATCTTCTCTCATTGGATCAGTGAGGTTCATCTGCTCCCACTGGCCGTCTCCTCCCTAATACGAGTCGATAGATGGCGCTGAACCGGTGTGTCACCCTTGACCCCGTATACTAGTCTGGAAACAAGTGGCTGGGGCGAGACAATGACTCGTCCTCACTATGATTTTGATCCGAATGCCAGCGTAAGACTTGCGATATGAGCTCCAACCGATCCGAGACCTCGATTCCTCTCCCCAGCAGTGAGCCTACGACGGTCACTCCCAGAGCCGACAGGTCGTCTCCCCTCATCGGTGCTGCATCTTATGTACCCAAGATTATTGATCTCATCGTCTCGACACATCGCGCTCGGGACACCGCGAAGACGTGGATACCATCGGAATTCATTCAAAGCGACGCGGTACATTCATCGGCTATACTGAGTTCGGGGGCTTCGTTCCCCCGTCACAAGACAGAGTTTGCCACTAGGACCAGAAGCAATTGTTGAGAAACAAAACATGGGCGGCTGGATTGTAAAAAACCAGTAAGGCACCTGAACGCCCTCGCTATATCGTGTATAAGTCTGCGCGAGTAGCTTTCCTAGAGAATGGCTCTCCCAGGACGCCGCGAGATCGCCGGGCGTTGGAGAGCGTTCCGACAGAATTCTACACGCTGATTTATCCGCCGCTTCGTTTGCATCCCAGCATCATTGATTTCTTAGGTATCGCATGGGGCAGTAATCCTGCAAGCCCGAGTAATCAGTTACCAGTGTTAGTGTTTCAGTATGGCGACCGAGGTACCTTGGCCGATGTTCAGTCCCGAGGGGCCGCGCCTGTCCAACAGCGTAAAGCAACACTTATGCCTGGGAGGTGCAAAGAGAAGCAAGTTCTTTACGAGAAAGGCATTCTGCATGGGGATGTTAAGCCAGAAAGCATCATCATCTGTTCTCAGAGCGAGAAAGGAATGATTCCGAAGCTGGCAGACTCTGGCTTTGCTGCGATTGGCCCCGTCCAACAAACTCCTCGTCGCAGTCCACCACAGTCACATACACGGTGACGAACCGCAAGCGAGAGCCGTCATTTCTGTTGCAAAATAAGTCCTCGGTCACCGGAGTGACTCGTGAAGTTGCTATAGGTCAGACGCAGCAGTATACGCCCTCCAGCAATGGCGAACCAATTTCTGCTGGGCAGCGTGAAGAGCCGAAAGCACGCAGGTATGCATACACCTAGCCTGGCGATCGGAAATGGAATGTAGGCATGTTTCTTGAATGGATTGGACCTCGACCAAGGTCTGCAGAATTTCGCTCACGCGGCCAGGAACGGGCATTCGATATCGCGAGCAAACCTTTACGGACTATATTGAGCCTGTGGAAGGGAGGTCTTTCCAGATACTCCTATCCTTGGATATTTCAAAGACCAGGCTCTACTCGGGTCTCGAATGGCGTTGCAGGACCTCTTGGAACTGGGTCATGAACATGGGAAGTATCTTCGAGATTTGCTCAAGTTTGGCTATGGCGGAATGGGAGCCGAACGGTTCCTCGATAATCAGTGGCTATACGGGCTGGCACAGTCAACTCTCATGAGCAAAGACTTCGCTTGAGGCGACCTGGGACTAATCAGACCATGCAGGGGTTGTAAAATGCCTGCTGGATGCTGGTGCCCGGGCATCAATTGCAGCTGCCAATGGCAAGATGCCCTTGCACTGGCTGCGGTCGTTCAATGACGAGAATATCCATACCGACGCGTTGGGGACAGACTTGCTCGAAAGAGGAGGGGCTGATGTGCACACCTTTACAACGGAGCCGATTTCTCACTGTCGGTTTGCCGGATCTATCGACGTCGATTTTCAGGCGAATTGGCAGTATGAAAAACCGGGAACCTGTGTGATTGAAACTGCAGCCTATTATCACCATACCGAGTGGCTCTAGCTGGTGATCGAGTACCTGGAGCAAACTGGGGACACTCCATTGACCACAAACGGCACCAAAGATCTGCGACATGCCGTTTTCTAGGGTCCGCTGGTCTTCATGGCCGTACACGCTGCTGACCAATTCTCTATGATTTTACGTAACGGCCATAGCTACCGTCACCGACTTGAGTCAACACTCTCGCTCCTGCAGCGGAAGACAGACTCGATTGACTTCAACGGCAGCCTCGGAAACACAGAATCTCTCCTGCATTTTGCTGCGGCTGGGCCCCATGATGAAGCCTACGAGATGTCCCTTGAGTCGGGCTGGTTTGTGGACCATATTAATGAACCTGCTGGCCGTGCTGCCCGCACTCCATCGCTCGAGAGCGTCCGCTGGAGCAGGGTGGGCTTATTTCGACTCCTCCGCCAGTACGGCCCTGACCCGACTACGGGGTGCCTGCCTTGGTCCTTAAAGCGTCTCTTCGAACGCGAGCGCCTGGACCACCCTGCATCTTTTTACCGACCAGGGACACAATGTAGGCACGAACCTGATTATAGTAGATGAGCCGATCGCTGCTGAAGTGCTAGTGCACGGTAGCCCAAGTGAGTCGAGGGAGACAGCCCTCCAGATTGCCATCCACAGGACCGCCTTTTTTCTGGTGAACAGACTCTTGCAGCATAGTGCCGTTCTCAATTCCCTCTGCGCGCAATCCGCACTTCTGCTAAATCCATATCCGCTCAACTAGCCTATATGATTGTATTGAATGGAAGACACAGCTTTTGTGCAATCCGTTTCTTTCCCGAAGGCAGGGGCCGAATCTGTTGTCGTCCCAGCTCGTGGACTGACGGCGCTGCATCTCTGTCCACTTGTGCGCGAGGACTTTCGCTATACGGATGGACACCTGCTGGAGCGTGATGGATTGGGACTTGGAGATAAATCAGGAAATTACCGGGGAGTATATTAGATTGGTTTCATAAGCAGGAGCAGATCAATCGTCCCATGTCTGGCGGCAGCGAAGACATCACTACACCTGGCTGAAGTGATTTGCTGTTTGCTGGTGGATAACGGGATCAGCCAAGGATAACAACAAGTTAGTCCAGAAAAGACCATAGGGCTCCAGATGTGGGTTGTTCTCTGCTTTCTTGGTTTCAAGGAAATATTCGATATCTGACAAACCATACCGAGATTCCAGGACATTGTTCCGGACATCATAAGAAGAGTAAATTTATATCTCCGCAGGTCTGGCGCAAGGACACACTACTTTCTGCAGAAGGAGTAAGGAAAGGATTAGCCATCATGCGAGAGAATGTGCCTTCGATCTCTTTGGACATCTCGCTATACACAAGATCCGCAACCTTGGTCTCAATGTGACCAGGCATAGCTGCTTATGGAACGCTGAGCGCGGGAGACCAGTTGCTCGAGTGCCCCTTGGTCTCCACGGGGTAAGGGGCCGATCGATGGAATGGCATGAAGGCAGCGAATTTGCGTGGTTGATCAAAGAGAGTACACGATGATCGGTTTCTCAGAGTGACGGGCAGTGGCTGGTTTATGCATGTATTTCTGCCAGCTATATCCCACAAACGAAAGTGTAGTATTATTATGTAGTTTCATTGCCCTCCCCTTCGGCTGCTAGTACGATTTCTCTGTCGTCGAGACATATTGCTAGAAACATAGTCGCCGGTTCTAGAAAACATTACCCTTAGTTTGAGTCATCTTCTTGACATTCAGATTCCTCATCATGCCAACCCAAACAAAGCCCAAAGCCATGAAAGCAACAGCAGCAGCCAGCATCCGTGGCTGGGCGTAGCCATATGATTTCACAATGGCGTCTCGTACGGGACTTCCCACTGGATAGCTGAGCTGCTTTCCGAGAGATTGGTAAATGAGGGCTATATCAGGCAGGGCCGATTCGGGCAGATTTTTCGCAAGTTCCTTCGAGAACGTATTCGTCCAGATGGCTCCACAGATAGCACTGCCCACACCACCACCAATACTACCCGACACAAACAGAAGAGAAAGCACCGCGGCGACATGTTGGTGGTCCACGGAAGCAAGGACTGCCAGTTGCACGCAGAGAATGAAGATACTGCCAGGGGCAGAGAAAAGAACCTCGCACATCACGATATAGCCAATGTATCCTCCTGGTTGGCGGAAGTGGATCATCAAACCCAGACCGAAGAGGTAGAGCGGAACGCTGACCCAGAGGATCCACTTGAAGCGGCCCGTTACGCGAATGAGCCAGCCAGCAAGGAACAAGAACACAAACGCGACTGCGCTGAAGGTGTTGCCGATGTATCCAGCTGTAGCCACGTCAACTTGGTAGACCACTTGCAAGAAAGACGTGAGATAGGAGGCGTAGCAGTAGTACGAGATTTGGTAGGTCATGTCCAAGAGACAAGCGCCCAAGACGGTTCGGTCAGTGAGGAATTTGCCATTGAGGAAGGGGACCGGGGCTAGGTAAGCCTCATAGAAACCGAAAGTGATGATGAGAACAAGGCCAACGACAAGCATCGCAATAATATAACCAGTCTGCCATCCATGTGGCGCCGTACTGGCCAGAGTGAATGGGAGAAGGAATACAACAAACCCGCCGGCAAAGAGAACGACGCCCAGTACTGTTGACAGAGAATGGTATTAGCGGTCATAGGGACTCAATGGGAGGGAGCAGGTACTGCCACTACTCACAATCGAACTCAATAATGACCCACGAGATTGTCTTCGAGATTGTTTGTAGATTGAACTCCCGCTTGTTCTTTTCCCGGACGAGAATCCCCTGTCTCTCCGCTCTGCGTAGGTTGTAAGCCAGCATCAAGTAGATTGGCAATGCGAAGACCGGCAGAATGATCGCCCAAACTCCGTAACCCCATCGCCAGTTCACATTGGCCAGGAATTCTGCAGCGGCCTTGGATCCCGCAAATGCTGAGATCAAAGCCGGAGATGATGTAAACGCAAAGGCCAAGCCTCGATTCCTCAGATTTGTGACATCGGCTGCGAGAACATTCCAGCTGTATGCCAGCCCTCCAAAGCCAACAGAGTAGAAAACCTAGACTGGACTTGAGTTACCAGACACCGGAGTGGGCTATCCATCGTATCTTACCTCTCCAGCACAATAAGTGGGAAGATTCTGCGATGTAGCCAAAAGGATCAGGCCCAGAATGCAGAAGCAAACCATCAGGAGGAAGCCCTCAGCACGGCCCCAGAGATCCAACGCCTTGGCCATCGGGATATATACTGCAGCTGTCATGGCCGATGACACAATGTTGATAACGGTCAATAGCGAATGACCAGCAAAAGAGCTCGTGGCATAGGGGGTTAAGCTGTAGACCACGGAGGTCTTGAGATTATTGACCAGGGTGAGAAGCCAGATACTGTTTGAGGAAGAGTCATGTTAGCTAGCTGAACCACCGAGATGGGCACCTGCGATAAGAGCGGAAGGATATACAGTATCAGGATCGTGAACACTGATCCCTTCCCCCAGGCTAGAGTCACAGCTTCGATCTTCTTGACACCCTCTTGGGCATTCTCAGTTGGCTTGGCCTCGTCACTGGCCACCTCATTTGCGATAGTAGGTCCAGCTTCCTTGTCGTCTGCTCTCACCTGCAGAGCGCTTGGGTCATCAACTGTGCCGCGTTCATTTTTGGCGGTTGAGTTGCGGGCAACAAGTGTATGGAATTTGTTCAAGACTGACATCCTTGATCCACCAGCAAAGAGAGAGAAGATGTTGTATGTGCAACAACCAAAAAAAAAAAGAGAGATTGATAAGGGCGAAAGATCAGATATTAAGTATCTGATCGGGACTAACAATAATTCAGCGTCTTTTTACGTAAATCTAGACCGTTGTTTGTATGGGTGGCACGACACAGGAAAGCCTTCGACTTCGCCTTTTTTTCCCCTTTTTCCTTTATCGCTTTTGGCTTTGATTTTTTCCGGCTAACAAAATAAACGCAAAGGAGGGCAGTCAACCACAGTACAGTGAGCCGTAATTACACCTAGTCCAGACGCTAATACGCAGTCGATATGGGCATTTCCGAGTGTGGTTGGCACTGCTCGTCCTGGAGTCCCGTCCAGTATCTACCGATTTACATGGGACGTCAGCCTTTCAAACGATTCAAATTGACTAGCTGATGCCGGTCTACCGTTGGCTTGTCTAATCTGTTGGAATAGTGGCAATGGGTTGTTTAGCGGATTTACCTGCCACCTAAACTGGAAAACTGAACATCGTCTCCTCACTCGTAATTTGCCAGTCTCAAGATCCCCGACAAGGTTCTATGATAGGAACAGCGCCTGAACAGAATAAAGAAAATCTATTCGTCCCAGGTGCCCACATGACTAGTAAGCAGTAGTGAAATGATCCCGATTATCGGAAGAAAGCACTGAAAAACAGCTGACGTTTGGCCAGGAATGTCTCGTTGTCAGCGACAAACTACTGTTGCCCAGACTCTAGTAACAGCCATTCGTCCTTGGTGATTGAGTACCGCACTTCACCCTCCTCAATCCCTGGTGGAGGGGTATCGTACTTGTTGAAAAAGGTATCGACATGCTTAAGTCCGCACCCAGCCATAACTGCCCGAGATGCTGCATTGACTGTCATCGTCTCTCCGATCACCTCTTCTTGACCGAGATCTTGAAACGCATGCCGAATTATCTCCCGCGCTCCTTCCTTTGCGTATCCCTGCCCCCAAAACTTCGGTGAGACCCGGAAACCATACTCTGTCCGGTTGGCGATGAAGTGCTTAGGATCATCCTTGCTTGGAATAGCTGCCAGGATCCACCAACCCACGAATTCACCGTTTGCGATGCCGACCCAGGTCCCCAACCCAGGCACGCACTTTGCAGAATTTAGAAGCCAATCGTGAACTTGAATTGCTTCTTCCGTAGTGAACGGCCTTCCAAATGCGACATGCTTCATGACATCTGGATCCATATCCAGCTTCATGGTGAAGTCTCGGTGCTCGGGACCAAGAGGGACCAGCTTGAGGCGAGCAGTACTTAAGGTGACCTGGACGTTGGTTGCCATCTTGTAGAGAGATGCTGAACAGCAAAGGATGTTATGGAGACTGTCTTGATGAGGGTTGTACCATGTTATGTGGGCTCGTCCAAAATTATTCTATTCGTGCTACCTATACCCTACCTATATACCCAGCAATCTGGTCTCTGGGGTAGGGATTGATCGACTTGATCTAACGCAGCAATGATGAGAACCCCTCCTAGTCGTGAGGTGACGGAGCTGCAGTAAGCTCGATTGCTAGAGTGGCAATTCTCTTATTCCATGATTCATTTTCCAGTTTGGGATAGAAGGTGAGGTATCTTATTATTATTGTTATTCGGCATGGATGGACCTTATTGTTTCCATTCATTCTTAGCCCAGGCAAGTTTCATAAGATCCATGCGATGCTAGCTATGTAATATCTCTCGCTAGTCAAGTTTCTATTCACAGCGCAATAAGTGATAATTATATTTATCTGGTCAAGGTTGCTCATGTCGACGCCGACGGTGCACACTTGTTGCGGTTTTTCCAAAGAAGAGCTGGCTTGGAATGGGACGAAAATGAGGCTTCTACCAAGTGTCATCCTCGCACCAAAAAGACTTGACCAAAGCCAAGGAAGGGAAGTGGCCGATGTAACCGACTGTACCGCATGGATTCAGATCCTTGTCTTAGTACAGCCATATAATGGAGTAACTCCTTACGGTACTGGCTGGCCATTAAAACGGCTCCATACACACCATACCACACCCCGGGCAGGGACGTATCAAGATGATCAGATAAGATTGATTTGGGCTTGGCAGCTGACCAAGTGGAGCTTGTGCGGTTTCATTGACTTTATCAGATTCTGGTAAGGTACGGATACATTATTAAGGTAGATAGATAGTGGTCGGCTTTACCCGTCGCCGCAAATGTGGTGAACTGGTGGCCGATTGGGAGGTTGGTGCCGTCACTGCCGTGGCTTTCCATGGTGGGTGCTCGAATTATTGATCCAAAAGGTAGCCAAGCTGTAAGTACTGCCTAGACCCTAGACTCAAGCTATCGTTTGAGTTCAGAACTAGCTCAGCAATTTGGCTATTTAATTGGCCAATGATCCCGATGCACCGTGGCGTTGACTTGCAAGTCGCAATAGTTAGACATATTTATCTTCTTATATTATCCATTGAGGTCCATTCGTGGGAAGAGGGCAAGAATTCCCGCAAATCCTGGACCGCGAGGAACAAACTAAAATATTAACTAACGATTGAATCACAACGCCACATGGTTCGAAGTCTCTATATTATCTATTGTCATGACTGATGAAGCGGCCAATCTTCAAAGAACGTGGTCAAACCCCGACTCATCGAACACGACATCACGCTCGTGTGTTCTTCACCTTCATACTCGTTCACTGAGACAGCATGAAGCTGTTTACAGCCTCGTAGCATGCGGCAAAGATCGAGAGCATTGCCAGCCATTCTCAAATCCGCGGCAATCTGCTTCCTTGCTTCATAGTGGTCCAGAGGTTCATTGGCCCACTGAGGGGGGTTTTGCTCGAAGGATCCCCAAGACACCATTAGTGAGGGCGACAGCCTTTCGTGCGGAGCCGCATCCTTCTCAAGAAAGCCCTTTGCCTCGTGTAGAATACACCGGCTATTCCACCAAATTGAAGGACTGCTGGCGACATAAAAATCGAACGAACTGGGGCGTGTAAATAATGCGTGGAGGGCGAACAACCCTCCATATGAATGGCCGTAAAGTGCTTCTCTGTCAATGGAGATCCTCGGAAATCGAGCCTTGACCGCGGGTCGAATAGATTTCTCGATAAAATCCAGGAAGACGTCCGCACCCCCGTACCCGGGAATTGAAGCGGCCGTTGGTGGAGTCAAATCGCGGCTGCGTCGTCGCGCGTCATATAATTTCCCGTTCATGGGATATCCGATGGCCACGATGATACCACCGCCCGCAAAATGAGATGAGGCTGCACGACGCCAGGCAGCCTCGGTCGCAGTTAAGAATAACGCATTTCCGTCGACAATGTATCTGGTTTCAACAGGTAAGCGGGGGACGCTTGGCTTCGGACAGTTGCTTGCGAAGCCTACATGATAGGGAATGACCGGCAATCAGAGGGAGGACCATCTTGCCAGTGCAGCGGCCAAGATACTTGAATCAGATACTCTTCATCATGTGCATTTTTCATGAAGAACTGCTCTGAATTAGAAAGTGGGACTGCAGTTGGCTTGCCACCCATTTGGACGGTTTCACCCATTGTGATGCCTGAGAACCGGCGAAAGAGCCCTGAAGAAGCTAGATAGGATGTCCCAATACAACGCAGGGACTGTGGTAAAAGCAAGTTGCGGATCATGCGAGTCAAAGGAAGATTTTGAAATGTGACCGACTAAGCCAGGGGGTGCTTGGGAATCCTAACTTCGGAGGCCCGGTCTTCGGATCTCTTATGCACTACTTACTGGAGCTCTCAAGTGGAGAGAGTCCAGGTTTCTTGCCTGTATTACACTTGTATGGACTATGGCGCACATACTAGCGGGGCTTGGAGCGAGTCATGGTCATGAAGACATTTGAATCCGTATTGATGGTGGGGGGGTTTTTTTTTTCTAGCTATGGGCTCATGGCCCCATGGGACAGGACTAGGCAAATTCACTCGAGACAAAACCAAAGAATCAAACTGCATTGCTACCTGATTCGGTTGGGATCGTACTTCTTGTGGAGTACGGCGTGATTATAGATGGTTACACACAATATCGCCGGCGCGAATCCTGGTGCCTTGGCGTCATTGGCGCCATCTGATAAAACAAAATCTGATAAGTGAAATCTGATAAAGCAATTCCCATTTTCGGCTGGAAGCTTACCCGACATCGGGTCACCAATTATGATGTGAGACGGAGTTGTTCTTTCGGGCTTCTTGCTAGATAGACGATGGAATGACCATTCTGTGCGGAAGAAATCCTCTCTCTATCACTGTGTATCTAATCTCTCGGGCGACGAGAGAGTACGACAAAAAAACAGCCCAAGGACGTCCTATCATGGCTGGTACTTCCAAAGCTTCTGCTGAGGCAGAAACGCCAGCAAAGCCCAGTGTACGTTAGAGCTTTAATCTTCTCCTCCCCTTCCCACGAGCAATTCGCGTTGTCAGATGGATTGAAGCTCATCGTTTCCTCTAGGTCTGGCGCCGGGCAACCTCTTTCGGTCGTCTGCTGGTTTACGGGAACCCTTCAACCACCGACCTAATCCTTCTCTGCGTCGGTTTCATCAGTGCTATAGCTTCCGGAATCCCGTTCCCTATCATGTCGATTGTTTTCGGACAGCTAGTCAACGGACTCAACTCGGCCACCTGCGAGGTCAATCCCTCCACGGCTGCAGCCTATCAAGACGGAATAAACTCCAAGATTTTACTGATCGTCTACGTTGGAATTGCGTATTTTGTGCTGATCTATATTTACACCTTCTGCTGGAATCTCCATGGCGAGCGACTCGCTCAGCGCTTGAGAGAGAAGTATTTTGGCGCCATTTTGCGGCAGGATGCAGCCTTCTTCGACAAATTGCCCGCGGGCGAGGTATCTTCGCGGATTGTAGGCGAAATCTCGGTTGTGCAGCAGGGAACCAATGAGAAGGTTGGCATCGTAATAAACAGTGTCTCCTTCTTTGTTGCCGCGTACGTCGTGGCATTTACTAAGGACCCGAAGTTGGCTGGTATGCTGGTATCCCTCACCCCAGCGTATCTCATTATGGCACTGGGTGGTGGGTATTTTGTGCAAAAGTATGCTGGACGCTCATTGGAAAGCATGGGAAAAGCATCATCAGTCGCATTGGAGGCCTTGTCGAATGCTACAGTTGTCCATGCTTTTTCTGCGAATTCACGGCTTGAGGAGAAGTTCACTGAAGTCCTGGCCCCTGCTCTGTCGGCAGGTGTATGGAAATCTGTTGCTGTCGCGGCTCAAGCGGGCCTTCTGTATTTCATTGCCTTTTCAGCAAACGGTCTTGCTTTCTGGCAAGGGTCGCGACAGATCGCGGGCGCTGTAGAATCGAATACTGGCGGCATCACAGTCGGCACCACTTTCACTGTGATCCTGATCCTTGTAGATGGTAAGCTGCCCATTCCCCAATCCCAATTTGAGTCATGTGTCTGCGAGAAGAAAGGGCCATGCTGATTTTTATTGTGCACAGCGTCTTTGATTCTCAGCCAGGCTGCCCCCTTTCTGCGCAGTTTTGATGCCGCATCGGCTGCCTTTGCCAAGCTGGAGGCCGATATGAGCCACGTACCAACAATAGATGGTACCGTTGAGGAAACTGGCCGTGTGTTACCAGCGGTATCTGGCAATGTGGAGCTGCGGAACGTTCACTACGCGTTCCCATCCCAACGAGAAAAACCTGCAGTGAAGAATCTATCTATGGCCTGTCCAGCCGGTCAACGAACGGCAATAGTAGGTCTTTCGGGCAGTGGCAAATCCACTGTGGCCGGTTTGATCACCCGATTCTACGACGCCGACGAAGGCATGGTGCTACTAGACGGCCACGATGTGAAGGATCTGAATGTGCGTTCAGTTCGTAGCCATATTAGTCTGGTGCAACAGGAGCCGTGCCTTCTGGACCGATCAATCCTGGAAAATATCGCACTTGGTCTCATTAACTCCCCCAATCATGCGCACCTGCGCGCACTTTTGATGGGTAATGTTCTTGCTGAAGTCGCGGCAGCCATGCGAGATGGCCAAGACTTGATGTCTGCCTCTCAAGTCCATGGCGACCAAATGCGAGAGATTGCCGAGCTTGTGCTCCAAGCTGCTGCGATGGCGGATGCACTCGGCTTCATCGAGCGCCTGCAGGAAGGGTTAGGAACTTCGGTCGGCACAAAGGGTCATCTTATTAGCGGTGGGCAGAAGCAGCGAATTTCGCTTGCTCGTGCCCTGATCAAGGATCCCCGTATTCTGATTCTCGACGAAGCTACTGCTTCTCTCGACTCGGCATCTGAGCTGCGAATTCAGCAAGCTCTGGAGAAAGTGGCTGTTGGCCGGACAGTGATCACGATTGCCCACCGACTCTCCACGGTCAAGAATTCAGACAAGATCATTGTCATGCGACAAGGAGAGCTGATCGAGCAAGGAACTCACCAAGACCTTATTGATGCTGCCGGCGCCTATGCTGAGCTGGTTCGTCTTCAGAATCTGAATGTCAACGGTGGCGAAGAGGATAATGAGCAAACGGAGGTTGCCTCCGCTGGCTCAGGGTCTATGATGGAAGAGATACACGAGAAGTCTGGAGCTGTTGCAACGTCAGCCGCGGGATACCAGGCCAACATCGAAGGCCGTGGCTCAGCAGACGAGCAAGTCAAAGACCAGCAATCGTTGCAATCCACTGCCCATGCCATGAGCGCCTTTTTCCGACCGCATTTGTTTGTGGTCACCATTGCAATCACTGGAGCGGTCATTATTGGTGGCACGTATTGTGGCTCGGCTGTGATTTTCGGAAATGTTGTTGGCAAGCTGAGCTACTGCGAAGAACCGAACTCCATTCGCCAAGCTGGTCAGCTTTTTGGACTTCTCTTCTTCATTCTCGCCATCATCGAATTCACTGCTAATTTCCTGAGCTGGTCACTGTTTGGCTGGGTGGCAGAGCACGTCATTTATAAAGTGCGCGTATTATCACTGAGGTCCATACTTGAGCAGGAGCTAGCATGGCATGAATCCAAAGACCGAACTCCCTCCCTTCTGCTCGGGCTGATCACCAATGATAGCAGCGCCTTGGGCGGCCTTGCTGGCTCCGTGGTCTGTATCCTGCTATCCATCCTGGTCAGTCTCATTGCCACAATCACCATGACACATATCATTGCCTGGAAGATCGCAATAGTATGTCTTTCAGTTGTGCCACTGTTGTTGGGGGCTGGCTACATGCGCATCACCACCTTGGCCCGCTTCGAGGAGCGACACTTGGAAGCATTTGCCAATTCTCATGCCATTACAGTGGAGGCGGTTAACTCCATGAAGACTATAATGTCCTTTTCTTTGGAACACGAGATACTTGGCCAATATCGCCGGTCACTTCATGAACCCATGCGTCAGGTTACAAAGCAAAGCGCATGGGCAAACCTGTGGCTTGCTGTGGGCTATGGACTCAGTAATTTTCTCTATGCACTGGCGTACTGGTGGGGATCCACAAGAATCGTCGCGGGCGAGTACACTCAAACTCAGTTCTTCATTGTACAACTCGCTTTGCTGGTCAGCTCTCAATTATGGGGACAGGCGTTCGCCCTCGCACCTGAAGTCTCTCGCGCATTTCAGGCTACCGGTCGACTGGTGGAGCTACTCCGTATGGGATCAACGAAAGACCTTTCTGCCCCCCTCATACCGACTGGAGATGTTGAGGCAACCGCTGGTCCGAGTGAAAAGGCAGTGTCTTCTGCTGGTGGCGTGAGCGTTGCCTTTAAACAAGTTGTCTTCTCATACCCGGCGCGCCCAGATAGTCAAGTTCTCCATGGCCTAGATCTGAGGATTCGGCCAGGCCAATTTGCTGCCCTTGTCGGCCCAAGTGGTGCTGGTAAATCAACAATCATCGCGCTTGTTGAGCGGCTTTACCGACCAGATTCAGGGACCATCGAAGTGGATGGTCAAGACATTATGTACAGGGACAATTCGTTCCGTCATGAGATTGCCTATGTCCCTCAGCAGAGTGTCTTGTTTGATGACACCATTCGATTCAATCTAACCCTCGGTGCAAGGCCAGGTCAGGCCGTATCCCAGCAGGAACTTGAGGAGGCTTGTAAGATAGCAAACATCCACGACACGATTATGCAATTGCCGGACGGATACGATTCCTACTGCGGGCCAAATGGAGACAGACTCTCAGGAGGCCAGAAGCAGCGACTGGCAATTGCACGTGCACTGGTTCGCAAACCTAAGCTTCTACTTCTTGATGAGTCCACTAGTGCCCTGGATGCAGAATCCGAAAGGCTGCTGCAAGATGGCCTTGAGAAGGCCACAAAGCACATGACTGTCATCGCGATTGCGCATCGTCTGTACACTATCCGTAAGGCGGATGCCATTTTCCTCATCGAGAACGGGCAATGCGTCGACCAAGGCACACACGCAGAGCTGATAGTGAGTAGTGAAAGCTATCGAGTGAACGTGCTGAACCAGACAATTGGGCATTGACAGTACTCAGTTTGGCTGGGTTTCAATCTGTATAAGTTCATAGACTTCACTTTGAAGATTATCTCTTCAGGCTACTACCCCCCAATACTACGTCTAGATCTCAAGAGCCGCCAGCATTGGCCATAAGTCAACTACAGATACCGCAGGATCCTGACTTGCATACCTCGGGGAAAAGCGATCAGACCTCTCATTGAGCACCACTAGCAGGCATGGCGACGAAATGATTCGAGTGAGACGTATGTCCAGTGACTTACAACACTGCTGAATTGCCCCTTGACGTAATGTGCGTTGCCGGGCGTGTCCTTAGATCTTATATATTCCCTTTAGAGGTTCAATATTCATGGGGTCCGTCTATTTAGTATATAATTATCTTATAGTACCCATAATAATTTCTTGTCTATATTAGCACAGTGCACAATAGCTCTGATGATAATTTAATTTAGTACCACTTTCCACAATGCACTCCCCTTTTTTCTTCTCATTGCAAGTTAAAGGCTGTTTTAAACAAAAACACCCAAGTAAATCAAATATCCACCATTCCATCAATCATTGCTTATAATGAGATTACCTAGTTCTTCTTTAGGCATTCGAAAAGTGGTTATGCAGCACATTCTCATTGCAATTTTCCCCTGAAGTTGGATTGTGAAGATTCCAGCCACATTGTCAGAGATCAATTTCTTCGAGATTTCTGAATTTATTTTGTTTAGCTGCTGTTCATTTCGATTGACTAGCTGATAGCGGAAACAAAGAATGGCCAGAGATGCAGGTGATAGTATTGCCCAGTTGGAGAATTGCCTGAGCATTGTTTCTACCATTTCTGCAGCAGATAGTCCATATTCAATAATTTGACTGATCCTCTTTGTCCCAAGGACACGCATTGTAAACCAAAGTCGCATTGCCCGGGATGGTCTGGTCAATTCAAATCCAAGATCCCAGAATTCACAGTCCTTATCAAATATGCGTCCTGCATGATTAATAATGCCTGATTCACAGACAGCGAAGCTTGCTGCTAGAAGGGATATATTCTTAATAAGTAAGATCCCGCAGCCATATGTCTGGAATAACCATTTATGTGCATCCCATGATAGGCTGTGTGCATGTTGCAACTCATCTGTGAGGCCAGGACGCGTGTCTAATAAGGCAGCAGACGCCCCATAGGCACCATCCACATGGAGCCATAAACCCTCATCCCTAGCTACCTCTGCAATGTCGGCGATAGGATCGATCGCCCCGGTATGTGTAGTCCCAAAAGTTGCGAATATCAGAAACGGGATCATTCCCTTCCTCCTGTCCGCAATGATCATGCTCTTGAGAGTGGCAACATGCATCCTAAAGGACGAATCTGATGGAATAATCCGCAGTATATCTTTGGGGAAGCCCAAAATCCTAGCTGCCTTGCTGACAGAATTATGAGCTTGATCGCTTGCATAGATCATCCCTCGAGAAAAGTCCCGATAAGGGAGTAAGTGATCACGGGCCACAACCATTGCTGACAGGTTCGCCACAGACCCGCCAGAGACAAAGATCCCACCAGCAGGAAGAGGGAATCCAACTTTTGATGCCAGCCATTGTATCAGAGCGTTTTCAATCGCACATGGACCAGAGCCAGCCACCCTACCCCCGACATGGGCATTGAATGCAGATACAATGCTATCACCTAGCCAACTCAACTCCATAGCAGTCGAAGGAGCAAATCCAAAGAAAAGTGGATGGTTTGTCCTAATACGGTGATCGAATATTTGCCATGCTTGGTGAATGACATGCAAAATCGGCTGTGGGAAAGTAGGGACGGCCAGAGATTCAATGTCCAACACCTTATCTTCATCTTCCTTCCTCACAATTATCTCGTCGATTTTAGAGTTGCTGACGACATGAAGATTGTAGAACAAATGTTGCAACTCTGGCCAGATGTGATTGATTTCATCATTCAATTGTGAAAGCACAGCACACTTATTCGGTTTGGTATCCATTGATTCTCCAGTTGAATCAGTGAAGAAGTCCGCCATATTAAGCTCTGTAGACTAGAGTCTATGAGGACTTAATACCATAAAAACGGCTGAGATTTATAAAGAAAAGAACCAGAAAGTGGTGATGATTCAATTCACATTTATATATAATTACTTTTACAAAACTTCAAACTGATTCTAGAAATCATGATACTACTTTGATCCCTTGCACAACTATAGGGCTACTCTGTAGCCAGTAGTGTAAACTAACAGTATTCTCATAAGGTTAATGCAGGATCACCCCGGGAGTAAATGAGTAGCTGTAATACATATTGTCGTAGAAATGAAATCTGTGTAATACTATGATGATATCAATCACCTGATAGAGGTTCCTTCATGCTCTCACTCATACTTTGGAGTAGATACTACTATAGAATTCACTCATGCAGAGGATATGGGGCAAGCTGGTGGTAATAAGTATGATTAGCTATGTAGATTATGCAATCTATGCAGCAGGTAAGTGCATATAAATGTAAGTTTGATTACACTATACTGAACATCTTTCTGCTGTGAAATAATAGAATAAGAAGAAAAAAAAAGCTACTAAATGCTGGTACTATTAGCAAAAGTTGGCTACCAATGGATTATGAAATCCAATTATCAAAGGTATTAATTATCACTTTGCTAGTTGTTGCACCCCTGGTAGACTATCATGAATCCAACAGGATATTGCGAACCAATCAGTTCTACTTATTGGGTGAGAAATATAGTACTAGTTTCATATATTACATGCTCCTTATTACTCCAGGCAAAGTTAACATTACCTAGGCTTGGGATTGCTTCACTCAACATTATACGCATCACTGGTGAGATTTTCTGATCAGGTCAGTCCCGGGTGCTCTTCAACACTGGGTGGATAGTGCTCAATGTTGTCTGCCTCCCCCCTCCATGGCAGGTATAAGAAGCCTCCATGGCACGTCGAATCCTAGTCACTTCATCAGGAAAGACCCTTTCAGAAAACATAATCATCTTCTTTGCTTCACCGTCCAAGTTATCTCCCACGCTATCAACAGCATGGCAGAGAGCATCACCTTCAAGAACAAGCTCCGCCATGCCCTTCCCGACGATATCAGGGTTGTGTTTGAAACCGACGAAGATTACAAAGCCATGATTGCCACTTGGAATATTCGCTCACGACATCGACCACTCGTCATTGTGTAACCGGTAACAGCCCAGCAGGTTAGCACGACGATAATAGTTGCCAGGCAACTTGGAGTCAATCACCTCGCCATTCGCGGCGGTGGCCATTCCTTTGAAGGATTAAGCCTGGGTGGAAGTGATGGTGCCTTGGTCCTTGATATGATTCTCATGAATAAGATTGAATCAAACCCAGGAAAGAATGAACCGATTGCGGAGGGTGGGGCAATATTAGGTGATATTAGTCTCCATGCATTCAAGAATGGAGGGAAAATGATCCCCATGGGCACCTGTCCATCTGTTGGTATTGCGGGACAAGTGCAGTGTGGTGGTTTTGGGTTCCATACTCGCACACATGGCCTACTTGTGGACAGAGCTCTTGCATTTGAAGTTGTCACAGCAGATGGAGCTATCCGCCAAGTCAATAAAAAGGAGCACGCTGATTTATTCTATGCTCTTCGTGGGTCTGGATCAGGCTCATTTGGTGTCATTACTTCTGTGACGCTTAGAACAAACAATGCCCCAGGTGCAACAGCTAACTTTTCAATTCGCTGGGATCTTGATTCATCGGATGTTCCTGATATACTTAAAGCTGTTCACCATGCATGTCTCAAAGCTCCTCCTGGCATAAATCCAATGATCATTATCTGGCTAGGTGTTCTCGAAGTATACGGCACAATCCTGGCAGAATCAGATGTTGAGAGAGATGAGAGCTGGAGGTCATTCTCATCTCTGCTACCCAGAGCTCGCAGCTTACGCATGAAGCCACTATCCTTCATTGATTCGTTGATTGAGATCTCGAGCCTTCAGACTTCAGCGCCGTGGTATCAAGATTTAGACCAAGTACACCGCGAAGGAGAGGAACATCTCCGATATATGAAAATAAAAGCTGGTTTCATACCCGGTGCGCTTGACGACTCATTCTTGCATACTCTGGGCGATTTCCTCATGACACAGCCTACCACGGGGGTTCGCGTACAGTTGCTAGCCCTGAATCCTGAGATTGAGCCTGATCCAGACACTTCTTCAGTGAAGGCTCGTCATTGCGCCTGGCTCATGGGCATGTCGGTGTACTTGCAAGCCCAGGAATATGGTCAAGAGGGGCTGTGGATTGAAGCTGCCGAGCGCCTACCATGGTTGACCAAAGCTTACGAGCTGTTCTATCCCCACACGGTTGGAGGGTACCTTGGCGATGACGACCTAGAAGAGGGACAGAACGGACGGAGCATGATGGAGAGCTTTTATGGGCATCATTTGCCTCGACTTTCTGCTATCAAGGAGAAGTATGATCCACAAAATTTATTTCATCACCCATTGAGCATCCCAGTGTTGAGGGATTAGTTGGCTAATCAAAGTCTTTCTACCAACTATACTTGTTAGTTTTTCTTCATCCTCTTATGAGCATATAGACACTATATTAGCTAATTTAACATAACATGAACTGCATCTTGCTCCTCCAGCTTTGGGTAGTAGGATGTTTGCTATACTAGTAATCCTGCTACTAGGCTTGGATAGTTATGGATATGCTACACCAATGGCTGCTTCCTGTGGAAGATTCTCACAGCACTAAGCGGCCGTGTGTAAGCTTTATTCAGGGATCCAGCATGAAGCCAGTATGTAGCCAGCTTGCAGGCATCACCCCATATTCCTCACTAATTATAGAGTTTGACCTTGTATATTATAGAAGGGAGGATGCTGAAACGCCTTAAGCAATAAATAGAGAGCTAGATAGAAAAGAGATAACCATAGGTGTTTTATTAATTTAATGTACAGGAGTGTTAGTTGTGTGTATCCTTCTATCTATCTAATGGTCAAAGATCCCACCTAGTCTGGATGTAGTGGCTACCATGCTGCCTGCTATAACTGCGGCCACTTGACCAGTAGGCCGACTGATGGATGGATGGATAGATGGAATTAATTAATTAAAAAGTCCCACATTACATGACAGGAGTTCTATACCACGGTTTCTGGGGATTGTTATTTCCTGCCGCTTCTCCAAACAACAATGACCATACAGATGACGCCCAGGGAGCACAGAATTGCCAGAATTGTCATCCACCAGCCATAACCAATGCTTGCCACTGCAATAGGCGAGACGACAGTGCCGATAGCAGCAAGGATATTACGCACCAGGTTCAAATCAGCCACGACAGAAGCGCCGACTCCGGGCTTAACATCCACCAGGAATGGCATGATTGTTGAAGTGATGAGCATGAGTCCCAACCCAAAGAGAAAAGCGCCCACCAGAGGTGCAAACCAGAAAACTTGCTTTTCGACCAACCAGCCGTAGCAGAGTAATCCAACCGGAACAAACCCCACCCCAAACCACACGGTCTTAAGTCTTTCCACGGGGTTGATCTGCCCATCGTGGGTCTGCTGGTACCTGCGCAACTTGGCATCGCTGAGTCGACCACCGGCAACGCTACCAATTGCATAGCCGAGACAGTTGCTGATATAGCAAAGTCCAACTTCAATGGAGGAGAAGTTATACGGCGGTGCAGAGTATGCGTATGGGAGAGTGGTGTTGAAGCAGTATAGACTTGCAAAGCAAATGCTGACGTAGGACACAGCCAGCGCGATTGGTGGCACCAGCAGGAGCTTGAGTTTGGGCAACGGAGCAGCGGCATCACGCTGGAATTTTTGAAGCCAGGTTAGCGAGGATAGGTCTTTTCCTTCACTCGATACCTTTACCAGTGTCTCAGGTAAAGCCAGCAATGTGAGCATCGCTGTGGCGAAGGTGAAGATAGCCATGAAGTACAAGTTTGAGCGCCACCCGAGCCATATCTGGAGAGCGCCTCCTATGATCGGCGCAATCAGAGGCCCGATGAGAGTCCCGAGATAGAACCATCCTAACGCCGATCCACGCTCCGTTGGAAGATAGATATCACTGATGACTCCTGCCCCGACACTTTGAGCAGATGAGCAGCCCAGGGCCTCAATCAATCGAAAGACAATTATCACCGCTAGAGAATTTGACGCTGCGCAGATGATGACAGCAATGGCTGAGAAGAGGAAGCTGACTACCAGCACAGGCCGTCGTCCATATTCCTGACTCAACGAGCTCCACCATAATGGGGCAATGGCTAGACCGATGAGGAAGACGGTTGTTGTCAGAGCTACTTGCGGCTCCGTGGTATGAAAATGATCCACCAGGGTGGTGAAGGATGGGAAAAGAATACAGGAAGCAAAAGGTGCCGTGAATGCTGAAAGGGTGATGATTATGACAATGCTATTCTTCTGCCATGCTGAGTGGGACTTGGGGTCGGCTTGCCGTTGAGCAAAACAAAGGCGATCGAACCATGATCTATTCGGTAACAAAACAATGTCGCTATGAGGCTTAGGTTCTGTCATGACTGTATGTGCAACTTGGTGATATTGAGGAGAGTTGCCAGGGCGGAATTTTGGAATAGCAGGAGATGAAATGATGAATCTCTTATATACATACTGAGTGTCGCTTTCTTTATATTTGGAGTCTACAGAGTATGCGCTCATCAATTCGGGGAATCGGGAATTCAGCCGCTGAGCCTAATTCCGATCGATCCAACATATTCGAGTTGAGTGAGTGATATTGATAGTTTGATGCTCGTAGAGTGCGAGAGTGAGTAGATTCCCTTCAATCAAAGCCACTACTTTATTATGGATCATTATCTAATACTTTGTATGGCCGCCACCGACGTTTGACCTACTGCCTGCCATCTTGTCTTCATCGATTGGATGATATGTATCCGTAATCCCTTCGGAAATTCGCAAGGCTGAATCCCATAAGGCTTAGATAATATCCCTTATATGGAGTAGTGTGTAAGGCCGCAGAACCCAATTTTCAAGGTGGATTGATTCATGGTGCTAACAAATATGTGAATCATAGTCCTAAAATCATTCCCTGAGCAACAGACTACTTCAAGAACAATGAACAAAAGCTGTATCACTTGCGCGAAAGCCAAGCTTCGATGTAATCCAACAGGCCATGGTCAGCCTTGCATCAGATGCACCCGCAAAGGACAAACATGCACTTGGGCTCAACGAAAGAAACGCCGCAACAGAGCTCAAGACGCCACTGACACCATGTCGTCCACACAGTCTTCGACGCCGATAGGAAAGGTGTCTGAAGCTCAGGCCGCTGGTGACCAAAGTTCGGATCAGCATACCGGGCTCTCATTCACGAATGTTTTCCCGAGTGATGAACTTGACTTCTTGACTCAGCTAGCCGACCTGGAAAACTCTGTCGACATAGAATCCTGGATGTGGAGGCCGCAAGATATACAATCAGTTCCTGAGGATCATAGTAGCACCCAAAATACGACAAACACGACCTATCCGCTGAGGCCGCCGTATACTGCCATCACTGATCGAGTTTTGTACCCTGACTGTTTCCGACTGCCGGCCGATTACATACTCGAACTGGAAAGCACTGATATCATCATCCCTTTGGACCGACTTGAAAAGTACTCGAGGCTATTTTTCACTCATTTCCAAGCACTGTTGCCCATCATACACGTTCCCACATTTTCCTTGGCATCGTCGCCGGCGATCCTTGTCCGTGCAATCTGTTTAATCGGAGCCAGGCTCGACGCGAGTTCTGGATCATTTGCAGATGCCACGGCTCTATACAATTCTCTTCCCTCACTGTTTGCCCGAAGGCATTTCTGCTCTGATCGAGCACTGCCGAGTTTTGAAGAACTACAAGCACTTGTATTGTTCCAATTCTCCAGCATGGCCAACGGAGGAAGTGCCGAAAGGGCTGCCTCTCGAATGTTACATCCACTGCTTGTTGCTGCCGTCCGACAGGCGGGCTTTCTCAAGGTCCATGGGGAGTGTACAAAAGACACACGGAGTGCAAGATCATGGCAGACCTGGATTCAGAAAGAGTCACAAAAGCGAGTTCTTTGGGGGGTCTATGCGGTAGACTGCTACCAATCGATTCTTTGCGGCAGTCGGCCACTTCTTTCGCCATCAGAAACTCGTGCTTCTTTCCCTTGCGACGACGTAAGCTGGGATGCATATTCTGCAGCATCCTGGGCTGCTATACCCGCACAAGACCCATCTAGCTGTTTCTTGAGCTCAATCAGGGGTCTTCTGCGTGGCCAACCCCCGGCGTTGGCAAATATGACAAGCTTTGGTTTGAATCTGCTTATTCTAGCCCTGCATGCCCTGATTCTTGATGCCCAAACTTCAATACTTCCTGTCGACTGTTCAGCTCTCCACCGAGCCCTTCAGGCGTGGCATGCCTCATGGGAGGAGTCTCGGGGGCGTTTCCTCTGGCAATTGGAAGTTGATCCGGAAACTCTCTTAATAACCAACAGTATATCTTTGTATCATCTCGCAACCCACTTTCTGCAGAACGGACGCCCGGCATTAAGCGAGAAGGCTTATATGCAGAGGTCCACAGACGTTGAGAATCCGCTGATCATTAAAGAGCAGATCTATCAAGACGAGATGACGCACTGTGTTAGAGAAATGCTTTTTAGCAGCAGTCTTGCAGATTAATGGGGAAGAAGCCCTCCAATAAACATAGTCTATTTCAGATCTATCTATCTGGTTCCTTAGTTCAACATGTGATCCTTTCCAATATGAATGCTGTCATGGAATAAGATCAGATTCATATGATCACAGCTTTGAGCTCTGTTGTTTCAACCACGGCAACACAGCTTCAACTACAGCTCTTGGCTGCTCAGGAAAAAGTGCATGAGCAGCATCAGCAATAACAACAGAAGTGGCTCGCTCCGGATACAACGTGGACGTCACATTCCACTGGCTTCGAGGCTGAAACGGGTCCTCCGCAGGGATCAATTCAAGAACCTGCGTGTTGTTTCCACCGGCCCAGTGCTGTGTCAAGCTGCCGTAAGCCTTCACAGAATCGTGCTCCATTGCAAGAACATCAGGATACCATCCGTCCAACCACACATGGGCATCATGACCTGGAGCAAAAAATGCGGACTGCAGAGCTTCCAAACGCTCTGAAAGAGGTAGCGAAGTGTTGCCTGCAACGAAGGGAAGTTGTGCAACGTCGGTGGGTAGATCGATGCCCCCCGGTGCTGCGACAATTATGGCGGGGATTTTCTCCGGGTACAGAACGGAGCTCACTTTTGCAACAAATGTGCCGAAGGCATGGCCGATAACAATTGCTTTGCCGCTACCCAGGGCGTCGATAGTGGCTGCGACGTCTGCTGCCAAATCCGCTAGACTGACATTGCTCATGGGGCCGGTCGACTCGAAGGTCCCCCGGGGCTGGGGACGCAGCACAAGGTAGCCAGCAGATACTAGCTTGCTGGTGAAATAGTTGTAGTCCTCCCCACCGTCTCTTCCATAGGATGGGAGAAGCACCACTGTAGGTCCGGCACCTTCTACCAGGACTTGAATGTTTGCCTGATCACTGCGAACAAACTGGGTTGGCCACTTGTAGCTCGCGAGTGGTTGGTTAAAGTCTGGAAGGGCATTTGCCCAGCTCGCCATGGCCACGTAAGGAAGGAAGAAACTTAGAGGAAAATGCATCTTGAGGACAACAAAGATTTTATTGAAGGTGATAACAGATTGTCTTCTTACCAGTAACTAGCCCAACAGATAGACCAGGCATTAGTTATATCTTTTCCTCAGATAAAGGATCCCCTCATTTCTGCCTTTTCATTTCCAAGCTAATGAATCAATCCACTTTATCAGGGAGAAAGTGTCATCGGAACACATAGGAATCTTCAAGCGCGTCTGTATAGCTTGTGAATGAACCAACCTATGACTGAGATATTCGGGATTTCGGGATTTTAAGACTCGGGAATGGAGAGCTTACATCTGGGATTTCCTCATGGCACAACCGCTTCCATCCCAGTGGCTGAATGAAAGAGAAATTAGCTTATTTTCTTTGTTGAAATTTGAGAATGCTTATTCTGCTACAAAACATCAAATTTGTGGCAAATCCAAGGGAACCAATGTGTTCAGTAGCATGAGCGAAAGTTTCCTGGGTAAAAGATGACCTCACATGCGCCCTGGGAAGAGAATATGGCCCCTAGGTGCTGGGTATCAGAGATAAAGTTAAGTTAGGTTTTGAAGTTCATTTTCGCGATACTGATATGTTATAGATCTCAAGACAGACTCAGCACAAATCAGCCATGCCGTTCCGTACCCATTGAGGTACCAACGCACACATACTGACCCAACCAGAGAGAATATAAGAAACGCCGATAAAAGGATTCCAGGCTCCGAATTGGGTGGTAGTATGGAATAATGCCTTTCGATTGACCAATAATTGTCTCCAGCGACGACTAGATACCATGCCTTGGAGATGCTGGCAGTGTTGGGCATAGGAAGAACTGTCTTAGTGGCAACGCAGTAGAAATTTCTCGCCCGCAAATCGGTGCACTTTGATCTAACAGCTGGATTCCAATTGTAGAACTCACTGGAAGTCAGATATGTATACCTTTCAATGAAAATAGACCGACCAGCAACGGTCGTCGGACGCTGCCTGATAATAGGTCTCACCGTCGGCGATGATACCGGCCTTGGCAGGAGAAGGGCCAGCTGTCGTTGCTGCAGTAGTGGTAGTGGTAGGCTTTAGAGTCATTGTAAATGCTCCTTGGAGAGGCATCAATAAAAAAAATTGAGAAGGAAAGAGAGATTTCACCGGGGGGGGGGGGCATCTGTGTCTTTGGGAACTATCTGACTATCGCAATCCCGTTCCTCGGGATGGTGATCTTCGTCATCCAGTCCTATTACCTACGAACCTCCCGACAGGCTCGATTGCTAGATATCGAAGCCAAGGGACCTCTCTACATCCACTTCATCGAGACCACCCACGCATCTCAAGCATCAGGTGCTTAACTGGCCCCCCCCAGCTGCGCGAGAAAAGTCGTTCTCTACTGAACCAATCGCAGCGACTCATGTACATGATGTACAGCGACCAGAATGGCTGACACTAGTTTTGGACTGGGTTGTCGGCGCCATCGCTGTCATCTTGATCGCTATTATCAAATCCTTGCGGGGTCGATTTCTTGCCGCATCCATTGGCGTGGCACTCACTCTTATCTAGATAATGAAACGGGCCTTGGTCAATGGTGTAAGGAAAGGGAAGACATTGGATTGAGCCAAAGCTACAACTCTTGGAGGGTCTGATTACAGGTTTCGAACACATCCTCTTCCCTTTGAGCTCCTCTCCTGGGATGGTTTGTATAAGTTTGTCTCATTGTGGATGGCAGCTTTGTAGCTATAGTCCGCCATATCTTCTCCTGCCACATGGCAATCTCAAATTGACCTAGTAGATAACTTCAAACAAAAGCCATTCGCGTTGAGATATTAAATCTCATCTTCAACCTTCGTCACTATAACTTTGTTCTTGGCCAGATAATAGTCCGTCATCTCCTGACGTGACCGAAACTTGAGCTCCTTCACGGGTGGAACGTATCTTTCTGTTCCCACGCCATCCAGAAAGGACTTTGCACGAGCTCCCGCAGCCTTTAACCGCTGCAGCTTCTGCTCCTCGTGCCCTGGAAACGAGCATTTCCGCAGCTCATGGAACAAGGAACCCGACTTCATTGTACTCGCATGCTCCCTGGCCGCCACAGCTGTCAGCGCTTCCAACAGCTTCTGCTCCCGCGCCGTGAAGGCGTTTGTCGTGCTCTGCTGCTGCTTGGCCGATGCCAAATACTGACTGATGAAAGCCTCGTCAAACCCTTTGAGTGGCGCTAGGAGCGCCAGCCAGTCGGCACGCATGTAGTCCCTCTCATTGAACAACATATCCGCTGTATCAACATCATCCCACAGCCGGAACTCCCGGATGACGACCAGTCTCTCATGTTCGCCGTCCCGGACGAACTTCCTCCAGCACCATTCCCCTTTCGCATCCTGCTCCAGATTGAAGCCCTTCAAGGCCTCGGGATCATAGTACAGCGGGGAACCAGATGTATTGGCAGTCTGGTACGATTCGCTTCTCGCGTACCGCACGACCGGATGGATGAATTCTTTCGTGTCGCCTTGCTGGTTCGCCTTCGTGTACTGCCCGGGAGTCCGGGTCTTGGGACCGGCAGGGTAATACGTGAGGGAGAAGCTGTCGGGCCGGTATCCCAGCCCCCAGCCTCCGTAGCCAGTGATATGTTTCTCATCTGGCACGTCTTTGCGCCCGAAGATGTTCCACCCGCCCTTCTTGATGGGCGGATAGCTGTATTGGGTGCTGCCCTTGGTGAAGCCTCGACGCGACAGATCGATCAAGGTACCGGTGTACTGGTGGTAGAATCGGGCCAGCGCGTGGTCCTCAAAGGCGAGCGGCGTCCGGTGGCGCACCTGATCAATCATCCAGACAAGGGAGAGATTAGCCATAGCTTCCAGATCGCCGTGACCCTTCTCGGTATCGTCACTGCCGCCGCCGATGTTGATGTGGCAGCCAGGGAACCAGCATTGGAACAGTTTGGTTGTCACGCCCGGCGGGCGGCTCCAGAGGGTCGGGGTAAAGGGCGCGCGGCGGTCATCCAGCGCCAGGGCATGAAAGGCGTGTTTGATCTGGTTGTGCAGCTTGGTGTCGTGGAAGCCATAGGTCTTTTCGTTCCACCCCTCAACGTCGACGAAGATGTTGGTCGGCACCCCCAGCGCGCCCACCGTGTCGAATACACCGACGACTTCGATCTCTACGTCCTTGTGGAACCGCTCCTCGTAGTCTGTGTACGGCTTGGTCTGGCTCCAGGTGACCATGTTGCTCCATTTGGCATGCTTCTGTTCTCCCTCGTCTTTGACCTTGTTCTTGGCATTCAGTTTGTACTCGGCGTACCGGAACCACCAGTCGTCCATCATGTCTGGGAGACAGATGCCGATGTTGCAGACGAGACCAGCCAGCGCGCGGGCGGTATATGCGCCCCGGGAAAAGCCGAAGATGTAGATCTCATCACCAGGTAAATAGTTGTTGACCTAACCGTTGGTGTCTCCATATTAGATGTGACCCGTCGCAAACAGTGGAGGAGGTGGGGAAGCAGACGGGCATTTTAAATATACATACCAAGAAATTGTACGCCTCGCACACGTTCTCCTCCAAACCTCTCCCCACTCCACCCTCCCAACATTTCTGGGCTTTCGCGATACCTTTAGCAATGAAGTTGCCATCCCTCTCCACAGAACTGGTGGCTGTGCCGACGCCCGCATCATAATAGACAAGCTGCTGGATGCACTGACCGTTCTCTATGGTCCACCCGGCAATAGACCGACTCAACTTGGCAACATTGGACGCGACGTTCCTGAGTCCATGACTTGAAGACTGCCATGAGCCATCGCAGCAGAGTACCAGTCGTCTCATTGGACGTGCGGTGATCTTCGATTCATTGTCTTGTGCCATAGTTGACGGTAGTTGGAAAGCAGCGAAAAAAAAAAAAAATCTAAGACGTGAAGTTGTAATGGCAAGAGGGAAAAAAACAGCAACATCAGCAGCACACCCTCCTATTTATCCTTCACTCTACGCACAGTAACATTGAAGAAACCGTTGCTGTCCTCCCTCTCTTTTTTGGGGCGAGCTGAAAGATGGATCTGATGCGAGTAGGGAGCATTTTTTGCCGAAGCTGACGGGTCCAATGACCGAGAAATGTTACGCGTCTTCATTGATCGGGGCTGCGCACGGAGTACTCAGAGTAGTGTTCATCAACAGATACACTGTATCTAGAATCTCCCTCGGCTATACCGCAGTCAATAGTTCTGATACGGCTGAGCTAGTGGCTTGAAAGTCTGAGGGCTTACTCGAGGGCAAAATAGCCGATGAACCATTCAAATCTCAGTACAGAAGATACATGCTCACTTGACTTGACTCCTTAATATTTCTTCAACATCACAGTTTGAGAGGGTGTGATAGAGGAAATGTCTACAATATATGAGAACATATTGTAAGGACAATCCTCATTTTCAAATTTGATACTCCTATTGTGAAGTTGGGATGCAATAGTAGAATTAATTTACCACCACTGCCCACACGTCCTACACTCTGCGCAATGGCATAGATTATAGTAGCAAATACCGTGTATAGTTATAAGGATTGTGAACCTTAGCTACCCAGTGCGCTACTATATGGGTCTGGATCTGTGAGCTGCCTGGCAACTCGCGGTAATGTTAGTCTTCTGGCCTTACAGTCTGCTAGTATCCAGCTAGCATTCTTACAGGCTAGTAGGAAGCTAGAGCGAAGGCCTGGGATATAATAGAGCAGTAGTAACACCTAGATATTATGAGATGGTTTAGATCTATCACTACACGCATACACCTGGGCAAGGGTTTATTAAAGTAATAAAGTACTACATTTGACTATCAGTTAGGAGGTGATGTCTACACCCCTTTTTGGCTGAGTGGGATTTATGGCAATATCCTTGAAGCAAAGGGCCATTTCACTGAATGGAGTTTGACTTCTTTGAATGGCCGCTACCTCATGCTGCTCGACTGGAATGCAAAGGTACTGCGCCACTTGGTGAGGTATCTGTTTAGATGGGCAGCGGGTAGTAAGCAGACAGCTAAACACTGCACTCAAAGTAGAGGTTACAGTAATAAATGACTATTTATTGCAATCACACCAACTCCGCCTCCTGTTCTCCCCAAGGCACCCCGAACTGAAGATCATGAGTCACCCACACAGTCAAATAAGGCCCGAAACAGTTACAACCAAGCACCTCCGCCATCATGCCTGTGACCGGTGCGGAGGCCAGAAGATAGGATGGGAGCGCAGCCTAGGGGTTCAGTATGTTTGTGATCGTTGTGCTCGGGGCCAGTTGCCTTGTATCACAAGTCCACCCCTGCCTATAAGTCGTCCACGATCCCTGCATCCGAGAACCAAGAAGAATCGGCGAGCCATGAGAGGGAACACTGACGGCCTCCAGGATCACTAGCAACAACTCTATTCCTCGCAGTAGAACAGCAGCGCTAGTGCCCCCATGGTTGCCAGATCTCAGCCTTACCATGATTGACCCTCTTCCCAACGAGACGACCCTTGGACTTTCCGAGATAGACTACAATGATTTCAAGTTGGATTTGGAAGACTTCAACTCAACCCGCCTCCTAGCTTTAGCATTAAACTCACAACAGGGTGTATTGAACATCCCGGGGACAACTACAGACTTCTCACGGCCGCAGAGCATAGAAGAGCAGAATTTGCAGCGCCTATGGAGGCTCCAGTATAGAATCACGGACAAAGTCCATTGAGTCGAAAGCCAGATCAGCATTCAGCAGCATGCAAGAAGTGCTCCACAGAGGCCTGGCGTGCACCCCCTCCGACCTTTGACCCTGATCTGTCTTTCTGGTCGGACAATGCAGCTGCTATGGGTAGCGAGCTACCATCTCATCGATACCATTTACAAGGGTGCCTTTCCATCGTGATACATTCTCTGGCCCTCGAGATATCTGCAGTGCTTCTCTCTTTTTTCCCCCCTGGGGTACATCGACGCTGCATCCACCTCCAACGCAGTTCTCGGCTGAGAGAACTCAACAATTACTGGAAGCTGGCGACAAGGATTTCCATTTGCTGCTCTGAATACAGAGTTTCTGGGTGACAAGCATCACAGTAGCCTCAGACTGGACA